CTATCATAAAGATTGTTATTTAAAAATAATGTTGCAGCAATTAATTGGAGGTTATATCTTATTGAAGAATTTTATATTTTCGATTCTAAAATTATTGGTATTTATCTAAGTTCATACGATGAGATTCAAAAAATAATAAAACTATTTTATAAATTCTAATAAAATTTTAGATTCCTCATCTTAGAAGTATCAATTAATATTACAGCATAATTCAGGTACAGATATTTTGATCCTATTGAATATATAATCTCAAATTTAGAATTATTGTTTGGATAAGTTTAAGGAATAAATTAACAGACACTTATTGTATGAGTATAAAATAATGTCTAATATGGCCTATCTTATATGATTGTAGAGGAAATGGGTCCTATTCTGTGAGTTCAGCTTATTCATGCAGAAGTTGCGTTCTAACAATAATTTTTTGAGCCATTGAACCATAATTTCAATGTTGATATCAGTTATTGGCACAAAAAAATAATTGAAGAATTTGTAAACGGGTTTGTGTTTGAAAGCTTTTGGAATTGGACGAACAACTAAATAAACTTAAACAGCAATTCTTATCTCGTTATGTCCTATTATGAAGATCATGTTCCAATAAAAGCATCCTTAGTAATACCTGTTGATTCGGTTATGCTTTTATAGCAATTAAACAAAAACCACACATAACTGGATAATTAAATCTAATCAACACCAAATCAAAATTAATTTGTGCCATATCAATTATTCTAGCAAGTTCTATTAATCAGCACATAATAATAATTATAAGATTTTTGTGTGGCCTTTTATTTCAGCATTTTTTGAAGTATCATCCATACATTTTTAAGACCCAAAAAGCAAACAATTTTGAGTTAAGCACAGATTTGCTAAATTAGAATATTTAATACCATAAGCTCGTTTAATTTTAGAGTTTAAACAGTGTTTTTCATTAATAATTTATTTAAAAACGATTAGAGTTACAATAAAAAAAACACACAGTTTCCAAACTGATTGAAAAAGAAGAACAGGGAACCCTAAACCTTATTCTACACAAATTTTTTAGTGTCAACAATCATCTCCAATTAATTACATTATAACAAATTCAGTTAAAGAATGAACTCATCCCTCAACACTAAAGTAAATAAACCTTATTTTTTTTTAGTCCTAAAGTCATTACATGTTAAAATAAATCAAAAATATTTGACAATTTTTTATTCTTAATAATCCTAAATAAAAAGAAAGCTTGTTTAATGAAAAGAAAATCTTCTAAAAAACATTAATGAATAATATGTTAGTATTCTCCTTAATTTAAAGAATACTGAATCTGTAGAGATGAAACAAATGAAGTATAATGATAAAATCAGAATAATGGCAGGGTCCCTTCACACAATCAGGATAATAAGTTCTATTAAACCTTATTTTTAATTGACCTTCATTATTATATTTGACTTTAAACAATCAGACTCAGTTAATGTTGATTATCTATAGCAGCTCTGCGGCTCTTCAATTTGTACTAATTTTAATGATAATTACAATTTTTCCATTATCATTTGTTGCATAATCAAATATATTCGAGACTTCATAATCTGGATTCGACTTTATTGATGAAATTTAACTTTAATATGTCTATATGAATCAATACTTTAGGTTTCAAGAATTTTAGGTGGTACCTAAAAGTTAGTTAATAATGCAGTCTTGAGTATGTATAGTAAGCTACAATTTAATAAGATGCTTTTGTGATAACTATAATTAGCATTATTTGGGCAATTATTAACAACCGGATATGAATCTTCAATATCTTATATAATCTAAATAGCAAAAGCACGCTCTATATAAATAGATGAAAAAAATGTAATCCAGTTTTTACAAATTATTAAATTTAATCAACACCTTTGCTAATAATCAGAACCCTTACAAATTCTTGAAGTTATGTTCATAATTGCACTAGAGAAACTAAGTTTTAAAGGTGTATAAGCTTAACAATGTTTTAATCCTTAGATATAAGATGAAAAAGAACTCTTAGACTGCATATTATTAAAGAATAGTTTACTGCTAAATGGAATAAAGTTGATTTTCAGCATGATCACTAGACATAACTAATGGCCTTTCTAACGCACTTTTTCAAGTTAACTTTTACGCTTATGAGAGAAAATTAATTCAATTTTTATACACATATATATAGTATTAATAAGTTCATAATTTCAAACACTGAAATGAAATTATTAAATTTTATAGTAAAAGCTCAATTCAATTACCATTCTTATATTTTTGATAATATTTAATTTCAATTTTAAATAATTGTAAAAATTTTAAACTGTTTTTACATCTCTATAATTTTTAGAAATGAATTCGAGGCGACATGTGCGTACATTAATATTTATTAATTAAAGACACACAAAATTTAATCATAATCTAAAGATAATATTAATGTTTGGATCTTAAAAAGAATTGTCCGAAATTCATAATATTGCCTCAAGTTCAACAGCTAATTTATTTATCTCATGAATCCACGATTAAGAGTAGTATTTCAATACAATAGTTGATCCGAGATATTTTATTGGGTATTTATGCTATTGATATTATTTATATTAAGAGGTTGTTGATATTTAAATTAAAAATCCATAAACAATTTGGATCCTTTTAAGTTTGATATGATATATAAATAATAGCAAAAACTCAATGAAAAAATTAATTATAAATATTTTGTATTATCAAATCATTAAACCACAATCACATACTTTAATCCAAATTAAAAGATGAATTTTTTTGATATATAAATCATATTTCACTCTCCAGATTCGACTCAGTTTTAGTAAACTCTTTAGAATGCTTTCTCATAACTAATTAATGAACATATCATAATTTTGTTATTCAATATGGTTAAAGATTACAACTACAATAAACTAACAATTATTAGCCGAATTAATGAATATGAGGACGCCTAAAAATATTTTCACTTCATCAATCTTGCCATATATATATATTAATTGAGTCTGCTGATTCTTCAAAAAGCAAAAATAACATACTATTAAGTTATTTAAGAAGAAGTTCAAACTCAGTAAGTAGACTGCAGAAAAATAAAGTGAATCGCTTTATATTTTAGAAGATGATTAATGATTACTCTTTGAAAATTGATATTGTAATATATCTGGGTTTATTAAAAATAATATAGTTTAAAACATTATTAATATTTTTTAAATTTTCCTTCTGTTTTCTATCTGATTGGTAATTATTAAATATAAAAAAGAGGCAAAGATAGAAGAAAAATTATGAACACTAACAGTCCTGTTATTATAGCTCTTATTTTAATAATTAACCACAGTTTTTATTAATCTTTTCTACAATTTAATTTTAGAAGTAACCTTATCTGTTCTTACAATCAATTTTCTTCTTTAAATTCTTAAGCGGAAGAATAGCAAAATAAAAAATATTTATAGAAAAGTTCTGAGATAAATATACAAATTAATTATTTATATTGATAATTTCATAATTCAGGATTTTATTTAAAGTCANTACACATATATATAGTATTAATAAGTTCATAATTTCAAACACTGAAATGAAATTATTAAATTTTATAGTAAAAGCTCAATTCAATTACCATTCTTATATTTTTGATAATATTTAATTTCAATTTTAAATAATTGTAAAAATTTTAAACTGTTTTTACATCTCTATAATTTTTAGAAATGAATTCGAGGCGACATGTGCGTACATTAATATTTATTAATTAAAGACACACAAAATTTAATCATAATCTAAAGATAATATTAATGTTTGGATCTTAAAAAGAATTGTCCGAAATTCATAATATTGCCTCAAGTTCAACAGCTAATTTATTTATCTCATGAATCCACGATTAAGAGTAGTATTTCAATACAATAGTTGATCCGAGATATTTTATTGGGTATTTATGCTATTGATATTATTTATATTAAGAGGTTGTTGATATTTAAATTAAAAATCCATAAACAATTTGGATCCTTTTAAGTTTGATATGATATATAAATAATAGCAAAAACTCAATGAAAAAATTAATTATAAATATTTTGTATTATCAAATCATTAAACCACAATCACATACTTTAATCCAAATTAAAAGATGAATTTTTTTGATATATAAATCATATTTCACTCTCCAGATTCGACTCAGTTTTAGTAAACTCTTTAGAATGCTTTCTCATAACTAATTAATGAACATATCATAATTTTGTTATTCAATATGGTTAAAGATTACAACTACAATAAACTAACAATTATTAGCCGAATTAATGAATATGAGGACGCCTAAAAATATTTTCACTTCATCAATCTTGCCATATATATATATTAATTGAGTCTGCTGATTCTTCAAAAAGCAAAAATAACATACTATTAAGTTATTTAAGAAGAAGTTCAAACTCAGTAAGTAGACTGCAGAAAAATAAAGTGAATCGCTTTATATTTTAGAAGATGATTAATGATTACTCTTTGAAAATTGATATTGTAATATATCTGGGTTTATTAAAAATAATATAGTTTAAAACATTATTAATATTTTTTAAATTTTCCTTCTGTTTTCTATCTGATTGGTAATTATTAAATATAAAAAAGAGGCAAAGATAGAAGAAAAATTATGAACACTAACAGTCCTGTTATTATAGCTCTTATTTTAATAATTAACCACAGTTTTTATTAATCTTTTCTACAATTTAATTTTAGAAGTAACCTTATCTGTTCTTACAATCAATTTTCTTCTTTAAATTCTTAAGCGGAAGAATAGCAAAATAAAAAATATTTATAGAAAAGTTCTGAGATAAATATACAAATTAATTATTTATATTGATAATTTCATAATTCAGGATTTTATTTAAAGTCAAGATAGAATCAATGACCACTCTTCTGCTTTTCTACAGTTATTGCCATCTGAAATGATGTGAAAAAAATCTGCTGAAATCATGTGAAAAAAATCTGCTCTTTTAGGAATAACAATATAAATTATAATTTTTGAATATTGTTTAAGAAATAAAAATACTTTTAAATTTCATAATTAAAAAGTGAAAGCTCCAACAGAAAAAGAGGAGGGAGCAGATGTTGTTACTTTATTTTTCATGTATGGAACACTTTTTGAATGGGAAATAACTAAGAGCCAAGCAATAAAAATGAAGCAGAGGATCGTGAAATTTTCAATAGCAATCTCATGAAAGAATTATGCTTAAGGTTATATGAGTATTTAAAGAATGATGTGATTTGCTAATTGAATAAGATGAGGAATTAATAAAGTAGGGTTAGAGGAAAAAATAGATAGTATAGTTTATTATATTTATGTAAGGCAATTTGACGATTTCAATTAAAAGTGATTAATAATTAACCTCTAAGTTGATGGAAATTTATTTATCATCAAAAAATTGAATTGCATCAGTTTCATCATTGTTGCAAATTTTGGAAGCTGGATATTAGAAATAATTAATTATAATCAGAAAATATTTATGAAAAATTACATTTCAAGTAATCATGTGATTCTATTATTGTTTGAAAGTATTAGAAGTACTGTAAGAATTTTGAGGTCGATAATTTAATAGATTTTTTTGACTTAAAAGTGATATATTTGAAATATAAAGAATGAGGAAATGGATGGTAGAAGAACCAAATAAGTGAGACTTTGGAATTAGGTTAGAGTTTATGAATGTTAAATAAAAATTTTAAATTATTATTAAAGAATTAAAACCTTTTAAATATGTGATTATAAAACATTAATTAAATAATGTCGAAATTTTTATAAGCAGAATCAGAAGGATCGGATCAAGAACCTTAAAATGAAGGCTCAAAGTTCTTGTAAGGAGAAGAAGAAAATGAAGTAGAAGAAATACAGGCTCCAAAGAATGAAGAACCTAGAAATATTAAAAAAGAAACAAAAAAAAATAAAAATAAAAAGAATGATTCTGATGATGAATTAGATAAAATACTAGCATCTAAGGCACCATAAGAATAAGAATTGGATGAAGAAGCAAAAAAGAAAGCTGAAAAAAAGAAGGAAAAAAAAGCAAAATAGGCAGAAAAAAAGAAAAATTAGCCAGAACCTTAGCCATAATAATAATAAGCATAGATCCCTGAAAAAAAACCAGAGAAGCCAGGAAAAAAGCCAAATGCAGCAGCGTTGAAAGCACTTGAGATGCAAAGAATAAAGGAAGAAGAATAAAGAAAAATTAACGAAGAATTAGAAAGGTTAAGAAAAGAAGAGGAAGAAAGAATAAGATTAGAAAAGGAAGCAGAAGAAATCAGAAAGAGAGAAGAAGAAGAGAGAAGAATAAAGAAGTTAAAACAGAAAGAAGAGTTATTGAAGAGGGGGGAATATAAAACAAAAAAACAACTTGAAGAGGAGGAAAAGCTTAAATTGATGAGAGAATAATTAGGAATTAAAGTAGATGATGCTGGTAATAAATCAAATATTGTGAAAAAAAAAAAAAAAACAACCAGGCCAATTTAATTAATAAGTGGAAGCAGCTGTAGAAAAACCAGAGGAAATTGTACAACCTGAAAAAAAAGCAGAATAAAAGCAGCCTGAACAATAATAATAAGCAGAAATAAAATAAAAACCTAAGGAGTAATAATAATAATAAAAAGTAAAAGAGGAAGTGATCATCAAATAAAATTAAGGTGAGGACATCGAAAGTTGGGAGCAATTTGTTGAGGAGGGAGAAGCAGAACAACTTAAACAGGAGATAGATAAAGAAAAACAACAAGTAGAAGATTAAAAAAGATAATAAGAATAATAAATATTACAATAATCTTTTTCCTCAACAACAAAAAAAGAAATTTTAGATTTATACAAACCTGTAGGTGATTTAAGATCTCCTATTTGCTGCATTTTAGGACATGTCGATACAGGTAAAACTACTCTCCTAGACAAGATTAGAAATACTAATGTTTAAGAGGGTGAAGCAGGAGGTATTACATAATAAATTGGTGCTACCTTCTTTCCAGCCAAGAAATTGAAAGAGGAGTTAATAAAAACATAATAGTTCTATCAAGTTGATTGCAATATCCCTGGATTATTAATTATTGATACACCTGGGCATGAATCATTTTCAAACCTAAGAACTAGGGGATCCTCCTTATGTGATTTAGCCATTTTAGTTATTGATTTAATGCATGGATTAGAAAATTAAACATTGGAATCCTTAGAATTATTGAAGATGAGAAAAACTCCATTTATTATTGCATTGAATAAAATAGATAGGTGTGTTGAATGGAAAAATAAGAAAAATGCATCCTCATATTATCAATTATAAAATTAAACTAAAAATTGTAAAATGGATTATGAAACAAAAAGACAATAGGTGATTACCTAATTAGCAGAGAAAGGATTCAATGTTGCCTTTTATTGGGAGAATGAAGATCCTAAAACTTACATTTCAGTTGTTCCTACATCTGGATTCACTGGAGAAGGTATTCCTGATTTGCTGTCCGTAATTGTGAAATACACATCAGTTTATATGAAGAATAAAATCAAAGTTAAGGAATAATTCAATTGTACTGTGTTAGAGAAGAAAGTTACAGAAGGACATGGTACTACAATAGATTGCCTATTGATTGATGGTCAAATAAAAAAGGACGACAAAATTATATTAGCAGGTTTCCAAGGCCCCATAGTGACTAAGGTTAGAGCTCTTTTAACTCCTCATCCAATGAAAGAAATGAGAGTTAAAGGTGAGTATATTCATCATGATGTTATATATGCATCTATGGGTCTAAAAATATCGGCAGTAGGTTTAGAAGATGCTATGGCAGGATCTCAGATGTATTTGGCTAATACTTAAGAAGATATCGATAAAGCAACCGAAATAATTAATAATGAGATGGAGGAGGTCAAAAAATACATAAAACTATAAAATTAAGGAGTGGGAGTTGCAGCATCTACTTTAGGTTCATTAGAGGCACTTCTACAATATTTGAATAGTTAAGACATTCCTGTTTCATATGTTAGTGTTGGGCCAGTATCAAAAGATGATGTAATGAAAGCCTTGAAAAATGTGCTGTTAGAGGATGTTAATAGAAGAAAGAAAGAGTATATATATTTATTATTTCTAGATATGCGTGTATGTTGGTTTTCGATGTGAAAATATTGCCAGATGCTTAGAAATTTGCTGAGGAAAATTAAATCAAAATTTTTGAAGCAAACATCATTTATCATTTATTTACTAAGTTTACAGAGTTTATTAAGTAAGTCAAAGAAGAAAGAAAGAAGAAAGAGGCTGCTGATGTTGTATTTCCCTCATTGTTAAAGGTATTAAATCCATTTAATATTAAATAGATAGTTCGTATTATCAACACAAAGGAGCCTTTGATTTTAGGAGTTGAAGTTGAATAAGGAATTTTAAAAACAGGAACGCCTATATGCATATATGATCAAAATAGTAACAAAAATAAAATTGGGATTGTTGAGACTATTGAATTAAATCATAAGAGTTTGAAAGAAGCCAGAGCTACTACAGGAGCAGTTGCCTTGAGAATCGGAACAAATTAAGCTATATAGGCCGGAAAGCAAATCACTCTAGAAACAAAACTAGCAAGTTTGGTATTTAATGATTTCATTTCATTAGATTACAAGAAGAGCTATTGATATATTAAAAGAGCATTACAGAGAAGACTTAACTTTGGATGACTGGTAGTTAGTAAAAGACTTAAAGTTATTTTTAAACATTGTTTGAAACATATAACATTAAACAACAAGATTTAATACACAGATATTTTCTTTATTAATTAAATACATATATATCTAAATTTTCATTATATCATAATAAGATTCTTGCATTTTATTTTAACTAATTAAGATCACAAGAAATTTTCAATTCAGCCATTCCCTTCAAATCTGGTTAGGTATAATAAAATAAAATAGTTTTGAAGTTACAAATTAAAGTAAGATAGAGTGCAGAAGAAATTTTAAGGCTATGACAATTAATAAATTGCGCTCTTATAGGAAAGGTCAGAGTGAAAAATTTTAATAGAGAAAATATATGATGCTGAGCTAATCTTCAGATTAATGCAAGATAAAATACTAAAAATTTAGAAAGAAATTGATTTGATTTTACTTTTAATAATGCTGCGTATTAATTAATCTTATTTTATTCACAAAACGATTGTGATTTAATTATTTAAATGAAATTCTTCTGTTAAATTTTTAATATTATTTTTGTTTGTAAATTAATTGGTCTCTATTCCATATAGAGACTATAAACCATTTCTAGTTCGGCTTACGTTACCCGAACTAATTTATTGTGAGGTATTTGCTAGAGAACTTCACTTGACCACCTGTTGTTAATGAAGAGAACTTTAGCCAAATGAATACCTTCAGAGTCTAAGCCGAACTAGACCTGACCCAAAAGGCGAATGATGTTATTGAATTATGATTATTGTAAGTATGAGAGTTCTGAATGTAAGAAAGGAATTTGATAAATTATTTATGATATTAGCTTTAAACTATTAATCTATTGCTTTCGAAAAAATCTTAAACATTGTTAGAATTTAATCATATAAAATATATACCAAAAACCCTTTTACCATTATTACAAGTAAACAATGTAATTTGTTAGATTTATTATAAAATAAATAATAGATTTTAATTTCTATAATCTCCTTAAAATTAATTTATTATATTTCCTGAAAATATCAAAAATAACTACTTGCTAATTAGACTAAGCAAGCATAATGAAAGAGAACATGAAAAAATTAAAATATAATTCTAAGATATTAAGATCTAGATGAATTTTTAATTAACAAATTGTATTGATGACTATAAGAAAGAATTGTTAATCGAAAAATTCTGAAACCATAAATACTAACCAACAATTGAATTCTATTTTGATAAAAATGAAATATCAACTCACCTAAGATTCTAGAAATAATTGCAAATTTAATATTTCTTCCAAATTGAATTTGCTCAAACTGAAAAGTATAAGAAAATTATATTTTCATCTCCTAACATTATCATCGATTATTTTGAAAGTTAAGGATGGAAGAAAGGAATTAAATGTGAACACTGTTTTTACTAAATGATTTATGCTAATACAAATAACTCTAAAACACAACTCTTGATAATTCATAACAAAATTCTTGAGATTATTTTTGATACCATAAGTAAACCATGACATATTCATAATTAATTGACAATGATTAATTTTAAGTTATCACTATTTGAAAATATAAGCTGAAATATTTCAAATCATCTGAGTTAAATATCTATAAGTACTTTTAAACTTATGAACCAATTAGAAATTCTTGTGTGCTGTTACCAAAATTTATCTCAAATGTCTTTTACAAAATTACTTTATTTATAACGAAAGTAATACTTAAATTAATGAGCGCCCTTAAATTACTCCTAGTATACTATTTGGAAATATGGTTACCAAAATATTCATCTCATATCTTATATTTGGAATTAAAAGAATGTTTAAATAAGTTTTTATAGATTTCTTAGTTTTAATGGTTATATATTTTATTGTGTTTTACAAACAAGTAAAATTGATAACCAATTTTAAAAATCATTTTATTCTTAGAGATTAAGACCAAGGCATCAATTCTCCATCCTTAATAAAATTAATCAAATCTTTTATCAGTTTGTATTTTCATTAATGAGTAATTTAATTAATGTTTAATAAATTTATTTAGTAAGTTCTGCGATTTAAGATTAATAATCAGATTAATCAATAATGATCAAATAAATGTTATCTTTATTTAATTAATGAATAAGTATGTTATTTTTATATTTAAATCTCCCGTAACACTAGCTGGTGACCCGATAAATGGATAGTGTTGCATTAGAATAACTTAGGAGCTTCCAAAATGTGTAATAAACCTATCATTTTATGCTAAGCAATACTCAAAGTTAATTTAGAAAAGAAAGGTATGCTTAATAAATGACAAATTGAGCTTCCAAATGTAAATCCCCATTCGATACAAGATAAATAAGTAGAGAAAATAGAAAGAGTTTAAGTTTCTATGGATTCACCACAAAAAAACCAAAAATAAAAAAAATATGAACTTAATGGAAATGTGATTCATAAAATTATAAGGTAATATGGAATACAAAGAGTCCTGGTGAGTTCTTAAGAGTTGTTTAAAGGATAAGTAAATCCAGGAGATTATAAATTTTTCTTTTCGATTCCAACTAACGAAAAAATGTAATCAAGCTTCTTCTACACAAGTTAAGATGGTAATAATTATAAAATACGAAATAAGGATTAAAATCTGGAAAATGCAGCTATAAAATTTCACTTCAGATTCAAAATCCAGATGAGAGTCTCATTATTCTAAAGGAAAGTGCAGAAGTATATATTAATGCAAGAGTGTAATCTATTATTGAAATTCAAAGATAAAGTGATGCCAATATTATATCATATTTTTGCTTGAGTGGAGGGATAGTAGATTTAACAATATAATTAAATAAATCTTCTTTTACACCAGGAGAGCTAGCAATAATTTAATATCATCTTGACAATACATTTTCTTCAAAACCTGTAACAAGGGTTGAATTAAGACTGATAAACAAATTAGTGTTCATTGATGACGATTAAGTAGACAGAGAAGTTTTGAACTAAGTAGTTTTCTCTAAAATCCTATCAGGGGCAAATGAAAGGGAAAGAATAGAAGCTTAAATTGTAAAGTTTGAAATCCCAAAAACCTTAAAAGCATCTGTAAAAAATGAAACGATATCGAATCAATATTTTATGCAAATAGAGGCTATCATCGTATTTAATTCAAGTATATAAAATAGGATCAACTTTTCATTAGCTTATCAAATCCAATCCTCTGCCAATTACCAATCAACATTTAAGAATCTCGGTTTTAATAAGTTGTTAATCTAGATGGTTGGAATTTCGTTCCAATTTTAAATGCCAGTGTAAATGCATTTTCTAATCTAACTGTCCAGTAGTCGTTTATTCCAACATGAATATTTTTATTAAATTCATATACTTAAATGGACAATTTTATATTGCGATATTGTGAATTATCATCATTCCAGACTCATTATTTAAGACAAATTTCAATTGAATGATAATAAGGTGATAACTATAATTTAATGGAATCATTCTCTAAAGGTAAATTAAGATAAAGTAAGTATAATCAGAGAAATTATAGAAAACATTTGCACTTTAAAAAAATGATTAAGAACAAAGTCACCTATTTATACTATCAATAATAGTTATTGTTCAATTATCTAAAAATGAAAAAGACTTGCCTTAGGATTGTGGATTGTCACAATTATCAAAAGAACTTCAAAATGTAGTTTTCTGTATTATTTTATCAAAATCATCTTTAAATATTATTAGATAATAAATGTGAAATAATATTTCATTCCCTAACCTAATAATTCATTCCTTGTACATTGAATAAAAGAAGATCAAAATTCTAAATGATTCATTTGAATTTCAAAAAAATCTTCATAAATTTTATTATTTACAACCTTCAGTTTAAGCTTTTTACATAATATTTACAATTTTTTCTTCCTTCCTAATATGATTATTGTTTTAATTGTAATTAAGAAAATAGACAATAACTTTGGATTTTTTAATTAATAAATAATAGATAATATCAAAATTGAAATATTTACCATTTGAAAATTCAGATTTTGCTGCTTATATTAAAGCCATTTGAAATTGGGTTTTTGGAATTAAAAAAATATTTTTATTATTTATTATGGAAGACTGCAACAAATATCAACAATTACTTGCTGTTTATGTCATAAAATTTTCAAAAGAAAGCTTTACAAAAATAATATCATTCTCAGATGCTTAAGAATTGAGAAGTTTTAAGAAAATTACTAGCTTAGAGAATATTTTTGATATAAAGAATAATTAAAAAAGTTGAACCTTATTAAAACAATTGTGAACAAAAGATTTGAATTTTTTTTATGTTTATAATATTTTTTTGTTCTCAATAAGTACTTTCATTTATATTAATATTGGCATTAATTTGAATTAGCACTTTAGTAATATATTAAGTAAGTTTATTTTTTAAATAATGTTCCAATTTGTAAAATACAAGCGAGTAAGCAACAATCACTTTCCTTAATACCAGGATTATTTAATTCGATAACATATAGTATTGGAGTTATTAACTCATTATCTTTAAATATTCTTAGATAATTATCCTAATCCATAAATAACAAATATAATAAATATGATTTATTATTTTATTAAAATATTCCTTAAACTCCTCCTTTCTGCAAATTTATCTTATTTAAAATGAAACGACACAACAAGACTGAAAATCAAACATTAAGATCGAATTAAAATCATCAGATTGAAAGCTAAACTGAGAAACTAAAAACAGTATTGATTACAAAACAACAAAAATCTAATTTATAAAAATTGTTTTGTCAATATGATGAGGAAGGCCTACAAGATCTTTTGAGATTCAAACACCAACTGGCGAAGAAAATAATTAAATAATGGAAGCCTTGAAGATAACATTGACTTACTTATCATTATTTATTCCAAAATATTCATACTACCTAAATTTCCAACAAACATGAACTGAACTATTCCTTCTCAAGAAAAATAATAGACTTTTGTATGACATTTTTAAATATCATCATCCAGTCAGTTCTACTAGATTTTTAAAAAATCATAATCCATATAAATTATATATAAGCCAAGACTCTATCTTAAGTTGAACAAGAATCAAACATGAAAACTTTGATATCTTTTAAATATATGATCCTACTTTTGATTTTAGTAGTGTCTTTGAATAAACTTGTGGAAATTAGAAGAAGGGAATCAGATATTGATTCTTAATTAAGATGTATAAAATCTGTATTTTTATTAATTTTTTATTGTTAACATGACTGATGTAGTGATTTCATTTTAATTATAATATAGTTTATCATTTTGCATTTAATTAATATCAACTTACAACATTACTTGAATTTGAAGCGAAATTAGACATTTTATCGTTTCTATGTATTCTATCACAATTTCTAATTCTCTTTCCTTTTTTTTGTGCTATATGATTAGTAAAATATAATTGAGATTAGTTCTAGTGGTTTCAATTTTTCTTGTTTCCATTCCTTAATGATAAATTATAAATCTATTTTGATAATAGATTGATAGAAAATTATATTCCGACCTTTGATAATAGTGATTAATAATGAAAAAATATTTAAGAAATGATCTTGTAAAGGAAAATAGTTTCTTATATATATTGTATAGAAGAAACAATAGACAACTATGTTTTCATTAGAGTAACGTTATTATAATTCCAACTTGATAATCAACAAAAAATAATTAATTGTATTTTTTTGGCAATCCTTAATTTTTCAAATTCAATATCTGAAGAATTAAACAAATCGGTTTAATTCTATTTTTAATAATAAATTAAAGGATTTTGCCGAAAATCCTTTAGAAATGATCAAGAAAGATTAAAAAGATAAGATAAACAAATCTTAGAGACAAAAGACCATTTAAATAAAGAGATTCCAAAATCCAAAGTTAGTGAATATCGTATGAAGAATCAACTTTGGTATTTAAGAGAGAACTAGCAAGGAAAATATTGAAAAAAAATCAAAGGATTATAAGAATAAAGTGATGATGCATTAACCAATATGCATATTCTTTGTAAAATTCTTAAAAGATGAAAGAACTTTCTTTTCTTTAATATATTTATAAGTTATTCTACTTTATATCAATCAGAATATAGATATTCTGCACAACCTTTACTATTAATGCATTGTAGCCTGCTTTAATGAGACACAAATTTTGAAAAACTGAGTAAATGTGGTTTATGATTATCAAAACTCTAATATCATAATATTCAGGTAAGAATACCCTAAATTACTTCTATTGACAAATAGTACTTTTACATTAATTTCTAAGTATTTAAGTTTTGTCAAATAGAGAATATCAAAGTATTAGCTTTTGGTAATCAATTTTGATGAATTATCTAAGAATTATTTATGTTATTATTTTTTATAATAATGTATTTCTTGATCTTGATTTTGTTTCGAACCAAAAAATAGCAGTTCTCTTTTGATCATATAAAACAGAAATTGCTAAACTGGATGATTATCATCTAAAATGATAAAATACTTAGAAATTATTATTTATATATATTATGGCATTTTTATTTGAAGAAGATCGTGGGTTAACATAAATAAAGGATCCTTATCCTCATTTAGGGCCAGGAGTCTACTAATAACCCGAAGCTCATCTAAGAATAGCATATGCTCCTTTTCTTTCAACTGGGAAAAGGCAAACAGAACTTACAAATAAATTAAAGATTCTGAATCCAGGACCAGGATAATATGAAGTATCATAAAACATGGGAGATTCTGGAGTTTAGGCATATATGAATAAAAGCACCATCATAGTAAAAGTTTAAGGAAATGGAAGCAGCGCATTTAAAAGTGGAATTGAAAGGTTTTAGGAAGATAAAAAAGTTAAAGAAGTAATGTATAGTGATAATTTTTATATTAGATTCCTGGACCTGGTTATTATGAAACCTAATAGGTTAACACACAATAGAAGCAGCCGTTGTTTCTGAATTAAAAGATAGATGATATTAGAAGTTAAAACCTTAGAAGAAGAATTAATTCAATTCCTGAACCGAAAAGCTAAATAGGAATGATTTATGATGACATAGAAACTTTGGCTTAGCATCAAAAAGTTATGAAAGAGTAACAGCAATAAAAAGTTGTAGGTCCAACAACCTATGATGTTCTATAATAAAAGCAATACAGGGGATTATCTTGGGATAAGAGTACTAGACCAAGATTTGATTAAGAGTAAACAAACGAAATCGGTCCAGGGAAATATAATATTATTGAGGAGAAAAAAAAAAGAAACGGATCTCCAGCCTTCCTTTCTGAATCTGTTAGATCTTATTATGATTAATTAATTTACAAGACTAATAGGGAAATTAATGCAGGATTAAGAAAGCAAATAAATTACAAAGACTAATATTCACCAGGACCTGGATAATATAATGAAAATAGAGTAGCTATTAAAATACAATAAAAAGCAAAAGAATTTTAGTTCTTTGGATCCTCTTTGGAGAGATTTAAATTGATATAGGATAGTAGTGTTGGTCCCGGAGACTATAGGGTTTTAGATTCATCCTTTGATTAACAAATTCGAAAAAAGAACTATACTAATGCAACATTCCTAAGTACATCCATAAAAGGATAACCTATGATATTGGAAGAGCAACAACCTGGTCCAGGTGCGTATGAAATTTAAAGAGACTTATATACAGATTTAGTTAGAAAGTAAGATAGAGGCCTTAATGGATATTTTGGAGGAAAAGAGAGGCGATTTCAAGAAAAACCCTCGGTTTGTCAAGCAGGACCTGGAAGCTATGATGTTTCAAAAGGTGAAAAGAAAAGAGCTGTTAGCTCGTGTTTTAAGTCGTCATCTAAAAGAGATTATGTTAATAAAAGTTTTGGACCGGAGATTGGACAATATAGATTAGATTAAGACAGCATTGGAAATAGAGTATAAAAATAAATGAAGTTTATCCAAAATTTATAAAAAATAGATGTACTAAAACCGGGGTTTTAATGTGGAGAACCAAGATTTAAAGAGAATGCTGATGTTTTAAGTGTTCCAACAAGTTATAACTTCTAGGCTCCTCCTGTTAGCCAAAAATAAATTACTGCCCCATTTAAGTCACAATAACCGAGGCTTGCTTATATTGGTAGATAATTTACTCCAGGAGTTGGAAAATATTAAGTAGAGGTCAACAATTGGAAAATTAATAGCTTTAATACACATTATAATAAGGTCTTACAAGAATCTTGATTTTTTATTAACACTATGTATCATCTTCAAATAAATATATTAAATATGCATAAATATTTCATTTTTTAGTTCTTTTGTAAATTAACAATTCTTTATCATTGTATGGTTATTTAAATGTAAGTAATTCGTTGATGGAAATAGATATTGCATTATCATTTTAGATCTAAACCCAATTATTATTTTTGCATAATGTTATTGAATATGTAGGTTATCCATCTAAACCATCACTGCAATGAACAATTGATATCAGCGAATACTCAAAATCTTAGGAATTTTAATTTAAGCAGCTTGATGGTAACTTATATGATATTTTAACGTCTGCCTTTTGTAAGGATAACTCACAAACGTTAAGTATTAAGTATTATGGAAAAATCAAGAAATTAAAATCTCCAACATTATCTTCAATTAAATTTTCTTATCCTTCTAGTTTAATTAAACCTTGCAAATATGTAAAAAATTCAATTCCAGGCTATATAATGGCTTCAAAATATCTAATGTGTTTTATACTATTAATTAAGGGTACTTCATTTTATTGAACTAATAATACTAGAATTAATTTTACTTTCTAAATCCATTGGAAAAACTCTTTGTAAAAAGAAAAATTGATCATATATAGGAGAATCCTAGGTTTGTATTATTGATGCTATTTAAGATTTTTATTCATCCTGTTTTATGATTGCTTTTGAGAGATGATCGATTATTTAAAATAAGAAATCATTTGCTCTATTATCATTTTATAATTCAATTCTCAATAATTCTTACAATTAATTTGCTGTTTATGGAGAAAATTGCTCTGCTTCTTTTCGAATGTATGTAATGAACTTGAGAATTATTGAACTTATTTTATCAGTAACAGTTAATACGGCTGAAAAAGGTGTTATTACTTCTAGTAAATGCATAACAGCATTAAAGTGAGATTAAACTCCTTTGATTTCTGGAAGTATTCGGATTCCAAAAGGTTCTAATGTTTTTTGAATTTATTTTTAATTTTATTATTTGAGTTACTCAATTCGTTTTTATAGGATTTTATTTTCATCATTGGCTTTTTGCAATTAAGTTGCTTACTATTTAATTTTAGTATCCAATTATCCAATTTAATTTTCTAAGTCATTTTATTTACCTAAATTTAATTACTAATCAATATAATTAGATTAAATACGTCTTGAAGTTAGGATATATATTCTTCCAAAGATCTATTTTCTGTTTGTAATTTCTAGACTTCCTCTCTCTTCTTTTCTAACTCTCTTGTATCTTAAATTAGAAAATCCTTGCCTTTCAATTATTCTTTTAAATTTTAAACTTCTTGCATTAATTCGATGTTCATGCTTTTTAATCTCATATTTTCTTCTTCTAGTTGCTTAACATCAAAAGGTTTATTTTGTATTTAATTTTTTTTTACATTTTGGATCATTTCTGAGTGTCTCTTTTAGTCTTCTTAACGCTTTTCTTCTAATCGTTAAACTTCCTTTTATAATTTTTTGATCGTTTAATTTTTATTTTTTAACTCCTCAGCAGCTCTTTAAAAATGTTAGGTATCTATTCTTTCTTTTTGCTGCTTTCTTTACATACAATCTAATTGCATCTTAAGCATATTAACTTCATTTTTAAGTTACATGTTTTCTGATCTGTAATCACTACTCTAATAATTTTCAATTTCATTGTATTCTGAAATAATCTCTTTTAATTATTATTATGCCCATTGCAAATTTTGAGGAGAAGAATTCTTCTTCTTTTTAAAGTTATGCCAAAGTTCTTATAAACGATCAAAGTACAATTAGATATTCGGACTTTCTGAATCCCATGTCTCCATATTTTTGAAATATGTTTTAAGTTCTGAAATTTAATAAAGCCATTACCTACTAAACAAGCTTCTATCTACGGCTCAAATTGACTGTGCGGATTTGAAAAGAAACTCTGCATTTTCATCAAACACTCATATATTTACTCCATTATAATATTAATTCAAAAATAAAATAATCAAATACGTTTAAAAAATGCTTATAAGAATTGATGAATAAATTTGATTTGATATTTCGGTTGATAAGATCACAGGCTAAATATCTAATAGTATGTACATAAATTACGCATCATGGGGTAACACTTAATTTACTAGTATGATTCAAAATAAAACTGAATGTATATAAAAATGAATTTTCAAGAAATTTTAACAATTCTGTTTACTAACAAAGAGGGGAAAGAATTAATTATTCTAAAGAAATAGATAATTATAATAAAGGCTTTGGCTCATTTTTATAGATAATTATTTATATATTTCAAATATTTTAATTTTTTGGTAAAATTTAATAAAACAAGCATCAATCAGATTTCATAATTACAAATTATATGATATTATTATACACTATCAATTATATAAGTATTAGAACTATTATGATATTAATAATCTTATACCCTATTGGTAATAATTCCATTAAAAATGTAGAAAATATTGGAAGCAAAAATTTGAATAAGATCTTATATATCAAAGTTATTGATTTGTGACGGATTATTAGAATGAAGATACAAATAAAATTTGATAAGGCAATTCGTTTCCTATCTTTTATTAATATAAATAAAAAATGCTACAGAAATGCAAAGATGGATTAAGATAAATAGATATATTCGGCTAATCTATAAATCTTAGTTTTCGTTAAGAAGAACAATACAAAACAAGTATGGGAGGTTTTTTATCAATTTGTATCATCGGGACAATTATAAGCTTTTTCTATTCGAACATAATCAATTTTTTTGCAAAATTGAATGTGACTTCTACTCAAGAATTTACGTTCGCAGATGATCCTGATATTCTAATTTTGAATAAGGACCACTTCATGTTTGCAGTTCAGATTGAACAAGATAATTTTACCACGAACCCTTTTTTTAATATCACTGTTGAGCAGCGTCACTATTATCGTTTTCCAAATGGAACTTAATATCGCTACCCAAATAAATATATTGATCTCGTGCCCTGCACCATTGAACATTTTTAGCCTTTATTTGAATAGTACAGTGTGGATTTTAGAGAATAATTTGAACAATAAAGTTTATAAAATTTCTTATGTCCCAATCTCAATTTTGTTCATAGTCTCAATATGACTGTTGGAGGTGTATGGGCAAGCACGGACTACTACTTTTTGAAGTTTTCTGTTACTAATTGTAAGGATTCCTCATCAAGTAATTTTACTTGGAAGCCTACCTGTAAAACTTCAGATTAGATCTAGGCAACGTTAAATGCATAAGGAAGCTTTCGATTTTAAGTTTATACTACAAATTTTGTAAATATCATCAATATTTTAATAGCTTATTAATCCTAACAGACCTGAAAATTATGTATAACCTTACTTAGCTGTTGATTAATTTTATACTTTTGTTCCAGATAAAATGTTTGTTTAATCAGATATCTTTTTCAGAACAAAGAAGGTCACAACTGATCAAGGAATCCTAATGTATCCTGACAAATAGAATGAAACTTTTGCTTTTAGAGATTATGGAGATCAAAGAGAATAATTTGAAATTTCAAGAATAACTCCTAACTATTATGGAGCATTTTATTTCTAAAGAAGTCCATATTCTTATCAAATCAATAGAAAGTTCTTAAGACTTGATGAATTACTGAGTTATTTAGGAGGATTCACTTAATTTATGATTGTAGTTGTGGGTGTAATAGTAAGATTCTATAATCGTTAACATCTAATCATATCTATTGCTAATGACTTATATGAATATGATATGAGTTAAGGCAGGCAGAATACTCAAATGCATTTAAAAAACTTATTGGATCGGACCCAGAGAGGCAAAGAAATGTTGAAGAGCAAAATGTCTAAGAAAATTGAAACTATTCCTTAAATACAAACCATGTCAGCTTTTCAAAATAAACCTGAAATGTTATAGAGAAGAAAATTAAATATTGAAAAAAAGCAATCAATCGAAATATTTTAACCAACTCAATAAGCATTGTAATCCAGATTATCGGCATTGAAGGCGAAAACATTATAGTATTTTGATGATTTCAAAGAATTTTTGAAGAAGAAACACATCATAGGACTAGGATTTAGAGTTATTTTAAGTTCCATAATTCCTATTGAATCCTTAAAAGATGATGATTGTATTGTTTTAGAAAAAGCTATGTAAAGAAATAATATAATAATTTAAGTGATTAAGTAAATAAAGAGTTAGATATCGAATACATAATCAAACAACTCCATGAATTAACTAAGTTAAAAAAGGTGTTATTTACCTCTGAATAGATAACACTGTTTAATTTTAGTCGCAAACCCAAAATATCATTGATTTAAGATAAAAACAATAGAAGATCCACCAGGTTAGATAATTAATTTATCTATTTAGATGTATTATTGACGGAGTTACAACAGCAGAGGATTATGGAATGATGAAGCAGTTTACTGATCTTGTTAATTCGTACGATAAAATTACTGGATCAGAATTAGAAAATACAACTTAAGAATAAATTCGATTTAATTAAAGATTAATTATTTTATTAGGCCCTGAGCTAATGAAAGTATTAGAAAAAGAATTAAGCGCCTAATAATAATAATAGATGGAATCTGAAAATAATGATCCGAAAGAGGAGGAGAACCTGTTTAGCGACAGAGAAATTTAAATAAATCACCGCAATTGAAAAAGAATTCATAATATTAATATAATATTTAGTTATTCTTAATAAATTTCTTTTTCAAAGGTCTGAATAATTTAAACAAAATTAGAACTACAAAATATCATTTCCATAGAGGCTTTGATTATTATAAGAAAGACTTCCTAGAATCTAGACTATTTAGCATTATAGTTGTGTGAGAAACTGCTTAAGTCAATCAATTATTCTTGATATTCTGAAAAATGAAGCTAATCACCTTTAAATTTATATATTATTAAAATCATTTTTATCATCTCTCTATTCATCAGTAATTTTAAATAGAATGTATTGGCTTATTTTAATGTTTTATTGTTAATCTTAATCATAAGTATTTGAAATTTGCTCGTACTATTAAATTTTACTATAGAAAGAAATATTTATGCAATTAGATATTATTCAATCTTTATTATTATTATTAAATCTAAATTGTATCTAATAGAACATATAGAATTAAAAATTTGTAATGGCATTAAAATACTGAAAAATATTTATTTATTTACGAGTATCCTAAAAATTGGCATCATAATTCTTAAATTATTTATACTAAATAAATCAATAATAGTTGTATCAATCTTTTGTTCATTTATTTTTCTAAAATTCTAACTTATACCCTATTAGCTTTTACATTAAATTATTTATATTAATTATGAATAATGAATTTTGAAATTGTTTATTTTTATTTAGAAATATTCATAAATATTATGTTTGAAGAAATTAAAGTGAGCGAGATTATACAATAAGACATTCTTTAGCATTCAGAAATTAAGCTTTCAGGAAGTGCTTCTAATGATTTCTTTGAATGCACAGATTATTCGATTTCTTTAGAAATTGATTAAATTGCTTATATCTTGTATTTACTTAATTTTATTTGTTTTAGAAAATTAGTCAATAGATAGAAGGTGTCTATTAACATATATAATATGGCAGAGATATACTAGAGACCACTTTCATATACTTGTGAGTATCTAAACTTTTCATCCCCTATTACATAAAATGGATGCACATTAATAAAGAATAATAATACACCTTACTTATTGGTAGTTACACAAGTTGGACACATCTACTATAAAAACTTAAAAACTAACACTTCAACCTTACTAAAGAATTTAATGATTGAAAATATAAAAATAAAATGCTTCGTGAAATCGTTGATACATAAAGATTAGTTTCAGTTTTATTTGATGACTGATGCAGATATAATGTATCAGGTAACATTAGATGTAGTTGGAGGGGAATTTTTTAAAAATAAGTATCAAATAGGTTTTGGTACTAAATTTTTTAGTAAATTTTTTAATAGCACTTCTTAAGATTGGATGGTTGCTTTTCATTTAAATGAAAATTAAATTTTACATTTTTCATAAAACACCCAATTTAGTTTGTTGGAATTCAGAGAACCAGAGTTTTAAACAATTTAACTATAATGCTAAGATAAAATAAAATCTAAGCAAGTTGACATAATTTAATTAATTCCAAATGGACAATTATTTGTATGCTATTAACATAATAATAATCTAAAAATGTGTACTATAAATTTAAACTAATTAATTGTTACTTACGTAGTAGATTTATCAAAAATTGAATTGGATAACCCTTATCATTTATGTAGTACATAAGACGAAGTTATTTTGATTTAGGATTTTAAGATTTACTAATTAGATAAAGTTAAATAGAATTTGAAATTAATAAGTGAAAATCAATATTCAGTATTTGGATATCTGAGTTAAGAAAACAATCTATTATTATTTTATAAATATTAATTAACATTCATAAAGTTAATTTCAGATTAGATTAGTAAATAATAGAATGAATTAAGGGGTGAAGTAGCAAATTTTAAAAATAATCTGAAAAAAAAAAATAATTTAGTAGATGATGAAATAATTGTTTAAAAGATTGTATTTCATCCAACACCTCAAAATGCTCTCCATTAATTCTAATAATTGATAAAAATAATGCATCAAAATTTGGATTAAAGGAAGGTGATCTCCATTATGAAATAATAACATAACAATTTTTAGCCTGACTTATTTATTGAGAATCTAATGGATGAAGTTGAAGATATTTATATTTTTATTAAACATAGTTTTAAGAGCTTAATACTCAATCCTGCTGAAGTTCAAACCGAATTGCTTAATTAATTGGATGTTGTGAATTTCAATTTGGGGGAGTTTTTTTTTAGAAATTGTCGATTATACGAATCGAATGCAGAAGTAGAAAGTAATTCTAATAAATTGCCAATCATTAAATCTTTAGTGATTCATACTTTAAGAGATTATTATTAAATGCAGTTAGAAATCTTTTTAGGATTTGGAGTTTTATAAAGTTTGTATTAGGAACCATTATCACCTAATATGAATTTTCAGTCCTTTTATGAAACAATTTGTTTACTTTCTCTTATTGAAGATAAGAAATTGATACACATTCAATAAATTTTAACAAATCAATTTCAACACGTAAAACATTTATTTAATTATTCAAACTTGAATTGTATCTAATAGGAGTTGAAACTTTACATCAATTTAATATATAATGAAATATTCTAGTGCTTAGCTATTCCTGAAGAGTACTTTTGTGAATAATTTGTTCATAATCAAATAATATTCCATTCACATCACATTAACTCTAAAGGCATCATTAGACATTGCAGAATAGCTTAATAAACAGATTAGATTCCAACTGATGTAATTAAATTCATAAAGGAAAACTAAGATCAAAATTAGGAGTTAAAATTAAAAATTAGTTTTACAATTTAAAAACAAAACCCAAAATAATATGAGGACTAAAATATAGTTTTAGATCGTTTGTTATATTATGCAAATGAATTGAAGCAGCATCATTTATTATTTCAAATAATTAATCTAAATGATCAATTATAAATTAAAGATTCTTTGAAATTAATAGTTGACAATTTATTATCGTTTAAATTAAATGTGAGAACCACAGATAAGATTGGAGAATACTTACTCAATTTTTCAAGAGAAAAATATTATATTCTATAAAACAAGAACAGAATATTATCATACTTTAGTTACTTGATAAGAATCGAATCAAAAGCAAAAGTAATTTGCTGATTATTATTTTAGGCTTACACTTTGTTATTTGAATATATTGTTAATTTAGAATCTTTGTTATTCAATTTATAATAAAAGGACTTAGTTTGGGTGATTAGAACACAACTAGATTGCATAACTTTGTTGCTAAATCAAATGTAACTGCATAGCAGACAAGACAGAAAACCCTATGCTTCATAAATTGTATGTAAAATTAAGGATGAAATTTATCGATAATTCTTAAATCCAAGTACCTTAGGAGAGTTGAGAGAATTGGAATAAAATTCTAATGAAAATATTAGAGTGATTAATATTGAATAAATTGAATTATTCAATTAATACAAGGAGCTCCAATGCTTTGTGAGTATGAATTATAGTCCTTAGGCAAAATTGTAGAAGATAGTAGAAGAATTGATCTTAAATAATAATATTGATTTGCTCATTATTTTGGGGAGGTTGAGAATAGATCCTAATTATGAGAGAAATGTGGCATTTTGTTACTATTGGAATGAAGACTCAAGAGAGCAGTTGATTTAAGGATTGACAGAGATAATGAAGGAGCGAGAGTTGTCAATAGTGTTGGCTTAGATTTGTGTTTATTGTAATTTGAAAACCATTCATTGCCAAGAATTGTATTGCAAAGCTCCTTGTTAGAATTCCTTCTTATAGTATCTCATCAGTGTTGATAAAGAATAAATTGTTTAAGAGATTATTTGATATTTTTATATATTATAAATTTAATTATCAGAATGCTCGAAAATAATAAGAATGCATTAATGAGTTGCAGTGCATTTAAAGAGAGTGGTGTGTTGAAGGGATGGGGAGAAAGGCTTTTAATATATGATTTGATATAATAAGTAAGGGCTTGATATATAAAGAGATACTCAGGTATATTGACGTCAAGGGTTAAACATAAAAGTAGTTGTTGATTCAAAATTATATTATCCATCCTGTTGCATTTCATCAAGGGAAGTGGGCAATAAAGTTCAAAACTCAACAGGAGATAGAACCCAAAGTGGCTAGATTTGGTTGGAATAATCAATCTGAGGCGTTATAATGGTATGACTTTTTTAACGGGAAATACTTGGCTATATAAATAAAAAAGGAGAATTAGGAGAAAAAATTACAAGAGTGGGATTAATTTATGCCAGAATCCGAAAGAGTGATAAATCAAGGGGTTCCTTTAATGGCCATTAAGCCAAGTTAGGTATCTCGTATGAGATAGATGATACCATTATTGCCTTAATTTTTATAAGTATATACTGTAATAAAAATAAGAATGACATTGAAATAATCCTAGAGAACACGCATGAAAATTTGCAAGGATTTTCGGATATCCATTCATTTAAAATTCTATTTTAATCTTAAAACAAATAACTTTACCAAGATCCAAATGATTAACTGCATATGAGATTCTTTTTAAAATCAGAAATGCCTGCAGCAAGGATTTTCGATGTAAAAATGATTTACCATTTAATTAGGAATTGTCAATACACACATTTGTGGATAATTGGAGTCCCTAAGTATCGATCTATTAAATCTATCCAACAAAAAAAGATTGTGCAATTATCTTTACAGAATTCAATATGGAGTAAAAACAATAACATAACAATAAACTCAAATAAAACAAGCCTAGAAGTTTAAAGGATATTGAACCTGAAGTCTTTTAACACGATACATTTTCCAAATAGCCAAAGTCACACTTGTCTAATTAAAATGAAAAAATCAGATTGATATACACCCAAAAACATTTTCAAATAGATGAAAATGCATATTGCATTATGAAAAAATATATTGGCAATGAGATACATCATAATCAAATAGACAAGGACAAAGTTGAAGGCACAGATGAATACAAAATCACTAGGTCCTGTGTGCTCATCTAGGCTAAATAAGAAGATAAGTTTAAGACCTAAATAATCGAAGACATTTATTTAGAGTGTGAAGACAGAGATAAAGGGGAAGAAGTAATGAAAAGATTTCTCCTCAATTTAGAAAACATTGATAATCAAATCCTTGAAGCAGATCATTATATTAAGTAATAAACAGAACACGTACTTATCAAAAATGAAGATGATATTGATAATTTACAGATTTCCTTTATTCAATTAGTACCTGAAGTCACAAGAATTACTTCAGAATAGCATCAGTAATAATCTCTTCAAGAATATAAAGAAATTCTAGATTTGGTTTCTACAGGATAATTCATTTCAAAATCAATCTAAAGACAATTTAATTAAAATATACTTCACGGATTAGACAAATTTTTGGAAACAACTAAAGAGGAAGGTCATTTCTTACTTACTAAATATTATGAGGTAGATCCTAAAAAAGGAGGGTTGATATATACAAATAAGAAATTAATCAGTGATTAAAGAAGCGTATTATTGGATATAATCAAAAGAATGGGATCAAATTTATTGAGTGGAAAATCCTTAATGTCTGTTTCCTTGCCAATTCAAGTATTCGAAGCAAGATCTTTTTTGGAGAGGATGGCCAGAGGTCAAGGACATGCTCCTGTTTTTCTTGAAAAAGCTGCTCAAACTACAGATGTTTTTGAATAATTAAAACTCACAGTCTCATTTCATATGTCAAGTTTCATGATGGGAGTTCAATAGGAAAAACCATTCAACCCAATCATTGGAGAAACCTTTGAGGGTCGCATTAAAGGATGTCCTATTTATCTAGAATAAACTTCTCATCATCCTCCCATTTCCAATTATATCATGTATGGAAGAGGGTATAAATTGTTTGGGGCATTCTGTCCCATGGTCAATATGGGAACTAACAGTTTGGCTGGTGAATAATAAGGCCATTCATAAATACATTTCTAAAACACCAATCTCAAATTCTACTATATGGCCTAGCCTTTTATGCTTTATGGAGTTTTATTAGGTTAAAGAAGTGTCAATTGTCATAAAAGAAGTTATTGTTTTTAACCTGACCATTAGTTATTAGTTGAAATCACTTTTAATCCTAAGGATAAAAACGCTGGGTTTTTTAGTTCCTCATCACAAAAGATCGACTAGTTTATTGGGAAAATCTGTAAGGTTACACCAGAATGCATTTAAAAATGTTTAAAAGCCCACAAAACTAATTCAGGCATAAAAATAAAAATTCAACCTTAAGAAATTTTAGATACATATAACATCAATATTAAGGGCAGATGGACATCATTTTTACAATTTGACAATGTTACTTATTGGGATATTGAAATTCATAGGTAGTTTGTTCTGTTATAATTTATCTTAGACCTTATATTCTTGAGTTGGAATCAAGTCCCTTACCTTCTGATTGTATCTATAGATTAGATTTATTATATATGAAGATGAAAGATAATTCGAAGGGTTAAGATGTAAAGGAGTAGATGGAAGTGGATCAACGTAAGGATAAACAATTAAGAGAAAAATATGGAAATAAGAATAAGAAGAAAAAGAAATCAAGCTGACTTTGAAATAATATTAATAATTGAATTATGGCTCTAGATAAACCTACAATAAAATAAATTCATTGTATTTTAGTAATGAAATTATCAATTGAGACAAGTAATAGAGTTTATCCATCAATAGAGAAGTCTATGTTCGAGGTTTGTTCTTCTTTAATTGCTTAATAAGTATAATTAGATAAATTCGATGAAACAATTATTTAATAGAATTTCACAAATTATTTTATTATTAAAATATGTAGATGATGAAGGTTCCTGGGATCCTTATGAGATTGCATTCTTCAAAAATCTTAAATAACAATTACTTCAAAGTTATATCCGGTGCTGTGGTAGGGTCTACTGTTATTTATGTTAATCAAAGCTAAAAATCTAAGAAAAATGAAGGACAATAAAATTATTAGAATGATAACTCTGATCCTCTTGAAAAAAATTATTCTAACCATCTTTTGCCTAGAACTAATGAAAATTCTAACACTCCTTTTACTAACACTAATGAAAATAGCCCTAATAAAAATAGCACCATTGAAAATAGCACTAGTAAAAATAGCACTAATAACAATAGCACTAATGAAAATAGCGCTAACAAAAATAAAACTAGTAACAATAGCACTAATGAAAATAACACTAATGGAAATAGCCCTAATAAAAATAGCACTAATAAAAATAGCACTAATGAAAATAGCACTAATAACAATAGCACTATTGAAAATAGCACTAATAAAAATAGCACTAATGAAAATAGCACTAATGGAAATAGCCCTAATAAAAATAGCACTAATGAAAATAGCACTAATGGAAATAGCACTAATAACAATAGCACTAATAACAATAGCACTAATAAAAATAGCACTAATGAAAATAGCACTAGTAACAATAGCACTAATGAAAATAGCCCTGATCAAAATAGCACTAATAAAAATAGCACTATTGAAAATAGCACTAATGGAAATAGCACTAATAACAATAGCCCTAATAAAAATAACACTAATGAAAATAGCGCTAACAAAAATAGCACTAGTAAAAATAGCATTAATGAAAAAAGCACTATTGAAAATAGCCCTAATCAAAATAGCACTAATNTCAGGCATAAAAATAAAAATTCAACCTTAAGAAATTTTAGATACATATAACATCAATATTAAGGGCAGATGGACATCATTTTTACAATTTGACAATGTTACTTATTGGGATATTGAAATTCATAGGTAGTTTGTTCTGTTATAATTTATCTTAGACCTTATATTCTTGAGTTGGAATCAAGTCCCTTACCTTCTGATTGTATCTATAGATTAGATTTATTATATATGAAGATGAAAGATAATTCGAAGGGTTAAGATGTAAAGGAGTAGATGGAAGTGGATCAACGTAAGGATAAACAATTAAGAGAAAAATATGGAAATAAGAATAAGAAGAAAAAGAAATCAAGCTGACTTTGAAATAATATTAATAATTGAATTATGGCTCTAGATAAACCTACAATAAAATAAATTCATTGTATTTTAGTAATGAAATTATCAATTGAGACAAGTAATAGAGTTTATCCATCAATAGAGAAGTCTATGTTCGAGGTTTGTTCTTCTTTAATTGCTTAATAAGTATAATTAGATAAATTCGATGAAACAATTATTTAATAGAATTTCACAAATTATTTTATTATTAAAATATGTAGATGATGAAGGTTCCTGGGATCCTTATGAGATTGCATTCTTCAAAAATCTTAAATAACAATTACTTCAAAGTTATATCCGGTGCTGTGGTAGGGTCTACTGTTATTTATGTTAATCAAAGCTAAAAATCTAAGAAAAATGAAGGACAATAAAATTATTAGAATGATAACTCTGATCCTCTTGAAAAAAATTATTCTAACCATCTTTTGCCTAGAACTAATGAAAATTCTAACACTCCTTTTACTAACACTAATGAAAATAGCCCTAATAAAAATAGCACCATTGAAAATAGCACTAGTAAAAATAGCACTAATAACAATAGCACTAATGAAAATAGCGCTAACAAAAATAAAACTAGTAACAATAGCACTAATGAAAATAACACTAATGGAAATAGCCCTAATAAAAATAGCACTAATAAAAATAGCACTAATGAAAATAGCACTAATAACAATAGCACTATTGAAAATAGCACTAATAAAAATAGCACTAATGAAAATAGCACTAATGGAAATAGCCCTAATAAAAATAGCACTAATGAAAATAGCACTAATGGAAATAGCACTAATAACAATAGCACTAATAACAATAGCACTAATAAAAATAGCACTAATGAAAATAGCACTAGTAACAATAGCACTAATGAAAATAGCCCTGATCAAAATAGCACTAATAAAAATAGCACTATTGAAAATAGCACTAATGGAAATAGCACTAATAACAATAGCCCTAATAAAAATAACACTAATGAAAATAGCGCTAACAAAAATAGCACTAGTAAAAATAGCATTAATGAAAAAAGCACTATTGAAAATAGCCCTAATCAAAATAGCACTAATAAAAATAGCATTAATGAAAATAGCATTAATAAAAATAGTACTAATAAAAATAGCACTAATGAAAATAGAACTATTGAAAATAAGACGAATAGCAATAGCGCTAATAAAAATAGCACTAATGAAAATAGCACTAATAAAAGTAGCATTAATAAATATAGTACTAATAAAAATAGCATTAATGAAAATAATACTAATAAATATAGTACTAATGAAAATAGAATTAATGAAAATAGCATTAATAAAAATAGCACTAATGAAAATACTAATTTTAAGAATGAACCTTTTTTGATTAGCCCTCCTTAAAAGATAGATGCATATAGATATATTTACTATTCCTAATCTATTTCATCATATTATTTAAAAGATAGGGTTTTATCTTAAATGCTCTCTTATCCTTATAAAAATAATCTTTAGAATTTTATTACTTGGAGTACTTTTTTTGAAGAATTCAATCTTCATTTTTAAGAAGATGCTCCTTAGCCTAGTATTCCTGAGACAAATGATTGTTGGATGAGAGATATGAGAATACTCAAGCTCCTACTAGTATAAAATACTATATTTTTTTCTTAAGTTAGGTCAAATTCTCCAAATTATCCTCCTAGTCCTTAATATTAATTAATGGTTGATTAATGTGATACAATTAAACTTTTACAAATAAATTCTCAAAAATAACATGCAAGTTTAGCTAAGGAGGATTCATAATATCATAAATTGTAACCAAAATAACTACAATAACTCCCAAAGCCCTCATAACCAACTTAAAATACATTAATGGTTGATATATGTGATGCAATTGAAAATTTACAGGAATATCCTCTTGTTAGATTGGCTAAGGAGGATTCGTAATATCATATATCGTAACCATCTTAACCACCTTAACCACCTTAACCCCCTTAACCACCATAACCACCATTACCAGAATAACCACCATTACCAATAGAAATAGAATTAATAAATTATCTTCTTGATAATTCATCGAGGAAAAGGAATGTTGATGAAAATTATAAATAATATTTAATAGAAACATTAGACAAAAGGGAATTTTAGAATTATTATAGATTGAAATAATTATAAATAAAAAACAATCTATTGAGATATTGCACAAAAATGATACATGTAAGAGGTGATGGAAATTGTTTTTATACTTCTTTTGGATATTAGCTATTAAGGTTAGTGATTTATTAATATTCTGATTAAGAATTTGAAGTATTTCTCAATCAAAATTTCACAATACCATTCAAGATATAACTGAAAAATGAAATAATAGGAAATGAAGAGCGAGGATAGATTTTGTTAATGCATTATAAAGAAAGAATAAGATATATAAGAAATCTTGAACACAATTATCAACATAATGATAATTATTCAATAGAATTGATGAGACATTTTAGAGCACATGAATAATAAGGTGATGTAGATGGTTATTTTTAACCATTGACCGTACTATTTTTAAGAAATTTATGCATGTATCTTGTCGAAAACTGTGAAGAAGGATAAAATGTTTTTGATAAGGAGTAATTATTAAAATGGGAGGAGGAATGTAATAGTAATGAATAGGTGATTGCAATATTAGCAAAACATTTTTAAATGTACTAAATTAACTTTATTTTAGACATGTACAATTGTTGTATTTTGAAAATGAAGATTTTAAGCCATTTTAATATTCAAAAGAGTATGAAAATAGGACAATCACCTTGCTTATTTAACCGGGACATTACAATATTGGTCTTAAAAATTGATATTTTTATTTTTTATTAAGAATAAATTATAGTTGAAATAAATAAAATGGAATTTAGGAACCATAAATCCGAAGATCACCTCTTTTAGTCCTATAACAGACAAATGAATGAATCTTTGCATATTATTTTCCAGTAATATAGTAGGATGTGGAAACAAATTCAATATAATAAATATCTCTTTTATGATAGATTTAATGGGAAATCCAATTCAATAGTTAAAGATTAACATGCTTAATAACTTAATTAATAACCATAGCAGTAATACGCTAGCAAAGGATATGGTTTTGTTAATAATGGAACTTATAAAATTTAAATAATGAGTTGAGCAGTATTTTATTGAAGTTAATTCAACCGAATTAACTCCCTATGGTAAATAAACCTCAGGATTAGATCTAAGTACACCTGATGATTATTAAGATAGATAAATTAATGAGAGACATAGGACATGCTTTAATAATTAGTAGAGATGCAAATAATTTTAATTTCTATTCTATTAAAGTATAAGTATGAAAACAATGAAGAAGTATAGGTTGTTATTTTAGTTATATATTTAAATAATATGGATCAGGTATTAAGAATAAAATAAAAGTGATGAAGGCATCGAATAGAATCAACATTATTGAAGTCAGTTCTTTAGATTTAAAATATTTCATCCTTAAGATGTAGTCATTAAAATGCTTTATGAATATAAATAATAGAACAATATTCATTCATTGATGATCAAAATAGTTGAATATTATAATAGAAAAGGATGTTAATGAATTTTTTATGATAAAATTAAGGAGGAGTGAGGGAAACATGTTACACAAAGAGAATGGATGTTCATATTAGACCTGAATTGGAGGAAATAGAGCATGTGAGAGTTCATTGAGGATGCAAGTATGAAAGTAGAGGATGATAACTGTAAGGAAATGGCAATGTTTGAGTTTTGGAGGTAGAATAATGAGATGTCGATTCTATTAGAAAGAATAGTTTAATGAGGGACTATATATGATGTGGAATTATGAGTATTAATATAAATTGTGTACACAAATACTATCTTTATCATGATTTAAAGGATTTAATTTAAAATCTAAAAATTCTTAACTTTTTTGTGTATGGCTTAGAAGACAGATTTTACTAATGGTAAAGACTTAGATTTAATTAATAGTTGTCGAAAGACCCAACTTCCCTGAAGAGGAAGTCAGAATCCTAAAATATTGGGAATAGATCAATGCTTTTCATAAATAATTGGAATTGACAAAAGATTTTCCACGATTTACATTTTATGATGGACCACCCTTTGCTACTGGATTACCTCATTATGGTCATATGTGTGCTGGTACCATTAAAGTATGATATCATAACAAAATTTAGGATGTAGTGTGTAGGTATTTTGCAATGAATGGGAGATATGTGGAGAGAAGATTCGGATGGGATTGTCATGGATTGCCAGTTGAACATGAAATTGATAAAACTCTTAAAATTTAACACAGAGGTGATATTTTAAAGGTTTTAAATGAGTATAATATGTTTAGATGGGTATTGATAAATACAACCATGAATGCAGATCAATAGTCATGAGATATGCATCTGAATGGAGAAGAATAATAGGAAGAACAGGAAGATGGATTGATTTTGATAATGATTACAAAACCTTGGATACATCCTTTATGGAAAGTGTCTGGTGGGTCTTCAAACAAATGTGGGAGAAAGGCTTAGTATATAGAGGATGCAAAGTCATGCCATACTCCAATGGATGTTCCACAGTTCTAAGCAACTTCGAAACCTAATAGAATTATAAGAATGTGTGGGATCCTGCTATTGTAGTGACTTTTCCATTGGTTAAAGACGAGAAGACTAAATTCGTTGCTTGGACAACAACTCCATGGACATTGCCTAGTAACTTAGCATTAGCTGTTCATCCAGATTTAGTTTATGTGAAATTACTTGATAAAGCATCTAATACTCATTATATCTTAGCAGAGTCAAGAATTGTTGAGTTGTATACTGATGCTAAGTTGTATGACGTTGTGGAGAAATTCAAAGGTTCTGAATTAGTTGGAACTGAATACGTTCCATTATTCAATTACTTTTTGGAAAGAAAAGAATAAGGATGCTATAGAGTTTTGGCTGCCAATTTTGTTACTAGTGATGATGGTACTGGTATAGTACATTGTGCTCCTGGTTTTGGTGATGACGATTACAAAGCATGTTTAAAGGCTGGCATCATTATTCCATCTGATCCTTTGGTACCCATTGATTCAAGTGGAAGATTCTTGGAATCAGTCAAAGATTTCTCAGGAATGTAAGTGAAGGATGCTGATAAGGAAATAAGAAAATTGCTTAAAACTAATGGAAGATTAATTAAGGATGGATAAGTTCAACATAATTATCCTTATTGTTGGAGATCTTAAACTCCATTAATATATAAAGCTGTTAACTGTTGGTTTATTAAGGTTACATCAATTAAGGATAAACTTGTTGTTAACAATAAGAAGGCTAGATGGGTACCATAATCCATTCAAGATGGAAGATTTAACAATTGGTTAGATGATGCCTAAGATTGGTGTTTCAGTAGAAATAGATTCTGGGGTAATCCTATTCCAATCTGGGTCAGTGATGACTTTGAAGAAATGGTTTGCATTGGTTCCATTGAAGAATTGAAGTAACTTTCTGGAGTTGAAAACATAACTGATCTCCATAGAGAATACATTGATCACATCACTATCCCAAGCAAACAAGGAAAGGGTGTATTGAGAAGGATTGAAGAGGTCTTTGATTGTTGGTTTGAGAGTGGATCTATGCCTTTTGCTTAATAACATTATCCATTTGAAAGAAAAGAGTTATTCGAAACTATCTTCCCAGCCGACTTTATTGCTGAAGGATTAGATTAAACAAGAGGTTGGTTCTATACATTGAATGTTATTGCAACAGCCTTACGTGATGACACTCCTTACAAGAACTTAATTGTCAATGGAATTGTGTTGAATGATAAAGGTGAAAAGATGTCAAAAAGTAAGAAGAACTATCCAGATCCTGAAGTTGAAATTATTAATCAATTTGGAGCTGATGCTATGAGGTTGTATCTTATTAATAGTGGATTGGTTAAGGCTCAACCATTGAATTTCAGCAAAGATGGAGTTTAAGAAGTCATTAAGAATGTATTTTTACCTTGGTACAATGCTTATAGATTTTTGATTTAAAATTTACAAAGATATGAAAGTGTAATAGGCAAATTTGAATTTGATGAAAATGCCATTACAAAAGGTGACAATATTATGGATAAGTGGATTGTATCAAGCAGCCAAACTTTGGTTGAATTTGTTAGAAATGAGATGGAAGCTTACAGACTTTACACAATTGTGCCTAGATTGATTAGCTATCTAGATATATTGACTAACTGGTATGTTAGATTGAATAGAAGTAGAATCAAGGGAGATTAAGGAAATCAAGAATGGGTTGTTAGTTTGAATGTGCTTTTTGATGTGCTCTTAAAAATCACTCTTTTGATGTCGCCATATGTCCCTTTCATTACAGAATCATTCTATCAAAATCTTAAGAAGTGTATTCCTTAAGGTAAAAACTATCAAGAATCAATTCATTTCCTTCAAATCCCTGAAGTGAAAAAGGAATTGATCGATCCTAAAATTGAATCTCAAGTTGAAAAGATGCAAATAGTTGTTGAATCTGCTAGAAAATTAAGAGAAGCCCATAAACTAAGTCTAAAATAACCAGTTAATAGCTTAACAATCTTGGCAACAGATGAGTAGTTACTTTAAAGTGTTCAATTCCTATCTAAGTATATCGAAGAAGAAATCAATACACCTTCTGTCTTGGTTGAAAAGAATATCGATCAATATATTCAACTCAAGGCTGAACCAGACAATAAGATTTGTGGATAAGAATTGAAAGATAAATTTGGACCAGATCTAATTTAATAAGTTCGTAATTTCTCTCAAGAATAGATCCGCACACTCAAAACTGATGGTAAATTGTAGCTCAAAGTCAAAGTAAAGAAAGAGAAGAAGGTTGAAGAATAAGTTTAATAATAACCAGATCCTAAGGCTAAAAAGGGTAAAAAGAATGTGGAATACATTGAAGTAGAGTTGGATTGCGAATTATTATTAAAACACGTCAAAATAACTGATTAATTCAATACAGAAAAACATAAATAGTTGTTGTTTGCCACTGAAGATGGATTCTCTATTATTATAGATCCATCATAAACTCAAGAACTCAAAAATCTTGGATTTGCAAGAGAATTCACAAATAGAATTTAAAAATTAAGAAAGAAGCTTGGCTTATAATAAGAGGATAAAATCCTTGTCTTCTATTAATTTGAAGCTGAATCTGAATTATCAAATGCAGTTCAATCTGGTATTACATGGATCAGAAATTAAATTAAGAAACCAGTATTCTCATCGGATTAAAAACATTAATTCTTACATGTAATTGGCAAAGAGGATACTGATGTAGATAACCATAAATTTAGCATTGTGATCACTCAATATTCTCCTGTTTTTAATAAATAAAAATTGTTGGTATTAATTTATTGTTATTTCTTAGGAAACTTTTAATGAAAAGGAAGTTGATACAATCATAAGAACATTAGTAGTCTTACCAAATTTACAATAAAACATTGAATTTACATTAGATGGTAAAAAAGTTGCCCTAGGCCCTGAACATTATACAGTGTCATAATGAGTATGATAAATCTAAAATTATTAATATTCGAATTACGAATAAATATAATTTGTTAATAGAATTATAACACCTAAGTTCTGTGTGGGTGAATTTATAGGCCGCAACTCTGAAGTATTTTACTATCCATCTGAGTTCTTTCATTAATAAATATGAAAAATCTAGTATAACCCATTTATGCTAACCTTAAGCTGTTATGCTCACATTATCGATAAATGAACAATACAATTTTATTTAATTTAAATAAAAAATTCTCCTAGAATGACATATGTTGACACAATTCAGCTTATTTTTTGGACTTTGAAAATAGCGACACTTGAATAATATCCATCACAAATCTAAAAAGGTAAGTTTTCCATTATAATCAATTTATGATTCTGCATTAGCCTAGCAAATAAGAATTCAATAATTTAGAATAGTAGCATTTTAGATTTATTTCTATTAAATAAAAATATGTAAACATAAATACTTTTGATTTGAAGTAATCAATTATTATTGAATAAAATATATTGTTGTTATATTTAATAATTAATAAAATTTTATTTGTTTTAACTCTTACAACAAATAAATGTCTCAAAACAAAGGTGTTAGCCCTCACTATATGTAACCAACTTAATGTTTCTTAAATAAAATATAAAAAACTCAAAGAGATCACAATAACAAACCCCATTCAGCTTAACATCACTCAGAACATGTTTAGAAAGGCATTGAATAGAATAGGAGAGATTTCAAATCACATTCACCATTATTAAAAAGAGTTTCTAACATTTAATCATAAAAATAATAAAAATAAAAACAAGATAGGCAAAACTATCACAAACAACATTAATAAGGAGTCTAACAAAATCATTTAAAAGGTACTAAAAATAATTATTTTGCTGTAAATACAAAAATAAAACAAAATAATTCATAGGAAAAACAAATATCCCAAAATCAGAGAGTCAAAAACCTTAATAATGTTCGATCTAATTAGAAAAAATCGCCTTAACAATAAAATTTATATAATAAAACTTAAATAAAGTAAATAGATAATGCAAAACTACAAAAATCCCTACCTCTAAAATAAGAATAGCAAACACAAAAGGATAAATGTGACGCAAAATCTTAAACTACAAAATCTCCCTGCTATGTGTAAATTCAAAAAAATAAATAGAATAAAGATTAAGATTTGAAGACGCCTGTAAAATAAAAATAAAACTTTTAAAAGAACAGTAATGCCTAATAATAAACTAATAAATAATATAAAAATACTAATAGTAAATAAAACGAAATGACTATAAAAAAGGAATAAAAGCATGGCTACAAAAAACAACAAATAAAAGTAGAATAACAAAATTAATAACCAATAAAAAATGAATAATCAAATCAATAACCAATACATGAATAATCAAATAAGTAACCAAATAAAATAAAAAATTCAGAATAAAAACAAATAACAGTAGAATAACCAAATATATAACCAATAAAAAATGATTTATCAAATTAATAATCAAAATATGCAGAGGAAATAGATAATGAATCTCTAGATATATAATAGATAAATCAATAAGCTTTAAATTTAGATAAGCAAAATTAACAATTACTAAATATAGAATTATTGAACAAATCATTAGAAACAATTTAGATAGCTTTCGATTAGAAAAGACTAAAGAAAACTGTTGAAATAAGTAAATAATTAATTTAAATGTCCTCATAACTAAGGACTGTGGAATAAAATTACAGCTACTATCTTTAGAAATATGATGATAAATAAGGATTATTTTCTCACTACTCTATAAAATAATTGGCAGTTAAAAATGTTCTAAAAAATTATTGTTAGAGAATACTATATGTGCGCGGGGATGGAAATTGTTTTTATACTGCGTTTGGCTATCAATTTTTGCGTTTGGTATTGATAAATTATAATGATACTTAATTTAATGAATTTTTAAATTTTGCAATGAAAATTAAATTTAAGATTTATTACAAAGACTTTTAGATAGCTAATGATTAATTAGAATAATTATTAATTGAAGAATTCCTTTATAACCTCTAATAAATTAGAAAAATCGAAAATTAGCAATAAAGAATAGATGAACTGTATTAAAAATATAGAGAATTTAATATCTCAGATGATGGAAATGGTTGTTTTTATTTTTTATCTACTCTATTTTTTAGAAACCTTAGTAATTAACTTTTAGAACATAGTGAAATGAAAGCGCTTGTTGAAGATAGAGAAAATCTACTCATTTGGGAGACTGAGTGTAATAATAATGAAATTATAATTGCAACTCTAGCTCAACAATTAAAAATGTATTACATTATACTTATTTAGAAATATCAAATTACTATTTTTTAATGGAGGGTAATTTGAATTAAGAGAATATGAGAAAGATCATAACGACGAAATAATATTACTAATTTAGCCGGGCCATTACAATATAGGATTCAAAAATTGATAAATACTTATAAATTAATTCAATAAATTCACCTTATACTAAATATAAAATAGCAATATATAATTTTGCAAAGTAAAGTAACTCATTATTAATTTAGACAATGGTTTCTCTTCTTGAAACTTTTAAACACTAATTTGATGTTATGAATAATCACATCAAGATTTCGATAAAATAATAAATAATTAAGAATTTCAATTATTTTTTTTAACTCATATAACTTCAAACCCATAATCGATATGTTCCTACTTATAATAATTACTTTTGAAAATTCTATTGTTTATAATAAATGATATAAGATTATTTCGATACCAGGGGTGTTTCTTTGATCAATCCAAATTTTATGCTTTGTATATATTATATTGTAGTTATTGGCTATTAAATCCAGATATAAAAGACTGATAAATTCTTTCTCTTTTAAGATTTGATTAAAGAAATTAAGATCTCGGATATTGAACAAAGTTTTAAATAATCATTAATTATAATATTTTATTTAATGGCTTAAATCACCAAAGAGGCTGAGAAGACTTATTATGAATAAGAAGAAGAAGAAACCCAATAAAAAGAGATACCCGATGACCCTGAATATGCCTTTGAGGACAGAAGATCAAAGAGAGAATATCGACAGACTAGAATCAAGGATAAGGAAGACAGAGCTACAGTAGAATAGTGTTTGGATCCAAGAACAAGAGTTATATTGATGAAAATGATTAATAATAAGTTCTTAAAGGAAATAAATGGATGTATATCAACTGGTAAAGAGGCTAATGTTTATCATGGATGGGATTTCAATAATCTAGAATATGCAATTAAAGTTTATAAGACTTCAATTCTGGTATTTAAAGATAGAGATAAATACGTATCAGGTGAATTTCGTTTTAGAAATGGTCATTGCAAATCAAACCCAAGAAAAATGGTTAGATTATGGGCAGAAAAAGAGTTGAGAAATTATAAGAGAATATTTCAGTCAGCAATCCCATGTCCAGAGCCTATTTTGGTTAAAAGCAATATTATAGTAATGAGATTTATTGGTGATGACATGACTCCAGCTCCAAGATTGAAGGATGCAACAGATGTTCTTTATGATGATGCTTACATTCAGGTTGTGAAATGCATGAGGATTCTATACTAAGAATGCAAATTAATACATGGAGATTTGAGCGAATACAATCTCTTATATTATAAGAATAAAGTCTATTTTATAGATGTATCCCAAAGTATGGAAAGTGATCATCATAGTGCATCTGAGTTTTTGAAAAGGGACATATTTAATATCAATCAATATTTTAAGAAGAAGGTATATCTAATATAATATGAGTTTAGGATATCATGACATTTACTCTGAGATAATTGTACAAATTTATTACGGATCCTCATCTTTAAAATATCACTGAAGAAATAGAGAGAATGTAAGAGGAAAGAGAATAAATCGATGAAGGTTTGGAAGAGGAGTAAGATAAAGTTTTTGTTGGAGCTATATAACCAAAGAATTTGAGTGATTTACCATAAAAAATAATCGAATCTGAATTGAATGCTTTTAAGAAAGGTGGAGAGAGTATTGGCAAGACAATAGCAGATTTCTAGAATGCAAATCTAGAACTTTAAAAATTGAATGAAGGAAATGGATTGGATTAAAATGAAGATTCAAACGAAGACAATGATGAGTCAGATAATGATGATTAAGAGGGCAATTCAGATTCATCATCTGATGTATCTTTATTAAGTGATAATGATGATGATCAAGAATAGGAGTCTGAAAATTAAAATGAGGATGGTGAAAAAAAGAAGAAGGGTGGATTATGTAAATATGATGGACTCACAAAAAAAGAAAGAAAATAAAAAGTTAAAGAAGAAAAAAGAGAGAAAAGAAAAACTAAACTCCCTAAAAATATTAAAAAAATACTTACAAAAAAATAAAGATGATCTTATTAAACAATATTTTATCATTTCTTTTAGGAATAAAATTTATTTATTTATTTTAAAATTGAACCTAATTTCATTAAAAGTTCATATCAAAATATGCAAAATATCAATTAATTGTCTGCTCGTCTCTAATTAAGCATTTCTAAATAGCTTTCAGCAAGAACAGATCAAACTGATAGTCAAATCTTAAATATTTCTCATACCTAAACACTTTTGAAATAGATTAACTTAATTAAACAAAAAGATAAAAAGAATAAAGCACTTAAGATCATAACAGATAAGCAATCATTGAAATTTTAATATTTAACTGAACCTAAATAAATTGATATTAATTAATTAATTTAGAAGGAACACACATATGAAGAAAAAAAGAAGAATTCTGTTGTTATTTCCAATATTGGTAGCTAAACATGGAGAATAGAAACATAGATGAGATAGAGCTTAAACTTTTAGGATTTACATAAATTAGATGAATCACTTGCAATAGACATTTTAAATAGATCAATGGGAAAGACTGAAACTAATTTTTATGAATATAATCCAAAAACTTCAAGGAGAACAAAAAGTCAATCAGTTAAATAGAAAAATTAAATTAATTTACCTGGAACTCCATCCAAGTTTACAAAAACTAGGTAAAAATTAAATAATACTGTCAATGCCTTTAAACCAACCAATAAAGATTAAATTTATTATAAATTACCTGTTTCAAACGTAGGAGTTCCTATTATTAAAACATAAAGAATTAAGAGTTAACCTCGTTATCAACACCCTTTCTCTACAATGAACAATTTCAATTATACTAGACTAAATAAATCTTAGTGGGTCTCTAATATTTGAATTACTTTGATCATATTTATTTTAGCAATTGAATATAAAATCAATTATTATCTATATAAACCATTACTATTGAATTCATAAATGCTGGATAGTACAATAAAGTATTATTTTCAAATGGATTACTTAGATCAAATAATGGTGGCAGTAAGAAATTGTAAATGTATATTTATTTTCTCAATTATTATATTCATTCTTCTAATTTCGGTACTCCAAGATTATAATGTCCTGGCTATAACAATAAAATAATTTTTCTTTTAGCTTCTTTATTATATTCCATCATAGTAAATTTATCTTTATCAAAGAAGAACACAATAATATTACTAAATTAATTATAGTTGAATACATCTTCAATTATTAAGCTAATATAGAAATTACTATTTCATTGCTATTGCATTCTGCTTCCCATAGTAAAAGGCTATCTTTTTCTGTGAAAATATCCTTATGTTCACTCTATTCGATAAAATGTAAACTTAAATTTCTAAAAAAGATAGTTGATAAAGCATAAAAATATCCATCAGCTTATTGATCTTCATTCTATTCATAAGCACTAAATTGATTAAATAATTCATCTTATCTCATTACTTTATTTTCTAAGTTTCTGATTAAATTTAATCTTTTAATGAATTCTTCTCTTAATTATGTTTCTATTTTTTCATCATCTATTTTAGTGCTTTGATATTAAATTCTAAATCTCATTTTCTTTATGACTGAATTCAAAAACTCATCGTATTAATTCTAATCATAATGGACAATTAATAATTATAAGTAACCAAATCCAAAAGATGAATAAAAACAATTTCCGTCTCCTCTTACTTTTCGAAATCCTTAAATATATTAATTGATTGTCTTTTTCTACTCTAATTTCAGATTATAATACTTTGCTAAATCACTCTAATTTTACATTTAATGTATAAAGGGTTAATACTATCCAGGAACATATCTTTATCTGGTAGTTTAAGAATAAATATCCTTAATGATATTGTTTATTATCTCTCCATTATTTTCAATAAAATCTGGTTAAGGTTAAATTATATTGGACTAATTGGTTATACTGTCTTTTTTAGATTTTAATAGATTTTAGATATCCATTTCAATTTTATCTTTCCAAATATTATCTTATTCATCCTTTTACTTAATTTGCAAAATTGATTCATTCAATTATTTATACTATTCAACCTAATTTAATTCTTTTTCTTTTATAGATTTTAGTAGATTTTAGAAATCAATTTCAATTTTATCTTTCCAAATATTATCTTATTCCTCTTTCTATTTAAATTATTTGATGATGGAATCTTATATCTATTTTAATTGATTATTAAAATGTTATTCGAATTCGATTATCAATGAATTGGATTATTATTTTTTCTAAATGAGGTTCTATTATAGAGATTCAAATTTTTGATCACCGAGTTTACTATCTAATGTTGATTCAATTAATGGTAGAGATTAATTAAATATACTCTAACATTCCTCTACCTAAGTAAGTCTCTATTAGATGATATTGTACCTAATTTCAAAACTAACCAATTTTTCAAAGAATTAATTTAATCTTGAATGTATAACTTATCTTCTTCCTTATTCTTCTTTTTATCTTTGTTTTTCTTCTTCTTCTTTCTTTTTTTTCTCCTCTAAATGATTATTCATATCAAATAAAAATAAAAATTAATAAATTTAGAGTTAATGTTTTATGAATAAGAGTATGTCATCATTGATACTCTTGAGTAATCATTAGAACTATGAGATGATTTTAGAATATTAATTTATTCGACAATATTTAGAAATAATTTATAAACTTTATTTAAATATGTTCTATTGTTAAGCTTCCATTTATAAATCAATATATTTATATTTTTCATAAACATCCTAATTATATTTATGAATTAATTCATTAATTTTATTAATTTTAATTATTAATTTTGTTCATCATTATCCAATTGAATTTTACAATTTGTTTTTAAATAGATATTGTAATAGTTTCCTCATTCATATCAAAACCTAATACTTATAATTTTGACTATCAACTCACGAATAATTAATATCAGAAATAGACATATTATTAATAATAATTATAAAGAGAATAGATACGAATTATCATAAAGATATCAAGCTATGTTAAAAACTGCTTCCATTATAGCTAAATAGAATCCTTCGATTCCATCTAGATTGCCTAAGTACTTTTACATGATTTCAAAGTGTGTGTATGGATTTTACAGTGAGGACTTACAAAGCACATAGTGAAAAATTGGTATCATTTCGTCTGTGCTTATTATTGAAGGCTGTTTAGTATACTAATTGTAATAGTCGATGATGGCAGAGTAGATACTTCTGAAGCAAGCGACCAATTATTTAACTTTATGGTGAGGAGTTTATCGAAATTATATTAATTTTAGAGCTTCAATGGCATTTTAAAATGGGGATTATAAGAAAAATGTTCCTTATAAAAGTTTCGCTTAAGGTCTGGAAGGTAATTGAACAGAATCAACATCTTCAATAATGAGCGTCTCAAAAGTATCTTTCTTCATAATCTATTAGCTTTAACTACTTGTATTTGCTTTTGAAGATAGTTTACTCTGTATATACTCTCTAGTTGTACAATCCAGACAATATTTAATTGAAATTCCAAAGTCAGCTAATGTTTTCTCCTTTAAGAATTGTAATTTCTTATGTATTTTCTCATTTTCTTCTACTTATTCTAGTTTTTTGATTTAGTAGACATGTGAGGCCACTTGATCATTGAATATCATGTTGGATACTAAACATTAAAGAGAGGAGGTGTTCAAGAAATGACACTTATTTAGTGATGCAAATAAATTCAAATCATAGTAGTGAATTAAGATCTAAAATTTATATATACAGAATTAAATACCTAAACAAATGAATCTCGAAACATGACAATATTTTTATCCAAATCCTTACTGCAATTAGGCAGTTAAGTTTGTCTGAAAGTTTAAAATATTTCCAACAAACACCCGTTCAATGTTGACAGCTATTAAAGCACTTACCTTTCAAACTCTTGCAAAGAGGGATCATTCTCCTATATCAGAGTCGTGACATAGAATTCTTTAAACGGATCCAGAGTTTTCTTGGATCTCTTAATATTTTCAAACTCTGTTGCAAATAAGGATTCTGTTGTGCTCAAAATGGCAATTTCCTCGTGTTATGGTTTTACAATTGAATATAATTGTATAAAATTTTGTTTATGAAGATGATCTGATCTAACATTAACATTAAATCCTAATTTTTAAACCTCCTTTTCTACCCCAACATGCCATTACATCTAAGGATAATTAAGGAATTGTACCATTTGCATTTTGTAAATGTCTTGAATGTTCTCCGATTAAAATGAATTGTGGTTCCCCATTAATAAATATATAATTTTTAATACAATAACTAAACATCTTTCTGCCTTATTGATAATAATGATTATCTCAATATATTAATCATAACTAGATGAAATACTTAGCCTGATTGGCTAGTTTTGATCCTATTCTGCCTAATTGAAGATCTTAGAAAAATGAAATTGGATGTAATTCTATAAAGAATAAAGTACTGTTTCAAAGAACATTAAAACGGTGATAGAATCCAAAATATGATAGGTTAGTATACTAATAATCAAATGGATACATTTTAAAAATCTATTTCATTAATATATCTTTTATATTTTTTAATGTATTTATTGAATGATTAATTAATTAGTTATTCATATTGATAAACTAATTTGATTAAATGCAAATTTCAAATTTTCCGATTAATTCTTGGTAACCTGTTAACAAAAATTATGATATTTCTATTACGGTTTCCTGTTATTGAATTATTTTATAGGTTGATGATACTAAGTGTCAGATAAATCAAAAAGTATTTTTTAGTTAATTTACTAATAATGAATGATTTCAACTTAATTTATGAAATATAAACTTAACATAGAGATCTTCTGTGGTGATGTCTCTCTCAGCGGTTTCATTTAGTATAAACTACTCTTTAATTATTAACTTTATGAAAATATTCAATTTTATAATTTGCAGATTATGATACTCATTAATTTCTTAGTATTATTGCTTCACAACTGATTGGCAATATTTATAGAATTAATTTATTGATATTATTAGGTATGAATGATAGTTTTCTTAATTTTATAGCGGATTATTTATTTTTCTTTTTTATTACCATGTTAATGAATTAATACTGGAACAAGTGATTTAATAAATATTGTATACAAACTAGTTTGTTAAAAATCTAATTATTATATATAGAATATAAATGTTCAATAACATTAAGCGGAACATGAGAATATTAAATAAGGATATGGTGGAGACTTCGTGGCTCAAATGTTTGATCGATGATACTCCAAAGCAGAAGCATATACTAGTACCAACAGCATTTATAATAGACTCTCTCAAAATGTCTTAGTGGAGAATTAAGTAATGTAAACGCTCAAGAGGCTCTTAAGAAAATCATCTTAAGGATGCAGCATCCTCAAAAAAACATAACTGCTCTTAAGTCCTACTACCTAGTTCACTTACTAAGACCCTATTTGGCTCCCTATGTAACAGATAAGACAATTGAATTGTCTTAAAAGAGTACCGCTGATGCTGTACTTTAAAGTGTAGCATTTCTCTATTGTAGTTACCTTAAGAGTTTCTCAAACAATTATGAATAGATCAATATACTTTATAAGATGCACAGATCGCTTGAAGTTCTCATTCTTAAGTTAGATGTGCCCATAATAAAATGCATTTCAATTAAATTAATCGTAGACATGATTCTCTTATATGAATCTCTCAATAAACAAGATGATTAAGTTAAAAGGATTAGAGCAATTAAATAAGTTAAAAGATTTTTAGAAATTAAAAAAATAATCTAACTTCCTGAAGAATTACTGTAAAAATTAAATACTCTCAATTTTGATGAAATCGAATAGAAAATTACATTTCAAATACAACCCATTGTTAATAACTACGTTGAAAACAAACCTCTTGCTCCACAAAAAGAATTATTAAAACTAGATGTGCAGTGCCTTAATCAAAGAAAACTCAGCACGTCTGCAAATGACTGGGAAGATCATTAAGACTCTAAATATCAATAAATGCAAATTCACAAAAGCCTCTAACCAAGTCCGAATCGCAGAAAAATGACCTCATTAACTCCCAATAGAGCAATTTCAATAAGAGACAATTTCTTTGTCCCTACATAAGGACCTCTTTCCTTTATTATGATGTCGTGATTTTTATTTAAACTTATGATTTTTCTAAGTTTTTTCAATTTGCATACTCTTTTCAATTTATAGATTATTAATAAACCATTTAATGAGAACGATTATTTGATCTGATTCTAATCCATTAAATGAAGTTATTATTTTGATACTTATATTCTCTTGGATTGGGCTAATAACTAATAAGATATCTATGAAGATCTTATTCAAATTTAATCCATAGGAGTAAGAGAAGAGGATTAGAAGATAATGCTCAATAATCCTTTCAATGCAATAAATAGACATTTATATGTTTCTATAAATACTTAATGATATGAAGTAATAATTAATTATTTAATATCTCAAATATAATTTTCCAATCGATTAAACTTTTTATCTCATACAAACAACAAAATTTTGTAAGCTTATACAACAGATTTTACTATTAGTAACGTACTAGTGAGTAGTCTTTTAATTTGAGATGCTGAAACTCAATTTACTATTTTTTAAAATAGTCAACTATATTGCCGCTTGAATATACTAAGATTTAACTATTTAATGTGAATGAGTAAATTAAATTGTCTTCATACTCTAACTTGCTATGAAATGATAATGAATTAGAATTGCTATACGAAGTGTTGAATAATCCTAATACAAATATTTCATAAACAGAGACATCAAGGATATATTTTAATGAAAAAAATATTTAGAATATTAAAAGAATCTAAGGAAAGATGTTATTATTGTTTGATTTAATAATAATCATTCGGATACCGAACAATCTTCTCCACTATATCCAGACCAACAATAGCATGTGGTTCCTCTGCATGTACCTACTCCACTGCAAGAATTGGGACAAATTCTCTGGGTACTACAAAAATGCTTTATATCTGGACAAGTGACTTTTGCACTGTAATAGGAGTATCTCACATTTATTACCTAATATAAAAATAAATAAGTACTTGTCCTGATGTAACACATTAATAGCTTTTATCAGAAATGGAGAATGTTACGACATTGTTTTAACAAATTGCTTTAAAACAATCAGAAACCAGTCCTTAGAATCCTATTTTAGTAGGCAAAGTTGTATAGAAACACTTGCCATCATTTCCGTAATATCCTCCATACTCAACTAATTGACTAATAAAATCAGAGTTATATCTGCAATCTGAGTTACCATATGCTCTCCAGTATCCGCAACCGTCAGTTAATGCATCGTCAGTTGAACAAGTAGCAATGCCTGTGAAATCTGAAGAACATCCTTCACTACCTTGAGTACAGAATTCTCTCAATCCTTTAACACATTTTCCTTGGGCTATGGGACAGCCTTCATCCTTACCCCAATTAAATGGTTCGGATTGCTTATGATCCATATTATACCAACCAGTGGATTCAAGTAAATTGAAGGTGAATAAAGTGATCACTGAATCTGGGAATTCGGATCCAGTCATTGCCTCATTACCGAAGGTAGTTCTTTCCCAATGGCTGCCTGCTGTTCCTTATCCTCCATTGTTCTCTAATGGAGCTCCCCAGGCTGATTAGCAACCAAAATGACTCTTGACTGCATTTACTACTTTAGGCAATATGATCCAATCTCTTCCTCCTTAGGTCTTAACTATCTAATTGACTCCTAATTTCTACATTGTATTAGGATCAATGTAATAAGGGAATAAACCACTACTGAATCCTAGAACATGAGTCATTTCGTGAATGGTAGTTTAAATCCATTTGAACCATTTGCCTTCACTTAACTTACTGAAATCTAGTTTGTTAAAATATTTGAGGTTGAATTCCAATGAACCAGCTGTGGGTCTTAATGTGGTTGGATCCAATCTGCATGCTCCTGCTCTTGCAACCCAACTGTCCTATTAGGTTGTGGCTGTGACAAATAGAACCAAATCAACATTACTTACTCCATTTTTGTATGATTTTGGAATTACAACTGAGCCACATTATCCACTCAAAAATAACTTGGATGATGGATACACTTTTATGGCGGCTTTTAGAAATCCAGTTGCTGCTTTAACTAATTTATTCTCAATGAAATCAGCTTATTGTTATGATGCCTAAATTAGTTACATCAATACGATACTTGAAATGATGAGTAATCAGTCTTGATTCTGATGGCTTGCCAATTCCCTTATTTATGATTCTTAATCAGCATTTGCTCATGGGACAACCTAGCTTCTAAAGGAATTTCAACTGGACGTTCTGGCTCTTCGATTTCGATCTCCTTTATGAAGTGACCGTGGTTGCAAATATGCACATCTTCCTTTTCCATCTTGGCATGATGAAAATTTGAGTTATGTGCATGGTTTCCCTTGAGGTGGTTTGTTACGGTCGCATTATTATTATCATTCTACAAATAATAATAAGTCGATCCACCAGCAAGCAAGACTATAGTTGCAACTGAGGCAACCTTAATTAAATTTGACAAGAATATCATTTAAAATAATTAAAGTTGTTTCTAATTAATAATCTCACTCTTCAATGTATGACTGTCAAAGATCTTTTCTATAAATCTGATTTGCTCGACCTCCTATTCGAAAATTTACCCCCCTCATTAATATTCTGATTTAATTAATTATACTATTCAAGCAGTTAATATTGCTTGAATAATAACACTATTATTCCAGTCCTCGCCCTCAATGGTGAGGATGTAGGACTGATCAAACACAGAGCATCTCTCTACGTAGAGTCCTTCTCCTCCTCTTAACTTTTTAAGGCGTCCTCGTCTTCTGAAGATGCCTCCTAAATGCTCTCCTTGCCCTCACATAGTGTACCTAATTATGACAAAACCGTTCGTACCTTTCAATAATATTCCGCCCTATTCAAATCTGATTAATTGATTTTTCTTTATCTTCTGAAACACTGATTTCGATACTACCTCTGTTATCTAATTCATTTTTAAATTGCACAATGGCTTTAAGTGATCACTATACACTCGACACAAAAGAGGTATAGAAGTTCTCCAAATGGCTTCTTCAAACTCTGGAATTTATTTCATAATGGTTTGCATATGCTGAATCTTGATGAAAGTGGCATTGATGACGCAATCAGCCACCAATGATGTTTGATATCGAATGGAAGGAGCCACCAACATATAAATGGGTGTAACCTCATTCAAAGTTCGTCTCTCTCTTATTTTTGATCTATCACTAAACTCATTGCCAGCCCCTCTAGTTATGATACAGATCTCATTGGCTCTATCTCCTTCCTTGAAAATCAACTGATCTCTGCCAAATGAATCTTCCCTTGAACCTTCCAACAATTTCAGGATATTTGATTGTGATAGTGACTTAAACAATTCATGTTGAGTAAGTATGTCGACCAACGATGGCATTTACCAAGGAGGATTTAAGTCATTTAAATTCTTCATCTTTTTATCGATATTTCTTTTCATTCTCAGAAACTCCTTATCATTCAATTGACCAGATTGGAGGTTGTTCTTCAATACAGACTTCTCAAACTCCAAGATTTCAAAAGCAGCCTTTTTTGTATGTAACTCTCTTGATATCTCAGGAAAGGACACTTCCAAGTATCCCTCCAAATAGGATACTGCTGACTTTTTATTATCTTCCACCTCATTCAAGATTTCCAACAATAGATTTTATGAAAAATGATAATGTGATGCCTCCTCCTTCAATATGGTAATCGCTTCAATATACACAGATACAGCATCATATATTGTGTAGATGTATGAAAATAAATGATTTCTAGCCAAAATTCCAATGAGAAACCTGTCTTTCATGTAAAATAGTAAATTGATGTATCTCTCTGAGAATTGACTTTAGAGAAATTCCCACGAGTTCATGGGTTCTTTGTCATTGTCAAGATCCAAATTGGCACTTTCAGTCAAAAGAATAATTGTATCAGGACTGCATTGATTAGATTCAAATTATTCCATGTAGATTCCTTTCAATGCCATAAGAAAGATTCTTCTGATTTCTGTCAATAGATTTTGATCTAATTCTTGATCCTCTTCCTCATCCATTAATGGTTGATGGATGTTCTTCATCTGAATCTCCTTTTAAGCCTTCTCATGCTTAGCCAATTTATCAATAATTTTATTACAATCTGATTAGTAGACCTTATAGCCACTCAGAGTTTTGACATATTCCACATCAGCCTCTTTTAAATATTTCAACTCATTATTTTTTTTGCATTCGTACTCTATCTCTTCATTCAACTTAGTCAAGAAATTAGAGTAAATCTTTTCTCTTATATCGGATTAAGTAGACAGACCCAGCAATTTGATCAACAAAGAGAGAGTAGTACCATTAACCACTAGAGTGCAAACAGCAATGCCTGACATATGAAATAAGATGATGTCTCTCCATTTAGTAGGTAATGATTCGTCCTTGGCAACGATTAAAGCAAAGGCAATACCAATTGATCCTCTCAATCCTCCATATGTTAAGACCAATATCTACGACCAGGACAATCCATACCCCAGTTTCTTAAGCCAAGGGTAGAACACTGCGATCGAGATGAATCTGCATCCCATTAAACACCACCAAAGAGCAATCATCTTGTAGAAATCCAATTGTGTGATTTCACTCTCGTCCTTGAACACTCGAATTCCTGCAATGATTCCACCCAAAATGAAAATGATGACTTCACTTGCAAATACAACGTATTCCCAAAACTCTCTCAATGCATGATCAGCCTCATGAGATATACGAGATCTCCCAAATGCTGCCATAAACAAACTCAATGATACCAACCCTAAGACACCCGATATGTGTACTCCAAAGTCGACATTCTCAGATATGAAATACACCAAAAAGGCTGAGACTATCGTTATGTTCAATATGAGAATCTCATCGTTTGCTATCTTCCTTATCCAATAGACACATGCCATGCCAAACACTAATCCAATCAATGTTCCACCCACGCATAATGTAAAAAACAATGAGCCTACATCAAAGGCAGATGCAGATCTCCCCCTCACTATCCCGTATGATATCTAAAATAACATTACACATGCCCCATCATTCAATAAACTCTCTCCTTCTATCAAACTCTAAAACTTCTTCTATGCTCCACTCTCCTTCAATAATGCCAACACTGCAACTGTATCAGTACAACTCAACATTGCTCCAAACATGAAAGCACTCTCCCAAGTAAAATAATCATCCCCGTAGTTTAGTATTACTTTTACAGATAATTACAATAATGTAGATAATATTATCACGCAAGGAAATGCCAATATTGTAGTCTAAGCAAAAAGTCTCTTGAATAAATGCCAATCGAAGTTGTAACCAGATTCGTAAATCAACGTTGGCAGAAATATTAGTAACACTCCGATCTGAAAACATACATCCCTAAATTAGTACCGGCTCAATTTCGCTGACCTTCTTACAACTTTGCCCTATGATACCCAATGAATCCCAATAAAACCCGAAAAACAATCCCAAAACAAATAGCATTGGAGAAAATGGAATCTACATCATTGCCCATACAATTTACCTTTAATTTCTTATTAATCTCCTTCATGAACGATCCAATCCCCAAAAAAAAGAATATGAAAAACATTGATAACGCCGTCCCGCTAATATCCTAGCTAGTTGGAATTGGGAGATCCTAGCATTATCCAATTCTGATCAATAATAATACTATCCCTGTTTTACAGATATACATATATATATAAATTAATTAATTCAATATTTCAATATACATATGTATATTTAATAGGATTATTCCTAAAACCTACCCTTAAAAACCATAGCCAATATTTATTAGATTCTACACCTATCTATTTTGAAATCAAATTTTTTCATAGCACCAATCAAAAGTATATATACAGAATAAGGTTATATGCAATTTTATTGAAAATTCAAGAAACATTTAAATTATTAATTAATAAGAATATTAACTTAAATTAGAAATTTAGTAAATTGAAGTTACTTTAATATAAATCTCAAGATTATTTAGTCTTTCCCTTTTTTTTAATTTTCTCATCACTTTTTGAAATTAATTAAGAATTCGATTGCTTTTAGGAGTGATACAAGGAGTGCTGAATCGGTGTTTTAAGCTTCTTAACAGAAGGTTATTTTTTCGATTTCTTTTTCTTTTGCTAATGTCTAAAAATAATGAAAATAGTTATACTATTAATTTGACTTTAGCTAGGGTTCATCTGTAATGTCATCCTAACTTGAATTAGAAAATTGAGGATCAAACTCCAATTCATCGACTCTCCTTCTCAAATTGTCAAATTGCAAATCCATTTATTCATTTAAGGCTAGTGGTTGCTATAATTATGATTGTGAATTTGTATTAGTATTATTTATTTTAATCTCTTCCATAATTTTCTAAAATTATTATGGATTTTACAACATGTAATCAGAAAATAATTACATATCCCTTTGAATCTCAGTTGTTCCAGTAAAATTCTATTATGGTTACTATCCGATTGGAGGAGTCAATGGCCGAAAGACTTGATTATGTGGCCTTAATGTCTTCAAAACTTGATCTTCGACCTCTCCTTTTCTTTAATCAAAGACTTGCTTATTGCCACTCGACCTCCTCTCCTAATTTTGTTTTCCTATTCCTACATTCGGAGTTCTGCTTCCAATATGGGGTGAAATTGTTTTGATTCTTTCTTTTAAGATGGGAATCTTTCTTAAATCATCATACTCATTCCATTCTTCATCATCAACTTCAATAATTCCCAAATCATCCAAATCAATTGGATCATCATCAAGAATATTCTTATGAGCATTTTAATTTAAATTATTGCTTTGTTTCATACTTATTTCCTTGTCCAAAATATCAGATTGCTTGATCTTACTCTCCTATTGAACCTGGTACATAAATAAAGTTTGTAAACATTGTGAAAGTACTTCTTAATCAACTTTACGAATCCACAAAAAGTCCTCTTGATTTAATTCAAATTCATCCATAGATGTGGATCCAAATGTATCTGATTGCATCATCAAATCCTTAACAGAATTCTACCTCTAAAACAATTATTAGATGAGATTTTCAGATTACCTATTAATTTAGTCTCTTTATTTATTTTATCTATGCCTTAATTGATTGTACTGTTCAGCCATCTATTAAATAATTCTGATAGCTATTTGTTCAGGAGTACACAATTAAATCATGACAATAGACATTAACTGCAATTACTTATTTTGACTATTCTGCAATTTACTGGCTTATTCAAAAAAAGAAGAATTGATTGAAGGAAACACCCTAAAGTTTTTGCCTGAATCTAATCCAAAGATGTAACCACAAAATTTTAATATGTTATACTAATGCCACGGTTCTTAGCAATCTAACTTTTCTTAGGTCCACAAAAATATCTTTTCAATAAACTCATCAAGTTTGGTTGAATTAGGTATTTTATTTAATAGTTGTCCCCATTGATTAAGGAGATCAAAAAATAAGACATAAATACTATTGAAAGGAGTGTCTATCAAATCTGATACTTCATTCCATAGACAAGACACTTCATCTAAGACTTTAGAATATTCACTCTTTTGGAATTTAAGATTGAAAATATTATTCAAAATTAGCAATGAATTTAATATACATTTTGAATCAGTTTTATCCTAAAGAGATGGAGTGAGGGTATCTCTGATAAATTTAATAAAAATGATTCTATCCTCAAACAATTTGATTCTAGTACTAGTTTCAATATTTATGTAACATTCAACCAACAGTTATAGTATTAAGTGTCCTTTTTATCTGATCTTTGAATTGAGTGAGTTCATTAAATTAATTAAAGAGGAGATAAAATCAGAATTATGTAAAATTAATTAAGCCACAACCTTAAATTGTTATCCCATTTCTGAAAACAATTCACAAATAAATTAAGCCTTCTCATTGAAAATTTCATATTCTTGTATCAATTACTTATTATCTGATCTAAATTCTTTCTTATCTTTCATTCTATCAAATCCGAATTCCTTTTTATTGTCTGAGCTTAAATTTGATTAAATTTAAGGTTCCTGATTTTCTATTAGACATACTTATATCAACGAATTGAAATGAGTTTAATATTAGACAATCATTTTTATAAAATTCTATTTTGATTATTTTTAAGCTTATCCCTTAACTGTGTATTGATCAATCAAAGCCATCACGCATTTTTCTATCAATGCTTAATCCAAAAACTCTTAACTAAATGCAATCAAAATATCAAATATCTTAAATGTCTCATCATGGATGCTATGAGGTACTCTTTAACAAAATATCTCGACATAAGAATAAATTTAGGATTCAAATTTCGATATCAATTAAGGACACTAAAATTAAATAGTTTTTAGTATTTTATCCAAAACTACCAAAATATCCTAACCAGGTGATGTAGTTTAGCATATAAGAAATATATTCTACAAGAATGGATTGATAAGTTCGTACATTTGGTCGTATTCATTCCCCTCAATCAAAATTTCTATTAGGATATTCCATACAAGTTCAAAACAATCAAATTAAATCTTGCCCTTAACTGTTTAGTCTAACAGTTTGATTAAAATAGGTTTCAAGGTTATTAAGTTCTGATTAGCAGTGGTGTAGAGTTATTTGATTTTTATAAGGTTTGTTAATTATTTATTTAGAAACTCTTCAAAAAATGGAATCTAAGATTCTTCCTTTTATTATCTGATGATTATTGATATTAATTATAGCAGTTTAATTATTTAATACTGTTGAGATTGCTGTAGATTGTTATAGCTAGTGAAATTCAATTGTTCTATCAACTACTGATTAACCCACGTTATAATTTTACTAATTTTTTTTTCATTTTGTTTCGGTATGATATTCTGTAATACTAGATTCCATATCTTAGATTCATCAACTTAATTTAACTGTTTTAAGAATAAGATATCTATTCTAAAGTGAGCTTAATCTGCTTATAATAAATATTCACAAATCTTCATAATTAACTTCTATCCTTCAATATTTACATCAAATAGTCCTTATATAATGATTTGATTCCATATCTCTTATATTAGTTTTAAGGTTGCTTGACTTAATTCTTATAATATCATATTGACAATTTTATAGATCATTTCAACTATCAATTATCCTTACTATTAATTCAATATCTTCAAAAACAACTTGAAAATCTAGATAATCTGACCACCCAAACCACAGCCAAGCTATTCGATCATAAATTCCAAGCATCTCATATTTGCCATCCTTAAGGCATCAAAATTTTAGTTCTCCTCCAACAACAGCACTCTGCTAATGATTTTAATTAAATCATCTGAGAGTCTTAAGACGCATTCATAAGAATCTGTGTTTTATAATGTGTACAACATCTATGTCCTATCGTATTGGACATTCACATACTAGACAGCTTATTTTAATGCTTATAGCTTCTCATTTAGCATTGAAGGCTGATTAATTGAATCAGCTATTAATATTTATAAACCACTTGCCCTCAGGAAATAGTAATCTTTTTGCTTAACTAGAATCTAAGCTTTTTCAGCATAAAAATTGGCTACTTTCTTAAATATTTCAGCAGCTTATACAAATCTTCTTGAAGATAAAAGGGATAACCCCAAAAGAATGTCTGCTTCTGCTTAGTTAATTTCACGATTATTTTTTTTGAAGATATGGCTTATGTTTAATAGGGCTACCATTTAATTAGCAGCAGGTGATAAGTATAATTAATATCCAAAAACCTAGATTGTTAGTTTAGCTTTTAACTTATTTTCTAATTATTGAGGAGGTTCACAAACACCGAAAGAAAGTCTGAGTTTTCGACCAAATCCGAGACCAACAATCTTGTATTAACCACTGCATTATTCGGTATTCACAACCTCTTTGCTATTGATTAGACGATTATAAGTCTAATCAAAACAATCCAAACATTCTAAAGATGTAAATGTAAATCCTTTTATGGAGGTATCACTCCATTTCAAAATTAAATGAGTGATCAAACTATCTTCGGTTAGATTGATCTATAATTTTACATTAGCTTATTTACTATCACCTTATCTTTCATTAATTTAAACTTTAATTGCCTCCTAAGCAAGGTCGAATGATGCCACACAAACATTACTTTGTACCAATTACATATTAATTAATTAAATAATAATAGAGGATTATACTTAATAAATTGAGCATGAAAATAAAGATGCTTGAATAGTACTTTTACATATATAACTGATGATTTTAATAATATAACATTTAGATTATAAAAATTTTCAATCCTTTCTTATGATTATGACTTATTTAATATCTAATTTTATCATTATTTCAGAGATAATGTTTATATTACTTTTTATCCTTTACAATTTAGTTTGTTATAAGCATCCTTGAAACAATTAATATTGATTTGCCTAAAGTCAAATTAAATAAAAAAAAATTCTTAATAAACTAATTACTATATTTATTTTGAATTTATTAGAATATTGTTAATATCAGTAAGATTCAATCTAAATAAGAGGCTAAATTTATTTAAATTTAATAATAATTCTTAAGAAGCAACCTTGCGACAACAAGGATTTAATTTTAGTTGTTGTAATAAGATTAATCTGATTATAAATTTGATCTTGTTGAAGGTGTGATAAATTGAGATTACGAAGAAGTAATAACTATTCAGATGGCTGTTTATAATATGAATTTGTAAGAGTATACTCAGATTTAATAATCAACCAATATATAGATCTCAGAAATTATATATCAATTGCATAAACTAGATTATATAATTACAAGTCGAACTAAAGAAATCATGGATTAGATAGCAGCTTTTGTTATGACTTCTTATAATTTATATATATGATGAAGAATATTTCAAACTTCCAACTTTACTAATTTTTGATAGCATTTAGCTAAGATATCAGAAAATATAGTTCATTATTACGTGATATATTCTTTATATTTATTCAACGAAATCAGATAATTGCAATAAAGCTCAATGTTGGATAGATTTTTCCAAAAGGCTATAAATTCTTTGGCCTATTTATAATATATTTTCAGATGATACCATGCACAGTCGATTTGATGGCTGTTAATTCAGATTAGTTTTACTATAGATGATCTGATATATATTTTTGTACACTGTGATCACTCAAAACTAAAAATTTCTTTATAACATAGTTTGCATATTGATGATTGGCTAGGATGACGAAATTACTTGAACTAGAGATAGAGAGAGTATTTTACTATTAATTTGGATTTCGACATACAAGCCAATTCATTATTGCCACTAATTCTTGCTTACCTAGGACTTCCAAGGCTCGTTCAACAGTATTGCTTGAAATGATATTAGACAATACCTTGCGTATTTGTTAACACTAAGCTAGTAAAATTGTTATATAACTAATTGAACTAAATATCCCTTTTCTTAGCTAGGTTTCCAATATTATAATATATGTTATAAGACGTAGTTTCCATATTCAGTTTAACTCAGTATACTATAATTCTACACAGATAATCTAATTATTCTACTTATTTGTTGTGGAGTGTATTATTATATAACTTTATGAATAATTTTGCAGCCATATATTTATTAGCCCATGTAGTTAAACTAAATAGTTGAATGAGTAAATATACAGATTCTTCTACAATGGGAATGAGAAATTCCATTTTCAATTTGTCATAAGTTTCCAACATTTTAAAAATGACATAATTTCCATTCAAATCATAGATTAAAGATCTCATGTTAGATTGTAATTGCTATAGTACAATCAATTACAAATCTTCACGATTGTAGGTGTATTCAATCAATTTTTGCATCACCCTGCATCCAAAATTATTCTTGGACAAGTCATAGAAATGGGACTTTAATTTATTAAACATCCTAAATTGTAGTTTTTGATTAGCTAAAATATCATGAGTCAATTATACTGCATTCAAAGATTTTTTGAACTACGTAATTGCCAAATACATCCTTCTCAATTTGTGGACTGATGCGTTCCAATTTACATGTGATCAATTCCTTCTATTCCTAAGTCCCTTGTTCCAACATCTTCTGCAATTTGCGGCTTACAATCTGGTTTCCCCAAAGTTAATCCTATAGATTTATGCCATGTTTATTACTACTAAAGAGGTCACCTAAAGATCCATTTCAACATCTGGTTCAAATTTAGCTTGAGGACTTTGAGATTCAAGAAGTGGAGAGTATAGCGGTTAGTTAAGGTAACTATAATCATAAGCCAAGCCTTGAGGGATGGAATGACCGTCAATGATGTCCTGGAAATACTCAGTCTCATTCTTTTCTGAATTCCACAGTTCCTTTATAACCTATAAAGTCTGAGCATTGAGTAAAGGAGGAGTGTCATTAGAGCTAGGGGATTGCATCTCTAAAATAGCATCCTAATTTTCTTCAATTCCTTAGCCAAGAGGTTCAGTCAGGTGAGGTTCACATGTTTTATGCTTTGGAGATTTTCGTTTCTATTCTTTAGGTACCTTGAAACTTTAATGTTTCTAAGTACTAAGTGTTCCTTGTACTTATAATTTGAATATATTTTCTTCTTATTCATCAATGGTGTCTATAATGAGACAGTTTTGTGGATTAACTACGCTTTCTTTAGGTGATGTGTCCAATGTCATTTACTCGAAATCTGTCGTTAATGTATTGCTCATTGGAGTCATCAAGCCTAAGTTCCCCAATCTTGTAATAAAAGCAAGGCCTTACTTAACTTTTTGTTATTCAGATAACTGTCCCTCTGCATTTTCGGTTCCCTGAAATTCCTTTAGCAATGAAGGCAGATAATCATCATTTTAGTTGTTCATGTGGGGAGATTGTATTGATAAATAAAACAAAAAAAATCTTTTATATATTTTTTCATTAAAATTCCAGCATCATTTAGTCTCTTTTTATGATAATAATGCATGTGGCTAAAACAACTAATGATTATATATATTTATAAATTGATTTGGAGAGTATATTCATATAATAATTTAAAATAGTACAACAATGTCAGATGATGATGTTGAGATTATTCACTCGAGTCAATACGGAGTTAATCTGCCTTAATAAGTCCTTAACAGTCAAATTATTCCCAAGCTCTAATCTGATAATCAAGTAATACGTTTTCTGAATTTTAGAAACTTCAACAAAGCAACAAATCGCTGGAGAATGAGATCAAACAATACAAACAATTATTGGAGCAAACCTTAGAAACTCTGCGACAATCTGAAAGAGATCAAAATACATTGAGTATCACTATCGTTCATCTAAATTTTAGAACTTCAACTTTCCTAAAAGGATTTCTAACTTTAAGCAATCTAGGCGAATGTAGAGGAACGTTAAAAAAGCGCAAAAATCGAATCACATTAAAAATTAAAGGATAGCAATTCTAGTAAAAAATGCTGTAAATTATAATAGACCGAGATTCCTTTGGTAATAAGTAAACAAATGTGTCTTCCATCGGTGGTTTCTTATCATCCACTTAAAGTCCTCGTTGTTAATGCGATGGTGTAATTTACTTCATTAATATTAGTTTCATACCAGAGGACAAACGCTCATAGAGACTATGATCAAGATTCAATTCTCTTTAAAATAAAATGAGTAAAGTGCTTATTCTTAGGACCTTTTCAAAATATTGTAAGAATTAGAAGAGAATTTAAAATAGTTTTTAACTCTTCATGAATAATTTGCAATTGAAGTATTTTTATGTTGTAAAAATAGATTCATCGAAATAGAATAGATCAGACAGAATAACAATCTCAAACTAAACAACAATCCACCCATTCAATGAGTGATCATTTTCATTCTTTGGAAGATTAAAACACCAATCAAAATCCAAATCAGTAAATACTGAATAATGATGAACTTGACACCAGCCAATTCGAAAGTGAATAACACATCAAATAGTAATTTGAATGTTTCGAAATGTCATTGGCAAAATTGAATGAAGAGGAAAAACAATATTGGAAATAAAAATTACTATAATTAATAAACACTCTTTGAATAATTTTAATATTATTTATGGAAGAAGAAAAATCAGATTAAGTAACCATTGAGCCATTATTCTTTCCATCAAAAGAGAATGAATAAAAGCTTATTCAATTTCTCTCCCAAGCCAAATCATACATCCGTATTTGTGTTTACACATTCACCAATAAAAACATTGTTGGCAAAATGTTGTAGATGATGAAGGAAAATCCTAATCTTAAAATACAAGTCATCACTGATGATGCTCAAACTAAGATACCCTCATAAAAAGCTATTTTGGATTAGATATTAGAAGAAGGAAAAGGCTAGGTAATTGATTAGCCTTATATTTTTCTCAGGCTGAAATCAAACTAGACAATTCAACAGTTAGTTTGATGCACAATAAATATCTTGTGATTGACACAGATTATATTGCTACAGGTTCCTTTAACTGGACTAAGTCTGCAGTTACAACCAATAAAGAAAACTTACTTTTAATTAAAAGCAAGAAACTTGTACAATAATTTGACGAAAACTTTTAATAACTTTGGAAAGACTTTTAATTCATGAACGACAGAATTCTTTAATAATAACAAGAAGAAATCGATAAGGCAGAACGTTAAAAATTAAAAGCAGAAAAACTAGCTGAATAGGTAGCAAAAAAGGCAGAACAAGAAGCAAATGCCGATCCCAATAATCCTAATCCCACACCAACAGAACCATAAACTAAACCTAAAAAAGCTCCCAAAGAACCAAAACCACCTAAGGAACCTAAACCTCCTAAGGAACCCAAACCTCCAAAAGAGCCCAAACCACCAAAAGAACCTAAACCACCTAAACCTCCTAAAGAACCTAAGGCTACTAAACCACCCAAAGAACCTAAACCCCCTAAAGAACCAAAACCCATTAAGCAAAAAATAAGAAAAGTCGCCTAACCTAAGAAATAGAGGGAAAGCAAATAGGATGAAGATTTTAGTGATGATGGAGAGGAAGTAGACGTTTAGAATGATGTCGAAGATGAAGATGACGATTTTGCAGAGGAGGAAGATTCAATGGAAGACTTTTTAGCAGAAGATGATTCTGAATGTGATTGATAAATTACATAAAAAAGAAATAAACAAAATATACATTAATTATGAACTATAGCTCCTAAAATGAATACTATATAAGAGATTCAAAAATAACAAGTGAGGGTCTTAATTAAAAGAAACTAAAATCTCAATTATCATTGGCAAAATCTCCGTTAAAAGATAAACGCAAATTCATTAATGAGTCTGAAGGAGCAATCAAAAATAGTTATCAAATCCAATTAAACAATTTTGTTAACCAAGCTCGAGTTGCTCCTTAACCTATGTTTAAAACCACTGTATAAAAACATGGAGTTATAAAGCATGTAGAAAGAATACATTCTGAAACTTAAAAATATCATCAAAATTTATCCAATAAAAGATCTGAAAGAAATATATTTTATAATAAATTGATTTCTGCTTCCACAAAGCGATCATATTAAAAAATTAAATAGAACTATTGCAAGACAAATGATAAAACCAATTGTATTTCGAGAGCCGAAATTACATATCTTTAAAATAGCTACATCGATGCTAAACCAACTGTTGCTGATACTTCGCTATAAATTAATCATCATCAAAATATATTGATAAGGAAAAATAAATATTAAATTATTTCGTATGCTAAGAAAGAGGAAAAGTACAACATATTGAATTAAACAGAAAACTAAATGAATGATGATGATAGATCAGAAAAACACGTTCTACCTTTTAAATCAAAGAGAAAATTGTGATTAAAATTAATAGATATTTTATGCTAATTATAAATACTATCAGCTAATCAACTTATAAATAAACATTAAATTTTAATATCGTAATATATGAATATTTTGAAAATTAATTAATAATCTTATCAACCCATGAAAAGTTCCTAATATTTGGTTTTATATAAAGAGCATTTCTACTTCTATCAATTCAATATTTTAATGAGAGCTAGAAAGTAAGATCATATTTGATGATATAAAATAAATAAAAAATGACAATGTTTATCATCAGATAGTTAGAAGAACTAACCTCTTAGACTTGATTATTGATTGTGAATGACAATTTAGAATATTGAGACTAATATATGATAATTTGCAATACATTTGTATTTAAAGTTGATTTTATAATATAAAATGAACTAAACTAATTGGTGAAGAATACATTATTTTTTTTATGTTATTACTCTTTCACTAACATACTTCCTATAATCCAGAATATGAGAAGAAGCCTCTAAAGCCAAATTGTGCATCAAATGTTATTCTAAAAGCAATGCATGCATCTTTATACAACAAATATTCCTATGCTCAAAATTACTATTACACTAATAATCTCAACATGATTATAAATAATCAAGGTAAGCCATCCATCGTTCACATATATGATAAAGAATACTTTGAATGCAAGGAGTATTTGAATAAATATCATGATAAAGAGGTTACTCAAAAACTAAAGAAATTGATTTCTATTCATTAATACTCTTTGAATGCTCCTAGATATTTCTTTGAACCGATAAGTTTAGATCTTTTAGTGGATAAGAATTATACAAAGAAAAGGAAACTGAGATAAAGAAATCTATAATAAAAATAGTAGACTCAATATAATAATAATAGTAAATTTAACTTAGCAAATTAATTTCTTAAAATGAAACTCATAAGTTTTGATCCAATTTTGAAGGATTTGAATGATTCAAAGCCAACAACCATGTAATATGTAGACATGTTGAAGGAATATAATGCCTATAATAAGCAATACAGAAATGCTTAATTTATTATAGAGATGGAGTAACATTAAAAGTAATCAGTATTCGATGAGAATGTAAAAATAAGACAGTTCAATGAAATCGTCTCTTTCAACAAGAATTCTAATCTATCAGGATCAACACGTCTATCAAGTACAAGAATTCAAAAGGAGCCCAATATAAGAAATATCTTGATGCAGCATTACACCTCACTCAATTATTAGAATTTCATAAATCAAAGAATTTCGTAATAGGATGAACAACATCTGAATACTAATAAAGCAATCTTAAAAAGCACAAAAAATTAGGAGAATATGGGAAAATACAACAATAAGGTACAATTTGCTTAGTACAAAACAAAAAAACCTAAACCTATTGATGTGATGATGGAAGCTACTAGATGTTAATAATAATAATAGTAGCAAATATAAAGTAGTAGAGCAAACCCTGAAAACAAGAGGATTCAATCTAAACCATTTCTTAGTCCGAAAGGATAAGTAACTTCGAATATTAATTTTAGGAGAGTGCCTTCTAATATCACTAAACTAAGATGATACTTCATAATATAATTATAAATTTATATGATAAGATTAATTCTTCGATTATATCCATTTTAATGACTTATATAAATCATAAATAATATGCAAAAATTTAGGAATATCGCAGCATTTTCTACAATTCCCTCATATTTTACACTCGATCCAAATTAAATGTAAGATAGTCTTTAATTAACATCACAATAGATCTGCTCGCAATCCTCATAAGGCCCAAAACTTTTTGCGTGGAAAATGGATTGATTCCCATAAATATCAAACAATTATAGATCCATTGAACGGCGAACCATTTATTACAGTACCTGATGTCTAGGATAGATAAGAGTTATAGAAATTTATTGATTCAGCCAAAGAATGTCCAATTAGTGGATTACATAATCCATTAAAGAATCCATAAAGATATTAACTATATGGAGAAGTGTGTCATAAAATAGCTGCAGAACTTAAAAAAAAAGAAGTTCATGATTTCTTAGTGAAATTAATCTAAAGAGTAGTTCCTAAGCATTTTGCATAAGCATCAGGGGAAGTAGTTGTAACAGAGAGATTCTTCTAAAATTTTAGTGGTGATCAACCTCGTTTTTTAACTAGATCTTTCAATGTTGCTGGAGATCGTCCTGGATAGCAATCATCAGGATATAGATGGCCTTATGGATCTTGTGCTGTTGTGGCTCCATTTAATTTTCCATTAGAAATCCCAAGTTTATAGATATTTGGTGCTTTGATCACAGGAAATAAAGTCTTCTTCAAAGGAGACAGCAGAGTAAATGTTGTTATGGAATAAATGTTGAGACTAGCACTTCATTGTGGTTTACCTGCTACAGATGTAGATATGTTATTTGGTAATGGCGAAGCGACTGAATTTATTTTAAGACAGGGAAATTTCCGTAACACTTAATTTACAGGATCATCAAAGGTTGCAGAACATTTAACAAAAGTATTGAATGGAAAGATAAGAATTGAAGATGCTGGATTTGATTGGAAAATACTTGGGCCAGATGTTCCAGATGTGGATACTCAAAATTATGTTGCATGGCAATCTGATTAGGATGCATATGGAAGCACTGGTTAGAAATGTTCAGCTTAAAGCATTCTTTTTGTTCATGAAAATTGGGTTAAGGCAGGATTTCTTGATAAAATTAAACAACTAGCTAGTACGAGAAAATTATAAGATTTAAGCAATGGTCCTATTATAACATGGAACAATACATAAATTAAATAGCATATTGACAATATTTTGAAGATTCCTTAATCCAAAGTATTATTCGGTGGATAAGAATTGAAAAATCATACTATTCCATCAATTTACGGAGCATTTGAACCCACAGCTTTGTATGTTCCATTAGAGTAAATTTAGAAGAATAAGGCAGTGACTACAGAATTGTTCGGACCATTTTAGATTGTCACTACTTATGCTTCTGATTAAATCAATTAGGTTTTGGATGTTATCAACAATCTTGAAAATCATTTGACTGCAGGCATAGTTAGTAATGATGTGAATTTCTTAAGACATGTTTAATCCAATACAACTAATGGAGTGACTTATAGGTAATGCGAGATACAATTATTTTAGTGGTATAAGAGCAAGAACAACAGGTGCTCCACAAAATCATTGGTTTGGACCATGTGGAGATCCAAGAGGAGCAGGCATTGGCACTCCTGAAGCCATATTATCTGTGTGGACATGTCACAGGGAAATTATACATGATATAGATTTGGCTCCTTAAGGATTCAAAGGATAACAAAGTTGATTATTGTTTAATATATAGACAATATAGAATAGATTTGTCATTATCTAATCCAATCTAATAATTTGATAGCATCCTGCCATCTGTGATCTACTGATCTACAATTTAACAGTACAATTATGTACGAGTTCTCGGTATCCTCAAAATACTCTACAACGCATGGCCCTGCCTCTTTTGTTATGCCTGTCTTAACACCCCTAAATCCTTGGTATAACATTTTATTAGTGTTTTCCCAAAAGATTTCCTTTGACTCTCCAAATTTGTCTTCAATTTCACTAAAGTAGATTTTGGTCTTGACAATACTGGCGAACTGTAGATTTTACATGGCATTATAGGTGAGGATGCCAATATCATAAGCAGATGAGTAGTTGGCTTCGTGATACAAACCTTTTTAGTTACATAAGTAATACCATGAGGATTGGCATAGGATGTCAACTCCATCCCGATGTCTTAGGCGTTTTGATTCATTTGTTATATAAAGTCGCAACCTTTGTAAAGTTCGAAGTTATGTTGTATGGAGACTGCTGCATCGTTACCAGATGGTAACATCAACCCATAGAGCAGATCTCTTATGCTGAGTTTATCACCAGTTTAGAGTTGAGCTGTTGTGCCTCCAATCCTTTCTGCCTATATTTAAGCTATGAACTACTTTTTCTGGCACTGTGAAATAGGTGTTATCAAGGTCCAAATGAAATTGCTGAGTGAGTTTCAGTGCTAGCCAACATGTCATGATTTTGGTGATTGAAGCCATTTGTCTGCTTTTATATTGATTGTAGCCCCCCATCAATTGGCCATTCTTTCCATTAATAACACACCAACTCTGTGCAGACACTAATGGAGTGGCACTCTCTATTGGTGTAATGGAGATTTGTTAGGGCAATATTCGTTTAGCTCTGGAGATTGCAGTCTTGGGTTTGATGGGGGATTATTAATATTTTTCCGAACTCTTTTTGGAATAGAAGGAGTTGTTCGCTGTGGAGTTTAGGAGTTTGACTTTGGTATTTTTGGGGTTGCTGTACATGTGAAATCTTTTGGAGTCCATGATGGTTGTTTTCTGCTTTTTTTGTTCAGGTTCCTTATCTTGTTGTTGAGGTTGAATGACTGAGACTTTTCGGACTTAAAACTTATCTACGGGTTCAATAGATCCATTAAATACTTTACTTATACTCTCTGAAGATTCTCTGGGCCAACATTAAGGTGTTGCTGAGATTTTCGTTTTGTGGTTGCCAGAGGGCTTGATAGCGATAATTGCTGGCGCTCGTAGGTTGGTATTTGAGGCAGAGGGCTTGTTGTCTATTTTCAAAGTATTCTTGATTCATACAAATATTAATAATGAAATTGGGTATATAATTAAATAGTTTGGATGTTTATTTTTTTTATACAAGAAATCTAACAATGCTTTGGATGTAATGTAATTAGGTCCAAATATTTATTGATTGAAGTTACAATGATAAATAAATATTTATAAATTATAAATAATAACTGATGGGCAACGAGATTTCTAATGGAAGTCCAGGAGATCTGGAATAAATGAAAAGATTTATGAACATGTCGCCAGGTTAGGTCAAATTGATAAAGTAATCGTGTTATACAAATTGTGTTTTAGAGAGAAATTCGAATTGATGGCGGATGAGGATCTCACGATTGATAGAAATGGGTTTATATAGTTGATGAAGTTGAAAGAGACTGAAGTAGATAAAGTGTTTTAATTTTTTGACATCAGCAATGATGGTCGAATTGACAGTCATGAATTTGTATGTGCTTTGAGTCTTTTGAGTCAAGCCACTCTGAAGGTATTTCTAGAATTATTATATCGAAGGAAAAAGCAAATATAATATTCTCCTTATACGACTTCGATCACAACAAAACAATCACTCGAAATGAATTGGTCATTTTGATCAAGACTACTTTGACAGCCTTGGGAGCCATGTCACAGAAGGGAGAATGCACCATCCAAGAGGCAGAGAGAATCTCAGACGAATTGCTAAGGAAATATGATACAAACAAGGATGCCTCAATATCTTTGTCTGAATTTCATAGGTATGTTTATATTTTAATAATTATTTCGCAGTCTTTTATCCAAAGATTAAGATGTGCTCAAGATGCTCCTATCCTATGGCTTATGCTCATTGGAAGATTTGAGATCTGACTTTGGAGGAGCCTAATAGGGTGATGTTCCATATCCAGACTCTGATTTGGAGAGTGAAACTCAGAGAAAGATTTTGGCTTATGATTAGAAGAGAGAATTGAGGAAAATTGGAATAGAGGCCAATCTGGATGATGGCAGTACTCAATTGCAATTAGAAAACAATCAGAAAGCTCTCAAATAGACCAACAAAGAGGTTTGGAAAAACTAAGTTAAGAATGGTCAACCATCTTCTTGGAAACCAGGCAAAGGGGATATCAATCCACCAAGTACTTTTATGGAACTGGATTATGTATACGGATTCAGAAGTTTTGATACCAGAAACAATATTAAATTTGTTGATTAAGAATTAGTCTATTTTACTGCTGCAGTTGGAGTGGTCTATAATCCATAGACAAATTAGTAAAGGTTCTTCTTTGAACACACAGATGATATAACATGCATTGATGTTTATGATAAGTATGTTGCAACTGGTTAGGCAGGGTAGGTTCCTCCAATATATATTTGGGAAGTTAAAAATTAAATGGAACCTTCTAGGGCTGCTTTTAAAGGAATTTTACGTTAAGGAGTACAATGCTTAGCATTTTCAAATGATGGTAAGAAATTGGCTGCTGTGAGCATGGATGATGATCACACTTTGGTTGTGTATGATGTGGATAAGGGAATAGATGCAAGATTAAAAGGTGATGTATAGTAGGCCTTATTAGCCACAGGTAAAGGTCCTAGGTCATTTGTATTTGATATTAAATTTGATAAAGTTGACAAGTATTTGATTTTGGCATGCAAGAATGAAGTATACTTTTGCAGTTACGATTAAAATCAAATAAGATTGAATCTAGGAATATGGGATACAAAAACATCACCATTCTCATCAGTATTATGCATCGCATTATGTGATAACAATGTGATAACAGGTACTTACAGAGGATAACTATTAATCTGGAAGAGCAATAGAGCTACTACAGCAGTGGATGCTCATAAGAGTGCAGTTCTAGCTATTCATACAAAGAGAGGTTAGGAAGGTGGGGTTGTATCAGGCAGTAAAGATGGAACAATCATAGTTTGGGATGTGAACATGAAAGCTAAAGAGAAGATAAATGTTCTCAACTTGAATTTAAAAATATTCAATTTCAAAGTTTAAAGTGTTACCATAGGACCAAATGATTAAGAGAAATCTGTCCATCTAGTTTTTGGAACTAGAGGTTCTGACATGGTAGAAGTACAAGGACCGAAAAGTAAGATCTTAATGAGAGGACATTCTATAGGAGTCTTAAGAGGGTTGGCTATGCATCCAAAATTCCCTACCTTTTACACTATTGGAGAAGATAATATATTGGCCTGTTGGTTGATCAAGGATAAGAAGATGTCTAGTTGCATGAGATTAGAATATCCTAGTAGTGCAATTCATATTAGCAAAGATTACAAATATCTGGCTGTCGGTAGTACAAATGGAACTGTACTTATTATTGATCCTAAAACTTTGATGCCTACTTTTAATTTTAAAGATAGAGATGCTGAAGTCTCATGTCTCAAGTTCTCTCCTGATACCGAATAATTAGCAGTTGGTCATGATGCACCAAGTTGTGATGTCATCATATATTCAATTAAGAATCATTTCAAGAAGACTAATGTTTTAAGAGGATCTCCTGCAAGAGTTATTAGTATTGATTTCTCATCGACATGCAGAGTTTTATAAATTAATGATTGGAGTTAACAAGTACTCTATTATGAATTGGGGGGAGAAAATAACCAAAAAGTATTGCCAGATGGAGCTTAGAAATATAAAGATGAAAAGTGGGCAACATACACAGCTATTTATGGATGGCATGTTTTGGGAGTATGGCCATCTTTATCAGGTGGATGTGATATCAATGCTGTCGACAGATCTAACAAAGGAGACATTATAGTGTCAGCAGATGACTATTCTGGAATCAAGATATTCAGATATCCTGCTGCATAACCAGGTCAAGGATTTTAGAGATATGTGGGACATGCAGCTCATGTGACCAATATTAGATTCTCAGCTGATGACGAATACATCATTTCATTGGGCGGGGCAGACAAGTCAATTATGCAATGGAAAGTCTCACATGATAAGGATGCTTAGATTGAGTAAGATCAGGCATGTGAATCCATTCAAGACGTTTAGATATCCAAAGATTACTACAGACTCAATTTAAATGAGGAGGAGAATAAGTAAGAAGGGTAGAAATAGTATTAAGCCTTTGTTAAAGCCACTTAACCGACCAATTTTAAATTTGATGAGAAGAAATATAATGTATTGCCTCAAGGTAATATAACACTTGATTATGTTTTGGGCATGAAAACTGATTAGTTGGGTTAGGATTACTTTAATGGAGTGAAATTATTGGAAAATGGTAAGATTGCATTCTCTTGTGGAACTGTTGGTGTGGTAATGGATCCAAATATTCCTATTGGATAATAATATTGCACTTAGACTTATTTCAGATATCATTAGGATGAAATAACTTGCATTGCCATTCATCCAAGAGGAAAAATAATTGCAACAGGTACGAAAGCATTTGCTTTGAATGAAAAGCAATTAACTGCGATTTGTGTTTGGGAAGCTGAATCAAAGAAGGTTTTGTCAATGTTGAATGATTTTCATACTAAAATGATTTATTGCTTAGAGTTTTCATATGATGGTGTCTTTTTATTATCATTTTCTTCAGAATATTCAATTGCAGTTCATGATTGGCAAATTGGATAGTTGATCATCACTGTAAAGACTATGAGATCTAACATTTATGGAATTTGCAGTAAGTCACCCACTGAATTCATGTCTTGTGGACAGAGAAATGTCACTTTCTATTAAATGAACGGCAGAAATGTCAAATGCTATCCAGGTATTCTTAATAGCAATCAATTCGAACCAATGTTGTGCTGTTGTGTTGCATTTAAGGATTCATATGAAGTCACAGGATCTGATAATGGTAACATCTTTCTTTGGAAAGAGAACAAAAACAGCAAGCATTACTAAGCACATAGATCCAAGGTGAGTTCGTTAGTTGCAGTCGGAAAAACCTAATTGTACAGCAGTGGTTTGGATGGGTAAATCAAGTTGTGGGAAATGAATGGAAATAATTTGAACAATGTTGCAACAGTTATTGATATTACTGAAGCACTTCATTAACCCAAGCTGATCGGAATCCTATCGATAGATATCAAGAATGACAATATCATAATAGCAACCAAATAAGCCCAGCTGTATCATGCTCCACTTAAAAATGTATAGAATTTGAAACTACTACTTGATTGCCATTATGGGGGAGAAGTGTGGGGTATTGCAGCTAGTCGCAACTCACAAACCATTATTACTTGTGGTGGAGATAGTATTCTCCGTTAATGGGATATCAATCAATATACTTTGGTTAAAAGTTCGTCTCCGTTTGAAAATGACATTAGGGCAGTGGATTGGAGTTCAGATGGCAAGTACATCGCTGTAGGAGATGTGCGTGGATGCATTTACTTAGTTGAACCAACAAATATGAATATTTTGGATAAGAAGAATTCTAAAGCAGGTTCCCTAAAATAGAGTGCATAAGGAAAAACATTTTGGATTGAAGATATTAAATTTTCACCAGACAGCACTAAAATTGCATTTGGAGCTCATGGCACACAGTCATAGGTAGAAGTATGGGAAATTGAGGGAGGCAAATTTAGTAAATAAAGTTCAATAAACATCTCATTGAATAGCAGTCTCATTAAATTAGATTGGGCTATGGATTCAATTCACATAGTAGTAAACTCATCGACTTATGAGTTGAAATTCGCAAATGTCCAATCTTTGAAGGATGTTCCAGGACCTTAAGTGAAAGAATTGGATTGGTATTCTTGGACTTGTTTATTTGGTTTCAATGTGTAAGGAATCTACAAAAAGGATGAATATTCAGTCACTGCTGTTTGTGTTGATAACCAAAGGTAGATATTGGCAACAGGAGAATATAATGGTATCATAAATCTGTATCAGTATCCTGCTGTTTGTTAGTTCAATTAAATTCATAAAGAATATCCTGGACATGCAAATGCTATAACAAGAATGAGATTCTCATTTGATGATACTAAATTGATTTCAACAAGTGGTATGGATAGGGGAATATTCATTTGGAAAACAGATTGGTCTAAATCATAATAGTAGTTAATGTTGTAGGATGAGAATGCTTACGGAAAATACGATGAGGATATTGATGATTTGGCTGCTCTAGCAGTTCCACAGGAAAAGATTAGGAGGTTTGGATCTGATAAGTATGGCAAGGTGAGAAGAAGAGATAATCAATTCGAAAAGAATGAAGACCAATAGAATTACAATGACTAGAATGAGAAAGGAGATGAATTCACTATTATTCGACCCTGGATGGGAGCTATTAAAGAGCCTTCCAATTATTATAAAGATCCATTGAACCAAAATAAACAGCCTTTGGTGGAATTGACCTTAGAATACGTTCATGGATATCGTAGCAAGGATTGCAGAAACAATGTGAAATACTTAAAGAGAGGACAGATTGTTTATAATGTTGCTGCATTGGCTGTTGTCTTAGATCCCAATCCCAATGCAAATACTAATTCAAATGCACAACGATTTTTCAATCATCATACTGAAGATGTGGTATGTTTGGATGTGTCTAATGATCAATTTAAGGTAGCTACTGGATAATTAGGAGCTAATCCATGTATTTACATATGGGAAAGCAACACTTAAGCCATTATCTGCTCACTTAAAGGTTATTTTACAAAAGGAATCTTGCAATTGGCATTTAATGACTCAGGAGATAAATTGGCTGCTATTGGAATGGATGATTGTCATCAATTATGCATTTTTGACATACAATCTAAATCTTTGACTGGAGGAACATTACTGGTCAAGGATCAAATTGGTAAGTATATTGTCACAGACATTAAATGGAAAAATGATTCTGAATTTGTTACATGTGGCTTAAATCATCTTAAATTCTGGAAATTAGGACATGGAGGTTTGACTTACTCTAAGGCTTATCCTTAAAAACCTCTGTCTTATAAATACTTATGTGCAGCTGTCAATAATGAAGATTATTTGTTGGGTGCTGTTGATGGATCCTTGCAAATCTTCTCTGGTGGCAAATTCACAGCATTTTACCAATATTTAGAGGCTAATCGATCATTAGAAGCTATTAGTTTTTCCAAAGATTTGTATTTATAATTATATTCATCTTTAGTATTCTTATTGGAGGAGCTGATTCTAAGATTGTCATTATAGATTCCAAGACTTACAAATCCATTTTATCTTTTAAATTATCAGAATGCATGAGAAATTCTTTGGGATTAGAGGTCAAGTCCATTTAGTTAGGATATGATCAAAAGACTTTACTTGTCTCAACTAATTCTGGAGATATTGTTGAATTAGTTACTAAAGATGCCAAAATCAATATTAATTCCAAGTTTGCTGTTTCAAAAANGATTTCAACAAGTGGTATGGATAGGGGAATATTCATTTGGAAAACAGATTGGTCTAAATCATAATAGTAGTTAATGTTGTAGGATGAGAATGCTTACGGAAAATACGATGAGGATATTGATGATTTGGCTGCTCTAGCAGTTCCACAGGAAAAGATTAGGAGGTTTGGATCTGATAAGTATGGCAAGGTGAGAAGAAGAGATAATCAATTCGAAAAGAATGAAGACCAATAGAATTACAATGACTAGAATGAGAAAGGAGATGAATTCACTATTATTCGACCCTGGATGGGAGCTATTAAAGAGCCTTCCAATTATTATAAAGATCCATTGAACCAAAATAAACAGCCTTTGGTGGAATTGACCTTAGAATACGTTCATGGATATCGTAGCAAGGATTGCAGAAACAATGTGAAATACTTAAAGAGAGGACAGATTGTTTATAATGTTGCTGCATTGGCTGTTGTCTTAGATCCCAATCCCAATGCAAATACTAATTCAAATGCACAACGATTTTTCAATCATCATACTGAAGATGTGGTATGTTTGGATGTGTCTAATGATCAATTTAAGGTAGCTACTGGATAATTAGGAGCTAATCCATGTATTTACATATGGGAAAGCAACACTTAAGCCATTATCTGCTCACTTAAAGGTTATTTTACAAAAGGAATCTTGCAATTGGCATTTAATGACTCAGGAGATAAATTGGCTGCTATTGGAATGGATGATTGTCATCAATTATGCATTTTTGACATACAATCTAAATCTTTGACTGGAGGAACATTACTGGTCAAGGATCAAATTGGTAAGTATATTGTCACAGACATTAAATGGAAAAATGATTCTGAATTTGTTACATGTGGCTTAAATCATCTTAAATTCTGGAAATTAGGACATGGAGGTTTGACTTACTCTAAGGCTTATCCTTAAAAACCTCTGTCTTATAAATACTTATGTGCAGCTGTCAATAATGAAGATTATTTGTTGGGTGCTGTTGATGGATCCTTGCAAATCTTCTCTGGTGGCAAATTCACAGCATTTTACCAATATTTAGAGGCTAATCGATCATTAGAAGCTATTAGTTTTTCCAAAGATTTGTATTTATAATTATATTCATCTTTAGTATTCTTATTGGAGGAGCTGATTCTAAGATTGTCATTATAGATTCCAAGACTTACAAATCCATTTTATCTTTTAAATTATCAGAATGCATGAGAAATTCTTTGGGATTAGAGGTCAAGTCCATTTAGTTAGGATATGATCAAAAGACTTTACTTGTCTCAACTAATTCTGGAGATATTGTTGAATTAGTTACTAAAGATGCCAAAATCAATATTAATTCCAAGTTTGCTGTTTCAAAAACCTTAATGAAATCTCATTGTTCTCCAAATAAGCGATCTTTGAATGAAATTTGGGGTTTGGCTATTAACCCATAGGATTCTGATCAATACTATACTTGTGGAGATGATGGAACTCTAAGATCTTGGTCTATCAGTCAAAAGAAAATGCTCAATTGCATCAAAACCAATCTTGATGTTAATGGAGCAGAAATCAAACAAGATGAAGTTGGTGAATTGCCTGATAATACAAAAGGTAGATGTATAGCTGTTTCTTTGGATGGTATTTCGATATGCGTAGGATTTAAGGATGGAACATTTAGAGTATTTTATAATTAATTACGTTAAGATTTATGATAAAGAATTCAAATAAAAATATGTGAATAGATTGGCCAAAGAGTGGATTAGTGATATCAAATTCAGTCATGATCAATCTTGGATTGCAATTGGATCTCATGATAATTCCATATATATCTATAGTTTCCCAGATATGAAACAACGCTACAAACCACTCAAGAAACATTCAAGTTACATTACTCATATTGATTTCTCCATAGATGGAAATCATCTTCATAGCAATTGTGGAGGGTATCTAATTAACATATATATTATTCAGATATGAATTGTTGTTTTGGGAACTTCAATCTGGTAAACAATTGCCCAATGGAGCAAATTAATTAAGAGATGAAAAATGGTTGACTTGGACTACTCCATACGGATGGCCAGTTTAAGGAATATGGCCGGATATGCAAGATGGTAGTGATATCAATGCTGCTGTAAGGTCAAATAAGACTTATAATGAAAAGGATAAACCACCTGATAATTATCATTTGATTGCAACAGGCGATGATAACTCTTAAATCAAAGTATTCAGGTATATGCTACTTATAATACAATAGATATCCTTGTGTAAAGAAATAATCAGCATATATATTAGGAAAAGGACATTCATCGCATATTACCAACATTGCTTGGTCTATGGAAGATCATTACTTGTTCAGTATTGGTGGAGAAGACAATTCTATATTTTAATGGAAAATAAGTAAATTGAGATGATTTATTGTTAAAATTATCAATAAAATTAATTATTTATATTTACATGGATCACATTTTTTATGAAATTAATGGTATATTTAGATGAATCATATCATACTAATTATATGTATTACCAGATTTATCAATAAATTAGATGGATAAAAAAATTATTTTTTAAATTTGAGTTCTGATTAGAACAACATAGAAATAAATATTTGATATATTAATTTTAAGATATTCAAAATGTTGTGCAACAATTATTTCTACCCTTTTCTGGGCCTGTTGTTTTTTCCAATTGATAGAGCACTATTAATCCTTCAAATAATCTCTTGGTTACAATAGCTTCTGTGACACCAAATCTTGCTGATGGGGAAATATCAGCTGTTCCCTCTTGATCCATAGACGAGTGTTCTCCACCAGTGCCTCTTGCTTATAATCCAATTGATTTTGCTTTTTCTTTTAAATTAGCTTCGTCTGTTCCTGATTTACTAAGATTTGGGAACTTGCCTAAGATGGATTATCTCTTTCCAGTTCCCATATTGGTTGGACATGTTGTTATAATACCATAGACTGGATGTTCAGCGAATTTGAGACCACTCTTTTCAATTCCAGTTAACAATTCATGGAGTGATTAATCAACCTTACCCAAATCATTACCTTAGACTATTGAAATAATTCTTAATTAATCTTCTTCTCCTACCCAAACCATTTTAGTTTCATCTTGACTTACCCAGATTCCTCTGCCAAATGGCCAATCAGATGCTACACCATTCGACATCAAATAATTGTCACTTGTCATATCTATAAACAAGAAATGCTTTTTCCTAAGTTCATCAGCCTTTTGATCAGATATAAAATTCTTATGACCTGGTGTGAGACTATGATAATTTCCTGGAATTCCAAAGTTTTCAAACACAGTTACCATTTGATTTTCAAATTTGATCCTCTCATCCTTATCCATTGAGGATGGTAAATTGTAACCAACAACATTTCTGGCCACTCTGGCTCTCATTGAAACCTTCTCCAAGGCTGGATCGATCTTTGTCAATACATACTCACCAACTGGGATGTTCCAATCATGTTCTTGTTTGGTTTCCCCTTCGATCTTATGATATTCTCTGATTATGGGTTCTAGATAAAACAGAAAAACATCATAATCTTCAGGTCTTGTGGCTGAAATACCAACTGAGCTGTCATCGTTTGTTAGACCAGCTATAATAATATCTAAGAATCGTTATTAGTCCTCAGCAGACATCGTTTTCACCTTCTCAACCACAGCTTGAGTATAATGCTTGTTGGCTAAGCTTTCCTTAATCTTCTTCAACTCATCCCACTTAGCTTATATTTTATTAAAATCAACATTCCCTTGTTCATCTAAGTAGAGCTTCCTTACATCCTATTTGGCAAAGATTTTGTGCTAAGACATTGCAATTTATAAATAACTTTATCACTTCATTTATTTAAAAACGTATATAAATTCACCAATTTAATTAAACATAATGGGAACACATAACTTCCCTTTTTACAATACTTTGTTTTTCTCATTAATTTCTAATGATTTCCAATAATACTCCACTTCACTTGATTAGTATAAAATATTCATTTATTAATATAACTATTATTAAAATGTCTGTTCACACAAGTCCTAAGAGCTCTTTCTTAAGTTCAGCTCGCACTAGACCATAAACGGCTGTGACAAGCCCAAGAAGACCTCAATTACAGTAAATAAATATTGCATCTCTTAGACTATCGATTCCAAATGATGATCAAGATCAATAACAATTAATCAACAAATATACTGCCACTACTAGTCTTACTCCAAGGAGTTTGTTTAAGTTGCAAGAGAAGAAAGTCAATGTAGGAGCAAGATCTGAAAATGTATCGTGCAATTTGAGAGTTACAAAAGAATAGGCTGAAATCGATCCACCAGAGGACTATTTCGAAAAAGAAGTGTAAATTAATCAAGATGAATATGAGCAATTCAAAAAAAACTTTCATAGAATTGTTTTTGATGCTTTCGGAAATTATATTTACACCAAACCAGGACCCATTGATGAAGAATTTAAACTTTAAGTTTCTGTAATTTATATTTGTAAACTAAGTCAGCATTGAATACATAAAAGCATACTTCAAGCAGTCTCAAGAAAAAACTGTAAATCAAGACTCAGAGTTTCCAACCGAAAAAAACCATTGAAAACTTGGTCAAAAGCACTTCAGAAATGGCTAAAATGAATCCCAGAAGAAGGGCCATTTTGGAAATCAAATAAAAAGCAGAGAACTCTCTTTATTAAATGATCAACAATCTTGCGAAGGAAAAAGTCTTGAGCGAATCCAAGGCTTAATTAGAATAAGTTACACAATAAATGCTAGTCTACATCGATAAATTTACAAGAGAAAAGTACCCTATTATCTATAATTAGCTAAGAACTTGTGGATTAATTAGAAATGGCTAAGGGAAAAATCTTTGAATTGTAGAGTTCGAATGAAAGCCTGAATTTTAAGAATATTCAACTTCTCAAAGAAATCAAGCATTCCAAATAATAATTAGATGAACTCAAGAGGAGCACAGTTGAAATTGAAAAGTTCATACCATAATTCAATATTATGACTAAGAGGTTTGAAAACTTTCAGGCTGAAAAATTCATAGACAAATATGACTATTTTGAGAATTAAAACTTGATTCTCACTAAAAGAGTTTCAGATTTAGAACTTGACAACATCTAACTTGAAAAATAACTGTTGCATCTACAAAAGGATTTAGAAATCAAACAATAAGTTAGCAAACATCAATATGATATGAATTTACATTCATCCACTAATAAATAAGATGCACCTGATTAAGATTACGAACAGTACAAGGATATGTATTTGAACTTGTTTAAGAAAATACTATAAATCTATAGTGATTGGACTAGTAAATCTAAAGCTCTATTGCCTGACAAGATGGATGGAGGACCAAGAGCAAATTTAGTTGAACCTTTAGAAATGTTGTAAAATATGGAAAAAATGATAACTATCTCCTCCAACGAAAAGCTCTAATCCTACCTAAGAAAAATTATTGTCAGTGCTAACTAGTTGTAAAGAAAATATTTAACTGAAAATGTCAATGAAAAATTTGATCCAGATAGAATTTATGAAAGAATTATTAAGTTAGTAGATAATTTGAAGGCACAAATTTCAAATCTACAATGTTAATTGCAAAGCTAAAAATAATCACAAAACGTATTACTAATTGTATTATTTAGTGTTTAACATAAGTGCAAACCTAAAGGTCAAAGTCTTTTCTTCATGAAAAAGAATGAAATTGATCATGAATAACTTTAACTTTTTCAGATAAAACATAATATTATTAAATTTAATTTTAAATTAACATTTCAAGATAGTCTTTTAGATTAAACAAAAACCATATAGTCTTCTTTGAATCTCCTCTCTTAGCTTGCATCACTTTACTTTAAATTCTTAATAATTTAATCAGACGATTTATATTTCCAACTAGTTACAACTTTGTCTTTTGATTTCAAATCTCCTTTGACATTTCGAAAAGAGGCTTAAATCACTTACTAAATCTATTTGGCCTTTTTCTCAGGATTCTCTGATTTGTATGCCTATTAATACATCAAAGATAAAACAAGGTTATCTCTTGGAATTCTAGGCAACCTACTAATTGACTCAAAGACCTAATTCAAATCGACTTTAGAATTTGAAGATGAATTCTAGGCCATGGTAGGTAGTCTCGGATTCAATTGGCTATATCTTCTTCTCTCTGGACTACTCCTTTCCGTGTAAAAAAAGGTTCTTTCATTATGTAAATGACACTTACTTGTCTTTATGACTTCTAATACAATGATCGTCAGAACATTGGGTCTATAAAGGCTTCTTAAGTAATTTAGCTTAGTATTGCTAAAGAGCGTTGCTGTAGACCCGTTATAAAATAGTTTTGATGGGTGAATTTCCAATTGAGTTAATATCCTGAATATTGCTATCAGCAAGATTTTGGAATACTTTGACTTGACTGAGTTTATCTCCCTGAACTTCTATAATCTATTTATTAACAATTTATTTTGAGGCTTCATTTCTTCGATTAATTAATTGATCTTGAGCTGCTTGAAAGATTTCATCCTTTTAATTTACTTGAGTTTTGGCTGTTTCATAAATAAGAGTCCAATGCTTAAGTATTACCTTTGAAGTACTTTTAAAGTTTTCATAAATTTGTATGTTTCCTAAATTATCAAAGAATTTAGATTGCCTAATTTTATACGCAGTAAGTCTAGGAGATATCACCCTTGCTCTTGTGAATCTTGGTATTTTATGAAATATTTCGACTTCTCCAAAATGTTAATATTCACCATAAGAAGACAGAACGATTTGTTTAGATTTCAATTGTTTAGACAATTCTACTTGGCCATTAATTATGAAATAGATGTGATTGGATCTTTCATTTTCTTCGTATAGTATTTCTGATGCCTTGTATGTGATTTGATGACACTCTATAAGGATTCCCATAATTTCATTCAATTCGAAGTCAATTTCTTTGAATATTGGAGTTTGAGTAAAATAGATAGTTTTATCATCCAAAGATTTACTAAGAAAGGGATCTAGCAGTTATAAATAGGCTTGTTCACTGAGGAAGACGAGATGCGAGTTCTCAATTGCAAAAACAGTAGAAGCTCTTGCACTATTCAATTTGATTGCTGCTTCCCCGAAAGCGCTGTACTTAATAATAATTTTACTCTCCATTTACTAAGACTTTGAGAATTATATAATCTGGAAAAGCACTCTTCAATCCATAGGGATCAGGATCATTCCTTCGCATATTTTGTTTTTTAGCCTTGCCTTCTAATTCCTACTCTAACTTATGAAAACCAATCATTTTATCTTTAGGTTTCATTACTACACATTTTCCATCTAAGAGGATGTAATATTTTTTATTTAGGTCTCCTTACCTATAAACTGTGGTGCTAGCAGGAACATATAAATATCTAAAATCTATGACTATATTACCTTAATTCAGAGTAGAACTTATTCATAATTTCAGCTGGGACTTGTTCTTTCATCAATTTGATGGAAGTAACCAATTGCAATTATTCTATCAATACTGGGGAAGTGGGAAGTATAAAATTAGGTGGACTTTTAGCCATCAAGCGAGATGTCTTTTTACCGATCCTGGGAGTAACTTCAGTATCAATTTAGGGTCTACTATTTAGCTCTTATTTAATAGCTTCAATATCCAATAGTTTTTTCTATCTTCTTGTGTAATTTTGCAAGAGTAATTGTTAGGACTGCATTTCATCTTCTGAATCTGATTTATTCTGAGGTTTCTTGAAATCAAAAAGTTAACGATCTGAAACTACAAATTAGGAAGGCATAATCATTTTAAGATAAATACACTAATAATAAAGTTTATATTATTCGTTATTGGAAACTTGATGTAAACTTAAAGTAATTCTTAATGATGCATATAAATTTAATTAATTAGTATTATAAACCCATTTTCTTTGGCTAAAATTTATCAAACAAAGTGTTTATGAGTATCATAATTGCTAAATTTATGAGTTATATTTAACTTAATTGCAGATAAGTATTAAGATAAATTTATAAAATAGTATTATCAAGTTCAATTATACTCTAATTGTGCAAATACTTCAGCAATCATCTCCAATTTCACAGGTTTAGTAATAAAGGCATCAAAACCAACATTTTCACACCTTTCTTATTCACTTTCATCATCAAATCCTGAGATCGCAATTATTTTTAAATCCTCAATGACTTTTTTGGCAATCTAATTTAAATTCTAATGTTACCATATCTCGAATCTTAGCAACAGCCTTCCACCCATTTAGAATCGGCATGAAGAGATCCATCAGAACATATTTAATGTTCTTGCTTTTCTGAAACGTTATTAACTATACACATATTAGTCAAAATAATTACTTTATTAATAGCTTATTAACCATTATAGGCTTCTAGAAATGAAACATTTATTGAAATATCCTACAATAGCAATTTCAAGGCCAATACGTTAAATGGTTGATCATCAACAATCAGTATTGAAAATGTTTTATTTTACAAAATCTTTTGTAATCTTGATCGAGGATCCATTATCTCTTACGAGTCATCCAAAGTTTGCTCTTTAATTTTTATTCTACTTGCAGTTGGAGATTTTAGATTTTATAAAATGTTTATGTTTTATAATTTCTACTACCCTTCATCCTCGTGTTCTGGATTCAAATCAAAACCTGCTTCTGTATCATTTTTATCAACAGGTCTTGAGTAAACACGTAAAATCGATGACCTCACAAATTTTTATTGCATTTCCTATTCATCAATTAGAGACGGACTGTCAAGATTAAAGTTTTTAGAGCTACTCTCCTATTTGAAAACACTAATATAATTAGGTGATCTTTTAGGATCATCTGGCAATCGAGAATAAATCTGAAATGACATCCTCGTTCCTTTGTTTTGCTCACTCCAAAGATCAATTTTCTCGGAGGGACCCAATAATTTGATAAGTTTCTTACAAACCATCAATCCAATCCCAGTTCCACTCTTATTTTGAACATCCTTACTTGGAAATGTGGCATACATATTGAATAACTTAGGTTTAATAAGATCCGAGATACCACAACCTGTATCTTGAATAGATATAGTATACACCATCCTACCTTGTCCAGATTAAGACTTAACAGATTTTCCAGATAACTATTTACGCAACTACCCTACTGTTTATTAATTTTATTATTGATGGAGCACACTTTTGGATGAAATTGTCCTAACTATATGATTAGCTTTATCAGTCTACGGAGATTCTACAGATATTGTGATTGATCCTTGTTCAGTAAATTTTAATGAATTAGAAATAAAATTCATAAGAATCTATTTGATACGATTAGGATCACTATAAATTTAAAAAGAAGGAATGTCATAAAGCGTTTATATAACAACTCCTTTTTGTTCAGCTTAAATAGCTACCAATTCAACCACTTCATCTATAATTTCGTTTAAATAAAAGTCACTAACACTCAATCTTAACTGGTTTTTCTAGATCCTGGCAAAATCTAAGATGTCATAAATCATGTACAACATCAAGTACACATTCTTTCTAATTATTCTCAAGTAATATTTGGAAGGGGCATTAAGATTGTATCTTTCCTCCATTGCCTCTACTATGGTGCAGATTCCATTAATGGGGGTCTTAAAGTCATGAAATACAGTTGCCAATATCTGATCCTTGTTGTCGTTTTGTTTTTTGCTTTCTTCAAGTTCTTCAGTCAATATTTGTAACAACTTTTAGCTCTCCAAGTCTTTCAAGGATATCATAAAAGCTTCTTTATTTTTCCAAATACAATGCTACACTGTTATATTGATTTTCTTCTATTTCAACTCGTTAATCCCAAATAACTTATATTGGCTATCTTTAAATCTGAATTTGCTCTTTCCATGAGGAGTATCGTCATTGAATTAATTGGAAAGTTGAAATTTTTAATTTTCAATCTAAACTTTAGGACTCTCAATGTTTATAAAGTCCTGCTTTTCTATATTGATTTCGTCTTGCAATAATGTAGTTAGTTTTTTATTTTATTGAGTTTCAATATATTGATAATCTTCATTTGATATTTCCTTTAATCGACAGTATTAGAATCTGCTTTTTCGCTCAATTTATTATTGCTGTTCCTCAAAAATACTCTTCAATGTTTTGTGCGATGAGTCCTAAAATTATTGGAGACAATGAATAAAGTAATCTTAATTTGTCGATGTGTAATTAAATTCTTATTCCATTTGATTGGTATGAAAAAGTGGTTCTTTTGTTTCAGCATCAAGTATAAGAACTGGGTTCGTCAAAGTTTTTTAAAAAAAATCAATTATTGAAGAAGAAAGAATCTCTTGAGATTGATCAACAGCAAATATAAAAGGAATAAATGCCAATCCTAAATATGGAAACATATTCATATAAAATTGTAATCTGATACAAATGTAAAAATAAGTTATAGAAAATATAGTTATTCGAAATGGCATCCTTTCTATTGATGTTGTTAAAATAAATAATCTGAGACTTAAAAAGAAAATATATTCCTATTTATTAATATAGTATATACAGAAGATTAAAGAGATCCTAAAAACTCAATCTATAATATTTAGCATACAAGGTATGAAACACCTAAAAAAGTTTCTCTAATCAGGTCATTTAAAAACCTTTTATATTACAAAACAATAAATGCTATCATCAAAATTAGCTCTGCTATGAATATTATACTAAAGTTAAAACAACAGCTAGCCTGGATAAAACTGACTATTCCAGCAACCAAACTAATCGCAGCATCACAGAATCCAAAATATAGTAATCTATTATTCATATTAAATTAAAATTATTATAAATCAATTCTTAACATCCAAAAATTAAGTATTCTAAATACCCACTTCGAGTGAACAAAAAATTTTTCTAATAATATTATCAAATACTTTGTACCAAATGGATTCACAAAGAGTACTATAATTTACCAATTAATTAAGATATAATTTTTAATAACTCATTAATAAATATAATAAAATGGTAATTCAATTCGAATTTTGAATTTTGGTGAATAAAATATAAAATAGTTACTATTTTTTAATTTCAATCATTTTTACTTTGATGTACCAACCTTTTTCAAGGACTTTTTAGCATATATTTTTCATGGATTTAATCTCCCTTTAATACTTATTCTTCATTATCAAGAAAATTGCCCTTAAAAATCTTGTTTTTCTAATGAATAATTATGAAAAAATCATAACACTTACTCAAGATAATATAATCATCGTTTCATTTATCTTTATTTGTTTTCTTTAGGCATCCTTGCACTGATTTTTCTTTGGATCCATTTGAGTCACTATATGATAATATCTAGTTATTTATGACATCATAAAACAAAAATAACACATTTATGTTATTTATAAACTACATTAAAAGCAATTGAATTAAATATTATAGAATTTATTAAAATAAGAAAAGATTTTGGCAAATATAATTTTTAATCCTAAAGCAAATTTTAAGATCAAGAAATAACCATTAAAAAAATCAACCACTTTAATTATATACTATTTCAGTAGCTAATATTTAATAAATACAATAAATTAGTTTTTATAATATTGTACACTAAAACTTATAGGAATTCTAGGTACTTTGCTGAATACCAAAATTCTTTAATTTTACATTGCTTTAAAACTAATTATAGGTTATATAGTTAAAATTCATGTATCTAGGATATTGATTGTATAATTTAAATAATAAATTAAAACTTTTTCATGAAAAATAAATGTGTCTTAACTCATCAAATTATTCATCTAGTTCTTCTATATTTGCCTTAGCAAGGAAATCATTTACTTGAAGTGGAGAATTTATCTCTTTTAATTATTGTGATTTTATTATTGTTTAGTAGTGCTTATTTAAATTGCTAATGTTTCCAATTTTATTTATGAGGATGCACATGAAAATCAATAATCTAAATTATCTATTGCTTTTATTTTCCTCTAAGTTTTCAATTTATTTTAATAAATTGTTTAATGGCAACCTATAATAATTTTTGACTTCATCAAAATCAAGGTTAAAATTATCTTTTGATAAAAATCTTTTTATCTCCTAATACATCAAGTGATTCTAATAATCAGGGTAATAGATTTACATAGATTTATATAAATTTTCCAAATAATTTGGCATAAATTATAATTGTAGGTATTTTAAGTTTTTCAATAAATCAAAGCAAGTTTTGTATTATGATGATTTAATCACATCATCTATTTCTTTAGCATTGAATTTTGGAAATTGATTATTTTCAAACATCAAGAATATCTTTTAGAAAAATATGCATTTAATTTTTTCAAGTACAAATATCGAAAGAGGAACTGAGATGTGAACACTTGTAATAAATTTATGTTTAATATTTTCAATAGCCTAATCAATGATAGTAAAATTGAAAAGTCTAAAGTTTAAGTATTTATGAATCGGATTTAATTCAGGTTTAAAAAAAAAGATGAGATTATTTAAACTCTCATCTAATATAAGTGGAGGAGCAATATCAACAACTTAACTATTGTCATCTCTCTTCTTAATTTCTTAATTAATCGAGGATAATGTTTCCTAATCCTCACTATAAAACTTTTTAATTTCTATAATTGATTATTATTACTTTCCTTTAAGACCTAAGAAATCTGTCATAAAGTTTGAAAAGCAATATCGATTCTATTGAGAAGGTGAGATAAGGTTCTTACAAAGTTCTTGCAGAGTTTTAGAATATGAGGAGTTTTCGATATATTTTTAGGTTTCAGGCCACATCGATTTATAACAGTCATGCTATGGAATGTCCTGATTGGTTAATAAAAAAAACAAAATCCTTCCGATTAGAAATAAATCAAATTAATAATCATAACAATTTAATTCACCATCCAGAGGTTAATATTCAAGAGGACATCCAAAACCAAAATCCATTAATTTTATGCAAAAACTACCTTTCTATATGTTCGTTACCAAAATGTTATAAATATTAAAGCATCTTCCCATCAACTTATTTTTATGTAAAATGAATATAGCTTATATTAATTAACCCAAAATATTAATAACTTCTGCCTCTACTAATTTTTTTGAAATATCTGCAAGCCTGAAACTCCCAAAATATTTAAAAAATACATATTTACTACCTCGATTTGTTATCATTTTAGGTTCTCTTAAATATTCAGATTTAGGTTCTAAATCTTATGATCTAAATGCTTAATCATACATTCCAGTATAGAAATATGCAAAATAAGATTCTGAGTCTGAAGTTGCTTCATAAATTGTGAAACCGGAAGATTTTAGATTGGAGGGTCTCAATTAGAATTTGGACATCATTTGAAAATTTATTTAATTATTAATAATTGAGAAACAATAATATCGTAAGTTATAAGCTAAAAGCAAAGTTCAACTATTATCCTAGCGTCTAGTTCTTTATCTTCTTGATTGTTAAGGCTATTCATTCTGTCTTCTTATTTCATTATACAAATCTTCGTCTTTACCATTTTCACAATGATTACAATTGCATTCCACAGTACAAGTTTTCTATCTGATGTAACATTCACAATATCTTTTTAGACATCTTGTCTTTTTACAATTGCATCCCCAGATATCTTTTGTTTCAAATAATTTTTCTTATGGCACTTTTTTATTTCTATGAGCTTTTTTCTTTATATATTCCACAGCCTCATCTCTTTATGGAAAATGCATATTAGTATTTTTGCAATCTTCGCATTTGCAGGATTCGCCACAAATTTAACCATTGTGAAAGCATGAACAATACATTTTAAGACAATAGGTTTTAGTACAACTACATGGTTACCATTTTGAACTCTCATTTATTGGACTCTCCTGTTTTTTTTCATCTATATCTATTTATTTATTAATCACGAGATGTAATTAATCGTTGTTATCAATAGCTGAATTTCTTAGTTAGTAATAAATAGATTTTACAATTTTCTTAATTTTAGTATTTTTGGAGATTACTTGTTCTCTAAATCAATCTCACTAAACTCAGAACATTTGCTAAAAATTAACAATAACATTGGTGGCCTATTCTCTTCTGATAGTTCAGGATTACTCATACAATAATTTTTAAATATTATATATTTAATATAACTTTATAAAAGAAACCTCAAATTCTAATTCTAATGTTTTTATATTTAAATCTTTTCATCTAAAATTATAACTTTATTCCATTCCATGCAATTTTAAGATCCAATTAGGATTTTTTAATTACATTACAATGTTTTCTGCTCTTCATCATTTTGATAACCCAATTAATCTCGAGAGTGGATTTGTTGTACTATATCTAGCTACTAAAGGTCTCACCATCAATGTATGCGTAATGTGTATGATAAAATTCTTGGATTAAATGGATTGGTGAAGAAGTAAGTGGCACTTTGAAAATCCAAAATTATATTTTACAATTAAATAGATGTTAATAAAATTTTGAATTCAATATTAAATTTCTAACTACAAATGCATGAAGTGTCGGTTGCTGATTTTGAAATTTTAAGGAAATTAGGACAAGGGTCTTATTCTTCAGTTTATAAGGTCAGGAGAAAATCGGACGGGTAGGAATATGCTATGAAAAAAGTTTAGATGACTGGATTATCAATTAAAGAAAAATAAAATGCTTTGAATGAAGTAAGAATTTTAGCAAGTTTATCCAATCTTCACATTATCGGATACAGGGAGGCATTTATCAAAGGAGAAACATTATTCTTAATTTTGGAATTTGCTGGAGGAGGTGATTTGTAATAAAAAATAGAATACACTAAAAAAAAGGGGATGGGATTTCATTTTGATGAATCATTGATATGGAATTATTTAATTGAAATGTTGGTTGGATTGAATGAATTGCACAATAATGGTATTTATCATAGAGATATTAAATGTGCGAATGTATTTTTGACTTAAGACCATAAGCATATAAAATTAGGGGACTTAAATGTGGCAAAAATAGTGAAGTCAAATTAACTTGCCAACACCAAAGCAGGCACTCCTTATTATGCAAGTCCTGAGGTTTGGAAGGATGAACCATACGATTAAAAATGTGACATTTGGTCTCTTGGATGTGTGATATATGAGATGGCTCAATTGTAGCCACCCTTCTTAGCAAATGATTTGTATAATCTACAGAAGAAAATTCAAAGAGGAATTTATGAACCTCTGAACTAAAGATACAGCAAAGAACTTAGTTATTTGATATCTAGATGTCTCTAAGTATCTCCGAAAACACGAGCATCTTGTGAGGATCTACTCAATTTAGAGGAAATCAAAAAGAGACAGTAATACAGTGATTCTGGCCAATTGTTAACTAATGGATCAAAACTATTGGGAACCATTTATTTGCCCAGAAATTACAAAGACATAACTCTACCAAGACCAAGATATCAGACTGATAATAGTGATGCTAGTTTGACTCTTAATAAACGTCCTAGTTCTCGTGTTTAAAGGACAAAATCAAATAATATTTCGAATGATTCTGATAGTCCTTCATTTAAGAAGATTAAAATAAAAAATAAATTGTCAAATAATCTCAATATTCCATCTTTGCAAAGGAGCATTTCTTAAAATAATAGCCAACTCAAAGAGAACATCCCAAATAGCAGTAACATATATTAATTGCTCCCTCTTCATCAACATCACCCCAGTCATCAAGGATATTAAAGTAATAATGCGGGATAATGTTCTCCGAGACTACGGAAACAATTATCCTCTCCTTAACAATAAAAATAAAAATTATAATCAATTTTATAATAGGATTTTTATCTACCAAGAATAGATTAGAAATAATTGAACAAGTACCAAAAAATCAATTCAAAATGCTATATTTCAGATATCAGAAAATTATTGTGATTAATATTTTGCATTAATATATATTATAAGAATATAATAGCTAATTTTTACCATTGTTTTTTTATCATTAATATAAATGTCTAATTTTCACCAAAACGAAATTCCAATGTATGATGAATTCGATCCTGATAATTTGGATATGGATGATATCATAAGAAGAAGATGGAAATCAAAGAGAGGAAAAGTCGTTGGATTCTAAAAAAATAATAGCTTGCCACCTTTTAAAAAAAGATTTTTAGATGTAAAAATTATGCTCAATTTTCAGCCAGAATAGTAGGCAAGACAACCAATGTCAGAAAAAGTCAAAGAATTCCTGAAAGTAAACGAAATCGCCATAAAAGCAATTGATGGTCAACCTTGCCCTTATCCATTTCTAACATGGGCAAGTACATAATTTCCTCCCCAAATTTAAAATGTAATCGACGGACTCAATTTTCGAGCTCCTACTCCTATTTAATCTGTCGGTAATATTTAATTATTAAAAATATAGTTTTCCCATTGATTTTAAGCGGATACGACCTTATTGGAGTTGCAGAAACGGGATCAGGCAAGACATTCGGATATTTGTTGCCTGGCCTTATTCAAATTAAATGCCAAGATTACGGATCTAATTTTAGGGATAGGATAAATGGCCCTGAAATACTTATTCTAGCCCCAACTAGAGAATTGGTTATGCAAATAGCATAATAAGTAAGTCTATTTATGAAGCCCAACAATTTAACTGTTGCAACTGCATATGGTGGATAAAATAGAGATTAATAAGCCTAATAAATAAAAAGAAATCCTCATATCTTGGTTGCTTGTCCCGGTAGATTGAAGGACTTTTTGCAAGAAGGAATTTTAGATTTAGCGAAGGTGACTTATCTAGTAATCGACGAAGCTGATCGATTATTGGATATGGGATTTGAAGATGACGTTAGATATATAGTTTAAAGAACCAGATAGGATAGACAGACTGTTTTTTTTTCTGCAACTTGGCCTAAGGCAGTAAGGAATTTATCACTTGATTTTTGTGCAGAGAATCCAATATATGTTCAAGTGGGTAGATCGAATCTTACCGTAAATAAAAACATAGATTAAGAAATCATTTGTTTATATAACAATCAAAAGTTATAGACTTTATTAGATATTTTGGATCAATTGAAAATTAATGACAAAGTTCTTATCTTTGCAGAAACGAGAATTAGTTGTGAATAACTATCTGTTGATATGACTTAGGAGGGATATTACGCAGTCGCACTTCATGGAAATAAGACATAAGGTCAAAGAGATTCCATTATGGAATGCTATAAGAAGGGAGACACAAAGTTACTGTGTGCCACTGATTTAGCATCGAGAGGGTTGGATGTATCTGATATCACTGTTGTGATCAACTATGATTTTCCCAAATATTTTGATGACTACATTCATAGAATTGGTAGAACTGGAAGAGCAGGTAGAAAAGGAAGAGCCATTAGTTTTTTTGCTATTGGAAAAGATTAACCCTAAATGGCAAAGGAGTTATTGAAGTTTGATAAAATAAATAAAATGAAATTAGATGTATAAACCATGTAAGATATAGCCAATGGAATAAGTAATTATTAACCTTATAAATTATAGAATTGGAAAGAAATAATAATTTTCAAGGTGTTGCCAAATATGGTGGTTAGATAATGACTCATTAAAACAATTCTAAATTTGTTGTTCCTAGTTTAACATAGGAAGAATAGGCTAAATACTTTTTGCAGCCTCACCAATTAGAAAATATGTATCCTTTAGTTCCATAATTTTTAGTTATAATAAAGGTAGATAAAATCATGGAAGACAAGATTAAACTAGACACAATAAAGGATATTAACATAATAACGGTAATATTTAGGAAGAGGCATTTTATCAAAACAAATATCTAATGAATAATTAATAGAGACGATAGCAATAAAATCCCTTCACAAATTCATATAGATAAGAAGAACAAAGCCACTTTCAAGGATAACGAAGACAAGATTATTTGGACAATGGAAGGAATAATGGTAGATCAAGTTTCTAAAAAAATCAATAGCCTAGATTTGGAAACCAAGACTCAGATTACCATAGACATGATTAGAAATGGCATGGTAATTAACACGAAGACTAAGGGAGATATTAAGACAACAGAAGAGACCATTATAATCAACAAAGAGGAGATAAAAATGACTTTTAGTAAAGATAAGGCTTTTAATAATAAGGATTTCCTCCACAAAATAGAGACATGTGGTAGAGAGATTAATAATAAAACTCCAGATCTTAAAATTCTTATTAAAACGATTATAACTAAAGAGGAGAACCTAACAATTCTTCAAGAAATTAAATGAATTACCCGAGAGATTAGTAGAGTAATTAACCAAGAAAGCATTTTATTGATGATAACAATTAGAATAACAGAAATTATAATTAAGAATAAAAAAACTATTAATAACCTTATGATTAAGTAAGAGGTTACAGAGGCGAAGGCTAATCTGATAATTAAAGATTTTAAAATAATAATTAGAGATAATTCGATAATTAAGATAATAATAATCGTAACAGACAAGGATTTCCTAGTAATGAATACAATTAATAATAAGAGAAAATAAATCCTCCTGATAATTATCGAGACAGAAATTAGAATTAACCTTATCCATAAAACACAAATGATAGGTTTTATTAAGATAGTAGATAAGGAAATCACAATATATGGCAATAGAGAAATATGCCAGAACCATAAAATAATCAAAGATTTTAGAATGAATCTAGTGATTTTTAAAGAGAAAATAATACTAGAAATTTTAATAAACCTTAAGATGATATCCAATAAATAAGGAAAGATTCATCGCAATAACCAGGGTTAAATACATAACCAAATTTTAACAACTATAGACCTAATGATGAGCGAATATAGTCAAGAGACAAGGTCTAAGATGGCCAATCTAATTAAGATCCAAAGATTTTGCCATAATCCCAATAGGTATATCACTTATATAATTTATTAGGGAGAATTATAAAATTCTTAATATCCTCCTCCTAATCGATTTAATGAAAACTTCAAGTAGAATTCGAATAATTAGATGCCATAACCATACTTTGAGTAAAGATAATAAAATTAATAATTTGCATAAAGGCAAGATCCGAATAATTTTGTCAATGAAAGATTCCAAAATTAATAACAAGGGTAAATGATATCTCTATATTCAAGGGCTGATAGACCACATGATCAAAATTAAAGAACTCTCTTAGATTAGAAAATGGATTAGATGATCAATAATCAAGGCTATTATGATAATAGACAAAGATAAGGTCAAGACAATTTTAGACCATCACAACAAGACGTACAGAGTTTCAACAGGAATGAACGAGTGTTGGATTAATAGGATGATAGCGAGAATCATATAGATTTTTCTAGATATTCTAGATAAGTAGATGACAATAGAAGAAGGTTTGAACTTGAACAAATCCCTAAGTATTTTACACAAATATATTATCTAGAAATAACTAACAAGAACTAAACAATAGTAGGAAGAATTCCGATTCCTAATAACCGATAATATAGGAATAAAACCAAGGAGATTCTTAAATTTAATATTGAATAATTTAAGAATTATAATAATTTAATATTGTGCCAAGTTTGTATTAATTATAACGAATTATGAGCCGTCTTTACACTTTAGAAGATGAATAGTTAGATTATGGTTTGGATTATGAAAGTGTCTTGGTAGTTAAAGATATTGATTAAAGAAGGCAATAGAAGGGAAAGGACAATGATCTTCAATAAGTTCTAAGTCTTCAATTTTACAGCAGACATCAATAATATTCAAAGACTACTGTAAATTTAAGGAGCATTTAGAGATTAATAACTGAACAAAAAGAGAATAGTAAAAAGTTGAAAGAAAATAAGCCCATCAATTACAAAATTAAGACTCCTTCTTTAAAACCTTATCAAGGTTCAATTATCACACCCAAATGTTAAACAAAAACACCTTAACTTACAAAATCATTAAAATCGACAATTACTATTACGCCGTTAAATTTTAAGGATTCATTATAGAAAATTAAGTTGCTAGTTTCTAAATAACAGTAAAAATACGAGTTAGACTTTAACAAATTTAAAAAGTCAATATATTGATTTTATAATTTGTATTCAGATTCTTTATATTAGTTTTTAAGTAAAAATATACGATTCAAACATTATGTTGATTAATAAAGTATAGGATATATCCAAATTTAAGAAAATTCACCATCGAATAATATAGTATTGATTATTACCACTATTTTAATAATTTTAGTAGATAAAAAATAAAATAAAATTCATTTGAGAATTAATTTCACATGAAATTTTCAATATGTGAGATTCTAAAAAGAAATTCGAGGAGTTGAATCAAAAAGTAAATAATACTCTTCATTCATTGCAGTAATAGTAAAAAAATGATGAAATTTTTTAGTAATAACAAAAATAAATTATAAATTTAATGCAAATTAATGTTAAACAATCTTCAAAGAGTAGAATATTGCTAACAATGATTGAAAATTATCATAAATCTCCTGATGATGAAGCTTTGCTTGAGGCTTCAAAAAATAACTCAGTTGCCTAAATTGAAAAGAGATTCAAAAAAAGCTAGGTTAATCACACATATGCATTTCCAAGAATGGAGGAAAATAACTAAAAGTTTAATTCTGAATCTCCTATTGCAAAATAGTTTTCACCCAAAGAATAACCTCAATAGAAAGACAACTTCAAAGATCTTTTGAAAAAAATATATCTCTCCAATCAAAACAAAAATTCAAGAAAAACTCAACTCAACCAAGAATTTATCAAATAATAATATTCTATACTGCAACAATCCAATCATAAATCATTTTAGACAGCAAATAAATCAAATTTATAACATTCCTTAAGTTAAAATAGACTTTTAACAGACGTAGGTTAAAAATAAAGCTATTCTAGGGGATAGTCCCCAGATAATAAATTGTCTTATTCAAATCGTCAACTAGGAACACAGCTTTCTAAATTTATAAATCAAAATGTCAAAGAAAAACAAAGATCATAATAAAATTTCAATTAACAAAACTCATGTAGAAGCTTTGAACTTAGATATTAATTTAACAAGTCACCTTATTCATTACTACAAAACAAAAGCTTTGATTTAATTAAATAGCTTTCATAATTTTCAAGTCTATAAAAAGTAAAATCTAAAAATAATTGATATGGCTTCAAATTATTAGTTTATAATTGAAAAAATTATATAAAATGTCATTTTTTTTTTTATTTAACATCAAATCCTCCACCACATCTTTTAGAATTAGAAGTTTTTGTTTTCTGCGTACTTTTTACAACTTACATATTAGGTTCTTTAGGTTGCTAAATTACAGTCTCTTATTATTTAATTTCCACCTTTTATTTTAAACTATAGTATTCTCCTAACACTATAATATTATTCTCAAATTTGAGTTCAGAGGCTAACAGCATCATTTGAATGGCCAAATCTTCTGTTGGATTTTGAAATTCATTAGTCAAGAGACACTTTGCTTACTCCATGAAAATTCTCATGCAATCATATTTTTCTTCAATAATGGCTAGTAATTTTTAAGTACTTGGAACAGCCTTTAGATTGTCTTCGCCATTATCTAACCATCTAATAATATTGGCTATCTATTCAAATTCTTCATTCAAAATAAATTGTAATAACACAGCCAATGCAGAATATATCATGGCATGAGATTTCCTTTGATATCTTTAGGTTATATTATATTTCTTCGTTGTTATGCAATCTTAGATAAAACCCTTTAGATGTTTAGATTGGAAAATCGGTTAAGAAAGTAAAAACTTTTCTGATCTCACAAATCCGCTAATGTAGATATTGTCATTTTCAAAAAAAATATTTGTCGCTTTTAATCCTAACAAATGTACTCCCAATCCTTCAAGAGAAGCCAATGTTTAAAATAGTTGTTGAGTTATAGTTACAACTAAAAATTTGTTTCTAATTTTGTAATCTAGCAACTTAGTTTAATAGAATCTCCTTAAAACCTCAATGCATTTTTCTTTTTCATTGTAATCAATTTCAAAGTATTGCACAATATTTGGAAGATTCAACTTTATTACATTTTCAAAAGCATTTATTAAAAATACTTATTCTCTTTCATCAGTAATATATATTTTTTCTAATAAAAATTCATCCAATTGATAAAATTTCGAATAAGCATCTGATTCCAATTCATTTGCTGCGTAATAATTGAAGTTCTTAATTCCTAATTTACTTTTCATCATTGAAAAGAATATTGGATTTAATTATATTATTTATTTGAAATTTCCAATAATAACTAGAATATGATTATAAGGTATTTTCTTTACAAAATAATATTTATTAATATAATCAATTTTTCATGAAAAAATAATAATAATCTAAGTCTCTTTCTGGTCGCAAACCCCAAGATAATGCTAAGTCGGTTAAGAAACAGGAGAAACTTACTAAAATATAAGAAGCCTTTAATTTCAATAAAGCATCCAAATATATCGTACAATTTTCTCTTATTTTTAGTTTTAATCCGGATTTTAAGAGAGAGCTTGGTTAATCAAAAGAGGATATTAAGATCGGATTGATTTTAAGGACTAAGAGATTGCTGAATTGAGAAAATATTTTTCATCCTTAGATGGAGATGGATCAGGTGCTATCGGAATAGAAGAATTGGAAGACCCATTAATTGCTTTAGGCTTAGTTAATTCTAGAGAGGAAGTCGAAAAAATTATGAGTGAAGTCGATGAAGATGGAACCAATGAAATTGAGTTTAAAGAATTTCTAACTATAATGAGAGGAGTTTAGAAAGGTGGAAATGTAGACTAAGGAGAAAAAAATCCGATTTATGACTTTTTTAAAAGTAAACTTTTTCATATTTGTATTAGAAATGAGTAATGGTCAATTAGAAAAAGGTATGGATAAGCATATTCCGTTTAAGTTAAATGTCAGTTTGTTTAGAAGAAAATAAATATTAAGTATAAATCTATATAAATTATTAGATGCAATAACGGGTGATTAAAAGGAGTTAAAGGATAAGGGATAAAAAATATTATAAGCATATAAAAGATAGTTATTGAATTATAAACAATAAGATAGGATCAATAGAGGGGAAGATCCAAATGGTAATTTATTAGATTAAATATTAGATATCTCCCTAGATTAGTTTCCAAATAAAGATAATGGTCCTAATCCAAGAAATGGATTTCCTAAGCTACAAAGAGTCATTTAACAAGAATAAACTATAGGAAATAATCATAAACACTATGATAAATGAGATCAATTCAATTAAATCATAAATTTAGTATGCTTTTCTAATCTCATTTTTTCTTTCTAAACTCTAAATCAATTGTCAATAATTTTCTATTCGTTAAAGCTTTTCTGAGATAAAACAATCTCTACTTATTTAAATAAGAATAATTGAATTGCTTCAGTCTTTAATCCAAAAATATTATATTTAGAATTGTTTTAATTATTTATTCTAAGAGAATTATTTAGAATCTGAATTTTAATTCATGTCTTTTAATATTCAAATACTTACATTGATTGAATAATTATAAATATTGTCAAAAGAAATATGATATTAATAATTTATTATTTCTTAATTCTATATAATATATATGAAACAAATTAATGTGATTTTATTTGATTATCTGTCTATCAAATATTTAAGCAGTATTGAAATATTGAATTGAACACAACTTAAAAAAATCTAATAAATGAGATTTGTGGGTATAGAAATAAATTTAATAAAATTTTGATTAAAATAATAATTCCCATTTATTTTATTGTATAAACGCTAACTACTTTTAAATTTCATGATTGTTTTAAAAATAAAATTTATTAAATTTTACTTATAATGAACATTAAATTAAAATAGAATAGGCTAACAAAATTACAATTTTATTATGAGTCAGCATAAGAAAGAAGAAAGAAACAAGCATTAAAATATATTAAAACTTATTAATTATTTCAAACTCCATAAAAAAGTTAAAGAATAATTAGAGAAAATAGGCTTGATGTCAGTTCTACAAAATTAGCCGATTCAAGCTGTTGCTGTTCAGAATGTGGAAAAGAATCTGATTTTAAATAAAGAATATTTAAAAATTACACCTTCACCCAAACTTAATATTCGATATAAGAGTCATAAAGGTAGTACTAAATTATGGATAGATATAGAAATTCTAAATACATCAAGATCTTTAAGAAACTTGTTTATTGTTTGCTTTTCATAATCAGATATAAGATAGTTTAAAATATTAGGTATAGATAACGGTAGAGAATGAAAAAAGCTTTTAAAACAAGAATAGATCATCCCAAAATGACTTTTCTTAATATTTTAGACTTTTCATCAAATTAATTTCATATAAACCCAAAATTTAGATCTGCAACTAATTTTCATTCTGTGTATATCCAAAATGGTACAACTGTAAACTCTCCTAAAGATTCAGATGAGGAATTTTATCAACTTAAACCAAGAAAGTCTTTGATACACAAATTTTCAATAGAGGAAGAAATTATGCGTAAAAAATTATCTAAATCCCAATAAAAACTATACTTAATGACTGGATCGAATTCAGTTTTAAATTAATATGTAACAAAGAAATTAAACTAAACATATCAAAAGTCAATTGCAATTGATAAGTAACAATAAAACATGGTACTTTCATCACATTCTAAAAATAATGTTGCAAGATAAAATTAATCAATCTACCTACCTAATATCAGAATAAAAAAACTTAATTGAAACTATAATTAACTAAATTTTGTTTTTGATAAATATCTAAAATATTGATATTTATTCCTCGGTCTTTCAAATTAAGTTATAATCAAAAAATTAATTAACATCTTACTAAAGGTTTGATTATTTTAAATTCTTATTGTTAAGAGAACATCTGATAAAGAGATTATAATTTTATTTAAGCTAATAGTAATGTAAAATTTTGCTTTATGAAATTTATAACTCCAAATAATTTTCAATCATTTTTCTTTTCACTCTATATTGATATATCAAATTATTGAATCATTAATTTGGTTTCTTTTCAATAAATATTTCATTTATTTCCTGATAATCTTCTACTTTCATTTTCATAATTTTTAGATTCATATTTTTGAATACCTAAAATTTATAATTTAGCAAATATGTGCAATCTCAAACTAAATATATATTTTGAAAATTAAATCACAAAACTGTGAAACAACTATTAAGAATCTTTATTAAACCTACTTAAAATATTGCATCCTATTATGTTATTTAATCAATTCAGAAGCTGAAATTCTCTAATCAAATTCACAAATTTTCAAATGTGTGAAAAGAAGGAAGTTATAAGTCTATTATATAAATTATAAAATAATGGAATTAAATTTTATGATATTCCCAGCTCCAAAACACTCCTACCGTGAAGAACATTTGAGAGTTTATATAATAGTTAATTTAGGAACTTGTCAAGATTCCTTATTACGATGATTTATTTAAATTTTAGCAAACATCACCTAAAACTCGAATTTAGTTTCATAAAATTGATCCTTTTAAACCCCCTGAGGAAGTTCCAAATGTATTGCAATAATAAGAATTTAGGATGTTAGTTAGCTTTCAAACTATGATGATTAAGTTGATGAGCTTCCTAGCTAAAGAATTCCTCGTATGAATAAGACAATTTCTGTAAGTAGACAACAAAATATGTTCTCAGTATAAGAAAATAGAAACAATTTGAGGGTCTCAATTACACCTCGTATGGGTAGTAGCTCAAACACTCTGAGCCAATTTAATAATAATAGGAATTATAGATGTTCAAAATAAATTCCATGCTTGTATTTAAAAGCCTTGATTCCTACCAAAAAAACTATAATATATTTTCATGCCAATTGTGAGGACTTATTGTCTTCTTATAATTTGGTGGATTTTATAAGGCACAATATGAAAATGAATGTTTTGTCGGTTGAATATCCAGGATATGGATTGTATTAGGGATATACAAATGAGGAAAATATTTTGAAAGATGCTGAATATATTTATAAATATGTTGCATTTCATTCTGTAGTTGAAGAGAAAAATGTGATTGTGATGGGCAGATCGATAGGAACAGGAGTAGCATGTCATTTGGCATCAATATTTTAGCCTGGGTTGTTGGTGTTGATCTCACCTTTTTTGTCGTTGTAAGAGATTGTGAATGAGAAGTACCCTTTGGTAAAGAAAATGGTTAAGGAGAGATTCGTTAATAAAGATAAAATTCAATTAGCAAAATGTCCTGTTTTTATTTTGCATGGTCTAAAGGATAACATAGTTTCAGTTGAATAGGGGAAGAAACTGTATGGTATCTAATCAGTTAAGAATGTTTAGATTTATGCAAAAGTGCTTGTTTATTGAGGACACCGCCTGAGATGACACACACTAGATTTTAATTTGAGAATGACTTGACTTTGCCATTGCTAAACTTTATGAGATCGTTGAATTTACTTTGAAAATATAAAAAATAATTTGAATAAGTTTTATTTTAATTTATGATTCGTATTTAGTAATTACAGAGTCAAATTGTGGAACCAGCAGGTCTCAAAGGGTAGTATTACGAATAAGTAAAACATGAGGATTATAAGTGTTTAGAGACCATAAAATAAATTGGAATGGTTCAAGAATAATGGATGGGGATATAAGGATACAAAATTTGTCTTAGAACAAGATGGAGCTGTAAGGTTGACTGGAAATAAATACAGATTTTCAAATTAGAGAATGATGAAATTTAAGGAGTGGGCAGAAGCTAAGGTTGGAATCGATTTGAGTCTTAATTGTGAAGCACAAAATGAAATTCCTGCAAATCCACCTATCATCAATGAATAATTTATGAATGCAATTCAAGGGTAGTTTAATGAGGTTTCCTTTGATAATGCATAAAGAATATTGCATTCTCATGGACATACGATGTAAGAGGTATTAAGTACATTAAATGTAGATTTATGAATTAAGACATGGTAAATTAGCAAGAATAGTGGATTGTGTAGTCTATATAAATTCTCATGCCCAGGCAGAAGTGTTAGTCAAATTGGCTGTTGAACACAATGTAATGTTGACAGTTTATGGAGGAGGCACCAATGTTACATGGGCATTGTAATGTCCAAAGGAAGAAACAAGAATGATTGTTTCTGTTGACACATCAAGGATGAATCATATAAGATGGGTCGACAGAAAGAATATGACAGCTTTGGTTGAAACTGGAGTTACAGGAAAGGATCTAGAGAAGGAACTATCAAGATATGGAGTAGTATGTGGACATGAACCTGATTCAGTAGAATTTTCAACCCTTGGAGGTTGGATTAGTACAAGAGCTTCAGGAATGAAAAAGAATCGTTATGGAAACATAGAGGACATCATTCTCTCTGTTAAAGTGGTTACTCCAACTGGAACTTTGTCTTAGAGTTTAGATTATCCAAGAGTCAGTAGTGGTCCAGATCTCAACTAAATTGTTTTGGGATCTGAGGGCACTATTGGTATCATAACTGAAGCTGTTATTAAAATTAAGGCTCAACCTGAAGTAATTAATACTTTTATATCAGGTTTGTAAATATGAATCTATACTTTTCCATAATTTTGCTTTGGGAACTGAATTTATGTACAAATTATCAAGAAGCAAGGTTTGGCCAGCTTCAGTTAGATTGGTGGATAACAACCAATTTTAATTTGGAATGGCTTTGAAGACAATGCCTCATAGTAAGAGGGAGGAATTTATAGATAAGGTGAAAAAGTATTTCATCACATAATTCATGCAATACGATCCAGATTAAATGTGTTTAGTAACTGTAGTGTTTGAGGGAACTAAATAAGAAGTGGAATTCTAAGAGAAGAAAGTTTTTGAGTTGGCTAAGTTTTATAAGGGATTTAGAGCTGGAGCTGAAAATGGAGAGAGAGGATATTTCTTAACTTATATGATTGCATATTTGAGAGATTTTGCTATGCAATTTTAGTTTATTGCAGAATCCTTTGAGACAGCAGTAGGATGGAAGAATGTTCCTGCCGTGTGTGAAAATGTAATGAGATGATTTGATTTGTAGATTTAAAGAAGAATTGTGGAAGAGTGTTCTAAAAGAGGAGTTGAGAAGGAACCATTTGTTTCATTTAGAATTTCATAAGTTTATGACACAGGAGCAACTATTTATGTTTACTTTGGTTTTGGTTATAAAGGAATTGCAGATCCAGTTAAATGTTATTCTGAAATAGAGGATGCTGCAAGAGAGGAGATTATGAAAAATGGAGGATCCATTTCTCATCATCATGGTAAATGATTTGAATTCATCGTTTTAGGTGTTGGCAAGCTCAGAAAATAATTTATGTAAAAGCAAATTGGAGAAACTGGAGTGGAAATCTTAAAAAGAATCAAACAACAGATAGATCCTAAGAATATATTTGGAAATTAGAATTTGATATGAAACAATTTATGAGCATAAAATTATTTAAAACTAACAGTTAAATGAATTTAAATTCAATTAATTTAAATATATTTTTTAAGTAAATGAACAAGTCTGATACTACTCACAATTAAGAGAACATTGATCCAAATATAGTTAGAAATTCAGTTTCTCAATAAAAAAAAATTACAAGAAGTTCAGGTCAAAAAACACCTTGGAGTGCAAAGTAATATTCTCTTTAAATTTTGATTAGTACTGGTGAAATAAGTCATTCAACCAATGATGATATTGAGATTTCTTGTTTCCAAGTAGGACCAACCAAAATATCCTCACTTTCGACCAATTAGGCTGTGATATGTCAAACAAGATTAGAGCAATATTTGACTTCAAATAATGTTCCTGATATCCTATCATATTTAGATGAATTTGAAGACCTTGATTGGGTTAAATAAAATTATATTACTCATATTATAGAATTGATTGTAAAACAAGAAAGAGAATATTTAAAATAGAGGATTGTTGGATTAACTGCAATATTGACAAGCAAAAATTATCTACTCAACAGATAAATCATCAAGATGATATTTAGTGTGTCATCTAGGATTGGTTCACAAGAAGGTTTCTATGCTTTACATGAAATATAACACCTTATGGAGACAATGATTTTCAAGGAAGAACTTCAATAATACAATTAGAAACAATATTACTCGCTTATTGTTTATTGTCATACACATCAATTATTGTATTGGGGGTTGGCTGGAGAATGTTGGGAATTACTAAAACTCAAATTGGCCAGATAAATAGATGAGTCAGTCAAGGATGAATTTGAAAAGACAGCTTAGAAAATCTGTGATATGCTTTTAAGATAATTAATAGAATTAAGTAGTTCAAACAATTAATGGTATCAAATTTTCAACGAAGTGTTATATGAAGGTGTCATCAATCTGCATCCATCTGATATATTCTTTAATAAACTAATTGATTATGCTTTCAGAAAGTCTCAAGTTGAAATGGCAGAATATCTATTAGTATTCATGAGAGATGAAGCCAAAATTCAGCCCACTATTGTTACTATAAACACAATGATCGACCAATACTTTAAGAACAATCAGAAAGAGAAGGCTTGGAAGACTTTTGAAAATCTTAAATTGACTTAAACAAAGCCAGATAATTTTACATACACTACTCTTATTAATGGCTTAAAAAATTCAGATAATATGGATTTGAAATTGGCATTCTCATTATTTGAAGAATACAAATAATACAATCAGCCAGATCAAATCATTTATAATTGTCTTCTCGATGCATGTATTAATGCAGGAGACTTGAATCGAGGCTTCTAATTGTTAAATGAGATGAAATAATCTTAAACCATTTAATTAGATGAAATTACATATAATACATTGATAAAAGGGTGTGGAAGAAAGAAGAGATTGAATGATGCTATAAATTTGTTTGAAGAAATGAAATAAATAGGCATCAAACCAAATAGAATCAGTTTCAATTCATTACTTGATTCTTGTGTTAAGTGTAATAAAATGAATATTGCTTGGAGATATTTCGAAGAAATGAGAAGGCAATATGGCATTTTCCCTGATAATTTTACTTATAGTATTTTAGTTAATGGAATCAAAACCAATCACTCAAATAGGGATGAACTGTTGAGGGCTATAACTCTCTTGGAATAGATTCAAGAGACTGGGTAATTCAAGCCCGATGAAATTCTGTATAATTCATTAATTGATGCTTGTGTTAAATTTAATGAGATCCAAAAAGGAATGGAATTATTTAGAGAAATGAAAAATAAATAAATAGATCCATCATCAGTTACTTATGGCATTTTAATTAAGGCATATGGAAAATTGAATGATTTGAATGGAGCATTTAGAATATTTGAGGAAATGAAGTAAAAGAAGATTCCAATTAATGATGTGACTTATGGTTGCTTGGTTGATGCATGTGTGAGAAACGATAGATTGGACTAGGCATTATAGTTCATTGATCAGATGAAATCCTAGAGTCTTCCCATCAATACAGTTCTATACACAACAATAATCAAAGGATTTTGTAAATTAAATCAAACTGAAGAAGCAATCAAGTATTTCGAACTCATGAAATAGTCACCGAAAACTTATCCCAATCTCATAACTTATAATTCATTGCTGGATGGAATGGTAAAGAATGGACTACTGAATTAAGCAGATAAACTATTTTAAGAGTTAGTTGAATCTAAAATCAAACCTGATCTTATTACTTTTAGTACCTTATTAAAAGGACATTGTAGAAAAGGCAATATGAAAAGACTCAATGAGACAGTATAAATCATGGCTGGTTTACAAATCAGTCCTGATGAGTCCTTGTTACAATTGATATTGGAAGCCTGTCTCAATCAGTAGCAGTATCATATAGGAGTTCAGATATTTGACCAGTTTTGTCATTAGATTCCTTAGTCCACTCAATTGTTATTGACAATCATCAGATTGCATTGTTTAGATAAAAAGTTAGACTAGACAATGCCATTATTGAATCGTTTATACTAATTGATGGATGAAAATAGAATTTAGCACTAATCTTTAGAATAGACAATTAATTCCTTATTACAATACTAATTGGATGAATAAGTTTATGCAATAGTTACTAAAATTGTAATAATAGCCTTAAAAATGGATTTTAACATATCTAATTTGGAGACTCTAATATCTAGTAAAAATTCTTAATTAACCACGTTATTATAAAATACTAATCAACTTCCATGTGATAAGTTATAGCAGATATTGCCTGAATTGGTGAAGGAGGATTAGAATGTATGCAGAGAGTATGTTAGGAAGAATAGTAAGAATGGACTTAAGGAGCCATTGAATGAATAATTTGGGTAGGTTTTTTTGTAATGTAACAACAATAATAAAAAGAGTAAAGTTTAAGAACGATCATCACCATTCAACAATGAAAACAAAGAGAACGTCTATCATCCAAAGCGTTAGTATAATAATTATGCAAAGAACGATTTGGATGAGTTCATGCCAAACAAACAATACGCAAAGAGAAGATGATTAATTAATTAATATTATAAAATGAATAATGATCAATCATTAGAAGACATTGATTAATTTATTCATTCTTATGCACCTCAACAATCTATCCCAAATATTCTTTCGCAAGCCATCACGTAAGATCAACTTCTGGTCCAAAACGTAAGGTTGATACAGCAATTGCATGAACAACAATCGATTTTGAATCTTTAAAGTTTGATGTTCCTCAATCCTATGGTGCAAACATAAGTGAACCACGAAAGTAAAAAGATAAAAAAAACAAATAAAAGCATCTAAGTGATTCCCTCTACGACAAATGTAAAGGAAAATGCATAGCATCTCTTAGAAATTAAAGGAAATGTCAAAAATGCTTACATAAAGAAAATAACTTCATTATTAAGTGTAAAAGGTGACAAGTTGCTTGATGATGACTTTCATGAGGATCTGGAAATTGAGAGTTGTTCCGACCTCCAGAAGTAGGATAAGTTGAGTGGACTGTTGAACTCTAACAATGACTAAACTCAAGTGAAACAAAAAGGAAGGTAAAGTGCCAAAATGTCAAGACTTCGTAAAAAAGTGTATCTCAAACTTTTGGAGAAAAAGGTAATTTATGTATCTAAGTAAGGTTTCAGATCTAGATTAGCAGATATCGGAATACAAGAAAACAACTCGACAATCCTTCGAATATTTGACTCAAATCTTACAATCGCATCCCATCCTAAATAGTATGATAATCGGGAATTCGGCGGCAATTGATTAGGTAATGGAATGCTCATCTCCGGAGTAAGCCCAATTGATCCTCGACTCCTATATTGTAAGCATCCCAATAAATGTAGATGAGATATGGCATATGCGGAATCAAGAGAAGGGATTACTTCAAATATGCCGTCAAAAATATACAGAAAAACTTTTTGAAGGGGAACTATGGTCTGTTGCTAATGAGTTGGAATAATCGAGTGCATAATTGTAAGAGACTGTTGACTTATGTGTAGATGATCAAGAGTTTAATCAGTATGTAGAAATAGTGAAGGAAGAGGCCAAGTTGGAAGACGACAATCAAGTGTATAAGATACTGCCTACAGTTGATAGGATGCTAAATCATCGAAAATTGTCCTAATAGTACACTCAACAGTTTTAATCATAGGCTATTGTTGAAATTCAATTAAGACATCAGAAATTTGAGGTCTCTCCAACAAGAAGTAGAAGAAACAGTAAATTAATTTACTTAAAGCTTAAGTCCCACTCAGCATTTAGATTTCATCAAGTTAATAGAGAAATAAGGAAGTTTTAATAGATATACCAAATGATTATTATAAAGTCATTAAAAATTTTTGGTTTTCTCTAAATAAATGTCATCCATTTTAAACAGTCTGGCCAAAATGAGATATAAAACAAAAGTATCAATATGATTGGAGTGTTAGGCCGTATTTTCAGGAGTGACAGATGTAATAGTTGTTGATCAAGGGGAGGAGAAGTATGCATCAACTCCTTTCAATGTGAAATTTGGTAAATTGAAGTTTGTAAATGCAGGGTAGGAATTGGTTATAGAGAGTATATTATAAATACGATTGCATAGCCTTGAATATAAGAGAAAAATCAACCATCAAATAGATGAGTTTGATAAAATTAGTGATTTACATAAATGGGGAGAAAAGAGATGACATCCAATTCTACTTGGATGACGATTAGATAGGCCATTTTGCATATGATTAGAAGGAGGATATAGAGGAACTTAGATAGAAATATTCGGAACAGACAAAACAAAATGTTAATCTACAGCAATAACAGGAGTCTAAATTGATTCCATAAAATAAATTCTTAGTTTTGTCCAGAGTGCCAACTTCCAAAACCATTAAGAGTTTACAGTTAAAGCATGGATTAAATGCAATTTTGTATGAAGTGGAGTGCAAGAGGTTGGGTTTGTAACATATAGAATGTCAATTGTTTATGATAAAATAAAACCAAAAGATTTTTATAAGTGACATTGATGGAACCATTACCAAATCTCCAACAAAGGGTATGATTCTATCTACATTCGGAAGAGATTACACATAAGATCATATATGTGAGTTTTACAATATGCTTGCTTAGCGGAATTATCTTATTTTATACATGTCAGCTCGATCGATGGTGTAATATGAGAGTACCAAGGAATATTTGCTTAGATAACAACAACAGGGAATCTAATTGCCTCCAGGCCCATTGTTTTTGTCTCCCCAAGAACTATTGGAGGCATTTACTATTGAGGTTATCAAGAAATAGACTGACATTCTTAAGTCACAAATGCTAAATGATTTGGTCTTCACCATCGGAGTAACTGGGACAATTTAAGGAGGAATGGGAGATAGATTGAACGATATTCAAGCATACAAGATGGCCAACATTGAGTATGAAAGGATATTACTGATAAACAAGAAGGGGGAGATAGTTAGAGTGAATAACGAAATGAAAGAAGAAAAATTCACTATAAAAGAAATTATTTAAAAGATGGATTAAATTTTCTGAATTTATTTAAATAATTACACAATTAATTAAAATGTCTGCTGTGGGTATTCGTGGTGAAAGAGATCAAGGATAAGATGTTCGTACAAGTAATGTAACTGCCGTCATGGCCATCGCTAATGTAGTCAAAACTAGTCTTGGACCATAAGGATTGGATAAGATGTTGGTCGATGAAATTGGAGATGTTGTAATCACAAATGATGGAGCAACTATTCTTAAATAATTGGAAGTAGAGCATCCTGCTGCCAAAGTCATTGTTGAGTTGAGTTAATTGTAAGACAAAGAAGTCGGTGATGGTACCACATCAGTTGTTGTATTGGCTGCTGAGTTGCTTAAGCGAGCTAATGAATTAATTAAAATTAAAGTGCATCCCACCACCATTATATCAGGTTACAAATTAGCTGCCAGATAGGCTGTCAAATACATTCAATCTCATTTAGTGCACAAAATCACTGAAGATGACACTGAGATATTGATCAATGCAGCCAAAACCTCCATGAATAGCAAAGTTATTGGTCCAGAAAGTCACATCTTTGCTAAATTAGCAGTCGATGCAGTCAGACTAATCAAAACTTAAGGTGCAATCTCAGGAAAACCTAAATACCCAATTCAATCTATAAATATTGTTAAGAGTCATGGACAATCCTCCAATCAATCTGAATTGGTCAAAGGATATGTTCTTCAATTACAAAGAGCTTCATAATAAATGGTAACCAAAGTAAAGAATGCCAAAGTGGCTTGTTTAGATATCAATTTAAACAAGTTCAAAATGTAGATGGGAGTCTAAATCTTGGTTGATGATCCTAACAATCTTGAGAAGATTAGAAAGAAGGAAATGGATGTTTTGAAAGAAAGAATACAATTATTATTGTCAGCTGGAGCCAACGTGATCTTAACATCTAAAGGAATGGATGATTTAGCTAATAAATATCTCGTAGAAGCTGGAGCTATTGGATTAAGAAGAGTCCCTAAAGAACATCTAAGGAGAATTGCTAAAGCAACAGGTGCTAAGGTTATTACTACCTTTGCTAATGAAGAAACTGGAGAGTCCTTTGATGCATCCAGTTTAGGAGAGGCTGAAGTATGATAGAATAATAATAATAGGAAGTTTACGAAGAAGCCATAGGTGACAATGATTACATTTTTTTCAAGGGGATGAAACGAGAATAATCAGCAAGTATCATTCTTAGAGGTGCAAATGAAATGATGACTGATGAAATAGAGAGATCTATGCATGACTCCTTGTGTGTTGTTAAAAGAACCTTGGAATCTGGATCAGTCGTAGCTGGAGGTGGAGCTGTTGAAATGGCCTTAAGCATTTATTTAGATGATTATTCGAGGACTCTTGACACAACTGAACAAATTGCTGTTGCTGAATTCGCTGAGGCTTTGACTGCTATTCCAAAGATATTGGCTACTAATGCTGCCAAAGATTCAATAGATTTGATCAGCAAATTGAGAGTTTTGCATAGCAAATCTTAACAACTCTAAGTGGATGAGAAGGGATTTAAGTACAGTGGTTTAGATCTCATTAAAGGAGAGGTTAGACACAATCTAAGACACGGGGTTCTTGAACCAACAGTGAGCAAAGTGAAATCATTGAAGTAATGATACAAAGGTATATTGATAGGTTTGCAACAGAGGCTGCTATTACAATATTGAGAATAGATGATATGATTAAATTAGAACCAAAGAAGGAGTAAATGCCAGGTAGACATTGAGTTATGATAAGTATAATATATATATGCATAATATTATTAATGGAAGTGAATTCAAAGATTTTTATAAATGCTTACTCATTTGGTTGCTTTTCTTCAGGTTTACTTTGAAATTATTGAATTAACCTAGAGAAATTCAACTTATATTAAAATTAATAGAGCTTTTTTTAATCAAAATAAGGAAATCCAACAAATTGTTTAATTATTTAATAATAATGAATCGAAGAATTATTACAGAAGTTGGAGATTCTCATCGCAAAGATCTCAAAGATGAGTGCAATGGAAACGAGTACAATTTCATCTCAAATAAACGTTATCTACACTTGAAATCCAATGTAAGTGAATCTGCAGTTGAATTGAAAAGACCAAGTAGAATTAATCCATTGGCATTTCAATAAGAGAATGTTTCCATAGATTAAACGAAGTTATACAATATGGCGAAACTGTCCCTTCAAGGTTAAAGTGAATAGCTGAAGAATTGGTAATAGTAGGATCTCAATCTATAAAAAAAGAGTTCTTACTTATAAAAGAATTTAGACAAATTAGAACATAAAATTTTTGTTACTCAAGGTATTTATAATAATTCTAAAAGATTGAGATTAATTTACAAAGAGAAGAAGTTAGTTGCTGAAATAACTAATGTAAATAAAACAAAGTGATAGGAGTAAGTCGAATTATAATTTGTAGATTAAAGATAATGAGAAAATGGAAACGATCCTTCAAGTGCGATCGATAATGAATGCTGAAGGAAGATTGGAATAATAGTAGAGAAGATTTTAGATACAAAATCAATCTGTCTTAAGAATGAGACAAAGATTGGCTAGTTGTTTGGAACAGAGTCAGGAAAGAAGCTTGAGTAGAGTAAATATGAATTTCTCGGCTTTGACGATACAGAGAAAAGAGCTGATAAATAAAAATAGCTCTAGAGTAAGAATAAGAGTATAATAAAATTGTTGTAACAAAGAAATAAATACTAATTGATTAATTATATATATTATATATATATAATGAATAGACTATTGATTACAGAATTAGGAGACACTATGAGAACAGAAATGAAAAGAGATTTGACTAAGACAATTAAGTCCAACAGAACCATACTGAAAACCTCGTTTCCAGAAATTAAGAATAATTTTTGTAGTTCTGCTCTTCTTACGGAGATCGACAAAACTTAGAACCCGCTCTATTAAAAAAGTCTTTCTGATTAGGCACTTCTAAATTTGTCTAAGGTGGCCAATCTTTCTTTGTTTGGGCCAAAAAATAGACAGAGTTTAGAAAATCACTTAAGAGATGATCTATAAATTAAGAAGCAGAAGGATTATTTGAATTTATGTTTGGATAAATAGGTTGATAGAATTCTTGATGACAAGAGTATTTGAATTGAAATATTAATAGATTTGATGAGTAAAAGGAAGAGGCAGTTACTGAATGAGTTGAAGAAGCTGGAAGCCAGAACAAAATTGAGGCATGTTCATCACATCCAAACGGAGTAGTCTTAATTTAGTTCTGTGATTGAGGACAACGACAGGGGGATGAAGTTGATGTCGATAGTGAATGCTGAAGGTAAGTTATTATAATTGAAGAGAAGATACGAAAAGTAATAATTGGAGGATTTGAAAATAAAACAATAAGTAAAACTGAATTATTGCAATTTCAAAGAAAACTAAGTTAGGAACATCGAAGCTTTGAAAATAATGGAGCATAAAGATATGGAGAATGATGTTAAGGATATTTTTATGAACAAGGATTTGTCCGAAATCAGATTCAGTGAAAGATTGAATGAGAAACATGTAAGAGAGACAGAACAAATTTGGAAGTAGCATCACTTTCCTCAACATAGGAAATGGCTATCAAATTGATTAAATATATTAAAATTAAATTGATAAAAATGACAAGGGCAATTAATCTAAAATTATAAGATAAGATAATTCTCATAGAAATGGCAAATGAAGCCACTCTGAGTGATCTTTACAAAAGAGTAATTATTCAAATTAGGAGATAGATCAAAGAGCATCCGCTGACTCCCAATCCAAATTAACTGATTGGACTCAAAACTGTATCAGGAGCTTTGACTTTAGATTATATTCTATCAAGACCTGAAGATAGGAGTATCAAATAATAATGATTAGGTTTGTTACAACTAAATAAATTGAAGTAGAATGAGTGGTTGGTAGGAATTTATAAGTAATAAACAGGATAGTTAAGTTTGAAAGATTTTGTTTTTGAAAAATGCATAGGCAAAGGAGGTACCTCCGAAGTATATTTGATAAGACATAAGGGAAATGCAAGACTGTATGCACTCAAAATGATAAAAAAGCATTACATTACAGATTGCAGACGTTTGGAATAGGTATTGAGAGAAAAGAAAATATTATCCAATGTATTAAATTAAAGTCCATTCATTGTGCCATTGTATGCAACATTTGCCACTAGAGAACACTTATGTTTCTTGATGGAATACAGTCCAGGAGGAGAGATGTTCTTTCACCTCTAAAATTATAGATTTACAGAGGAAGAAGCCAAGAAGTACTTTTGCGAAGTGATTTGCACATTGGAAGAGTTACATAAGCATAAAGTCCTCTATCGAGATTTAAAGGTACTATTAAAATTGATTATAACAGCCAGAGAATATCTTAATTGATATTAGAGGACACATTTAATTGACAGATTTCGGTCTATCAAAGTTGGATTTGATGAATGAAGATGTTACACACAGTTTTTGTGGTTCTCCTGAGTATATGCCTCCAGAAATAGTCAGGTAAGTCTATTGACTATTGTAGTCGTTAAGGATATTCATACCCAGCCGACTTTTACACTTTGGGTTGTCTATTACATGAGTTGTTATTAGGATTGCCACCACATTATTCTTAGAACACTGAAGAGATCTTTTAGAAGATAATTAATGAGGAATTGGAGTTGCCAGATGACCTTACAGAAGAAGTTACTGAATTATTGATAGACCTATTGGAAAAGGATGTCAATAAGCGAATCAAAGACTTCAAAGTGTTGAAAAAGTATCAATGGTTAAGTGATGTGAATTGGGAAAATATCAAAAACAAACAATTAGAAATGCCTATTGAAATTGACATCTATGAAACTCATATTCATGGAGAATTCTTAAAAGTGGATGTTGCTGAATTTAATTAAAAAAATGAAACTGGTGATTTGAAACCTTAAGATGATTTGTTCGAGTTCTTCCATTACATTAATCCCATGTATTAGGATTAATTCTTGTTAGAATCAAAATAATAAAATGTCAAAAATAGAGCTTCAAGTGATATGATAATTGAGAAGAAATAAAAGTTAATACCAAATGACAGATAGTCCAATGTCAATCCAACTCAATTAAAGAAGTGCAATTCTATCAAATAATCTTTGAAGTCTGCTAGTTCTCCAAGAATAAGTAATTAATTATTTAGTACTGGCCATCATAGTACTCAAAATTCGCCCAAGAAACAGCTACAACTCAATTTATAGGATATTGACAATCAATTAAGCATGAAAACACCAAAATAACCCAAATCCTTAGCTGGAACCACTCCGACAGCTGCTACTTTGGCTCTGCTGAGAAAGAGTTTCTAGACTTTATTGAAGAAGGCCCCATAATTAAGGAATCAAGATAATAATCCCACTTTAAGAACTCTATTGTCCGAACGGTCTTTAATGGATAGGAACTATGTTAATCATATTAATTATAATTAGATTTAAAAAATATTACAATTATAACATAGCAGTCCCACCAATAGAGAATTGTCGCAGAGGCCACCTCAATAATTGTAAAAAAGAATTTCAAGCACATCCACTCATCTTAAATCCTAGTTATCATAGTTATCACTCTTTACTTTATCTTCATAAATTACTTAAAGAGGCAGCACCTCACATAGACCAAAACTCAAACAATGATAATATTATTATATATATTTAAATATCAATTTATCTACATTCATATAATTTGTCTATTCCTTAATTGTAAATTTCATTTTGAACTCGTATCTTCTATAGAATTAGAATCCTAAATTACATTATTTTATTTAACTTTTTGCAAATAATTTAGGTTTTAGATTTAATTATTTCAAGTCCCTTATCAATCAGCAATACTATGATATTCTATTATTTAATTCTATTTGCTTGAAAGTAACATCAAGAAACCAATTAAAATGATTATATGATCATTCAATATGATGAATCCATTAGATATCAATATAAATTTGTGTATTTCATTTCATTTTAAATACAATGGAATATATCAATACATATGAGTCATTATATATTTATGCAATGTCTTAATAAATTATATTAGATGGTAAGTACTTTAATATTATATAATATAATCAAAAATATTAATTAAATTTATAATAGAAAATCCTTAAAATCAGAACAATGATAGTAGTGGAGCCTTCCTAATATAATTAATATTTGATTAAATCTTTACTCAACAATTAATTTTTTACCATTGATAAATAAGATTTGCTTAAGTATTCATAAATTACTGCCGAATAATGTAGTCAAGAATTTCATTGGACTATAATAAGTGTGGATTAACTCTAAAATTTTAATCATAAATACTCCTTAAGGTTTGGAGAGTTTATATAAATGACTACAAACAAACCCTAAAACTAAAATCAAACCTTGAGCAAAGTGACTCTATTGATCTAATTGCCTGATAAATATATCATTTCAGGATAAAGTTTCTCAAGACTTAAAGATATATTAGTTCAAAAACAACCATGTGTCCTTTAAAGGTCTGATGACAATTTATATTTAACGATAGAAAAAGATAGAATTATATTCTTAGACTACCCTAATCTTGGAAGCTATTTCTAACTTATACCTCTAAATGATTCTGGATTAAAAATACAGAGAGATATAATCAAATTCTAATATGAATATGAAATAAGGAATTATGTAACTGGATATTCTCTAAATATTAAATAAGATAGCGTCAACTTCAAATCCCCACTGTTAAGTGTGATAAGAAGTAATAAAAAAAATGAAAAATGGTAGTTAATAGAACAAGAAGACTTCCATAACTAATTTTAATTTTTTAATTTTGCCCATAAACTGTATATCCATACAGAAGAAATCATTGTGAATTTAATTTCAGCCAACCCACCAAAAATTAATTGGGAAATCTAAAGTACAATATTAACCATATTAATTAGCAATTGATAATCAAGAATTTTCTTATGGTGTTCCTTTTACTATTCAAAATTCATTCACTAAAAATTTTTTAACAATGAATGCATTCAACTTAAAATGTATTCACAATTTTGAATAAGAAGTTTTCTAAAGTGAATAACTATAACCAGAATCATTATGGATAATTTTTTAACATTAAATATGATGTTTTATTTATATATACAAATAAGTGGAAATTCTTTTTGATTTTATATAAAGTAAGCGAATTACTATAATAATATCTTAATTGAGATGAATAGTATTTTTACAAGAAAATAATACCTTACTAAAGAAAACATAGAGCAAGTCTTTCCCTAAAAGTTCAATAAGAGTTAAAACTATAATATTGTCAAAGTGATATCTTTCTAAAGATAGGTGAATTATAAAAAATCAAAAAATGTGCTTAACCATTCTTATTTCATTTATCGAACATTTTATATTTTTAATCATTTTTATTTTATAATTTAATGAAGCAGATTAAAAGTTAATTTAACTATCAAATAATAGGAAGAATTCCGAATCAGCTGAGTATATATTATCAATATTAAGGTAGCTCATACAAAAAGATGAATAATCGAATACTTGCGTATTAAAATAAAATATAAGTCACAAAAGATGATAATCAATTTGATTTTAGCATAATTACTCCAGGCTATTTAAAATGCAATAAAACATAATATATGTTTAATTGGAAAATCAACTTTTTTGATAGCTAACTTTGCGAATTTTCTAAAGATGAATTTTATTAGATTTATCTATACAATTGTTTCCTATTAGGTGATTGCTATAAAGCAAATAGTCTATCATATATACAATAACAATTTAGATCTTTTGAGTCATATTTTGATATTAGGAATTAGAACAGAATTAATATACTTTTATAAGGGGAAAACATGAATGAATTCAATGAATTTAAACTATCAAATTCATCTCAAAATGAGTTTACTGATTTTAATCGAATTTATGTTAATAAAAGAAATCCTTTTGTATAATTTTCAGTTTATGATATCGTAAACAGCAATGAAAAGGCAATATCTTATTTTTAGAAATTGATTCAATAAAAAGCATTTAAAAACATAGATGAAGCCTTATAATATTATGGAGTTACTCTAAATGAAATGGAAGAATTGAATGTTCATGAATTTTTACATTTAGAGAAACTTATTCCTGGGAATATACAAACATATAGATAGAATTACTAGAATTTCTATGAGTACGTTGCTTTTTGTGCATACACTTTGCATATAAATTAATTTCATAGAAATGTTCCAAATATGGCATTTAGCACTAATGAATGTGAATAGTGTAACTCAAACAATCCATCAGAGTATTGTACATCACTTAAATCTATCCAACCTTTAAAGTAACCTCTCTTAATACCTATTTAACAATTGTAAGAGTATCCTCTAAATTATAAAACTTATGATATTATTTGCATTCTCTATAACTCATTAATTTGCTAATTAAAAATTTGGAGTCATCAAGACTCTGTTGAAAGCATATTAAATTACTAAGTGCCTGAAGAAGCCATGGTAACTTCATCATCCAATTTCAAAAGAAACTATGAAAATTTGGAATTATTGGGCGATTCTGTTTTGAAATATGTCGTAACTGTGGATATTTTTAGACAATACGAATTGCTAGAAGAGGGAGAAATGACATCCTTACGTAGTCGCTTAATAATGAATACCTTTTTGGCTTAATTGTTTGAGCAACTAGGTCTAGAACAATTTATAATAAATTAGGATTTGCATTTCAAATAAATTAGAAATCCACTACTCAAAGATATTATTTCAAGTGAAAATAAACAGCTGCAAATAAGTCAGAAAGCTGATATTTATGAAGCAATCATAGGTGGAGTGTTTGAATCTACTCAAAGTCTATATGAATATATTACTATTTTAAGAAGAACAAACTTTCCTATATCTATCTATTAAGACATCCTCTTTGATTATGAGCCAATCACAGATTAAGTCGAACACATAGATATCAGAGACTATAAATTCAATAATCCTCAATTATACGAAATAGCTATTAATCCATAATAATATGATAGATTGGAATTTTTAGGGGATGCTGCTATCGAATTACTTGTCATTTCTTATTTGTTTAGAGTGGCAAGGGAGAAACAATTGAAAAATCCTAATTGGAGTTTGAATCCAGGATTACTGTCGAATTGGAAGTAGTAATTATTAGGAAATAAGTTTATGGGAGAACAAGCTATTAAAATGGGTTTAAGACCTAAAGTAATTGAGATACCAAAATTATATGGAGATGTTTTTGAAAGTGTTGCAGCTGCCATTCTACTTGACAGTGGATGGAAAGGATTTAATTAAGTGTATGGAAGCCTATATAAGAAATATATGGATGAAATTATTGAGTTGTGATATAATTATTAAACTAATTATATGAATAAAAAAAATTTAGGATGGGACATTGAAGAACACTAATACTTGGATAGTTTAATACCTGGCAATTTACCAAGAATCGACAAAAGACATTAAGAGAACAAGAACCATAGAATTAAGTCAATTCTAGATTCGAAAATTATTATCTGTTCTTCTTCTGTTTAACCTAACCAAAATAAGAAATCAATGTAAATAAGCACTTAAACCACCCAAACTGCATTTCAAAATACACTTACTTAAAGTTTCTATAGTCCCATGGCTTTAACAAATTATCATGCTTTAAGATATCCTCCATTACAAGATGTTATTCATAAGTCTTTTAAAAATTCATAAGGACCATTAAAAAGAAGGAAATATAGATGTAGCATAATTAATCTGAGTCAACCATCAATTTAAAGTCCATAAGCAAACAATAAGTTGTACAATATCAATAAATATTTATAATAAAAATATTCATGCATCAACTATTTTTGATTTAATGGTTTCTTATAGTATAATTTATAAATATCAAAACATAAAGGGATGGTCATTACATTTTTAATTATAAAATATAAAGGTTATTTCTTTTATTTATATTTTAATTTCCTTTAGAATTACATCGGATTAAACTAAATCAATCGATTCTAAACATAGACAAGAATAACATTAAGTAGATGTATTGTTGTAGGAGCAAATACTTTCAAGAAAAAGATACAAATTGAATAAAATAAATTAAATATTTTGACAAAAGGCTTCCTTGTTTTTTTAAAGACTCTGATATATTGATTCATATAATACAAATACATTTCTTAAATATTGATTTAACAAGTCTTCTATAAGTCAGGCACACAATCATTGAATAAAGGTAGATGAGGATTAAGATTGGATCCAAATTGTAGGCTTGATGTTTTAAATGTTATAAAATGAATTCATAATACCTGTATTGTCAATTTACTAAATATTGATAAATTATTCGATGACAAATGTATAGAAATAAATATGTATGATTTATAGCTTATTGTAAAGATTAATTATTATTTAATTACATTAATTAAATTATTAATATGTCAGCACTTGAGATAGCACGCAAGAAAATATCATTTGATGTAAACAAGTTGTCACACTTCATTTGGGAAGGAGAGGAGAGGTTCAAGAGATTCATGGCATTTTAGAAGCTATGCGGTTCTGATCCTCTTCTTCGTAATAATCCCAAGGACATTGGAATTGGAAGAGCAGAAACATATGAACTATATGCAAGGAAAATGAAGAAGTTGTTGGAGGTGGCTGACTTGCGTGATATCAAAGAATTCGCAACCTTGATCTACCCAGAGGCTGTAAGATATTGACATTATGTTGAATAGTTGGTGTCATCTTTGAATTATGAAATGTTCATGCCCACAATAATGAATTTGGGAACAGAAGAATAAGTGAAGCTGTTTTATGAGCCAGCATCAAGGTGGGAGATCCTGGGTTGTTATTCATAGACAGAATTAGCACATGGTTCAGATATAAATAGAATCGAAACAACAGCCACATATGATAAATAAACAAAATCTTTCATTATTAATACTCCCTCATTGAAAGCCACTAAATGGTGGGGAAGTGACATGGGCATAACAGCTACTCATGTTGTAACATAAGCCTAATTGTTCATTGATGGTAAGAGATGTGGAGTATAGAATTTTGTTGTCTAAATCAGAGATGTGAAAACTCATTAAACACTTCCAGGCATTTTGGTAGGTGATATTGGTGCTAAATTTGGATACAATTCAAAAGATAATGGATATTTGAGATTCGACAATGTTAGAATTCCCAAAGTCAATATGTTAAGCAAATATGTGAATGTCTCAGATGATGGACAATTCACTAAAACAGGAGATGACAAAGTATGGCATGCTACCATGTAATTGATGAGATAACATTTCTTGGATTCAGTATGGAAATGTCTAGGAATTGGTCTCACTATTGTCATTAGATACTCATTACAAAGAAAACAATTCAAAGATTCCTTAGGACAAGAAATTCCCATCTTTGATTATTAACTTCAATAACACAAATTAATTCCATTGATTGCTGAAATGTATGGATGTATGTTAGGAAGTAAGAAGGTATTTGCTATGGCATAAGACAATGTTGCTCGAATTAAATAAAAGAATGATTTCTCTAAAATGATGGTATATCTTTGATTCATCTTAGGAAGTTCATGTTGTCTTAAGTGCTTCCAAAGCATACTACACATGGAATTGCTTCTTCGCCTTAGAAAAGGTTAGATAATGTGCTGGTGGACATGGTTATTCCTATTACTCTGGAATCCCACCTCTTATCACTGAGATGAGTCCCTGTGTAGTTGCAGAAGGTGATAACACAGTCTTGTCTTTGTCTGTGGGCAAGGTCTTGTTGATGTATCTCAACAAAGGTATAATTATGTTTTACATTCTTAGCCATGCAATCAGGAAAAGCTCCCAACACCACATGTGATTATTTGGAAGACGTTTTCAATTATTTGACCGAACTCAAATAACCATTGGTCTCAAAAGAGTGCACCAGAGACCTCAATAAAGTCTTGGCTGCTTTGAGATATAATGTTGCTTTCAATGTTGCTAATGCAGGGTAAAAGTTACAAACTCTCATGGGTGATAAGGGATTGACATTTAAGGAAGCCACAGACAAACACTTAGGTATTCTCTTATAAGAAATTGCTCACACATAATCTAATTATTGGACTTATAGAACCTTCCTTGAAGAAGCCAATGCTTTGACTGATCCAAATATTAAGTCTGCCCTCACTCAATTATGCTTATTGTATGGTCTTAACAAGATCTTGGAATAATAAGGATAGTTGTTTGAGTATGGAGTCTTAAGTGGTCCTCAATTTGTGTGGGTCAGAGAAACTAGAGATGAACTTATTTCAAATTTGAAAGACAATGCATTGGGATTAGTTGAAGTAATTTATTATGTCAATTTTTAGGCCATTGCTTATGATGACAATAGTGTGAGATCAGCCATTGGAGATTCTTAAGGCAATCCATATGAGAAATTATATCATTGGGCAAAAGACCTCAACCCATTAAATGAACCAGAGTTCCATGAATAAGTTTTCAAGACAATTAAGACGATCAGAACTGCATCTCCACATGCTAAGTTATGATTAAGATTAACAAATTATTAGATTCATTATTTATGTTCTTTTTCATTATAGAGTATTGAATGATGAAAGTAAGTGTAGGACCAGCAATTAATGCTTTAATATTTATTATTATTTATTAAAAATGGAAGGATATTTGAAAAAATGGACTAACCTTTTTTCGAGATGGCAAGATCGTTATTTCATTTTGAATGAAGAAGTTCTTGTTTATTGCGATTCTCAAGGAGGCTAGATTAAAGGATAGGTGCATTTAAAAGTGGCGGCTTTGATATTAGTGCCCGAAGACCCATTAAGAATAATAATTAATACTGGAACAACAGAAATTCATTTGAGAGCGAGCAATATAAATGAGAAAATCGATTGGATTAATGCATTGAAATAGGCATAGGACAAATGTTTGAGTCGTTAAAATGAAATAAAGTTTGAATAAAAGATACAAGAATTGCTTACTGATGTTTGGTAAACTGGAGCTATATGTACAATAGATAAATTATTGTAGTTGATGAAACTTTGAGCATGTTGATTCCTAAATTGGAAAAGAACTCACAAATTAAGGAGATGGCTGACAGATTAGAAAGCATAGGCAAAAATCTAAAAACGAAAATCACGCTGTGTGCTCAAATTGTCGAAGAGGAAAAATAAAAGTTATCGAATTTAGATAATGGAACTGTGTATGAGAGTTTTATTCATCAAAATTCAGCATAATCAGTATAACGAGAAGAGACATTGAATCACTAGCATCATTAATCACATGGGCAACAATAATTAATGAGTTTAACTGAAATAGCTTAGCAAATTAGAGAGCATTAGCCTATAAAATATGTACTTAAAGAATTTGTTATATTAGTTTTTAGAATAATCTCATCAATAATCCTGCTTTTCAGAAGATTAAATTTACAAATCATTCTAAAAGAGATAGATTACCTTATCGAAAGGATCCCAATGAAAAAATAAATGTTTGGTATTTGTGCAAGGAATTGATTGGAAAGGATTTAGGAAGATTTTCAGTGCCAAGTAATTGAATTCATATTTACGATTAGTTATTTTGAATGAACCATTGTCGATGTTGTAAAGATTGGCCGAATAAATGGAATACTCTGATTCTTTGGAAGAGGCAGATAAGATTCATGGAGATAGTGCATTAAGAATGTGTTATATTATGGGCTTTGGTGTTTCACCCTATTCTGCAAATATAGGAAGAACAAAGAAACCGTTTAATCCTATTTTAGGAGAAACCTATGAAATTTAAACTCAAAATTGTAGGTTTATTAGTGAATAGGTTTCACATCATCCTCCTATATCTGCAGGATATGCAGAATCAAAAGCTTTTTAATTTTGGGCGCACACAGATGTCCAAACAAAATTTAATGGCTTATGTTTCTAAGTGAATCCTGTAGGATTATTTAATGTCATGTTGAAATCATCAAATGATCATTATTAATTTAATAGGTGTACAACTAAGGTTCAGAACATTTTATGGGGGTAATAATATTTGGATCATATGGGATAAATGAAATTTGTAAATTTGACTACTGGTGATAATGGGGTGTTGGAATTAATTGAAAAATCAGGTAAATCAGAATCTGAGATGAGAGGGTATGTAAAAGATAAAAATGGAATTGAGAAATATAAGTTAAAAGGGTTTTGGAATGATCGTCTTATCGCTTATGATTCTTAAAGAGAAATTGTAGTGTGGAAGAGACATCAATTACCTTAGGATTCAGATTGGTATTATAACTTTACTGAATTCGCCATGTAACTTAATCATTTGACAATCGATATGATAAAAGTAATAAATATATGTCTAAAGTTACTTAGGATCTGCCATGTACGGATTGTAGATTGAGACCAGATCAATTAGCATTTGAAAATGGATGGGTTGATTTGGCTTCAAGTGAGAAGCACAGATTAGAGGAGAAGTAAAGAGCGCGTAGAAAAGCTATGGCAGCAGCTAATTAAGTGCATGTTCCTATGTTCTTTGAAGAAATGATTGATCCTAAGACCAATTTGAAGTGGTATAAATATAAAGGGAATTACTTCTAATAATAGTGGAAATAGGTGGGATCAGAATTGTTGGATTTGTTTTGATTAATTTGAATAACAAAATTAAGTTGTATTATTCATTTAAAATATTGTTGTTAAAAATACGAATTAAATTAATATTTTAAGACATTTGAAAAATGTTTAAAGACATCTCATTTATGTTCCCTTTGTCCACAGTCAATTTAACTAATACTAGGATAAGGACACTGTCTAGTTTAATAGAGTCTAATGGAGGTCAAATGAGACTAAGTCCAGATACACTAATGATTGTTGGTTCTGATGCAACAGTAGAATTATGTCAGAAATAGTTTACCAAATTTAATCTTGATTTTGAATAATATCGGTACTAGTTCTTAAATGCCGATTGGGTCTCTTAATCGTTATTACATAAAAAATTACAACAAAAGAAGAAGTTTTAATTGTTCCCACAAGTAGAATTTCAACCTGTCTTAGAAGAAGTTCCGGACTTAACTACAAAATTAGTTTATGTAGAAGCTTTGGCTAAGACTGTGCCAGTGAGAGAAGAAATGACTGAGTAAGATGATGGAGATACACTTGTTTACAATATCAAGGATAATGAGTTTAGAAATTAGTATGAGAGAAGGATGGAGGAATTTAGGAGGGATATTGTTAAGGAATATAGATAAATATTGGACTATGAGTATGATAATGATTTGGATAATTTCCATAACCAAGTAGATGATGGTTATGAGTATTTATTGGAGGATTTATCTATTCTAAAAAAAGAGGAGCCATAAATACCTGAGTCTGAGAAATTTTATGGTGATGATGATTGTTAGATAACTGAGACTAGAAAAGTCTAATTTGATATTTTGGATGGATTGGATCTCGGAAAACCAGTTGTCAATACTGATTAACCAATATTGTCTGCATAATTAAAAGAAACCAAATAATTTAATCCTGGATTAAAAAGAAAGTAGTAATTTTGGGAGGCTAAAAAAGGGTATTTTGTTTGTGAAGCTGGCGCTGCTCATAAATGTTAAAACGATGAGATTATTGAAGAATTGGAAAAATTGTTGAACATATATACAAATGAAAAAGATAAAGGAAGATGTATAGCTTACAGGAAGGCTATTGGGTTCTTGAAAGCACTTCCATATCCTATCAAATCAAGTGATGATCTAAAGGATATGCCCACAATAGGAGATAAAATCAAGAAGAAGATAATCGAAATTATGTAAACAGGTAAATTGACTAAAGTATAGAAACTGGAAGGATAAGAGAAAAATGTGGCGATCAGCTAATTAAGTAGGGTTTGGGGTATAGGACCAACGACTGCTGCCACCTTCTATTTTAAAGGAATTAGAACTCTAGAGGATTTGAGAAAGAATCAACATTTACTAAATAGAAATCAATAAGTTGGTTTGCAATTAGTGGAAGATTTAGAATAGAGGATTCCAAGAGAAGAAGCTACCTTGATATATGAGATTGTCAAGAGAGAAATCGAGGATTTAAGTGGTGTTTAAGGACTGTTTAAGGCAACAGCTTGTGGATCTTATAGAAGAGAAAAGGAAACATGTGGAGATATGGATATTTTGATTACAAGGTGTGATGGTAAAAATACTGAAGATTTCCTATTAAACTTGATCACAAGATTGGAGGGGAAATTGTTAACTCATCATCTGACAATGCCAAAAAGAACTGAACAGGATTGCGAAACTTATATGGGGATTGGAAGGGTATCTAATTAAGCTGTGCATCGAAGGATTGATCTGAAACTGTATCCAAAGGAACAGTATGGTTGTGCAGTTTTATATTTCACTGGTTCTGATCATTACAATAGAAGCATGAGATTGTGGGCTCAAAAAAACGGATATACTTTAAGTGATCATGGACTCTACCCTACTCAGAGAGGTGCTCATAATAAGAAGTTGTGGAAAGGAGAAGTAATACCATGTGAAGAAGAAATGGATGTGTATAAGATTTTAGGATTGAAATACAAACCTCCCAAGGAGAGATCGGTATGATTTAATTTTTATTTTGTTTTTTTATTAATTTACTCGAACAAGATAGAAAAATATACATCAAGTCAATCAAATATTCAGCTATGTTGCCCCAGTTCGTATTCTATCTATGAATTCAACCGATAGAGGGAGATTGGCAATAATTAATTGTAACAATTCTCTGATTCTTCCGAAACTCCAACTCCCAATTTCTCTTCCTCGAAGAAAGTGTTAGTATCAATAATGGAGTATGATTTCTCATAATTTATTGGTCTCATTGCACTTTCACTTGACATCTCTTCAAGTTTAACGAGAGGAGTTGTTATTGTTTAAGGTTGTTGTTCTTTTTATGAGATTACAGAAAACACTGACACAAGGGTCAAGAGAGCAAGACTTATTTTACCAAGTCTCGATCCTCGACCTAATTGCTACAGAATTGTTAGTTGATTTCTTATTTTTGAACTCTTATTAGCCAATTTTTGATGTTTTTCTTAAAGTTCTTCAAGTTATTTTCTCAATTCAGCATTGTAGTCTAATTCTTTCTGTGCTTGTGATTCCAATTGATGCAAATATTGCTTTTTTCTGTCCCTTGAATTTTAAGCACTTATCCTATTTCTTATCATCTATATAGTTTTCTTATCATTATCTCTCAATGGGTCATCATCTTCCTTCTTTCTTTTTATTTTCTTACTACTTGACACAATCTCTGGCTCTTCTTTATTCTTTCTCTATTTAGCCTTCTCCCTTCTCATTGTTCGCTTCATCTTTTCAACGAGCTTTTAGAAATCTTAAAAAACATTAGATAACTTAACTTACTTTGAGGATTTGATTACTACATCTCTAACAATCCCTTCTCGGATGTTTATAAGGTTTCACTCATATACTCAAATAACTCTTGTTAGCTAGTGCTCATTGTAGAAAGATTTATATTATTTTATTACATTAAAAAACGATTAATTTTCTTCGCTAAATACACCAACTTCGCGAAATAACTGCAATCTAATATAATTGAATCACATTTATAAATCCAAATTTTATAACATTGATTCACCATCATCTCATTCCCCTCTTTTTTTCTGCCATATTTATCAAAAGTAATCATCCTTTTAAAAATATCATTTCTTTACTAAATATCGTTTTTAAATTATTATTTACAAAATTTCTAAATAAAACTTATTACACGTTCTTATTTTGTAAATTGAATATTATATAACAACTTAAGTAACTGAAAATAAAGTGCTATAAAATAACAATTTTATTATTATTGGAACAAAATGAACACTACTTGATATTCTTTGTATGATACATGGGATTCACTTAGAAATTATTTGAAATCACACGAGATAATGATGAGAACTAAGTCTCTATAGAGGTAGTATCAAAATAGAAGGAGACTACTTCTGATATTTTGAGTGATAGGTGCGATATTTTTGAAATAACTAGTCATATTGGTGATAAAACTGGGGATCTTAGGTTTTAGATTGTGTTTTTAGACATTCTGATTTTTTGATAATGCTATTGGAATCGATGAAATATAAATTTTTGATCGTTTTTCAATTATTAATATATAATATATTCATGAGGACACTAATTCTCACAGTGCTAATTTGCTTTGGTGCTTCACAAATGCTGAGAGGTACACCGAAAGCCTTGATTGAAGAAGAACAAGGTAAATGAGATGATTTAGAGAAGCAATCTTCCAGGCCGAATAGGAAGATTAAAGTTTTTATGTAGGGAGAGATGATGTTTCAGCTGAAACCCTGTAAGGAGATTAAAATTAAGAGGTCGAAGGTAGTTTGGCAGTGTTTAAGAGTGACGATACTCCAATGGTTTATGTTGAGGAATCGGCTGATTCAAGTATTGAATAGAGTTAATTAAAAGCCCAACGAGATGGTGTTGAGTAGTAGGAATCTTTGAAGATAGAGAAGATTGAAGATTAGGTGCAGTAAGAATATGATCGATAATAAAGAGGTGAAGACTTGCAGGAAGCAACGACTGAGGCAGCGAATTATGTTGATAAAGCAATATCTTTGGAGGGAGACACTGAAGCAGAACCAATTTAGAATTCTTCGACGGATGTGGTGTTGAATATTGCACCGAAGACTGAATCTCTTAGCAGTTCTGAGAGTACCAAGAAGCATGTTTATGTTTACAATCGTAAATGGATTTCCAAATACTTAAATTAGCTTTGGCCAAGAAGCCTTTTGTTGGCATCAAGTTCCCACCAATGCCAGTCACCAAGGATCGTAACTACTTGTCCAATTCTGATACTTTAACCATCAAGTTGCCACCATGGTCAGAACAAAGCAACCACAGAGTAGAGGATGATTTGGAGTTCTTCCAGTTCATTAGACGTATTAAACTATAAAGTATGTAGCATCTGATGTATCAGTTAATGAATATTGATCTAATATTATTATATATTTCATTCTTTTTTACAAGTTAAGCATAACAATAGTTATAATAATTAAAAATGCAACAAGAGGACAAGAAGAAAGGAGACTCTGGGAAACTGGAGACAATTGTAAGAATCCCCATTTAACATAGAAAATAATGAACGGATTTTCTGATAAGGAATGGAGCAATCTGGATAAAATAGAAAGAATTGAACTAACCCTGGAAGACTTTGGGAGAATGAATGTAATTTAGATGTTCAAAAACTTGAAGTCCTTGACCTTAATTAATGTTGGCATCACTGTTATTGAAGTATTCACTCATTTATTTAACTAGGGATTAGATGATTTAAATAAATTGGAAGAATTAAATTTGAATGAGAATCAGATCCTCAAATTGGCTGGTCTGAAAGGAACAACCAATTTAAAAGCCCTTTATATATCTCATAATGCCATCCAGAAGTTGGAGGGACTGGAGCAATTGACCAAATTAGAAACATTGTGGCTATGCGATAATAAGATCGATACTATTTAAAACCTGGATTAACTAGTCAATCTAAAGCAACTTTGGTTGGCAGCCAATTCCATCAGCAACTTAAGAACCTCTTTGGATAAATTGAAGAGCTTATATGATTTAAACATAAGTGGCAATAAAATATGCAGTTTCAAAGAAGCCTTGAATTTGAATCGTTTACCCAACCTCAAAGTGTTGGCATTTTATGATCCCCATTTCGGTGATAATCCTATATGTAACCTCTGTAATTATCAAACCTATGTACTTTACCATCTAAGAAACATCTATAAATTGGACACTCTTATGATTTCAGACGATCAAAAATCCTTTGCTGAAGGCACCTTCATGAAAAAGAAAATGTATTATAATATGAGAATAAAAACAATGCAGAGGACGTTTTCGACCTTATGTAAGTTATTGAAAAAAGGCAAAAAAATAAAGAATGACTCATTGTGTGAAGACATTTCCAATTTAAATATCAAATTAGCCTAGGAATAGGACAAGGAGAGATAACAACTGTTAGAAAATAAATAAGAGGAATATGAGAATCAAAATGAAATTTACAATAGCATTAAAAAAAAAGTGTATGATTATTGCAATCAAAGCATACACAAATTAATTACTGAATTAGAAACAGGTGGCAATATTAGATTGGAAGAGGGAAAAACAAATGAAAAATGGTATGGTTCTTGTGTTGATCTAATAAACTCAAGATTCCATGCAGAAACAATGGGCAAATATGGCATCAAAGATATACAAATAAAAAGAGTTGTTAGAATTCACAATAAATTCATTAGAAATAAATTTGAAGAAAAAATGGAATCATTGGTTGATGTTTCAAGTCAAAGTCACAAGAAATCCCTTGAATATTTATTCTATGGAGTCGATCCTAACTTTCCCTCTGAAATATACAATGTTATAGAAGAGGGATTTAGAGGATGTCAAGTAATGAATTTTAATATTTCAAGGAATCTCAATCTATAGGATTGAGTCCATATACACCCTTGGTAAATAGTATTTTGGGTGCTGATGCTTCTAGAATTCAACATCTTTTGAATGGGTAGGAGCATGCCCAAAAATTAAGCAAAAGGTTTATCAAACGAAGGTATTATTGAATTAATCATAGGTTGTACTATTAAAAATATAATGTAATTCCGCCTGGAGTAATCCTCATATGCAAAGTCTTAATGATTAAATCAGTCGCTGATTAAAAACAGCCCTATTTCAATCCAGAATAACCATGGAGTGAGATGCTCTAAAAATATCCTATAGATGGCAAATAATATTAGGATGAATACACAGTCTATAGAGAGTTGGAATCTGATTCAAAACATAAATTATGGTTTGTTCTAGATAATAATCTTGTACTGCCTGAATACTTTGCTGAATTCGAATATGTCATGTAATCTCCTCTTTAAAATAAAATTGCTGACTTTGGATCTGCATTAGGGATTCTCGAGCAAGAGGGAGACGATTTCATTACTCCTGCCAATATAAATAAATGTAGGGATAACATAAATGATTTGTACAATTAATTGGCAGATGATTTGAATAGTTATCAATTTGAGAATCTGGAGGAATATCCTACTTATGAGTTGAAAGCCTAAGATTTGGACAGATCAGAAAGTGCATCCCTTAAGCCTGCTTTGGTCAATTACTTCAAGTACTGTTTAAGCAGATCGACTCTTTATGAACTGAATCCTAATTTGGTTGGCACTCCCAATTTAAATGAAATATTGAAGAATCAAACTCAATTCTTGAATTTAAGTAATTGTTCTGTTTAAGATATAACATTTGTCAAGGGACAATTTCACACTCTCATCCTTAGTTACAACAAGATAAGCAATATTACAGGTTTGAATGAATTACCAAATCTAATTAGACTTGATTTATCACATAATGAAATATCTAATCTTAACGGTTTACAAGGCTTAAGTCATTTAGAAGTTTTAGATTTAACTCATAATAATATACAGGATGTTGATTAAATCGGAATTCTTAAATACAATCAATAATTGAAAAATCTGTGTGTAGTATTTAATCCAATTAGTGAATACAAAGAAACCAGAAAGGAAATAGTTATGATCCTCAATAATTTGGCATTCTTGGATCATCTGCCCATTAATGAAGAAGACAGGGAACCAACAACAAATTAGAAATAATTAATTACTACAGGGATGTTGCAAACATTCAGTAAGGTTCAACATGATTGGAAATAACACATACAATCAGTTATGATTACACATCAAAAGTTGAGTAGCATGAAAGGTTTGGAAGGATTGGTTCAATTGAGACATTTGAATCTGGGGCATAATAAAATCACTTAAATTACATCAATTTAGGATTCAGTCTTGCTGGAAGAACTTAATCTAGAAAAAAACTCTATTATTCAAATTTAAGAATTGGATAACATGTAATACTTAAAGAAATTGGAATTGGGAGGGAATAAGATATTTCAGATAGATGGCATATCTAATCTAATCAATCTAATGCAATTGTCTCTTGAAGATAATGCCATTCTTAATCTTAAAGAATTTCCAGATTTGAAGAGTTTAATGGAGATATATTTAGGAAACAATAATATTACTAATTAGAAAGAAATTAATAACATAAAACATTTACAGAAACTTATTATTTTAGATTTATCTGGAAATCCATTTGCAAGAGACACAAATTATAGATCCTATGTACTTTACATCATTCCAAAGTTGAAGGTCTTAGATGGGATCTCTATAGAGGCCTCTGAATAACAGATGGCTAAAAATTTATTTACTGGTCGTTTGACTGAAGAGATTCTATTCTCTCGACTTCAAGGCTAACCTGCTAGTAAGATCACTGAGCTTTGCTTATAGAATTGTGAATTGAGAGATTTTGAAGATGTGTTCAATGTTCAACAATTCCCTCAATTGGTTGAATTGGATTTAAGTTAAAATTTATTTACTTCTACTAAAATGCTTGGGTTTTTGCCTCAATTAAAAATTTTAATATTAACTTCTAATAAAATAGAAACTCTGTTATATCCAACTGATTTCAATTAGAAAAAGGGATTGAATGGATGTCAATAATTGTAGATTTTGGATATCTCATAGAATTGTTTGAAAGAATTTAATGGATTGCAATATTGTTTGTTAAAGGATTTAAAAATAATGAAATGTGAAAAAAATGAAATTATTCGAGTTGACTATTTGGAAAATTTGAAATAATTAAAGGAGCTAGATCTAAATTATAATAAGGTAAGATAATTTGATCCTTAATCATTTGCTGGATAAAATCCTATTAAATGTTTAAAAATAGATGGAAACGGATTGAAGAATTTCTAAAACATACAAAAACTATTTAAATTACTAGTACATATTTATACTTATTGTAGCATCTATTCGCTAATTCAAATAGGATTAACGACCTGCCAGATATAGAACATTTATGTGCTCTAACTCAACTTAAAGAATTGGAACTTGTGGGAAATTCTTTGAGTAGAAGACCAGGATATCGATAAATGGTTTTAAGAAAGTTGCCAACTATATTGTATCTCGATGGAAGAGTAAAATGATTAATTATTATGATAGGAAGTAACACAGGAGGAGAGAGAAAGATTAGAACTAGTTGATAGACAGGCTGTACTACCTCAAATGTAGATTTAACAATAACCAAACACTAAAGTGCCAGTCAAATTAAGTTCGATCAACTTTGATGGGATTTTCAGCAAATGAAATATACAAATTTATAATTTTAATGAGAATAATAACTAACAAATATATTCAATGTTATTGAGCATATTAAATTGAATTTATTAAAATTTAATTTCTGATATACCAAATTGCTCAATGATCATAAATCAAAGTAAATTGGATTCAATAAAATGCAGAGTCATTTGATATATATTTCTGAATATCGATTTGGTTCATCAAACTTCCATTTATTATTGTGTAAATTGAATTGCAAAATTTATTAAATATCTAAACACCTGATATCTAATTATACGAAATAATTTTTAATTTTCTTTGTGATCTGGTAACGAATAAATTAGAATTCAAAATATTTAGAAAATGCAACTTAAATTATTTATGTGCAATGAGAATTCGAGTTTTATTGTGTTTAAATATATTATTAATATTCTATATATTTATTGAAAGAGGAGTCTAACTTAAATGACGGCAATTATAAACCAGTAAACATTATAATAATATTTGATTATCAATTTAAAGAAGAATTGAGGTGGATTGGAAATTTGAAAACTAATAATTGGTTTAATCATATTATATTTTCAAACTATGTTTGCGAGTTCTAAAAGTGACGATGAATTCTTCTTTTTACACAAATATAAGTAGATTCTGGTATCGTTCAGTTACTGTGCACCCTTATTTAGTTGGTATGTTATAGATGATTTCAAAGATAATTATTTTTTATTTTTAACAAGGAAATATCCTCTTACTAAGTGATGTTTTAAGAATTCCTTGATGGATTAGGAAGCCTGAAGCATAAACCTGTTGCCTTGAAGCAAGTGAAAAAGATTTTAAAGATCGAAGAAAAAAGTTTACCTAAAAACATAACAAATTACTTTGTAGAATTTACTAAACATACTTCGCATAAGTGGTAACGAAAGGATAAAATGATTTTTATATGGACAACTCTAAAATATTTAGAGAAACAGGGTCGTACAGACTTAAAACCCGTATGAAATTATGTTTAAATTGATTAGAACGATGACGATTGGATAGCACTATCAGAAATCCTTGGGGCACCTCCTGAACTGTTGAATTCGAAATGGATAGGAATGTTAAAAACCGATTTGAAACAGTCTCCATGGACTCCTGAAGAGGATGATCTCCTAAGAAAAGTGATGACGCAAAAATTTATTTCTTGGACTCATGTTGCATTGGAGTATAACCGCGCAAGTCCAATTATGAGACATGCAAAATAAGTGAGGGAACGGTGGAATAATTACCTGGACCCTGAGTTAAATAAATGCCCATGGACTGAATAGGAATAAATCCAACTGCTGCAGTTAGTTTAAAATCAAGGAAAAAAGTGGTCTGTGATTTCGAAATAAATTAAAGGAAGAACTGAAAACTAAGTCAAAAACGCTTACAATTCCTTGATAAATTCTTACAGAAGGAATCATGTACCCTTTTTTCCTTAAAAAATATTAGATGTAAACCCTCGACTCAGACGAGATCATCGTTTCTAAATTGTTATCCAAACTTGATCCCCCACTCTTACAAGCCAATGCAAGCACCCCCATGATTTAACCGATGCCCACTCTTCAACAACAATTACTTATGTAGGCTTTGCTTTTCGAAAGATTGAAAAGCATGGCTTTTTTCGCTTAATTACCAGGTTTTCTGGCAGCCCAACAATAGCAAAGTTGATATTTATTTATTGTATATGCATGTCATTATTATTAATATTTATTCATTATGTACTCCACCCTACTTCAATCCACCACAATTACCTCGATATATCATCTCCTTCCAATGTATAGTAAACTTTTCTTTTTTGAATATTATTCAAACTCATGCACATAGAATATGAACGCATAGATGTCGACTCTCTAATAATTAAGGCTCAATTCTATCAATACTAGTTGCCAATTTCTAGATCTTACTTCCTAAACCAAGTTTAGTAAACAAATATCAGGATTTGTATAGGCTAGTGCTAATGCATAAAAAAAATATTAAACTTGTTAATTCTATAAATTCATTAACAATAAACTTATGAATCACTGAAAAATTTCAAAAAGATTTCATTAGCTAAGCTGATTTTAATTATAGTATAAGATACTAAAATGATGATATAATTCAAATTAATTATATAAAAATTTAATATTTCCAATAAGAAAATGAATGAAAAAACTCAATTATAATCTAAAATAATCAATAACAAAATCATAGATCAATTTAGGCTTTAAAATAATTAATAATTGAGTATAGTTCTGCACATTTATGGATGTTACTAGTTGCAAGAAAATATCTTCACATTAAAGAAATCATAGAGCATAAGAAAATAGAAAAATATCCTATATACTCATTTAGAAATTCTTAAAATAGGAATTTTTAAATAGCTGAATTATTAACCTTATATTTCTTCATTTTTATGTTAAATTGTTAAGTGTGTTCAATTTTTATTTGATATTCATTTATCATCAGCATAAATAGGCTAAACAAAATGAAGCAACTTCAACTGTATTTTGTTTTAATAGAGTTGCTTTATATTAATTTAGTCTGGACTTCTAAAACTCAAATTTCTCAATTGATTATATATATTAAAATATTAATGTACGATTTTGAATTAATTTTCAATCAAATAAACCTCCCATATCAACATCTTCTTCTGGTTCTTCAGCCTTCTTAACCTCCTTTACAGGTTCAGCTTTCTTAGTTTCTGCTGCAGCTGGTGTTGCTGTAGTTTATGCTGCTGGCGTGCTTCCTGTATTTCCACTGCTTCCATGTAATAAATCACCAACTTTTTTGCCTTTCAATGCCTTTTCAAAAACCTTTGTCCAAATTGGTTCAACTCTCAAATTAGCTGCCCTAATGATCTTAGCTAATTTAGTTGAATCGATCTGATTAGATAGATTCATGTACATCTTGATTATCTTCATACAAGATGAGAGCAGCATAAGTGCATGCAGTCTCTGAAGTAGCTTAGTCTGCAATTGGTCTAGTGTCTTTTGCTGCTTTTGCCATTCGATTTTAAATATAATTATTAAAAAGATATAAATTTTTATGTAATATGTATACTTATTACTCTATCTCTATTATCATTTTAGAATTCCTTTTTCATATGCAAATATTGAAATATTACAAAATTTAGGAATTCAAAATCTATTAACATTATAGAATAATCAGAATTTACATTTTAGCAATATTCAATAATACTTATCCTTTAATTTAATAATACCAATAGCAAATACCATTTTTATTCATAAAACAATTGATTTCTGTTTATAAGTTGTAAACACTTAAAAAATATTTAATTTTTTTTTCACTAATTAACTTGGCTTCTTTTGGTCAACATTTATAATTTCATAATCTTGTTACTTAGAGTCCTAGATATTTACAAAAAAGGGCTTTCACGTTTAAGGAATGTTTTGTATATATACAATATTATTATATAATTAATTCAATCAAATAATATTAATAATGAATTAATTTATACTTCCCTATTGCCCAAAATATCATCAATTGAAATGGAAGAGTGAAGTTATACAGAGTTGCCTCATTTGTTTTAAATCAAAAAAGGGATCGTAATATTATTGTACAGAATGCAAATAAGGAGTTTGCAATGAATGCATTAAACCTCCTCTTGATGGATTTTATTGTGGTGGCAATCATAGGTAGTTTGGATTATCTATTTAGAATGTAATTTATGAGTAATTTGCCACATCATAGTTGCGATTTGTGTGGAAAATCTATATCATAAGCATATTCGTGTAGAGCGTGTGATTTTGATATTTGTGAAAATTGCAGATAACTTGATGATTGATTTGAATGTACGCATAACTTTTTAATAATTGTTTAAATTGATTCTTACCTGAACTTCTATAAATCAGAAATAATCCCAATATGACAAAGTTTAAAATTGTATAAATTTTAAATTTAGTTTGGATATGTAACAGCCATTAATTATTGTCTTCCATTTTTAATATTCATCATTGATTACTATTGTTATCAAAATAATATTTAAAGTATACGATATAATAAAAAAAAACAAAGCTAATGATTTTGTAGACAAATAGTTTAAAGAAGAAATATGAATATTAAATTTGTTTTAGACTTCATACAGGATAAATCAAGGAAATTGAATTTAGAATTGTATCTCAAATTTTAATAAAATAAGTGACCAATAAATATGTAAAAAAAATAGATTAATAATTTGAATCCATTTTGATCAATAAAATAAATGATTGGGTATTAGACGAGATGAGATAAGAGAACAATAGCTCTTTAATTATAAGTCATTTGTTTAAGATAATGAAAATCAAATTTAGATTGCAAGAGTAATTATAATATTGAGAAGCTAAGTATAAGGATCTATCAATTTTTGGCTAGAAGATTAATCCATCATAATTTGAATTCCACATCTATTAAACGGATTCGTATATAGCATATATAATATCGCAATTTATTGATAAAATTAATCATTTTCCTTAGAATATAAATGATTAGTAAAATAAGCAATTGACTAGACATATTATTAGATGAGTTATGATATCCTTAAGATCATAATTTAAACTCTAAGCTTTGCACTTATTTAAAACCTGAGAATTATAAAATTAAAGTTTATCATGTCTGAAGCAGGAAGAATTTATACCAAAAAGCTGATCTTATTGTTGATTACATTGATAAGCTAATGTAAATACAACTAGGATTATTAGTCTAGAACAAGTTTTTTGAAACTATTGAATAATAAATTTCAAATTTAAATTATATACCTCCAAAATAAATAGAAAAAATAAATGAATGTGGTCATATATTTTAGTGGTTAGATAGAAAATAAAATCATTTTAAATAAATTAAGAAATTGAGGACTCTGAACAGATAAAATAGAAGCCCAATAATAAATTTTTTAGAGTATGCTTAAATTTTCTAATAATCCTAGGCAGCATAGGGGTTACAAATGTTATATTAGTTGAATCATAGAGATTTTATCTAACTTAAATCTATGTTACTGATTAAATTCATAGATGTTCCTCTTATTGAATAGAATAAAATATCAATTATGCTATTCGCTTCCAAACTATTTAATAAATAAAAAAAATTTGTATAAATTATTTGTCAAATAGAATAAAATCAATTCAAGAGCAAATCCACTTTTGCATTCGTCGCTTGCATTTGCCTATTAAGTTGACAATTTTGTAATGGTTAAATCTTTTCGCTTGGAACAGCGTCTAGCTTTTGCTTTAATTTTTCTGACTAAATTTCTTACTCATATTAATTTAAGGTATCTTCTATTTCTTAATTATCAACAAACTTATTCTCCATTTCTTTGAATATATTATCTCTTTCTTTTTAAGATTCTAAGAACTCTTACCAAGTTTATAGACTTTCAGTTAGTTAATCGTTTACATCTTATGAATTTCTAAACAAACCTGTTGCCTATTCCATCAGATTACCTAAATCTTGATCCTAACTTATCGTTTCTATCTTAATCTTCATTTGGATTATGATATTTATTTTTTTATGATACATTGAGATTTATTATTTGAGAGTTTACATTTCCATGATGCATCCTTTTGCAGCACATTTTTTACCATCAGAAATATATCTTTTGCATTATTTATCCAGCTACTCAAGTTTTTCACAATATTTTTCGATAATATTTTCCAAGTCACTTTTTTTTTATTCTAATTATCTCATTATTTTTTCTGCATTTGAAGAATTTGACTCTTATATTTTTTGAGACTCTTGAGAACTATTTGATGTTGATTTTTTGAAACCTTTAAACATTAATTATTAATGTTAATTTTGAAATCTTGATTATGAAACACTATAAATAGAATAAAATATGATATTTTAAAATAATTGTTCTTATTATTCAATTTTATAAAACTGATTAAACTTAACTTATTTAAGGCTGCTAAATTCTTTGATTATTATGAGAATAATCAAATGTCAATTATTCAAAAGGATAAGCTGCATTTAAAGGAGGATAAGCTACCTATCCTCGCTAAACTTTATCTTTATTTAGATTCAAATCAGAATTTGGATTTTTAATTTGTTTTCTATCTTTTTTTCGAACAACTAGCTATTCTTAATAATCATCTTCATTCTCTTCCTCAGTTTAATCTTAAATATTTTATTATATGTCCCTTTCCTCATCCTTTTACTTAATTATTGTATCATTTTTCTCCTTCAAGCCTTTTAAATTTTTAATCTTTAATTTCTGTTCTTTAATTTATTGTTCTTTTAGTATATTCTATTCTTTTAGAGTTTTATTGTTCTTCATTGCTTGCTCTAGTGCTGCCACAGTTTTTTTTCGACTCTTCGCCTCATTTAAAAGTGTCCTTTTTTCTTTAGATAATTGTTATAATTCTATAATTATTTTTATGAATACCTAATTCCTTTAAATCGGCTTCATCAAATCTTCCTTCATCATCCAATATTTCTATTTCTTTAATTAATTCCTTAATTTATTTAGTATATTTTGATAACTGTGTTGCCATTTTCCTCAAATCAATATGTATTTTCTTTAATCTGCTTTTTATTGATACACAGCCCATAAATAATTATTGTTTTCTGATTGCATTTTTTGGAACTTAAACCGAATTTTATTCTATTGTCTTATAAATTTATAATTACAATTTTTATGATTTTTAATTTAATGGATTTGAACAATATAGAATGATAGATATTGAAAATATGTTGTATAATTTAAAGAGAGATAATTAAGCTTTCACTTAATATTATTATATATAAGAATTTCTAATTTCTCATGATTTAAAAGATAAATAATATTATATATAAATTCATTATGGAACTTAATTGATATCTTCTAGGTTCTACTCATTATTCTCTTCTTCAGCATAACTTTTTCGACACACAGGACAATTCAAATTAACCTTAAACCAAGCGGATATACATATTAGATGATAGTTATGAGATTCATGACATGGCAATTTTAACACTTCTTCCTCCAATTAATAGGTTTGCATGCAAATTTTGCATTCTGGTACCCCTTCAATTAGATTTGGAGAGTATTTAACAAAATATTATTTCTTAAGTTCCTCTATTATTTGATCTGTATCCTTCTTTCCCTTAGGTTATGTTAGTTTTTTGTAAATCAAAAACATTGCAACAAAAGGCAAGGCAATCAAAATTATGATTATTAAAATATAGACATCCAGATAGTAGCATATTGTATAAAACAAGAATATGTAAATGGCTATTATAAGTCTGCTTCTACAGTCACTATTCAAATCCCATGGAATTTCAAACCCGAGGATGAATCCCCATATTAACAATCCTTAATTGATTAAAAATACGAGATGTCTAGAGTGCTTAAGAGGAGAGTGAATTTTGAAAATTTCTTATAAAACTTATTAAGCCAACAATATTTTTTTTTTTTCAAACTCCCTTTCAGGAATCTAGGTAGTTTAATCATCAATAGAATTGGCTAAGAATTCGGATATGTCCCCGTAACTCTCAATTTACGAATTTTCAGCATATATAACCTAATGTAATTCTTCACCAACATTCAAGAGCGTAGGCTAAGTTTTGATATGCTAAATACTGTTATTTTAATCAACTGAATTATAACTGTATATATAACTAGTTCTAAGATAGACTCTCCTATCACTATTGTCATCCAAGTGTTTGCACCTTCCCATCCACAAGATTATGTTGCATTTATAGTTAATAAAATAACAGCAATTATGATTTTGCATATGCAGTAAACAATATGTCCAATGGATATTTTTTTACAAGATTTAATACTTTAGCAAAACAAAGACGTAATTCTCCTATTTTCAATCAATTATTATTCCATTGATTATATAATTAATTAATATAATGTCTATTAAGATTTTAAATGCATATTTTTAAGAAATTCAATAGAAAACATATTAGATAAATGGTTTGATATTTTTAATTACTGTACTTATACGATAATACTTGCTTATGATATATATAATTATGGAATGGCTTAAATACAAGAATAACGATAGATTTATTTGATATATTTTGTAAAAACTAAATTTAAGTTATACAAGATCAATAAATAAAACTTAATTAATGTAGGGGCAAGAACTAATCTTGATATGGAAAATTGTAATAATTTCTTGTGTGATTTTGATAATACACATTGATTTCTTCCAAAATACAGAATAATTAATTTCTATAATAATTTTTCGTGTTATTTTCATTTTATCTTAATATTAACTTCAGGTTTGAGTAAGAATGGATAGATGAGTTTTTTTTTTTAAAGGTTGCTTAATTAAATATGTATTCAACTTTAAGATTTTCTTATTGAAATATATTTTAAATTCTACTTTTCCCGTTATAGTTTCTACAAATAATATTAATTTTGGCGTAAAATTTTGTGAATACAAGTTTATTTTTAGAATTTGAAAATCTTTATTGTTATCTGCAATACTTTAACAAATATTTTAGTAGCAACTCTTGATTTAAGCAATAAAATTACTCAATTATTCAGTTCTTAATACCCTCTTATATGTTTCTGTGGCTTTTGTTATATAAAAAACCCTAAATTTCAAATAGGTTGTGATATGATACAAAGGCTCAATGCATTCTACCAATTTTACTACATAATCTAAATAATCATTAATTATAGTAGACATATTTATTGGCTTTAATTTCAAAACAATATAATTTTCAAATCGGTTAATACAATAAATTTGGAAAATCAAGCAAATCTCATTATTCAATGACATACATAAACTTATGAAGGTTCTCTACAAATAAGCATGCAGGGAAATTTATTTTCTAATTTTCTTTTCACAAGTATCTCCACAATTTTGCCAGTCATCAAGAGTTCTTTTGAAAGATTGCTGGCTCTCTTTATGTATTAATGCAGAAGTGGGTTTTCTTAGAACATCATAATATTTTCTTGGATCGTTAGGAAACTATTTATAATACTTCTCAATTCAGGACCATCGAATCGACTAACAAGCAGAAAATCAGAGCAACTTAGAAGATGAATTTTAGAAAATGAATTTCTAACATTTCAATTTTCCTCATAAATAAAAGAGAATAAAAAATAAATAGGATCTTATCATTTTTTATATAATTTTTAACATGAACCTTTAATCTCAATGCTAAACTTGTTTGTTGATCTAACAGGAACTCCTATTTATAAATCATAATAGTTTCCATCTTAGTCACTTTTAAGGCACTAGATATATAAATTTCATACAGCTAGATGGTGCTCCAGCGGATTGCCATTGTAATTTTATTTTTTGGAGATCATAATAGTATTTTTTTAAGCAAGACCACCTGAAGATGAATAAGTTCCTTACTTTTTCTTTTTGAATCTGTGAGTACAGCATCTGTATTATTTAATTTGTCAACTGAGACATAAACCTCATACTATTCTGACTATCCAGGTATTTGACTTATTTCGTAAAAGCCCTCATTTGTTCCTCTTGTATAATTTTTGCTATCTTTCCCTCCGCAAATTCCCATATAAAATAAATAAAAATTTAAATATTTAGATATTAATTTTTAATGGTTAATCTCCGTCTCTAAAAAAGATTGGCAGCCACTTAGTTGAAGGTTGGTGTGAACAGAGTTTGGTTGGATCCAAATGAAGCAAGTGAAATCAGTTTGGCAAATTCAAGAATGTCAATCAGAAAATTAATTAAGGATGGACTTATCATGAGAAGATTGAGAACAATCCATTCAAGAGCTAGAGCAAGAAGATTCCTTGAAGCCAAAAGAAGAGGTATTTCAATTATCATATTCATTTATTTAGGCAGACACACTGGTACTGGTAAGAGAAGAGGTACTAGAGAGGCTAGAATGCCAACCAAAGTACTTTGGATTCGTAGATAAAGAGTTTTAAGAAGATTATTAAGAAAATATAGAGCTGCCAAGAAAATTGATAGATAATAGTAAGGGATTTATGTAATATTTTGCTTAGATATCATGAATTCTATTTGGCCTCAAAGGGTAATCAATACAAAAACAAGAAAGTGCTTATTGAAGCAATTCACGAAACCAAATAGGAGAAAGTTAGAGTGGATAAAATTGAGAAGGAACAAAATGATAGAAGAGAAAAGAACAAAGCTTAAAGAGTCAAGAAAACCTAAAACAAATATGCAGCTGAATGATGTTTAAAGCATTTACATAGTACAATATATATATCTATATAATTTCCTACATATTAAGTTTGATTTCTATTTTTTTATATTAAAAAAGATTTAAAATTTTTTAGGTGAATGGTATGTTAAGCAATTTAATTTAGGCTGACAACAAAGTTTAACCTGCTGTATAATAGACTAAGGCAAAGAAAGGAAAAAAGAATTAAGGAGATGATCAGCCCTAATAAGTAGTAGCCACATTGGGACCAAATGTTGCTGGAAATGAATTAGTTTTCGGAGTTGCTCACATCCTCTCAACTTGGAATGATACCTTTATCCACATTACAGATTTGACAGGCAGAGAAACACTTGCAAGAGTCACAGGAGGAATGAAAGTCAAATCAGACAGAGAGGAATCTTCACCATATGCAGCTATGCAAGCAGCCAAAGATGTTTATGAGAAGTTGAAAACACTTAAAATTAATGCTTTACATATTAAATTGAGAGCCAGAGGAGGTATTTACATAAATCAATTCATTCAGGTGTCGATACTAGATAACCAGGACCAGGAGCTTAAGCTGCTCTCAGAGCTCTAGCTCGTTTGGGATTAAAAATTGGTAGAATTGAAGATGTCACACCAATTCCAACAGATTCCACTAGAAGACCAGGAGGTAGAAGAGGAAGAAGATTATGAAGAGTAAAATTACATTACATTATTCAAACAAATAAACAATCTATTCTGTTTTCTTGTCATCATAAGCGAACTCTAATTTTCAATTCATCAATTATTATACTTTATGAGAATTTGATTTTAATTATTAAAATATCACTTGTTATTTTAATTAATGTCAAATTCGAATACTAAAATATAAAGCTAAACTGATATGAAATAGAAACTATTAAATATTTTATCAGAGAAGAACAGTAAGGTCACATCTTAACAAAAGCCATGTTCAAGTCTAGATTATTACTCATTGCAAAGGAAATTGTCATAACGATCACACAAATTACCTGTTGAAATGACTAAATTCGAAAGAGAGAGATGGTTGTTTGAAATGTTAAACACTTAAGACTTGGCACAATAAGTATGAATATATTGGTGAAGTTAAGGAATAAGAATTGAAGGAAATATATGTAAGAACAACCAAATTGATTACAAGGTATCGTAACAAAGAAATCAAATGGAATAAAAAAAAAGAGGCATTGTAAAATGAGATTGACTTGCTTCGTTCATTATTAGAATAATCTTGAATAAATAATTTATTGCTTCCTTTAAATTAAAATAAATTGCATTTATCTTAAACTCAATACAGATTAAAAATACCCGTCATCCACGTAATTGTTATTAATTACCCCATTATCAATACACCAATTACTGTATCACTATTCCTACAGAAAATAAAGCTTTTTATAGAGGAGATACTTTGTATTGCTAACCCATCATCTGAAATTGATTATCAAATTAGATGTGTTGGGTGATGATATTTTTTGAATGCATACTACATCCTTATAAGTTCATATTCAAGTTTATGGTTAGAGGTATTTGCTTTTCAGACGTAGCATTTATTAATAATTAAAGGCTAAATTATAGTATAAAAGGCCTTTAAATTATAATTTATATCACATTATTTTTGTTTTATCTTCTTCAGTCTTTTTGCATTCCTGTTGAGTTCAAAGCTTGATTAAAAACTAAGTCTTGTTCATCAAATGTTGTAAAACAAAGTCTACGTTAATTCATTTGACATTATGTTTATTCACTTAGTAATTATTATTTAATTATATTAGTGAATTTACTTGAAGAAGTGATACTCTATTTGATTTATAAATTATTTAATTCTTTTGAGTTTATTCTTAAGTTCCAATTTATAATTTGCCCTTTAAGTCTTTTTTACTTGAGAAGTTTTAGTATACGAAATTTTAAAGATTTTGAAAAAAACATTATAAAAATTTTAATTATAATTTAAGTAAAATAATAGATGAACGAAGGGTTATATTATAGATTATATAAATTCACTATACTTCCATTCTAAAAACAGTTTGAGTAAGATAAATTATAATAATTTTAAGTTGTTCCAAATTTGAGTTATTAATATGGAAAATTAAATTACAGTGATTTTGTTTTTGATTTTAATAAATAAATGAACTCAGAAAGAATCTCCTACATGACCTGTAGAGATAATTCTGAATAGGAGGAATTCCGCTCTGCGTTGGAGTTTGATTAATCACGTATATTATTTTATATTATAGAAAATAGGCAATGTCGACCAACTATCTATGTTCGCCCTCAATATAAGAATAGGAACACCTTATAATTGAGGAGTATCCAGGAATCTAGCACAGAGCCTTTGCTCTCTAATGGAATATATGGAACTTAATTATCTGAATTGGTGCCTAGAAAAAGATAGGTTGTTCCATTTGGACAGGCCAAGAGGAATCGGATCGAAACTTTGTTATTGAGATCGAGGCCACAAAGGAAGGGGTTTCAGTAAGATTGTTCTTTGGATACTTCTGCTGCATTGATCAAGCTGATGAACAAGAATAAATGGGTTAGATATCTGATGAATCTATACATTTGGTTGAATATTGGGTTAAGAATTGGGTATGTGGCTATAGTTGTATTTTATGTGATCTAAAATGATTACAACGAAACTTAGGATGAAAATAGTGAGGAGATAATGACTCAATTTTATTGGTGGATTCCTGGCTCTTTTATTGGCATTAGAGTAATTTTTATATTGATAATCTACAAATTACTTTCTGTAGGTGAATCGACAAGAGATGGAAGGATTAAAATTGTTTATGATACTTATGAAGCTTGGTTTAATAAGACCATTAACGAAAGGGATCAATTATTGATGAAATGTAATTCTATGGTAATCAGGAATGGACAGGATGAATTGGAATTAAGGTAACTGTAACAGTAAGTGAATTCTTTAAATCGATGGCTTTTGATACTTAAGACTTATATAGTTTTAATTCCACCTGAGTGTCAATTCATATTTTTAAAATAAAAAAGCAATGGATTTTTTTAGGTGCAAAATTTTATAATGAAATCATTAGAAATACTTTTCTTTACACCCCAATTGATGTATTTCTTATTGATTGAAGAACCATTGGATTTGGAACTGGATCGTTTGTCTGCTTACGATGTCAATAACATCTGTTTATTGGTACTTTTGGCTGATATCATCTGCTTTGTCTTAATGACTCTTTTGCTAATTTGCTTGGGAAACAATAGGAAATATGTGAGCAATTTAAGAACAAATTGATTATAAATAACTATAATTTTATTAAAAAAATATCAATACAATTCAAATTAACTATAATTGATCCTGGTTTAAATGAATGAGTTAATTTATATTACAATCCATTTTCTATGCAGCCTATTTAATTTCTGATTCAATTTATAGGAATCAATTAAAGGTAAATTGTAAAGTCTCTAAAATTTCATAAACTATATTTTTTATTAAAATCACTTTAAATTTAAAGCATAGCATTTCTGAAGTTTAAATACTTAATTTTTTTCATACAACCTAATCATAGTTGTTAATTAAAGCAATACCTATAGAAAATCAAACCCTAATTTACTGATGCGTATTAAGAGGATTTGATCTTTTTTAATTTAATAGTTCCTAATCTAATTTAATCTATATAGAGATAATTGAGCAAGAAAGCCCTGCATATAAATCCTAATCTTTTTAAGGATTTTGAAAATGCAAACTGAAAAAAGAGATTGACTAAATATATGTATACATGATGCAATTAAACATATAATATTAAAAATATAATAAGTCCAATCTAAATGCTTACAGGCAAGGAAGAACAACCCTTATTGCTTTTGAGAGTAATGCGCTTAAAAAAAAGTCTAGTCCAATCGAGGAAATCAAGAGAGCAAGGAATTGCCAAAGTATTTAAGGAGTACCTTCACTGATACCTATTAATTGTCGGAACCAGCTAAAGAGAAAAAAGGCAAAAAGCTATTGCCTCAATATGCATTTGGGAACTCTCTGGAGTCTCCTACATATTTCAGGAATGCAAATACATTGATTTGTAGAGAAAGCTACGACAATCCATTTATTAAGGGACAATAGAAACCGAAAAGCAAATGGGATTCGCTCCGTAGCAATACATTGAACAATTATGATTTCTATAACATTTCTGAATAGAAATTTAGTAATTTGCCATCTGAAGGTTTTCAAAATGTAAGATTAGTGAAGTAGAAAATGTCATTAATATTAAAGTACAGTTACAAACCAGGTCAATATTGTGAAGACTCCAAAAGTCAAGAATCAAGATCATACTTTCTAATAGGCATATCGAACATTATAAAATACAAGTCACTTTGGACGTAAACATGGTGAGCATTTAAATTAATATATGAATAGAATTGTTTACAGATTTTATTGAAAAAAATGATAATTAAAATGTATATGGCCATTTGAATGATCGTTAAAGACCAAAAGGCCATTTAAGAGATGTAAAAAACTTTAGCCTGAATCCATAAGAATAGAAACTACAACATAAATACACATTTAATTTCAACATTGCAAGTCCAACTCAAAAGTCTCCCAGGAAGTAATAGTTCCCTAAAGTGATAATGGCTGATGAATAGGTTGAGAAATATTTTAAAAGAGATTAAAAGTAAGAATGATGCATATACTAGTTTTCTAAATGCTTTCAGTAATTCAATCATTGCAACATAGATAGATAATAAAATGAAGCGAAATAAACAAGATAGATATAAGTAAATTTAATTTATATTTAGTGCTGATCCTGTGGTTTAAGATTATTAAGAAAATGAAATTGGGTTGATAGAAGTATTCGAAAAACACCTAGAATTTGAAAAGTAATATGGAAATTGATTGATTAATTAATATTTAAAATGAAAATGACAATTAATTATCTTTAGGCATTATTTGATAATGTAACTTATGTTTTATGTAGCATAGACTATGAAATCAAAAGCAGAAAATATAATATGTAATAAAAGAAATTTGAAATGCACAACAGAGTTTACCAAAATTATAAATTAAATATAATCAAAAGACTGAGATCAAAGATGGCTTAACAAATAAATATAAATATTCAACAAAATCTGTAGAAGTAACTTGTAAGACATAGCATCAAGCGATTACAAATTTTATAAATAAATATCATTAATTTTTATTTGTTATATTTCAAGTGTTGTTGAAATATAAACTGATAATGTTATGTCTATTGATTTAATGATGCTTAATTAATAATAAACTTTAAATTCTCCTCATAATACCTATAACTTAGTGTTATATGAAACTAGAATCATATGTTTCTTACTTAATTTAAGGTCTATATATTTTTAAGAATGTGTAAAGAAATTGCGATTTTGAAGATTTTATACTTACAGAAAGGAAACATCCAATTTGATTTGAAGGATATGTAAACAATAAAATAAATTGTAAAAGTAGTATAAAATACAAGAATTAAAATCTCCTTCCCCTTGAATAGTAAGTAAAAATAAATTAAATTTGTCGACCACTATAATCAATCAGTATTTTTTAAAGGAGAAAATTAAGAATTTGAAGTAGACCTTAACAAAGAAAAGATCTTAATATTATATATATAATTTACAGGACTAAAAGTATGACTTAAAAATCTATTTACTTTTGTATATTTAAAGTTACACTTAAATTCCAGCCTCTAAAATTAGTGGGACGTAGTATAGAGATTATACATTTGGAGAAGATATGATAATTGCAATGGCCGACATTTTAAACTTGATTCTAAAAATTAGTATTTGCATCTTTATATACAAGGGTTTCCAAAATACTAATTAGAATAAGTGTATTTATATAGATTAAAAAAGTGAAAAATAATTAATTAAATAATGGGAATATGACTTAAGAGCATACTCAAAATTGAGATCTATGTGCTATCAATATTCCCTAAACAAAATTGTTTTTACATTTCATTATTTTTACATCTAATAATATAATTAATAGGCATACTTAAATCATCTACTGTATACGTTATAGTTCATTTTGAGGTACAATTACTGGCTTAAGTTTTTTGTCTTTTTGGTTCATAACACTTGAGAATTGGAAATGTTGTAGGAGTGCTAATCGACCTTAGATTCTGGCATATCTCAACTAGCAGATCTAGAAGGTATAGGGGAGAATTACTTTTTCGCTGTTGAAATGAGGCCATTTTTACCCGTGAAACTCATTATGAAAAGAAGTTATCATTCGGCTGTCTACAAAATTGATGAATGCATAGCCCATATTACATTTATTCTAAAAGGGTTGAGTACAATGTGATACCTTGAAATCAATGGGAAGATAGAGGAAGTCGTAGGAGGCTGAATGATGATAATCGATTAATTCCTTGAGCATTTGAATAGTGTATTTATTTGGGATATTTTTAACCATGACAGTTGTTCTTGTATCTCCTTCAATACCATCAATTCGTACTATAAAATTATGGGAATCCTCATCCGATATAGTTTTACGTTTGCGTCTATGGTTGTTCTCATAGAATTAGTCCTTTAAGGATTGATTATTTTCAAGAAATTCGGGTTCGAGTATTTCTGTCGAAAGGTTTGATTTATAAAGCGGATCTACAAAAACATGATTGATGTCTTTTATCATTTGATCTTGCACATCTCTGATGTCTGTTTATTGCTTTGGCAATATTACTTTTGTATCTGGAAAGGTTTACAATAGCAATACCTGAAAACAAGTCGATAGCTTGATCGATGAGACTATGTTCTTCTTCGCTTGTTGGGAGTGACTCTCCGCTCACATTCATGTTGCAAGATCTTTCAATGTCAGCAAATAATTCTTCATTAGAGCTATGCTGATTATGGCGATCGTTCTTGAAGCTTGATTACTTATTTCGAAACAGAGAAGTGTCACTTTAAGAGTTGAAACTACGAAGGCCAGGAAGGTTGTAGCATCCTCTAAAATTATTGAAGCTATTATTCATTATTTAATTAATTGATAATAGGAATAGTATTAACTATTAAGCATCTAAGTTAAATTCATACTAAAATACAAAATAACTACATAGGCTAACTCTATTGTGCTATTAAATAAGACTAATTGTTGCATTTAATGTGATTCATAAGATAACATATCGCTTAAAAATGCTTATATTTTTTGGCATAATTCGTGATATAAAAGTATGACTAATTCTTAAGTGTGCAAAATGAGTTTATTAATAATAATATGATTAATTAATAGAATAACAACGTTAGCAATTTCATGATTTATTTTTTGAAAAGAAAATCTGAATTTTTCTCTTATTGTACTCATAGTTATGCATTATAGCCATAGCTTGAATGGCAGATTCTAAGTCTTGATATTTGATTAGACATTTGTTTTTGTTCTTCTCTTCACAAAATATTCTATTTTAATCAAAATTACAAATTACTTGATTTTTTCAATTTAGCCAAACTTAGAAAATGTATCATAAATTATGCCTTCCTCACAAAACTCCTTTTTCAAGTTTGTCAACATAATTTACTAAGAGGGAGCCACCAAATATTTAAAATTATTGTCTTTGTATCTGAATGAAGCCTCATTTCCAAGATAGAACTCTTCCTCTTCAGTGTTCTTTGGTAATTAACCCTCCTCACAATTTCTGAAGAATATGAATTCATAATTGGATGGGTAAACCTAAAATTAAGAGTGGGTATTACTTTTAATTTTTACCCAAACAAGGTGGGATTCCCTTCGTTGAAATTTGTTAACAGAAACTTCACGCTTACTTCTGTCGAGTATTCTATCAAGACGTTACATTTGGTCTTAAAAAAGATCATTTTCTGTATGTTCCCAAAAGTGCTGAAGATGTTGTAGATCATGGACATGGTTGTTTGCTTAGGGTCGAACCAATTTGCATAAAGCACTTTCGTGATGAGTTTTTCTAAAGATCATAAATTTATTATACTTTGGGGAAGAATTTCAGATTAAAATATTTGCTTCTCCACTTGCATATTGCTTGGGAGTTACTAGGATGCGCATATACGATGTCCTTCAGAGAATTTTAGAAGCTGAGTTAAATTATTGTCAATTGTATTTACAAATTGTTGGGAACTGCAGGGGGTTATTAATCATATAAATTTATTACAAATCCTCCTATTTATCATCTGTTGCTTCTTCCTCTGAATCATATTAGGAATTGCCATCCACCTTTTCAAAGTTCAAGGTGTCTGCTAACTAACTAGGCAGAGGAGGCATTCCAGTCAGAGATTGAGGTAATGCTTGTGAATGTGGCAACCATTTACTAAACTAATCATTTCGTGGGAGTTCTGTTGAATGCACTACGCCTTAGGTCTATTGGGCAATGTAATCTCTTATTGAATAAAAAGCAAATACATCTAGCATATTAATTGCGAGCTTAAAAGTCAAGTCCTTTACGATTCGATTCATACACTAAAATTGACAGGCCATGCATTATTGTATTGTTAAGTTACAATGCATTTTCTGCTGACTTTTAGCTCTCGAACTAGACCAATGCCTTCCAAATTGGCTTGTTTCGCTCGAAGATTAAAATCTAATTTATGAATGACTCATTTTACTTTTTCAATTGTTCCAAATTGTATAAAGTTTGAATAGACATGAGTCACAGTTACATTAATGAAGTCTGGATTTTATATACAAATCAACACCACTGGGGAATTAGACATTTCTAAAACTAAAAATATAATTTAATAAGTGAATTATTATTAATCGATGATAAAATTTTGCATTCATTCGTCTCCCCATTATTTTCAGGATTTCTATTTTATTTTGTCTTTTTTTTAAATTACACATTCTATTGAATTACCATCAATCTTTTTGAACTGGATAGTCATTCATATTGAAATCTCATGGATGCAGTTACAGTATTAGAATTAACTAGATTTATTTCATTTTAATGACAAAATATATATCACAATATAATGTATAATTATAATGAAATTAAATACTGTTTAAATTGGAGGATGAAAACTTATATAATGTTGTATCTAGATAAATAACTGACAATCGCATGATTATTATTTGCAATTCCTAGATATTTAATCAAAATTTAATGATATTATCAAACTCATAAAATAGAGAAGAAATCGGAAGGAAAACCTTTTGCATTATTTATTCTTGGTTTGGCTCTTTGTAAGGGTTCTTTCTCTTTCTGGAAAAACCCCTTTAATTCTTATGTGTTCATTAAGAGCAAATCTAAGATCTTTTCATTACTAATGGACTCGCTTTTGAAATAATTTTTGTTCCTCTATTCCGTTGGAATTTATTATATTGCCTGTGTTTTCATAGTATTATTTCGATCAATTTAACTAGAGCGCATAGTCCTTGCAGTTTAAATTTAAAGAAAGTTAGCCTTATCTATATCCGAAGGTCTCTTTCCCTGAAAGTACTAAGGCTCTGTGTCAAGGGAGATTTATTTTGTTATCGGGGTCCTTAAATTTTTTAAATCTAAGAATTTTTCCTTATTATTTAAGTCGTCTAGAGTGTTGATTCGATTTGTTTTAGAATGCTTCGATAAGAGAGGTGTATTTAGTATTGATCTTTTATTAGAATTTTTGGAGTTTTAATGTTGAGAATTTAATGACTTTTGAGATTTGATTTATGTTGGGTATCCCTATTAATTGAAGTTCATCTGTTAATAATATATTAAATAAATAATGATAAACAGCTGCATACATTTGGAATTATTAATCGAATAAGGGATTTTCTCAAAAATGGAGTCTTTGAATTAACTGTACCTCAAATCTAAATGGAATCATGTGGATAAGATTGAATAATAATCCTATTTGACATAATCTGAAGATGATTAGATACAATTTAAAATATTATTAATTCATTTTCATGGAGTAATAATAATATATATATGTATGTCAATTGTTTTAAACAGTGGAGTTTCTTTAGCAAAACTTTTTTTTTGGAGACGAACAAGAAGTAGAAATTCTGGATCTAGTTGATATTCTGGATCGAGTGATATTTTACCTAATATTCGAAGATTAAATGGTAGATAATTATGGTATGTTGGGCTCTTCGATATTTTGTTTGTTGGTATTGAAAGTAGTGCTAATCAATCGATGATTATTAAAGAGTCTTCCATGTCCTTGTTGTTTTCCATTATGCCATTGACCCTTATAGAAGGATCCGTCTTGCCAAAACATCTGCCCATACCCTTGTCTCACATCATTTAGAAAATATCCTTTGAAATGACTGCCACTTGGCCATTTCATTTCTCCGTATCCATTTTTCTGATCGTTTAAAAAGGAACCTTCAAATTCAACATTATCAACTATCAATTTGCCATTACCGTGTTTGAGTCCATTTTTGAATTCTCCTTCGTACTTGAAACCATCTCCAATCAGTAGCCCTTATCCTTCAGCCTTTCCATTTACATATTATCCGCGATAACAAATTCCATCATTAAACGTTTCAATACCAAATCCATTCTTTTAACCATTCTTGAACTCTCCTTCATATTTTGATTTTTTAGTCTTCAAGTATCCTTTCCCATCCACTTAGCCAAACTTCCAATCCCCATAATACTCAATGTCATCCCCCTTCCTATAGAGTCCCTCTCCATGTTTCAATGAATTACACCAATTCCCTTCGTAATAGCTACCATCAGCATACCAGTAGGTTCCAAAGCCTTGATGCTAATCATTTACGAATTCTCCATCATAAGATGTTCCATCCTAATTTCTTTCATATCCAATTCCATGTTTAGTATCATTCTGAAAGTCTCCAGCGTAGAAGTAATTCCCACCAGCTATAATCCCCTTTCCGTGTTTCCGTTAATTAAGTACCTCACCGAAATAGGTTTTATCATTTTTTCTTATAAAAACTGCCTTGTCCTTCAAGTCTTCGTAATTGACATATTTATTTTTGTATTTGTTAATAAACTCATACATTTATTATAATATTTTTTTGTTCAAAATTGCATATCAAATTCAAATGTCTGTAACTTAATTAATCCACAATTAGATTATTTTGCTGTGAATATTATACTAAGAAAAATTTATGAAGAAATTATTATTACTAATTTATATTTTATTAACACTTTCAATGTCTAGAACTCCGAACCGCTTTCTATTACCTGAGTTGGAAAATAAAAGCTTTAGAGACACCAAACAAATTTAGGATTTAAGAAGAAAACTGGAAAAATAGCAGGACACTATTAAAGAATTAGTCAATTTAGTAAAAGAGTCTAAAACTGAATCCTACAAGCCCTCATTCAATCAAACCATCATATAGCCTAAAACTGAAAAGGATGAAGTTACATTATAGTTATTAGAAGAGGTTAAAACTTTGCGAAGACAAATAAACAACATCGAATAAGGACCTAAACAAACTGTTTAACATCCAATTATCATTCCACAGTATTTACCAGGTCCTCCACAACAATAATAATAATAATAATAAGTTTAGCCTATGATGTCACCATATATGTTTATGAATCCATACTTCCCTATGCCTCCTCCATTCTTGTATCCCTATCCACAATCATCTAATAACGATGAACCCTATAAAAAAATAATTATGGAGTTGATCCAAAAAAATAATAAAGGCAATAAAGATCTTAATTATAAGAAAAGAGATTCATATTCAAGTGAATACACTGATGATCTCTACAGTAGAAACAGCAGCAGGTAACATAGACATCATTCAAATGTGGACAGAAGAAGACATCCAAATGATCGATATAATCAGAGGAGGAATAGGGATAAAAAATATATAAAGGATAGGAACCTAAGTAAGAGTAGAGATTAAGATGGGTCAGATCATCATAGAACAATCAGCAGAGCCTCTATGAATGATAGCTAAATGAGTTATAATTCAAATTAGAACAGGAGGGATAGAAGAAGGAAAAATTAAAGGAATTTTACTGACGATGAGATACTCAAATTGAGAAGAAAGTTAATAGGATTGTTTTGGTATATTAGAATTGGTTTAGTGCTTAGAAAATACTTGAAAAGAGTTTGGTTACAACGAAGACAAGGGTATTACGAAACTGAAGCATAGTAATTAATTGATAAATTCGATAATGAATTTGTAATTGATTTATCAAATTAAATAGAACTACAAAGAAGTTTTAATATTGTTTGTTGTTGAATGTAACAAAAACAAGTATTTTACTAAAAATTGGAGTATTTTTGATAACAAAGAAGTCGAACTTAAATCTAAATTAATCTTTTCCATCACAACTGCCCTTTTTAAGAAAATACCATTTATGACCAAAAATACTATGACAGATGAACATAAATAATTCATTAAAAAAATATCATCTCCAGGGGGATATTTATTGCCAGGTCATCCTTAATTTGTAACTGACAGGGTCGAATTGAGACCTAATGTTACAATAGGGTAATAACTATTGTAAATATTTAGTTAAATAAGTGCAGAAGTATCGAAGTTGATTCAAATGGATTATGTTTATATTCAAATTCTTGTTTAGAGAGTCCTTCTTATATATGAATGGTACTCTCAATTTTATAAAATTCCCAATTATAAAGAGGCTATGAAAATATTTGTTACTTTATTGCATTAATTGTTCATAGATCATTTTATAAATCTTCCAACATATGAAAATCCTGATTCAATCTTTAATGTAAATTCCAAATCATTATCATTTAGTAATAACAAATTGTGTATTGTGACTTCAATTAACAAAATTATGTCAATGTGGCCACTAGTGTTGATAGTAAGCATCCTAAATATCAACCAACCAAAAATTGTTGTATTCTAGGTCTGGGAACCCAAGATGAAATGAGACCGCTTTATGAATAGCCTGGTTATAAAGAAGTCTAACTCTAATTTAAAGAATATTGTGAATTTTTTTATCAATCCTTAAACTTTTGAATACTCTTTGTAATCTAAAGATATCGAAAATAATATAATTATTTAAATTTCTTATTTGTTTATTTTTAGTTGACATTTTATTCAAATTAGATATGATAGAAAAGAGTATCTAAAAGAATAATTATAAAAAAATAAATCAAGCCAAGATACAGTTCTAAAATAATCAAATAAAAGAGTGTATAATCTCATCAAAGAAATAGATTTTATAAGGAAATAAGATATTATATAAATTATCCTAACTCAATAGGTCAAATCAAAATAAAATTTAAAAACTGACCTATTAAATGTAAAAATAACAATTTGAATAATTATTATATTATTAGTGTTTTACCTAATTAAATTGCATAAGGATGTAAATATTTTTAAATCTAATAGTTTGTTATTAGTTTTGAATATATTATTAATCTTAAATGTAAATAATTTGATCATATTTATTTATATAGTTGATTTTTTAATCTTAATAAATGTTTCAAATCCTTGTAAAATTTTGCCAAATATTGCATTGTGAATTTGATTGATAAATATTAATGTTAAATTCCACAACATAGCTTGCAAATCAATTACCAGTTTTTAAAAGTCAAAACTACTCAGAATTGAAGGATTATTAGGAATTCTTAAAATTAATATAGAAGTTTCACATTTAAAAATTCATGTTAAAAAGTAAAGAATAACTATATCACTATTTATCGAATTAGTGTTAAATCTAAAACTATAATTCTCAATCAGATTCAGACTCGAGTTAAGAAAATTAAGGATCAGGTCAATAAACAGAAGATATGTCTAGAAATAAAATAAAAAATAAATCTGACAAAATATAAGCCAAATAATAAGATATTCTTGAAAAATAATAACCCTAAATCCAAATCGAGAATGAAGATATTATTTTAAAAAATCAATCTCTCGATAATAAAAAAAGTGATTAACAAAAAAAAGAGCATGTAGGAAAAAAGACTAAGGAAAACTCAAAAAATAATGAAATTTTGGAGAAACTTAAATCCATTCCTTTAATTTAAGACTTCGATGATGAGGACATTAGATAAATGGTCAATGATTTTTAATAGGAAGACAAGAAGTAATCAAAGTAAAACAAGAATTCATAAACATTTAAAGATACTAGTGTGAGAGATGATTACTAATATAAATGGCCATAATCCAGAATAAGGATATTGTAAGCTTTGACAATCCTTATTGAAAATAAAGTTGCAGTCCCCAAAATTCTATAAGACTTTAAAATCCTATAAAAAACTTACATCTACTCTCTGTATCTAAAGGATTGTGATGACTTGGCTAATCAGTTATGGCAAAAGGTAGGAGAGAATGTAAATGCAGATGATTAGATCAAATACTTTAGAACCAATTACAAAACAGACTAATTAGAATTAATTTTAGAGATGGTCAAACTTGTTTATGAGAAGAGAGACTAACATCGAGAGCAAATAATAGCAACATGTTCAGGAATCATATTTTAAAAGAAGCTAAGATAATTAAAGGATAAGTTAACAGCTAAAGCAAAGTGTGCAGATAAGAAATGCGAATTAATTATTGCCTACTTAGAAAGAATAAATAATTATGTATTGACTGGACCTATAGTTAATAAATATCAACATGGTGGTTGTAGTGAAGCTCAACTGTTGCATCAGAAAATAATTAAGAAAGCTGCTAAGACTCTACTATACTCTGCTGTCTAGCTTGATGTTCCAGTACCTGAAGTACTCTAATACTTGTCTCTAAGAAAGAGCAGATACAATGTATAAGATAGGCCAGAAGAACAGGGGATATACATACTACCAAGTGTGGAACTGGTTAAGTTGATTGTAGATAAGTAAGGAATGGAAACTATTGCTTAATAGTTAAAGATGAATGATTTTGACTATTTAGATTTTAAAGGCCTTGACTAATTAAATTTTGAGCATTCAAATAAGAATATTGAGGACAGGGATGAAACAGTCTTATATTCAGTACTTCAATTAGTATTAGACAGAATTGATGAGTTGGATTAATTAAGCTTTGTTATAAACGATCGAAAATTCAAGGCTTTACAATAGAAACTTAATGAATTGTATAAAGATGAGATCTTCGGAGAACCTAATCAATAATAGGATATCCCTCAGTTTGTAGGATGTGTTATGAATAAAGTAGAATCCTACATTAAATCATCAAAGTCATAGGAGAGAGTTAAGACTAAATTGTGTTGCATTAAAACAAAATTTTTTGATTAAGAAATAATAGTAAAACAACATTACGAAAATTTAACTGCAGAGTAAATAGAATTTTGTAAGCAACTATTCATTTTGTTTTTATCAGATATATCCAATAAAGATATAGCATTTCCTGAGATCTTGAGATATTTTAAATTCGTAAGTGGTAAACTATTCTTTGATTTTAATGAAAAAATGATAGGAATTATGTTGTTATGTAAAGCTATTAGGCAATATTTCATATCTTGTATGGAAATGGATAATGAATTTGATAAACAAATCACTGAAGACAATCAAATAATTATTAACTCAGTTCCACTATTAAAATTAACAATCAAGGAGGAATTCCTGCCTGAAATTTCTGAAATATTCAAAAAACAGATTTTAATTCTATCCCAACATAAAGAAGATCTATATGTAGATATAAGAGAACTGTTTAAATATTAACCTATTTGTGAGATGATTAAACAACAAGACTTAGAAGATGAATATGAGGATGCGATTTTAGATCTAAAATGCTTATATAAGTTTATTAATGAATAAAATTCAGATTAAGATTGATTCTTGAAATTATACATAATATATATTTGCATATTTCTTTAAAAATTTGATGTTTACATCAACTTAGTATTTAACATAGATCTTAAAGATTAAATAAATATGAATCAATAACTATCCCACTAGAATGATAAATTTTAGGTCTCATCTTAAATGAATGAATTCCCCATTTTTAATAAAAATTAAATCTAATTTTAAAATATGTCACAAAAGTTCAAGGTTAGAAAGCTCAGAGAGTAAAAGCCAGAAGATTTACTTAAGGATTTAGAGAAGCTTAAGTCAGAACTCATTCAATTAAGAACAGTCAAAGTTTCAGCTGGTAATGCTTAAAAACTTGGCAGAATTGGAGTAATTGATTAGTGCTTATATTTCAGCTTGTGAGAAAGAGAATTGCAAAATACTTAACAGTCATTAATGAATAAAGAAGAAATTAAGTTAAATCAACCACTAAGTCAAGTGGAAAACTTCCTGTTGATCTAAGAGGAAAAAAAACAAGAGCAATCAGATAAAGATTAACCAGAAGCGAAAGAGGTTCATAATTTCAATATAAATTAGCTTAAAAGACTGCCAGATAATGGAAAAAACTCAACAACTTCCCATTGAGAAAGTTTGCTTTGAAAGAGTGATTCAATTATAATAATAATAGTACATTATTCTTAACTAGTATATTTGTTAATATTGTTTTTATCTATCTTATCGCTAAATAATTATCATTTATGATTCACAACATTTGATTATCATCATAGAAGGCCATAATTTAATTATGTTTCAAGATGAATAATTTAGTTATTTTAAAGCTTCATTATTCGAAAAATATTGAAAGAATTTAATAGTACTAAAAATATATATATTTTTAAGAATATTATTCTTTAATTTAAACGTTATGAATTTCATCAAATCAAAATGGTGATTCTAACTCCTCTATTTTATAGTTATTATTGAATATCCCCCATCTCTTTTTAATTTAATCCAAAATCCTCAGTTCTCATTGATCTAATCATACTCCTCTCCATACATTGCCTTTCGCAGTTCCTTACAAGCGCTTATCTAAAATATTAAAATTTTTTACCTTAAATTCAAAATGATACGTCCCTATTTCATTGTAAGTAATAGTCTTTGCAAATCTTTGCTGTCAAATTTACAATTTATTAAAGTCAATTTAAACTCTTGTAGATTAGATAAACTAAATCCTTATGTATTTAATTCAATATTTTAAAAGTTCAATGATAGTTTAGTTAATACTTTACTATTAATATTCTGTTATAAACTAAAACCTTAATTCTCACTATCTGATTATAGTGCTATTTCTAAAGTTTTGACTTCAATAAACTGATTAAAGAAAGTTTTGCAATTTTTTAAATCTAAACAACCTCCAACTTCGAGATAAAATTCTGAAAAATTATATCTATCTAATTTAAGAAACTATTTATCTATAATTATGGTTTCAGCATTTTGTACTCTATTCTATCTTATCATTTCTCTAATTTAATAATAAGAATAACCAAAGCCAGTTAAAGTCTTTCTTCTTTCTAAATCAAGGTTAAGATAAATTGCCCTTTTTGTTTCAACACGTATTTCCAATTGTTTTAGGCTATTTTTTGGACAATACAACAGGATAATATTCATAAGCCATAAATTTTCAGGAGCAATTTCATCCAATGAAAAATTTAACTTCAATTGTTAGAGTTCACTCACTTATAAACATTTGAATATTGGAATAAGTTCTTCACCCATATATAAAAATTCTTATGCTTTTTCGATTTCAAGACTTGAAGTTATATTTACTAAAACCAATTTCAATTGAGCCTATAATTTTTTCTTTCTCTACTACTCAAAATAAGAATAATCTAATTTAGTGAAATCAATTTTATATTTTCTTTTATTTATAATAAACCTATCTAATTTGGAAACAATAGCATATGATTTTGGATATTCTATTAAAATTGATTCTTAAATTGAACTCAAATAAGACATTGATTAAAAAAACTAATCAACAGATACTTTTCTTAATATCAGTGCAGGTACAAAGAAGTCTTTAATTACAACTGCCAATAGATCTTTCACTGCAAAAAAGCCATCTTTAACACTACTTACAATTGAGAAACCCCAAGCGTAATCTTTATTTACTGTTAAAATATAGATAAAAAACTGGGGTATCTTATTTAAGGCTTCATCAACACTTGTTCTCCATATAATAGCCTAATAGGTGGGAGCACTCGAGATATCCCATAAACTAGATGGATCAAGTTAAACATCCCCATAATCAAAAGCAACAATTCCAATACTTCCTTTAAATTTAGCTGCATAACTTTTAAATCTAATATAGGCTTTGACATTAATGGCAGCGAAATTTCTTTCAGCTCTTTCAATGATGTATTTAAAACAAAGGAAAATGATCTTCATAACTAGATCCCAGATTTTTAAGAGATTGAATATGAAAAAGAGAAAAATTACTGAGATCATTTCATAAATGGCTGAATTCTTGTATAGTTTGACATAAAACATAGCAAAAGATATTAATTGCAAAATGGGATTTAAAATCTACAAAATGATAAGTGCCCAAATTAAACTATCTTTTTCCACTTAAATGAAATACACATATTGCATTATTTAAAAGGTTAAATTCAACAATGATACAAGACTTTGGACTATACCTTGGAAAACGTTCATTCTCTTAATAGTCTCATAATATTGATAGCAATCAGCTAATCTTCTAAAACATCCTAATTATTCTTTAAGAATTTCAAGCTTAGTAATTTCATTGATTATGTTATCATTTTCTTGTCTAATTTCTTCTAAACTGTTATTTTGATTACAAATTCTCTATAATCTATCTTTCTCTACTTATCTCTCCCTATTAATCTACTTATTTAATGAATCACTCATACTAAACTTTGGACGTAATTGATCTGGAGCCATTAAATAAAAAATAGTTGAAATCTGCCTGTTTCTGTGTCCAGTAATTTATGCAATTATATTAGATTGTCTATTTGTGTTAACTTAGACAGTAGTTCTTTTGATTTCTCCTTAAGTTTCTTCTTGTTGATCACTATTCCATATACCACCTAAATTGATTTCATCCTCATGAACTATTTGACAGTTAGAAAAATTAGAGAATGTATTCTTGAGTTCTTCTAACTTTTCACTATTCTTATAACACAATATGATCTTATTGATTTCTATAAATTCAAATGCATTAGCCAAATATTATAATGTTACTGGTTTATAAGAATCAATATTTGAAATGGCGATTAATTTGAGAAGTCTTAATCTCAAAATAAATTTAATTATTTAAATTATACATCTTCTTTTCTCATAATCACTGAACTTACTTGTGTCTATTTGAAAGTAAAATGATTACACATTTTCAAGATAGGATTCATCAGCCTTAAGGAGTTATTTAGTTTCTTGAATTTTATAAATTCCAATTTTGTGCAATTTCTCTTAAATATCTAGAGTTATTTAACGATAAGTAGTAGTAAATACAATAAATTAAAGTTCAGTTAGGTAGTAAAGGATATTAACAACCAAAAGAAAATAGTTAAAGTTATTATAATCGTCCCATCTACCTACCTTAGCATTAAAAAATCCTTATATAAAAAGCATTGGAATTGATTGTGTTAAGAATGTAATCATCATAGAAATTAAAGCTATACGATGGAATATCAAGTCTCTGAAAATATTTACTGGTTTAGTTCTTTTCTTAAACAACCCAGAGGGATTTCCTTATCTGTCTTCACTTGTCATTATTAGATACTTGTTGATCTAACTGAATGAAAACTATTGAATGGACTTATCTCTGGAGTAAAACACAAAAAAGGGCAACAGTTTTATGTAGCTCAGGATTCCAATAATAGCATAATAAACATAATTCAATAGATCCCAACAAAGATGATGTCTTTATACATTCATGTATTTATATGTATAAATCCAAACATATACATGAAGCAAAATGGCTAGAGCTATTGAAAAATAATATAATCCTTCATAAACCGGTGCATCTGAAATGTTATTTACTTTCCCATATTATAAAGTAAATATTAACTCCAAAATCGTAGATATATAAATAAGTATCTAAAATATAATTTTAGTATAATATTTATAAATACTGGAGGATCTTTTAACTTCGTTAAATCGTTTATTTATAAAGTCAATTAATTAACCCAGATATTCTAAATGTTAATGGGATTCTTCAGGTATATCTTTTTCGATATTAATTCTATCATCCGTTACTATACCTTCATGAATATTGTTATTTTAAATATTCAACCCCTCCAATTCAGGTTCTTGTTAATTGTTATTTTAAGGTATTTGAACTTATTAAATTACTGAATGAAGAGATTCCTGTTTTTCAGTTTTCGGAAGAAGAACCTATGAAACTCCTTGGGTTCTATTTTCATTTTAAACCGAAGTTAATTCAATTTACTATACGTTGTCTGTTGACATTCTTTATTCTTGGTTATTTGTCTCAACCTATTCTGATGACATTTTAGGGAAGAAATAAAAAAAAAATAATGATTTGAAATGAATATCTAAATCTATAAATATGCGAAAATGATAAATATTGATATATAAAAATAGGCCACTAAATTTCAGTATTAAAGCAACCAAATTCAAGATATAGGAGTGCTATTTCTTAGAGGAGAATTATTTATTTGTATTATATTATTTTATTCTACATTTTCAATTTACAAGTTTGGCATCTTAGAATGAAGAATATGTTATCAGGGTATTATGACATCTTTTTCTGAATATAATTCATGCTTAAACCTTCGATGATAAATAAAATAATAATTGGTTGATTCTTGATGGTGAATATATATAATAAGATGAATCTAATTAGTTTAGATTTAAAGGTAAAGAGGAATCACTTATTAATATACAGCTACATTTTCCATTTGAGGCTTTGATGCAGGGTAGACTATTTTATATTTAAATTTTATTGCTGAATAATTTTATATATTCATATTTTATTTAAAAGAATAATAAATTAAATAAATTTATGAATTTTTGAATCCATTCATAATTCTACAATTATTATCATAAAGATAAATGTGTACAGGAATTAAGATTAATTTAATCTTTCTAATAAATTAGATGAATGGCTTGAAGATTAGGCATACTACAAATAATATGATTACTCACAATCATATTTGGAGAATGGGGTATCTCAGTATTATTAAATAAGTATAATAAAAAGCAACAAAGTACTTTACAATTATTTCTGATTACTAACTTTTGAAGAATAAATTAAATTAAAAATTATTAACTTCTCCTAAATTATTAATGAAGATGAATACACAAGCCCAACAGTTAATGCAATATTTGAAGGGATAATTTTATTAAATAAGTATTAAATTAAAAATATATATTCACAAAGCTCAATTAAGCTTAATTAATTTCCTTCCTTTTAACATTACAAGACATTCGATATTACTAAGTTGTTACGAAAACTAAGAAATTTTATAATTTTAATTAATTTTTTGTTTCTAATTAGTTTCATCAAGGCAATTATGTTAATTCTAACACAATTTCTCTTAAAGTTCCTTAATTATTTTATTCATCACATAATATTCCTTTTCATCATTACTCATTTTGCCCAATTTTATTTTATTTTATTCCTACTTGATCATATTATAATATCTGTTTTTTATTGTATTTTCGGTTCTTCTTAATTAAAATATTTAAAATGAAATTTCTGCCCATCTCTTTCCCTTTTTCTTTACTTCTGAAAATAACATTAACTCTTCTTCTTTACTCCAAGGGTCCCTTAATCATACTCAAATAATTTACTTTTTAATATTAGGATCTAATTTATTAACCCATCTATCTCGACATTATTTTCCTTACCTGGCATATGGTGTTTGGCATTTCTTCATCAATTCAATCGCTATATCACACCATTTATTTGGATGTTAATTATATAATTAGATAAGGGCTTAGTCTTCCTCAAAAGTCCAACTTGCTTTAGCTTACTTTTCCAAAAGCCACCTGTTTCTACAGGCCTTCCAATTATGATGTATTACCAATCTAGATATTCTTTCCCAATCTTATATTATCTATAATATGTGAATGTATTATACTAAATCATGAGGAAGTATATGGTTCGATAAACATGTTCCAAACACTAGGATATTTAATAATTTGTCTTGGATAGGGGTCCATGCTCCTTTTTTGGCGAAATTACTTTTTTCAATAGTGTTAAAAAGAGTATTTAATTCATCTGATGTTGGAATATATTGTAAGGAAAAACAGTTGGTGGAAAAGAGCTATATTTTAAATTGATTGTCAATATTTGCAAATAAGTTTTAAATTGCTTGACGATCTAAAGAAATTTTTTTCATTACAATGTAATTCAAATAATAATTAAGATATAAATAAACTTTTATCAAATAATGAAATAATGATTGAAATTATATACTGTGTTTATTTAATATATACATATAAATTAATTATTACAAAGTTTTTATTCATAATTTTTTATTTATATTTAAAAGGAGTCGCTCTTGCTTGTGTCATGATAAAACTGTCCTTTTTATTCTTTCAATTATCATATATTAGTGTAATTAAGAATTAAAGAAATAACTTAATATTTTGAATTATAAATAATGAGTAGAATGCATTACTTATTGGAAAATTGATTTCTAATAATTATAATTCAAAATTCAATTAAATCCTTGTTGTTCAAAGAATCAAGATGGAAATTAATTATATATCTGATAATTTTTATGATAGGCTATTTAATTTAACCTTTAATCTAATTCACAAAAACTGAAGCTTTTAATATACCTGTACTTATTATAAAAAGTATGAGAAAATTAAACGATTATATTAATCTGAAAAGTTACTAATATTTTTATGTAATTATATTAATTAATTAAATTCTTAGCAAAATAATATTATCAATTTTGATAATTTCCTAAAAGGTAAAAGTAAATATACATCGAAATGGCATTTTAAGAAAAACGATTGAATTTTTTATGGTTCATTTCTTACTACATCAGACTACTATTTTAAATTATACACAATATAACATCGTACTAATTCATAACAATCACAGATAAATTTAGGTTTATATCTATTTTTATTTATATTTGAAATAATTAAAAATAAAAATTTTAATTTATAAAGGTTTTTCTATAAACCTAAATTAGAAAACAATTTTATTTCAATTATGAAATGATTAATCTGATTTCTTCTCTCTTATAATCCTTTCAAATTTATTAAATTAATTTTATGAATCACATATATTAAATTGAATATATAAAAAAGTTTTGAAAGATGGGATAATTAAAGAGGAAACAGATATTTGTTTATCATTCATACTGGAAATTTTCAATTTACAAACGTTATAATTTATAAATAGTTAAAGGTTACTCTTAGAGAATAGGAAATTAGATTAAAATTTTTATTTCTAATATTTGAATGGTTTTGCTTTCAATTAAGTTTTTCCTTTGTATATTGATGATATGAATAAAAAGTTAAATTCATGAATCAATAAGGTTGAAAGATGAATAATTCATTATAATAACCTTAAAGTTCTTTTATTTAGTCAAGGGATTTTATAAGTAATTAAATATAAGTGTGATTAAATATTTCTTGTTAATGAAATAACAAATTAAAGAAATGTAAATAAAGGCCATTGTGTACTGATTGAATCTTAGTTATAAGAATGTGATAGGAATGCAGATTCTAGTTAATGTAAGTTTTTGAGCATTATTTTTTATAAAATTTACTAATTTGAATGTTATATTCTAAATATTGTTAGTCAGATTTTGATGGTTACGAGAAAATATAAGAACTTGGGAATGGAGCTTATGGGAAAGTTTATTTAGTTAGAAAAGATGGGGAACTGTTTGCTTTAAAAACTGTATGTATAATGGTAACATAGAGGTGCCTAAAGGAATATTTAATGATTTAAGCGAATAATAGTTATAGAAAGAAATTTAGATACACAAAAAACTAGTTCATACAAATATTATTAAGTTGCATTCTTATTATCAGGACAGACAACATGTTCATATGTTGATGGAGTATGCAGATGGAGGTTCTTTGTATCAAAAACATTTAACATTGGATGAGGTTCAAGAGTACTTCACTTAAATATGCAATGGGATTTACTATTTGCATTCAAATAACATAATTCATAGAGATCTAAAGGTAATAAATTGGATTAACATGCAAGCCTGAGAATATATTACTAAAAAACAATGTGATCAAGTTATGTGATTTCGGATGGTCTGCTGAGGTGGGATATAATAAATAGAGAGATACCCTGTGTGGGACTATTGATTACATGGCTCCTGAAGTCTCCTAAGGGAAATACTCATTCAAAGTGGATACTTGGTCGTTGGGGATAATTCTGTATGAGATGATTCATCATTCTGTTCCTGCTAATCCCAGGAAATACAACTGTCCAGAGTTGGTTCAAGATTTGATTGAGAAATTGTTAGTTCCTTAGGATGAGAGACTTAACATTACTGAGGTTTTGAAGCATCCTTATGTGAAACAAGGGTAAGAGGCTAGACAATCAGTTTTGAGTGAACATTCGTTAAATTTTAGCAAGTATCAGGTGGAAGGGTTGGAATTGTTTAATGAATTAGATGTATTTTTGGAGTAATAAGATAGAGCAATAATCAGAATGACCGACATCTTCAAACCTAGATAATCTAGGAAAGTGGCTGAATAATAAGTAACACAACAAACGCCTAAAAAGAGTTTCTTCAATACAATACTTGACACATTGGGATGTATGAATAGAAGTAAGAAATAATCATCTGGTTGAAGAATAAAATTAAATTATATCAATGATAAATAATTCATTTCGTAAAACGCTTGTTGGATATCTACATCCATTCAGTTGGCTCTCCTTCTATTATAATGTATCAACTTCACCTCAATGTGAATCTAACTCTCCTAGAACAAGAACCATACGTCCATCAAAGCAAAAGTGTAATATTACTTTTAAAGAATTCGCAAAGCATTGTCAACGCCTCAAATAAGACGAACAGTCAGAAATTAAAAAGCATATTAATTTGATTCCCCCAGCTACTTCTATTGAAATTTAAGAGTTCATCAACTCAAATAAGATAGAAGGAAACATTAGCAATATTGCAAAAGACTTTGAATTTCTTCCTGCAGAATACTAAGAAATTCTCATCTCCAAAAAAATAACAACACCTACTCCTATTCAAAAGGCTATTTTCCCTCTTATACTTGAGGGAAGAGATGTGATTGCCATTGCTGAAACTGGATCTGGAAAAACTTTAGCCTATGCTCTACCAGGAATAATACATTCACAAGCACAGCCTTAAGTACTTGGCCCAAGAATTTTAGTTCTTGCTCCCACAAGAGAATTGGCATAATAGATTTAATCTCAATATGAACTTTTTACTAGAACTTGTTGTGTGTATGGAGGGGTTTTCAAGAATTTACAATATAGTGAAATATTGGGCATTAAAGAAACCAGAAATAACGCCAATCTACCCTCAGTAATCATAGCCACTCCTGGCAGATTATTAGATTTTATGAAAGATGGTTTGCCTTTGAATTCAATCACTTAAGTAGTGTTAGATGAAGCTGATAGAATGTTAGATATGGGATTTGAGGAGTAGATTACCCAAATTCTATAGGCAGTTAGAGAAGACAGACAAACCTTATTTTTCAGTGCAACTTGGCCAAATGAAGTCTAAAGATTGGCTAATTCGCTATGTAATTAAGATCCAATTATGTTACAACTTGGAGAGTAAGGATTGTCAGTCAATAAAAATATATTGTAAGAAGTAATTATTGTTTATGAAAATAAATTTGATAAATTCGCAGAATTAACAGATAGATTATAGGGATAAAAATTGCTTATATTTTGTTAGAAGAAGTCAGACACATAAAAATTGGAGTATAGGTTATCCATACATGGACTGAAAGCGAGATATTTGCATGGTGATTTAAAATAAGCTGAAAGAAATTAGATTATGGAGGAATTTAAGACTGGAGCAATCAATTGTTTGATCACTACTAATTTAGCATCTAGAGGCTTGGATGTTTCTGATGTTGATGTTGTTGTAAGTATTCTTTTTTTATTTTAGATTAATTATGATTTCCCAGACACAATTGAAGACTACATTCACAGAATTGGTAGAACTGGTCGAGCTGGCAAAAAAGGGTTGGCCATAAGTCTTTTAGAACCAGCCTTTATTAACAATAGACTTAAAAGTGATTTGGTTTAAGTTCTTCAATAATCAGACTAAATTATACCTTAAGAATTATCCAGCTTAAGGTTATGATTAATTATTGTTTATATGACTAAGTGTTTTTAAGTATTTATTAAACTTTAATAAAACAAGAATTATAATCATTTGATGGATTTAAAATATACTGAATATTATATTGATTAGTTAAATCATTTGTTTTTAATTTTGAAACAATATTTTTTAATTCAATATTTTAGAAATTAGAATTGCAATTAAACTAGTTAACCAATCTATAAACACTTAAAAATAAAGTTAATATTTAATCATAAAGATATTTTGGTATTTTACTTTTATACAAATATTTATATTATAATATCTTCTATAAATTTTATAATTCAAGCCTGACTTTTATATAGCTGTTCTATTTGTTTAGAAAATACTTGTTTCGCAATATGCCTTTATAATTTGAAGGTTGATGTCAAACATCCAAAATTTTGCAATGGCTAAGGTTCTAAATGTATTAATTTTGCCTAGTAAAATATATAAATTAATATATACTATTTCTAAGGAATTAAGTTTATTGGCTCTTCCATAGTCATTTATATTTTTTTAATATAAACCTATGATTTCTGGATTCTTGCATAATTGCTCAAAATCACCTTAAATTTGTTTTTCAATCGCCTATTTTTCAACAAAATCTTTCTAAGGAACTATTATGGCTACAATCTGACTTTGAAGAGAATCTCCATATATGAATGACTCTGCTACACCTTGCACTCTATTATAAATAGCTTCAATCTTCTCTGGAGCAATATATTCACCTTATTAGAGTTTAAAGATGTTTTTCTTTCTATCTATAATTTTGACTCCTCCATTTTCAGTAATAAGACCAATATCTCCTGTGTGCAACCATCCAGCATCATCAATAGCTTCAGCTGTTTTCTCAGGGTCCTTGTAATACCCTTAGAAAACTCCATGTCCTCTTAAACAAATTTCACCTCTCGGTGTTTTTATACCATTAATAACATCCTGTGATGTGTAATTCATATCTGGCACATCCACTAATTTAAACTCTGTATTTGCAGCAGGTCCACCAAGATGGGCAGACTTTGGATCCCATACACCTGTTGAGAAAGATAATCCAGTTGATTCTGTTTAACCATAGCCCTCCAGAATTGGACAACAAGCAGAAATTTTGAGAAAATCAATTACTTCCTATTGAATTGGAGCTGAGCCAGTAATCATTATTCTACATCTGCCTCCAAATAAGTCTCTGACTCCTTGGAAGGCTTTGTCATATAAGCCACTTGTATATTTGGCTTCTGATCTTAGATTTTCTAATTTCACTCTTATAGCTCTTTCTGCAAAGGCTTTTTTAAACCCTGTGACTTCATTTATTTTTGCTTTAATGCCATCATAGAACTTGTTATATAATCTAGGGACTGAAGCAAAGACTGTGGGTCTAAGTTTTTATATGTCTTCCTTCAATAAATTAGGATCACCTCGATAGAATCTAGATGTCATTGATAATAATACCCTATAGTGGCACCAGTGTATAGCATGGTAAGTATAATCAATCTCTCCATTACATGAGGTAATGGCAAATAGGATATATGAACATCTGTCGAATTGATTCCAGCATCAGTTGCTTGGGTACTAGCAATGGCAGAAATGAAATTGCTATGAGAGAGTATTGCTCCTTTAGGATTTCCCGTAGTTCCAGATGTATAACAGAAGGTATAGACTGAAGAAGGTGAAACTTAGACAGGTTGCACAATTTATTTCCTACCGTTTTCTACTATTTCCTCGTATTTAAATAATTGATATCCTTTGTTTTTCAATTCTGCAATTTGCTATTCAGAAATGGGATCAAGCAAAACCAAGTTTTTTAATTTATGCTTTTCTTTGCATTAAATTAAAGATTTGGTTGCATCGCCGCTAATAAACATGGTTTCTATGTTGGTCTAATCTAGAATGAAGGGAATGGACTCAGGACCAAGAGTATCATAAAAAGGGACCATTGTGCAACCGTATATGATATTAGCCCAATCTAAGATCATCCACTCTCTTCTATTTTTTGCAAATACTCCTATCAATTTTAATTTGTAGTGTTGATATTCTTGGACCTCTTTTACCAAATTCAAATTGGAAATTCTAAATTCAATTTAATGTATTACCCACTTCCTAAATGAATTGCTTCTTCATTGACTTAATTGTATGACATAAATTTGAAATTATCTCCTTCATATTTGCCCATGCATGGCTGATTTCCATATTTTGCAATGCTATTGTTAAGCATCTCTTATAATGTTGTGATTCCTTGGTGTGGTATCATAAGTAACTGATTTACATATTGTACATTTCTCCTGACTGTGGTTTAGCCTTAATTGTTCACTAAAGAACCTGGTTCATTTTCTGTTACCTTCTCCTATGAATATCTCATAAAATTATAGGTATTAGATACACCACAACCCATTATAATAAGATATATAATTATGTTTAAAGGAATCTCTTGAAAAATTGATTATTATATTACAATAATACATCATTAATTAAACTGGGATTAAATCTTGTAATGAATTATGAAATTTAATATTATTAATAAAATTTGCATAATTTAAAACACACAATGAACATAAATCAATCAACTTCCTCCATCTTGGATTTGGTGGCTTCGGTGTTAGCATCTTCCTTTTTCTAAGAAAAATATAAATGATTAATAATACCTCTAATTATGGAAGTTTTTCATCTTCTTCTTCAATACCAGCATCATCAATGGATAAACCGAGTTTAATCATCTTGTGAATTCTATTAGCGAAGTGAGTTGGGTCATCAAGACTGAATCCTGAAGTGAGAAGGGCAGTTTCATAGAGCAACCAGATGAGATCTTTGACTGTCTTGTCACTCTTGTCCTTATCTGACTTCTTCTTTAATTCGGTGAGGATTGGGTGATTGGCATTGATTTCTAAGGTCTTCTTGGACATCATGTAACTGCTCATTGATGGATCTCTCAAAGCTTAAGCTTTCATGATTCTTTCCATATTGGCAGACCATCCATATTCACCAGTAACCAAAACACATGGTGATTAGTCAAGTCTTTATCCTAATTAGACCTTTTCAACCTTGTCTCCCAAGATTTCCTTGATCAATTTGCATAATCCTTCAAATGATGACTTTTATTCTTCGAATTTCTTCTTTTCATCTTCAGTTTAATCTAAGTCTAAGCCTTCCTTTGTGCAATTCTTCAATTTCTTTCCATCGAATTCCTTCAATTATTAGATGACATATTCATCAATTGGGTCAATCATATAGATGACTTCATAATCCTTCTTCTTCAAGGCTTCAACAAATGGTGATGCAGCGACTGAGGCTTTTGATTCTCCTGTAATGAAGAAGATATCCTTTTATCCTTCCTTCATTTTTCCAACATAGTCCTTGAGTGAGATTAATTCTTCACCACTCTTTGATGTGTGGAATCTGAGGAATTCACTCAATTTGGTTCTGTTGGCTGAATCTTCATGAATACCTAATTTGAGATTCTTTGAGAATTGTTCATAGAATTTCTTGTAGTCTTCAGCATTTTCACTGATTTCTGTGATCATTTCAATGCATTTCTTGGTGATGTTCTTCTTGATGACTTTCAAGATCTTGTTGTGTTACAAGAATTCTCTTGAAATGTTCAAGGGTAAGTCTTCAGAATCAACGACTCCCTTAACGAATCCCAAATATTCTGGGATCAATTCTTCACAGTCATCCATAATGAAAACTCTTCTGACATACAATTTGATGTTGTTCTTCTTCTTCTTTGTTTCGAACAAATCGAATGGTGCTCTCTTTGGAATGAAGAGGACAGCCTTGAATTCCAAACCTCCTTCAACTGAGAATTATTTGACTGACAAATGTTCTTCCCAATCGTTGGTCAATTATTTGTAGAAATTAGCATATTCTTCCTTTGTGATTTCTTCTGGCTTCTTCATCCATAATGGCTTGTTCTTATTAACTTATTCGAATTCAGTGCTGACTTCCTTGATCTTCTTCTTCTTCTTTTCAGCCTTGTCCTTCTCTTCTTAGACTTCACCTTCTTCAGCCTTCTTTTCCTTGTTTTCATCTTCATCATCACTGACTTCCTTTTCAGTAGTCTTTTCAATTTATAATTCAATTGGGAATCCAATGAATTCTGAGTGTTTCTTCACCAAATCCTTGATTCTCTTTTCTTCCAAGAATTCTAAGTTGTCTTACTTCATGTGTAAGATGATGATTGAACCTCTTGTCAATTAGACTGGGTTTTCAGCATCATCGTAGACAAAGAATGTTCCACCAGCTTATGATTCCCATCTGTATTATTATTCACCAACAGCCTTGGAGATGACTACCACCTTATCGGCAACCAAGTAAGCGGAGTAGAAACCAACACCAAATTGTCCAATCATAGAAATATCAGCTCCTGAGCTCAAAGCTTCCATGAAGGCCTTGGTACCTGATTTTGCAATGGTACCCAAGTTGTTGATCATTTCATCTCTAGTCATACCAATACCTGTATCCTAGATGGTCAAAGTATTGTTATTTTTATCTGGAACAATCTTAATCTTGAAATTTGGTTCAATGTTCAAACCAGCGCTGTCTGGGTCTGTAATAGACTTATATCTAATCTTATCTAAAGCATCTGAGGCATTGGAAATCAATTCTCTCAAGAAAATTTCTTTGTTTGAATAGAATGTGTTGATAATTAAACCCATCAATTGTTGGATATCGGCATTGAAGTGGAATTACTCTTCTTTCTTTTACTCTGTTGACATTACTAATATTTAAACTTAATAATATGCATCAATGGAACTCGATTTTATACACAAATTCCCATTCTAGAAAATTCTATTTTGAAATTTTATATAGTAATGAAATTCTATAAGAAATTAATATAAATCTCAATCAAATTAATGTATTAATTATTCTTTTTTACATTAAAATTTAATAACTATTTTTGTTATATCCTATTCAAAATTTAATAATGAGTTATTCTCTATATAAGAAGGTTATTGTTCATTCCATCTTAATTATAACCATTCATTACATGTGTCCATTTTTGTTTGATTGTACAAATCTTAGATTTTGAATATGTATTATTATAAATAATAATAGAATTCAATTTTAAATAACAGTAAAAATATCTGTTTTTAGTATCCCAACGTATTAACTCCTATTAAATATAGAATAAAAACCTACTAAAATTTACTTGGTTAGACGTATGATCTCTAATACATCGGTTAAGTTGAAATGGAATAAAGAAACCATGCTTGAAAAATAGTAATAATTTAAAAAGTTCAAAGATATTATTAAAATGGATATGCATTCTAAATAAAAGACCTATTACATTATTGCTAAGGATTGTGATTCATAAGACTAATTAAGATATGTTTTAAGGAAAATACATATCTCAGTTAAAATTATTGTTAATGTACTTCGATTTGCAATGATGGAATTTTTGAATGATAAAATTGAGGTTTAAGCAAATTTTATCTTGAAGATTTATGAAAACTAAAATGTAATCAAAGAATGGGAGGGTTTAATGATTAGGTGTATTGAAATCTATACATTATATCCTACATTTGTATGGGGATAATTGAATTAGGGATATTTTATTTAGGGAATTATAAATGATAAGGAATTGCTAATAAAAATGTGCCTAAATAATTAATAAAAAGATTTAAATAAAAAATCAAATTTTTATCAGGAATGGCAGCAAATAAGTTCTGGAAAAAAAGTGAAGTAAGAGTATATGTTCAATAATGAGTTAACAAATTTGGAATAATAAGTTGGTGTTGCATTGACCTAAATCGAGCAATCAGTCACAGAAGCCAAGAATCTTAAGGTTTCATCAGTTGTTGATTATACAGCAAAAATCAATGCTAAGAAGCAAGTTTATTTAGTATTCATCCCCCATCCATGCTTATCAATCTACAATAAAGTGAGGTATCCCATTGTGTAAATTGCTTAGCTCAAAATTATTACCAGAATTAGAGAAGAGATTGAAGGCAACAATATTGGTTGTTGCAAAGAGAACAATTGAAAGCAAGTGGGTTAAAAGTCACAGATCATAAACAAGACCAAACTCAAGAACACTCACATCTGTCTATGATGGACTTCTTGATGATCTTGTTGCCCCATCTACCATCTTGGGAAGAAGAACAAGAGTTAGAGTCGATGGCACTAAATTCTATAGAATGTACTATTCAATATTCACAATTAGCTTTTTGGATGAATAAGATAAAAATGAAGTCGAACCAAGACTTGATGCAATCAGAGCTGTCTATAAATTATTAACAACAAGAGAATTAGAATTTGAATTCAGAAGAGATGATGTCTTCTACTCAAAAAGAGGTGGAGCCAAGAAAACAACAAAAAAATGATGAGCATTAATATTTTAGTACAATATAATAAATACACCAAATATAACATTAANTAGTATCCCAACGTATTAACTCCTATTAAATATAGAATAAAAACCTACTAAAATTTACTTGGTTAGACGTATGATCTCTAATACATCGGTTAAGTTGAAATGGAATAAAGAAACCATGCTTGAAAAATAGTAATAATTTAAAAAGTTCAAAGATATTATTAAAATGGATATGCATTCTAAATAAAAGACCTATTACATTATTGCTAAGGATTGTGATTCATAAGACTAATTAAGATATGTTTTAAGGAAAATACATATCTCAGTTAAAATTATTGTTAATGTACTTCGATTTGCAATGATGGAATTTTTGAATGATAAAATTGAGGTTTAAGCAAATTTTATCTTGAAGATTTATGAAAACTAAAATGTAATCAAAGAATGGGAGGGTTTAATGATTAGGTGTATTGAAATCTATACATTATATCCTACATTTGTATGGGGATAATTGAATTAGGGATATTTTATTTAGGGAATTATAAATGATAAGGAATTGCTAATAAAAATGTGCCTAAATAATTAATAAAAAGATTTAAATAAAAAATCAAATTTTTATCAGGAATGGCAGCAAATAAGTTCTGGAAAAAAAGTGAAGTAAGAGTATATGTTCAATAATGAGTTAACAAATTTGGAATAATAAGTTGGTGTTGCATTGACCTAAATCGAGCAATCAGTCACAGAAGCCAAGAATCTTAAGGTTTCATCAGTTGTTGATTATACAGCAAAAATCAATGCTAAGAAGCAAGTTTATTTAGTATTCATCCCCCATCCATGCTTATCAATCTACAATAAAGTGAGGTATCCCATTGTGTAAATTGCTTAGCTCAAAATTATTACCAGAATTAGAAAAGAGATTGAAGGCAACAATATTGGTTGTTGCAAAGAGAACAATTGAAAGCAAGTGGGTTAAAAGTCACAGATCATAAACAAGACCAAACTCAAGAACACTCACATCTGTCTATGATGGACTTCTTGATGATCTTGTTGCCCCATCTACCATCTTGGGAAGAAGAACAAGAGTTAGAGTCGATGGCACTAAATTCTATAGAATGTACTATTCAATATTCACAATTAGCTTTTTGGATGAATAAGATAAAAATGAAGTCGAACCAAGACTTGATGCAATCAGAGCTGTCTATAAATTATTAACAACAAGAGAATTAGAATTTGAATTCAGAAGAGATGATGTCTTCTACTCAAAAAGAGGTGGAGCCAAGAAAACAACAAAAAAATGATGAGCATTAATATTTTAGTACAATATAATAAATACACCAAATATAACATTAAATTTCTTCTTTTTAACATTACCATCCTTCTATTTCATAAATTTATTTAGAATCATATAAAGAATAAGTAAATAATCATTATTATAAATTTGTTTTAGTATATATGACCCTTCTTAGAGTATCTGAGGTCATCCCTCTCCTTCTGGAGTTGTTTTGATTTTAATGAAAGTCTATTAGTTTCGATAATTTAAAGATAGTTTATACTTCAGCACCCAACTTGCTAATTATTTATTTGCTCAAGTTACTACAAATAGACTGGTCTTGATCATTTTCTGCTTCTTACAGTACATCATCATACGCCTTAAATAGATTAATAATAAATACAGAATAAATCTTTGCATACATCTTTGCATCTGCTTATAGATTGTAGTGTATTTTATTTAAGGATTCTAACTCTTAGGAGGTTTCATCCCTAAAATTAAAGATAAGCTTTACTATTTAGTGTTATTGCTTCTTGTCCTTTCTTCAACTACTGTCCGATTAAATACTTCTTTTGTATTGTCTAAGGATATCAACGGTTTTGGAGCAAAATTGAACATCAATAACTGTTGCTGAGAGAAAATCACTTCTTTAAGTTTCTCTAAGTCATTTAATTTTGTTAGTATATTGAATAGATCTATTTATTCAGTGATTTGATCTCTAATTAATTGAATATACAATTTACATAGCTTTATTCATCAATTAAATATGTTTTTTATGCCTAAACACTTTTTAGCAAGTCAAAAAATTGATTAACATTTGAAACGTCATTAAGATTGGTTATGATCTTTAAATTAAATTTTAAATTTATAACTAGAAATATTCTAACCCATTTGAACAATTTAATTTAAATGCCATAGCTTCCTATTCATAAATAAACTTATTTTTTTTTTTAATCACATTTTCTGTTTATTTTTTTAATGGACTCCGTTTTTGTGATTATGGACTTATTTATTCACTGAACTTCAGTAACTCATTTTTTGACTTTTAATTTATCACACTTTGATGCATAGGCTATATCTCTAAATCTATATCAGAGTTTCGAGGTTTATCCTATTGTGACACCTTATCTTGTTTATATTGCATCATTTAATTCACCAAATCTAAATTGTCTTAATAATATTTCTCTTTTTGAAAAGATACCAAAGTGAATTCATACAATTTATTAGCTAATTCAACGAGCACTTTATAATTTTAAGGTAATAAATACGTTGGAATCTGTTGTATATTGTTAAGACAGTCCCAATAAAAAAAATGAAGATCTATTGGATGCCTCCTAAGTTGGATAATAATTCATCTATTTTCAAATATTTCCTAAATATTTTAATTTTGTAAGGACTCTTTCTTATCTAGATTTGTACGAAAGATTAAACTGAGTTATTTTATATTTCAGTTCTCTCTTTGATTTCTGATTGATCTAGCGTGTAAAATTATGAATATTCCAAATAACTAAACGGAAATAGACTTTGATCATTGGTGACTTCGTATTCTTTGATAAATAGATCTACAGACTTATAAATATTTGAGGGAAGAAATCTGAAGAAGAATGAATCGTCTAAAAATGTTTGCAAATAATTATCTTCTGGTTTGTAGGGATTTAAGATCTAAATTATTCTATAATATACTTTATTGATTGGAAACAACTTAATTTTGAATGCTCCATTTTTATCGATCTCTTATTATAATTCTTCAGTTGAAGCACATTTTGTTTTATTAGAACATTATTGTACTTGAATTTTCAAATAATCAAACTCTAAATCTAGAAAAGCAATATTTATTTTAAATACTTGAATAAGTTCCTTAAATTGAAATTGTTTGGTTATAGCTATAAAAATAATTTAAAACACTTACTCGAAGCACAAAAAATCATGTAATTTAAACTGATTGAATTAGTCTGTCATGTCTCGTCCAAATTAAGAGAATATTTTATTAAAACGATCTAAAGTACAAGGTATCAATTTAATTTCTTTTTCTATTTAAATTACCGAACCATTCAAAAATTTTTGAACATGATACTAATCTATTTTGATGTCATAAAAAGGCTTAGATAAAAAATTGTCTTAATCTATTTGAACAGCAAATAAAAAAAATGAATCGTCAATTAGTGACAATGATGGAATTTCTTCAAATTCAGTTAAAACAGTTGCACTTAAACTTTCCTTGTTGAAAAAGGATCTAATGTTGGATGAGAAGATCAAAATCAAAATTATTAGCAATATCAAGGAGGAGCATCCCCCGAAAACAGTTTTATAAGAGCTTTGCCTATTCATTCTTAATGTGATCGATTATCCAAATATATCCATTTTTGAGATCCCTTAAAATAAAAGAGCTTATTACAATTGCCGATTCTTTTCATACTGTAATAATACAACGCTTTTAATATATTAATTAATAAACTATCTATTTGGGCGTGTGTGCCAAGATGCAAATATGTAAAAATACTAAAAAGTATTAAATTATCAAAGTCATATTCCTCCTTTTTTCTAGAAGTTAATTACAAATATTTTTTTTTAGGTTTGGTTTTTAAATTATTTCTATTTATAATTTAGGACCAAAGTAAATTGCTAATTATGGCAATTTTATCCTCAAGAAATGAAAATGACTTAATTCAAGCCTCTATTTAGAAATTAAATGATTGAAATTATATAAATAATCTGCAGCACATATTTGTGGACCAGTTTATAATTGTAAAGCTTATATAAATACATATATTTATATATTAAATTAAGTAATATATTATAAATTACATATATTATATCATCATTTTATATTATTAAAATTATTAATGAGAGTTAGAGGTCCACCAAAGGAGTAAGAATCAATGGGGAAATCTTTAGATAATAACTCAGTTCATAAAAGAAGATAAGAATTATGGGAAAAGCAAATGGGGTCAAATTAAGTATGCTAAGGATATGTCTCTAATACTCAGGGAAGTGCAGAGTCTGGAATAAAATAGTTTTTATCATCAATGAGGAAAAATGGAAGCTTTCAATAGATCGAAAGCCAATATAGACCGAATATCACAGAAAATGAAATTGAAACACCCAATAAATCATAACTGAAGGTTACAGACACATAATTATTGACTCCATTGCAAAAAAATGCATAAAAAAATCAGACCACTTATGATATTTTGTCATAGATCTATGAATTATAAAATAGGAAGAGCAGAAATTAATCGCTTTTGGAAGAATTAATGAGAAAAACTAAATAGGCTAATGATAATCTAACGTTCTAAAGAATACTTCAAAGGAAAAAGTACTATAAAAGATCTCAGAGATGTTAATCAGTGGCTTAAAAAGAATATGAATTAGAATAACTAAAAGGCTAATTGATTTAAGTGAAATAAGTGCAGGTTCAACCAATCTAAAAGGAATAAACTCCTAAGTAATAGGAGAAATTGATTCCACTTTTGATTAGAAAGGAGAAGACCAAAAGTCCACCATCGAAAGATAATGATAGAAAAAAAATACAAGGTCCAATTTGCAAAGCCAAAAAAATAGTGATTGATGATACTAGATTTTGGGATATTGGATTTACTAAATTTATATAGAATCCAAGTTATCAGGAAATCAATTAATTAATTAATTTCTGTAATGGTATTCAAGTGATTCCTGCCTTACACCAAAAATATTATAAGTTGTTTGTAGGCAGAGGCAATAATCATATGATGATCAAAGGAATATTTAACTTAAGGCCATAATGGAGTATTGCAAATTCGATAGAGGACGATGCTGAAATTAATTTTGTATGGACTCAAAAATTCATTGATTTGCAACCTTCAGAAATAAAACCAATTCCTCAGACTATCATATCTGAGGAAATTAATAGTTGGATTGACTCTTAGTAAATGAGTTTAATAAGATAAGCTTGGGACAAGGTTGAAGGAAAATCAAAAAAGAAATTAAATGAATATAATATAGACAGTCCATCTATCTTAAATAATGTAGATTATTTTATTTATATTTTAAGTTACAAAATTACAAGGAATTGATTCAATTAAATCATCAGACTATGAACATTCGCATTCACAACCATCTTAAAGGGGGCTATCAATTAGGTGATAAGAAATGGCTTTTCCATAATCTCTCAGAATATTGTTCAGAATAGAGTATTGATGTGTGGAATTACATTCCATTAACCTATCATATTCATGGACCAACAGATCGAGAGTTCATTAATTTTTAATAAACATTCTAGCATCTGTCATAGGACAAGGATATTAAAAATATATGGATCATTAAACCAGGAGAGGATAGTAATAGGGGCAATGGAATTAAAGGTACCTACATCAATATTAGCATTTATAGTAACAAACTAAATGTCTGAAATTGTCCAACATATCACTCAACAAGGTCATACATTCATTCTTTAAAAATACATTGAAAATCCATTTTTATATCAGAAGAGAAAGTTTGATATAAGAGGGTATTGTTTAATCACTATTATGAATGGAGTTAAAAGAGGTATCCTAATCTGATAGAAATAGCTTATTAGTTTATTGGTACAAAAAAGGCTATTTGAGAACATCAAGTAGTTTCTTCACTTTGGAGTCATTAGACAATCAGAAGATTCACTTAACTAATGATGCAATCTAGAATAAATTAAATGGCTATGGAAAATTTGAAAAAGGAAATAAAGTCTCTTATGATCAATTTTAAGCATATTTAATAGAATAGAACAAATAAAACAATAGCTCATACAGTTTCGATGAATTATATGCTGATATGAAGGTATAATATTCATATTCAAGATAGGCTCTTACTAAATTGGCCACACAATCAGCTATTGATAAAATCAGCAATGAAGATCAAATTTTAGGATTCGAATTGTATGGTTTAGATTTTATGATTTCTAACAATTTTAAACCAATACTTATAGAATTCAATACTAATCCTTGTATAGAGACTGGTTGTCCTGTCTTGACTAAGATAATTACTGGGCTTTTAGAAAATCTTATGAGATTTATCATTGATCCTTTGTTTCCAGCTAAAAGAATGGGGAATGATGATTTCATGAACAAAAATGATTTTGAATTATTATTATCATGTTGAAATATAGTAATTTATGATGATTTGTAAAATAAAATTTATTAAATAAATAAATTTATTTGTCTTACTTGAAGACTTCTAAGCTGAGTTGTAATGGTATAAAAATTTATTGTTATATTAATTTAAATTTGAAATAAATGAATTTCGATAAGAGTCTAAAAAATAGGCCAACTCTATCTTTCACAGGATTTTCACCATCGAAGTCAAATATTAATATAGAGGCTTCTCGAAAGAATCTGCAAAGTTCATCCTTTGGATCACCACATCATGCATAATCTCTTGAGGCTTAATTGAAATAGGAATTTGAGGCCTAATATAATGAAAGAATTTTAACAATGCGAAGTTTTTATGATATGAAATATTAAACACTCTTTGAAACAGTCAAAGAAGCACTTGATAAAGTAGATTTTTAAATATACAAAGTTAGATTATGAATGATGAACTAATTGATACAATGAGACAAGATATTACCTCATAAGAATTTGTTTATCAAAGGGTCAGGGAGATGTTTGAGGAAATAATACTCAGTGAGAGAGAAGTCCTCATAGAGAAGCTTTCTTCTTAATATGCCTATCTCAAAATGGAATTTGGAAAAATTGAATAAGATAAAAGAAAAGTATCATTATCATCAATTATGCAGTTAGCGATAGAGTTATAGATGATCCAGGATGAGCAAGCTGATAAAGAAGCATAGGCTTAAAACTAGGTTTAATAAGCGCAGGAACAGATTTCGTATTTATAACAGAATAATGATTCGCTGTAAGGATTTATTATTTAAGTTAAGGAATAACAAGGTTTCGCAATTAGAATAAAAACTGTCTTCGGCTAATTAAACTGCTAAGGAAGTTTAGCAACTCTAGACCACTGCAAAAGAGTATAACATTCTGAAGGAAGAATATGAGTAATTGGTTCAAACAAATGAAAAATTATAATTAATTAATAAATAGCAAGTTTAAGAAATAGAATAATTACATAAGATAAGTGAAAATTTGTAGTTAAAAGTATAGTAATTGAATAAAATTTATTAAGAATTAGAGGGTGAGGTGATTTCATATAAAAAAAAATCAACTGATTCTGAGTCTAAGACCTAGTATACAATTTCCAACCTACAAAATTAATTAGAAGCAGTAACCTTACAATTCAATTAATAAAAAAGTGAATACGAAAAAAGGTTGGAAAAAGAAGCACACACCTATTAAAATGAAATCCACAAATTAAGTTAAAAATTGTAAAAGAAAAAAGAAAAGTCTACGTTCCACAAATAAAATGCAAAATAATTATAAATTAGATTAGATTAGCTCATCAGAGATCATGCTGAGTAGTTATAAAATGAAACATAATAGTTTCAAAGAAAGATTAATGAATTGCAATAATAGAATCAACTTTAATTACAATAAGCCTAAAAGTCTATTGAGGATTTGAAAGAATCTCATGATAAAAACATTTATACTTTAAGAAACTAATTTGAATAAATAAACAAACAACAATGTGATGACTCAGATAAGTAAAAAATCAACCTATTAAATGAATTGGATAGAGTTTAAACTGAACTAGAATCTGTGGTGTTGTAGTAACAATAATAAATTGAAAGCAATTATATTCCAAAGATCTAATACGAGTAGCAAGTCAATGAATTATAAAAGAAAATATCAGAAACAAACCAAAAGCTTAGAGAATAAGATGCTCTTATGAAAAAATAATAAGATGAATTTGATAACTACAAGGAATAATGGAATAGACAATAAAACAAATTGCATTTAGATGTTAAGGACAGAAATGAAATTTAAGAATAACTTTTATCAAGAGAAGAAACCATCAATAATCAGAATAAATCGATATCTTAATTAACCTAATAAGTTAAGATGTTAGATTCTGATTATTAAAGATTGTAGGAGAGATCCAAATAACAGTTAGAATATATTGAAGAATTGAAAAATGATGTAAGTAATCGTCAAACTGAAGTTCTTAAAATCTAAAAGTAATTAAAGCAATAGAAAGATGAACTCATGGAATAATACAGATAATTGGAGGGAGAAAACAAAACTAAAAATGATAAAGTTCAATTGCTGAATTCATAATTGGAAAGACTATTGAATGAGTCATCTGAAAATGAAAAATTATTGAATTACAAAAGCAAGGAATTACAATAATTAGAAGATGAACTAATGCAGTATCAAAATTTCAAACGCAATTCTTAACAATTATAAGAAGAAAATGAATAACTAAGAATCTAAATTGATAAATTAATTAACATTTAGGAGTTATAAGAATAAAAATAGGAAGATATTAAGAGGCAATTAGATACAGAGTTGAAATAGAAGAATTAATTGATTCTCAACAATGAATCACTCATGTAAAGACATTAAAAGTACGTGAAAACTATCAAAGTAAAAATATTAATAATAAATTAGGAATAAAGGAAATATATCAAGCGACGAATTGTTAGTGAACTTTAAAAAATGAAATAGGAACATGCTAGTCTAGAACAATATTTAAGATAAATAATTAGGATGAAAAACAATGAAGATAATTTGTTGATTGCATCTATAGTTACCAAAGTGAAAGATTTATGGAACCGAAAGGAAATATAACATGAAAATGAAATTGTATCAATATCAATGCTATTACAAGTTAAAAATAAGGAATGAGATATTTGATTAATATAGTGGAAGTGCCTCACATTTGAGAACTGCATATGAGTAAACATTAGATGAGACATAAAAATAATTTGAATAGTAAATTGAGAATTTGAGAGATGCTAAAGAAAAGATGGAGGATGAAAATAAGGAGTTATTGCATGAATTATAGAAAGTATAAGTCATCTTAGAAGATTAATCAGCTTTGATTACAAATTTAAAGAATGAAAATAAAACATTGAAAAGTAATGGAATGCTCATTGAGAATGAATTATCTAGTACTTTGAAAAATATGAATGATGTACTTTAATATAATTATTAAATATAGATGAAAGATTCTTTTGAGGATTAAATACAAGAATTAACAAAACAATTAAAGAAGTATGAAAGAAAACAACAACATTAATAAGATTTGAAAGGCTAAGTTGATACTTTATAAAATGAATTAGAAAAATTAAGAACTCTTAATAGGTCGAATACTTAAGAGACAGAAAATAGAATTGCCAAGTTAGTAAAGTAACAATAATCAGAAGTTCAATTATTAGTCAATCAATTTTAAAGAGAATAGATTAAACTTAGATAAGAATAGACTGATCTAAAAGATCAAGTATCTTAAAATGAAGAGATAATACATAAGTTATATTAATCACTTGATGATGTGAATTAGATTGTGAATTAAAAGGATAAATAATTGCAGAATCTCATTGAGGACATTGAACAGGAAAGGGCATCTGATTAATAAAAAATAGCTGAACTATAGAATAAGTTAGATATATAGATTAATATTAGATTGAGAAAAGAAGAGGATGAAATGAAAGTGGCTCGATAAAAAGGTTAAAGAGATATCGAAAAGATTCAATTACAAATAGCTTCGGCTGAATCAGAAATTAGTCAGTTTAAGATAGAGAACAAATAACTAAGAATATAATGTGAATAATTGGCAGATGAATTAGAAAAGAAGACAAAATAATTTGATTAGTTGAATCGTGAATATGAAGATTAGAAAATCATACAAAATTAAGAAATTGCTGATTTACACAGGTAAACATTTAAATTAATAATTAGATTGCTAAAAATACAAGTGTAAAATGATGATATGTCAAATTATTATAGTGAAAGTAAGGAGTTGGCTTAGAGAGTTAAGGAATTATAAAAAATTAACTCATAATTCTCTGATACAAATTACCCTAGACGTTAAGAATCATCTGTATAAAAATTTGATAGTTCTAAAAAATTAAATTCAAGCAACAACTTGAAACCTCGCCTGCCTAATTATACTCCAATGACAAAAAAATGAGGTGATAATTAAATATATATAATAAATATTTAAAACTTAAATCTAAGCAATTTTCTAATTATAATTTATTTTAATAATTAAATGAAGGAATATAATTATTTATATTATATATTACTCAAGTTATATTTGACTGTTATTTAAATTTAGTTTTGATATTTTCAGCCTTCATACTTAACTTTTTAAGGGAATTTAGCTTCAATTATTTGTGCTCGAAATTGGCAGATAATTTACTGTTCTCATTACCATTTGGTAAATTGTAATATATAAGTAAGTTTAACATTCTAATGTAACGGGTGAATTAGGAACTTTATGAACCTTCCTTTTAAAATTGCATAGAGGGAATTTCCTTGATTTTCAAGAAAGTTTCATGCTAACTTACAACAATTTACGGTTGATTTTAAAAGGGAACATGATAGTTCTTTTGATTAAGAAAGGTAAAAAAGTGGAGAAAGTTGAAGTCTGAACTTGGTTTAATAGGATATTTACGAGCAATTTATAATGATTAAGATTTATAAAAGAAAATATCAGATTGTATTTTTATTTATAATTGTGGAGATATATATAGGAATTTCAGAACGATTTAAAAATTAATATTAATAATAAATTATTTCTCATGTAGAAAGCAGAACAAGTTGAAGATAATCAACTGCTGACAAATAAATCGACTGCAAAACCTAGTTAACAAATTGAATCACTTGCGACTTAGAAGATGGTTCCCTATAAGGAGCTTTATAGATATGCCACATCTTCAGACAAATTTTTAATTTTGATTGGCATCATATCATCAGCGGGTAACGGAGTAACAATGCCAATGTTCTCCGTGATATTTGGTGATATGACTGATGCATTCTCTGGGGATGATCCAGATAAAATGCTTAGAGCTGCAGGAATATCCGCAATGTATACATGGAGAATTAATATTTTATAGATGGTTCTTAGTCTTAGCTGGCTGTTCTTGGTTGCTTTCTTTCTTAAGTTTCTCAACATTCATGATATCTGGAGAAAGACAGTGTATTAGAATGAGAAAAGAATATTTTGGAGCAATTTTGAAGTAAGAGGTTGGTTGGTTTGATTCAATAAATCCAAATGAACTTAACACTAAAGTGGCTGACGAAACTTTTGCAGTAGAAGGCGCAATTTAAGAAAAGGCAGGAACCTTTATAATGACATTCTCCACATTTATTTGTGGATTTATAATAGGATATTCATAGTATATATAAATTTAAATAATTAGTGGTTGGTAACTAGCTTTAGTGATTACAGCGGCAATGCCATGTTTGGCCTTCTCGGTGGTTATAATGACAGTAGTAGTGATGAAATCTGTAAAATCCACTTAGGAATGCTACTCAACTGCTGCAGCAGAATCTGAACAAGCTTTGAATGCGATAAAAACAGTGAAAATGTTGGATGGAGAAGATTATGAATGCGAGAAATATTCGAGACAACTTGTGGTGGCAGCCAGAACTAATGTTAAATATAGTCTATTCTCAGGAATGGCTTTAGGATCTATATTTGCATTTATGATTTGGACTTATGCATTAGGCTTTTATTATGGAGCTAAATTATTATCTGATTAAGTGACTAATACCAATACTGGACTTATTTACACTGTAGGAGATGTTATGACTGTTTTCTTTGCTATTTTGATGGGTAGCTTTTCAATAGGATAAGCTGGTCCATGTTATTAAGCATTTGCAAAAGGAAAGGTAGCTGGAGCATAGATCTTTTTCATTATTGATCGTATTCCAAAGATATAGAATCCAATTAATCCAAAACCATTAAAGCATTTCAACGGTGAGATCATTATTGAGGATGTGGATTTCTTTTATCCAGCTAGACCAGATACTTAAATTTTAAATAAATGTTCTTTAAAAATACCAAAAGGAAAGAAAGTGGCTCTTGTGGGAGAAAGTGGTTGTGGAAAGTCTACAATTTTACAATTAATAGAACGATTTTATGATGTTAATGAAGGAAGAGTTTTGATAGGCGATGATAGGATTGATGTAAGGGACTTGGACTTAAGAGATTATAGAACTTAAATAGGTTTGGTTGGATAAGAACCTATGTTGTTTGCAACCAGTATTAGAGACAATCTTTTGTATGGAAAAACCGATGCTACTGAGGAGGAATTAATTGACTCATTGAAAAAAGTGAATGCTTGGGATTTCGTTAGTAAAATGGAGAAGGGACTAGATACTTATGTAGGAATGGGAGGAAGTTAATTAAGTGGTGGTCAAAAACAAAGAATTGCAATAGCAAGAGCAATTCTCAAAAAGCCAAAGGTGTTATTATTAGATGAAGCAACAAGTGCCTTAGATAGAACAAATGAAAAGTTGATCCAAGAGACTCTTGATGAAGTCTCATAAGGTATTACAACCATTGTAATTGCTCACAGATTGAGTACAATATAAAATGCAGATATCATTTATGTGTTTGCAGGTGGTAAGGTAGTTGAAACTGGCACTCATTAGGAACTCATGAATTTACATGGTAAATATGAATAATTGGCAAAAAATCAAATTACATCACATTAGAAAGAGGAATAGTAATAGGCTAATAATTTGAACCCAAACTAAAATAACCACTAATCGAAGGATTAAAATGATCAATAGGATGTAGACGTAGGTTCTGTTTTGTCTGTGAATTAATTTGGTTCAGATTAACCACATGTCGTTGAAAAGGTCATTAAGGAAATCAAGGATATTAAATAGTTGAACATCCAACTTAAAACCAAAGATCAAAATAACTTTTAGGAGATGAAAACGCAAAGTTCTTAAAATGATTCTAATGATGCTTAAATTATGGGAAGGTTGTTTAGTTATGGAAAAGAGGAAAGATGCGTTTTGATATTAGGATTAGTAGCAGCTCTTATTAATGGTTGCATCTTCCCATGCTTTTCGTTATTTTTCTCTGATATGATTACATTGTTGGCTGAAAGTGATCCCAATCTCTATCCTAATCCTGAAATTAGGGATATAAAGATGGAAAAAGTAAAGAGTGACTCAGCTGATATAGCACTATGGTTCTTCTTATTTGGTTTAGGTTTCTTAGTATTCTAAACATTGGAGAGCTTCTTTTTATCAATTGTTGCAGAGAACCTAACTATGAAATTGAGAAATTTCACGTTCAGGAAATTACTTAGAATGCCTATTGCTTTCTTTGATAAGCCAGAAAATAATGCTGGTACCTTAACTGCTAGATTAAGTGTAGATTGTAAAACAGTTTAAAGTTTGACTTCAACAATTATTGGATTCAAACTTTAAAATGCTTCTGCACTGATTTGTGGTATGGCAATTGCATTTTCTTCGAGTTGGGCCTTGACTCTCATAGTGTTGGCTACTGCACCATTCAGATGGATTGGTATGAAATTGAGAACAAAATATATGGGAGCTTTGAGTGGTTCCAATAAAGGAGATAGTTTCAAGGATGCTGGAAATCTAATTATGGAGGCAGTCACAAATATTAGAACTGTGTTTTCTTTTGGAAATGAAAATATCATTTTGGATGTATTTATCAAATCTTATAATTTAGGATTACACAAAAAGAATCCAAGAACCTTTAGAATAATGTACATCGAAGGGTCTTTAGGCTGGTAGTGCTTTTGGATTTTCATAAATGCAACCAATGCTCATCAATGCACTGGTCTTCTATTGTGGAGCTCTATTAGTGAAATACGAAAATTTGGATGTTAATGATATGTTTAGAGCAATCTTCGGAATTACATTTGCTACTATGGGTGGTGCTAGAGACTCTCATTTTGTAGGAGATGTTGAGAAAGGCAGAACAGCTGCTAAAAACATTTTTGAGATCTTGGATTCAGTTGATGAATTCTAAATTGAAGAGTGTAAATATTTACATATTATATTTTTAGAAAAATAATTTAAGAAATTGAAGACTTAAATTAAAGGACATATTGAATGTAAAAATTTGTCATTCAAATACCCAACCAGAGAGAAGAATGTTTTTACTAATTTAAGTTTAACAATTCCTTCTGGCTAAAAGGTTGCCTTTGTTGGATCAAGTGGTTGTGGTAAATCAACCATTATGTAAATGCTCATGAGATTCTACGATCCAGATTAAGGAATAATACTGGTTGATGGGTAGGATATTAGGGATTACGATATAAGACATTTGAGAAAACAATTAGCTATTGTGTCATAAGAACCAGTTCTATTTAATGGAACTATTAAAGAAAACATACAGTATAATAGTCAAGGTGTCACTATGGAATAAATCGAATAGGCTGCCAAAAAGGCTAATGCTTATGACTTTATTGTTAATGATTAATTTGAAAATGCTCCAGACGAGAAACAATAAGATTTTGGAAAAGGATTTCATAAAAAAGTAGGACCTAAAGGATCACAAATATCAGGAGGATAAAAACAAAGAATTGCTATAGCTAGAGCAGTACTTAGGAATGCTAGCATACTTTTACTAGATGAAGCCACAAGTGCATTGGATGCTAAGTCTGAGGAAATTGTATAAGAGAGTCTTAATAACATAATGAAGGATAATACTACTTTGTCAATAGCTCACAGAATTTCAACTATCAAAGTAACATATCATATAATATTCTTAGGATTCTGATATAATCTACGTGTTTGATAATGGTATGATAGTGGAATAAGGTACTTACAATTACTTAGTTGGCCTCAAATAATTCTTTTACAGAATGGAAAAAGGGATAGCCATTAATTCAACAAAAAATTCTTGAATTTCGTTTATTTTTATTTAGATTTTTATATTGAAGTATAACTTAATTAAAATTGCATCTTTGACTTTATGAAGGAATTTAGAAGAATAATTAATACTAATCTCAGTGAATACCTATTCAAATAAGGCATAATAGGTTGTTCCAAATTATTGTTGGTTCTAGTTAAAAAAAAGTGATTACGGGCTATATTATTTATATTATTATGTTATTATACTAAAATTCATTTGCCTATATATCTTCATTAAAATCATAAAAATCTAATTTAAACAATTAAAACCATATGGGTTGTGCAGCTGGATATTCTCTATAATAAGATGTAGATTAATCTCTTTTACTTTAACATGATTAAATTTTACTATTAGATAGTCCCGTGAAAAATTTATACTAACCAAAAACAATAGAATTAACTTCTAATTGTAAATCTCTTTAATGGTGCGATGATGATGATGATTTGGAGATTCTTTTTTAAGAATGCAGTAGAGTAGAAGAAGACTTGATAAATGCAAATTTAAGAATTCTTAAGAAAGATTAAAAATTAATATAGCAAAACTAGTACTAGCTTTCATAATCGAATACATTCTCTTCAACTTCAATATGTCTAAACATAAAACGAAATCAATCTTCAAATAATTGCAAATTTCCTGGGAAAAATGATTACATTCCTCAAAGCATTTTGAAGAGGAAGCGAGTAAAAGAAGGTAAAATATATTCAGGCAAGATACGAAGTAAGATAACACAAGAAAAGGTTGTAAGATTTAGTAAATGCCATATAAGAGTCATACCTCACATCTTAACTTCAAAGCGCACTATTAATGTTTAATAATTAGTTGATTAATGATTTGAATAATATATCAAACTCCTAATCAATTTTAGTATATAAACTCCATATCCATTTAAATTCAGAAATCCAGTAAGAATGAAATAAGAGCATTTGTTGAGCCTTTCTTAATTCCCTTTACTAGGACAACTTGTTAGTAAAAAGTTAATTATATAAATTTTATTACGACTTATAATTCGATATAATAAATACATTCATTATAAAATAATTTTTATGTACACTGATCCTGTGGCAGAATTACTGAGACCAAAGCAGTCAAATTTAATTAAATCAAGTGACTCTGTAGGATCCTATCGTCCAAAAAGTATGCAATCAAATCGCAGTAACAAAAATATCATTTCCCAATAATAATAACGCCCTCCTTCTTAATAATCTTAAATAGGGAGCAATGGTGGAAAACGAATAGTTCATATTGGTAGGAATGGAAAAAAAATTGAATAAATATAGAGCATTGCACCAGCTAAGACTACTTATGATCTTTGCTATGAGTTTGATCCATTTGTTTTAGATCAGATCAGTCCAGAAGATCCAATTTGGAGATAGATTTTGCCAGACAACATGCCATTAGATGAATAAACTTTGGAGAAATTATTGGAAGATAATCCAGATTATTTTTATCACCATCTTGGATTTTGTGCATGCTATCGATGCAAATGTGGTAGATGCAGATGTGATGTCTCGAATTAAGTTAAATTAAAGATAAATGGATCTTTTTTAACTATTTATGATAAGGATTTTATTCCTCATAAATCAAGCTATAATAATCTAACACCCTTGAATTCTAAGACCTATACAACAAAGTTTCTCGACTAAAAGACCATCGATTTTACCACATCTCATCAATAAGACTATAAGGAAATGCCACTACAATCAACTGAAAGTTTTAAACCTCCTTATAGACCATAATTGGGATCAATGTCTAATCTGACTAGTTACAGGGTATATACATATATCTTATTTAGTCGAATTATAGTAATTGGGGCAACAATTATTAGAGATTCAGCAGATATCCTCATATAAGTACTAGTACAGATATCAAGTTCATTGGTAAAACACAATATCAAGATTCTTTTGTTCCACCTTCCAGTTGGAAAGTCGAAAGCCAAAATTACTTTAAAAGTGAATTGTAAATTGAATATTCAATATCAAAGGTCTCCTATGCCTACAGGTCCCTTCGTAGGAATGACAACAAGTTAATAGAACTTTTAGCCATTCAAAGTAGCAAGGAGTCCTTAAAAACCCACACATCATGTATACTAATATTATATAATATCCATAGAAATATGAAACTACTCCATCCTTTGATGGATAATTCACATCTACAGGAATGAAAGACTTTACTTAGTAATAGGATGATTATTGTCCAGCTAAATAATTTCAGAAAATATTTAGAAAGAAATTGGCATAAAAAGTGGAGAAGAAAAAGGAGAATTTTATAGAACGTAGAATAAATAATGCAATGAAAGTTTGATTGTTTTTTATTCTAAGTTCATTTCACAGGATTATTAAATATTATAGTATTATCAAAAAATGAATATTTAATCCAAATGCAAAAATAAAATAATGTATATTTCACTTCAATTTGTTTTAAAATAATTTGTTTCTCTTGGGTCTTCGTTTATTCAATTATATCAATAAGTATAAATAGAGCACTTCATATTGATATATAAGAATTTGTCATAATTTTTAATATGTAATCTTGAAAATAGGTATTAAAAATATGACGACATTTTACAATTTAGATAATTTATAAAAGAGAATATTATGATTGCTATATTAACTCTTCATTTAAAAAGATTTAATTATAAAGTTCTAATCCAAATTTCTATGAGCTAAACTTTAAAACTATGAAATAATTATGAAACTACAAGAAATGTTATATATTCAAGAGCTTAATTCATATATAGTCAAGATAATCTTATATATTAATTGAAATTAAATTATATGATTTTCAAAATGAATATATTTGCTAAAATTTTTAAGCTATCATTTCTTCTTTTTCTCTGCTAGTCAAGAAATTAAACTTCTCGAGATAGTCATCAACCTTTTAGTTTAATAGCTAATAATACAATAGATATTAATACTTATTTTTTAACAATTCTATCAAATAAAATGGTATCCAAAACATATATAGACAAATTATTTATAGCATTGTCTTAATCTTCACTTTCCCCCTTTTCATCTTACAATTACATGTAATAATTGATCAAAATATCACGGTAATTCTCTTCAAATTATTCAGTAAGTGAAGGCTATAATTCTGATATATATTTTTTGTTGGCTTGATTCTACATTTGAAACAATATAGATCTAAATAGAAGAATATCATATACTGCAATTATTATTGAATTAATTAGAAATGAGTCATCTAGATCTAGAAATCTTCTTCGCATAACCTAATGAAGGCTATAAATTAGGGGAAAGTGTAAAGCTCAAAGAAATATGCACATTAATAAATATTCTTTTTGTTTTTTAAAACCTCGACGAAGCGATTCATTTCAATAATTAATTTCTTTGAAATAATGAAGGCAGGAAGAAACACCTAAAATAATGAAAGTCATTACATTAGTATTTTGAGTGTGTTTCCTCTAATGAATTTCATGTAAAACAGTGCCCAAAAATACAAGTGTATTTCTTTCATTAAGATATTTCTCAAATACATTATTGAGATCATTAGTCTTCTATTACTAAAGTTATTTTTATTAAAGAGCCTCCTATAATAGTTTTTCATCATTAGAATTATCCATGACTTATTTGTGTTCTAACTTTGGAACATCAGATTATATATTCTTTAACATATCCTAATTTGTGATGTTATCGAATTTTTATTAGTTTTACTAATAGACTTACTTATTCATTTTCAAGTCTACTTATTTAGCCACCACTTATTCCACTGTTAATTAACATAAGGCTATAAATAATAATTTATAAATTAATACCTGGGTTTACAACTTGGTTGGAAAACAAAGGTGACTCATACAACTAATTCCATTACAATCTCAGTTTAGGTTCTGGATTTAGCATTCTAAATAATAATTCCTATGATTCCTTAGATATTTTAATGTTGTTTCTTGTAAAATTAGGCTAGTCTTTACGAATAATTCTATAGAATTACTTGTTTTGACATCCTTCAAGAAATCATTGTAACTTTTAATGCTGAAGGGTAGGACTCCAAAGAGCATTTGATAATAAATGGCTCCGATAGAAAACATATCAGCAAGAATTCCATATGGTTTAAATTCAATGATTTCAGGTGCCATTGTGCCTAAAGTACCTAATGCTTCTTTGACTACTCCATCTAAGCTCTCCATTCTTTTAGCAAAGCCCAAGTCTCCTATTTTTAGAACATTATTAGAGATTAGTATATTTGGCAATTTTAAATCTCTATGAATAACATTCATTTCATGCAATCTACAATTTTTTCATGATTTTACCCCCTCATACCATTCAGAATTTATTTGATATACTAAATGGCCTCCACTTCTGGAATTATTCTATTCTTTTTCTTCCACAATTATTCAAGATCTCCTTCTAATTATATTTCAAAATATTGTTTTACAATTGCAATATTCCATCACTAAATAGCAATTATTTTCACTTTCCAAGTACTTATTCATTTTAACCACATTAATATTGCTGCATTGAGCTAGTACTTGAACTTCTGTCTTTAATAATTATCCAACCAGCCCATTATGTTCCTTTCTAAACATACTCAAATCAATTACAATTTGGATTTCGGCACAGACTTTATGGCCACCGTTTCTTTGGTAATTATATTCTAAGCAGAAAAGACCTGCATTAATATAAATCAAAGTGTTACTTATCCAAAGGCTCCTGTGCCTAATACATCTACAAGGATATAATCATCAATCTTCTTTCCAACAAAGTTCCTACTCTATTAATTCATAAAATAATTATTTAGCTTTCTATAGTAACATTAAAAATAAACGAAAACAATTCATATAGATTATCGATTCAAATTATAATTATTATATAGTAAAATATAGAGATTTATGATAAAAATTATATATGTAATATAATGAATCACATCTAAAACTTTCCAGTGCCATCAGACATCGGCCTGATTTGAGACAACTTTAGATTTCTAAAACTCTTTTTAATCATGCGACTTCTTTTTAGAGTGCGTTCAGAATCTTACTCTGATCCTCTTCTAGATTCTTCTACCTCAAATTTTGGAATTATAACTTATTAATACCTATATTTTTCAAAAAATATTTCAGGATAAATCATATATTGTAGTAATTTTGATTAGTAACTCTTTAATTAATTATCGAAAGTAGTTTGTTGTTTATAAAAGTACATCTTTTCTAAGATTTAGTCTAAGTTATTTTAAATCTAATAATATTTATATTTCTTATAAGATTCCATAATCTAATCTTGATCCTTCTGTTGATATTCATTTAATTACTCAATTTCCATTTTTAATTTAATCTCTAATAACATAGTATCTTATATATCCTTCTCTTGCAAAATTTGTTTCTTTCCATCTTATATTTGGTTTATTCTAATTCGAACTTTTGCTAATAATCCTTTGAGTAATTGCTAAGATTGCATTACCTCCAAGAATTGATTGATAATTGACTTTGTTTCCTTTTTTAGTTTTTATCTTTTTTTCATTCTATTCATATTCGTTATCATTTAAACGACTTTCTTCATTTTCTGAAAGTTTTCCTTTGGTTTCTTCTTAAATAAATCTAAGCTAAAGGATGCTCTGCTTTACCCCCCTAGGATAGATTTCTCCCTTGGAGAATTTTCTTGGTTATCTTCTTCTTTTATTATCATAAGATTATTATTGAAAATATTCTAATTTCTTGCTTTACTCATAAGAGTAGCCTTCAGTTATTTATCATCAATGTCTAATAATTCTATTGTCTTTGTTCTCTATTTGAATAAGGTGGCCTTCTTTTTTATGGATGGAGGTTCTAAATTAATTTTGGAATTAGAGGATTGATCAGAAACAGGCTAAATAGTGTTTATGATATTTTGCGATTATTATAATAATTGTGTCTACGGAATTTGATTATTTTATTCTAAAACTGGCACAATTTATTACTAATGAATATCACTCTTTTTTAATGAATCCTCTTCTGGTTCTTCATAAAATTCTGCCCACTTCCAATTATTATTGTTAAATGAATTAGCTTCTTGTTCTATTACTTCTTAATCAAAGCGAGCTGCAAAGTATCCTCTCTATCTAAAAGAATTTCTCTCATATTTAGAATTTCTATTTTATGATTGACTGTAACAAAACCGTTTTATAATCAATTCTTTGTCAGGAATATAATGCAATAAGGGACATTAAAGCACTCTATNAATATAATGAATCACATCTAAAACTTTCCAGTGCCATCAGACATCGGCCTGATTTGAGACAACTTTAGATTTCTAAAACTCTTTTTAATCATGCGACTTCTTTTTAGAGTGCGTTCAGAATCTTACTCTGATCCTCTTCTAGATTCTTCTACCTCAAATTTTGGAATTATAACTTATTAATACCTATATTTTTCAAAAAATATTTCAGGATAAATCATATATTGTAGTAATTTTGATTAGTAACTCTTTAATTAATTATCGAAAGTAGTTTGTTGTTTATAAAAGTACATCTTTTCTAAGATTTAGTCTAAGTTATTTTAAATCTAATAATATTTATATTTCTTATAAGATTCCATAATCTAATCTTGATCCTTCTGTTGATATTCATTTAATTACTCAATTTCCATTTTTAATTTAATCTCTAATAACATAGTATCTTATATATCCTTCTCTTGCAAAATTTGTTTCTTTCCATCTTATATTTGGTTTATTCTAATTCGAACTTTTGCTAATAATCCTTTGAGTAATTGCTAAGATTGCATTACCTCCAAGAATTGATTGATAATTGACTTTGTTTCCTTTTTTAGTTTTTATCTTTTTTTCATTCTATTCATATTCGTTATCATTTAAACGACTTTCTTCATTTTCTGAAAGTTTTCCTTTGGTTTCTTCTTAAATAAATCTAAGCTAAAGGATGCTCTGCTTTACCCCCCTAGGATAGATTTCTCCCTTGGAGAATTTTCTTGGTTATCTTCTTCTTTTATTATCATAAGATTATTATTGAAAATATTCTAATTTCTTGCTTTACTCATAAGAGTAGCCTTCAGTTATTTATCATCAATGTCTAATAATTCTATTGTCTTTGTTCTCTATTTGAATAAGGTGGCCTTCTTTTTTATGGATGGAGGTTCTAAATTAATTTTGGAATTAGAGGATTGATCAGAAACAGGCTAAATAGTGTTTATGATATTTTGCGATTATTATAATAATTGTGTCTACGGAATTTGATTATTTTATTCTAAAACTGGCACAATTTATTACTAATGAATATCACTCTTTTTTAATGAATCCTCTTCTGGTTCTTCATAAAATTCTGCCCACTTCCAATTATTATTGTTAAATGAATTAGCTTCTTGTTCTATTACTTCTTAATCAAAGCGAGCTGCAAAGTATCCTCTCTATCTAAAAGAATTTCTCTCATATTTAGAATTTCTATTTTATGATTGACTGTAACAAAACCGTTTTATAATCAATTCTTTGTCAGGAATATAATGCAATAAGGGACATTAAAGCACTCTATGAGTTTTGGAATTACAACTAAAACATTTCATTTGCAATGCGCTTAGGTCTTCAAATTGTAGACTATCATATAGATTCCTAAATCTTTCATAATCTTCTGGGAAATCCTGTATGACTTTTAAGAAGTCATCTCTAGAAAGCATTAGCAATTTAGAAAAGCCTACACTCCTGAATCTCTCCTAGGATTATTTGCCACTTATGAAACTGATGATACCTAAGCTAGAACCTTTACCAACCTTAAATACCTCAGCAATTTAAGGATTCTCAAGAACTTGATCAACTGAATCATTTTGGATAAAGATTTGGATCTCTCCATATTCAACAAAACATACAAATAACTACCCTGGTGGTTATTATGGAAATATCGAATCAAAGTTTATAATATTCTCAGGTTGAATTACTGCTTATTTTATCTTATTAACTAATTTTGATTTTAAGGCATCACTAAAATTATTTTTAAAGAGTGGACATTCTTGGAAAATCAAAGAATTAGATTGATTCATCAATTTCTCTTTGAGATTCTCAGATAATTGATTAATGATATCATTAAGTTCATCATTCTCAACTGAATTTTATGATTCCCAATAGTAATTCAAGTACTCTCTAATCTAATATTGCAATTGATATTCAATCTTTCGATTTTACATGTATGAATTTATTTTTCTCATCTTTCTCATCTTCTCCTGTCCATAAGCAGAAATTGTGTCAATAATCGCCCCCACAGTACTGACACTGTAACTCAATTGAATACTGCATATCATCATATACAGAATAGCTACTACTCTTTCTAAGTAACTGATTGGAACAACATCTCCATACCCTATTGTAAACATCGTAACTGTCGAGAAGTAAAATGAATACAAATATTGTACTTACCAAGTTTCATGTTCAACATGGTAGAATTCTAACCAACTTCCTTTTTCAGAATATAGATAACTATGGTAGCCAACCTAAGAAAATATTAAATTAATAAATTTACAAAATACCAAAGGCATGAGTAGCAATGTAATACAAAGAATAGCACTAATAATAATTTGAATAATTCCAATAAAGAGCTACTTGGCTTTGACAAATTGAGAGACTCTTCAACTTGACTAATCAATTTAGGAATATTCCGACATTATACATAAAACAATAGCATTAATAAATCCCACCAATCTGTTAATAAATTGAATTCATATTAGGAGGATTAGGAAATCATGGCATAAATTATAACAATCAATATTGATATTGCTTCTAAGCCATAGCTTTTACTGATTACATTCTTAGCAATAGTTGCTCTATTGCTCACAATTTACCCAAATTGATAAAATGAACTATTGAAACTCAAAATGAAATCAAAAACTAATAGGAGAATCATAAGGATGGTTGGTATATAGAGTTCACCGTATATGATCTAATATTTATCCCATGCTAGATCAATTGGAATTACAAAGAGAAAATAGAGTCTACTCATCATCACTATACAATCCCATACTATTTTCAATCTTGACTCAGGAGTAATCAATGGAATTTTCTCAATTTCTAATTCTAATTTTTTTATTAAGTTATCTTTGCAAGTCTTTAAATAAGTAATTTACGTTTTGATCTTATTTGATAATTCTCTATTATTTATAGATAGACAATTCTTACTTTTTTTTAACAAGTTACTACAACCCTTCAGATGATTGGCTAAATTAGCTTACCATGGGTTTCAAGTTCAATGCACTATCACGAAATAGTTTTAAATTAAATGAAGACCCTAAATCTTGAATAATATTGTATTAATAAAGATTGAATTACGAATTGATTTTCTTTTTCCAACTTATTCTGTTAATAAATCGTTTTATAAAACAAAATTAGATTACACTATATATTTATTGCTATGGGAATTATTGAAGTTCTGAAGTTTTTAAACTTTTCTTATTCATCAGAAACTTATTCGTTGGGCTGCTTAGAGAAGAATCAAAAGTAACTCTCTTGGATTCATGAGCTTTATGTTTAGAACTTTAACTAGGGATGTTGTTATTAGTGTTGACTCTTGAGCCTTGAATTGAGAAATTGCCATCTGATAATGAGTAATTGAGAAAATCTTAAATTTCACCGATGGGCTCATCCGTTAACATCAACTGATTTAATTTTGAGATTGGCTCTTCAGTGTCTTACTAAATTTAATTCATATTTAAAATAATTATGTTAAAATCTAATAAACTAATTTAAGTTTATCGCATTGAATAAGAAGTTTATCATCCATATCTGAGTAATTAATTTTCTTGCGTTAATTCAGCATAAAATATAAGTAAAAACTAAATAGTTTATATTCATAATTTTATCATTCACCTAATTTATAAATCTTCTATTGACAAATTTATCATTCATCAGGATTATATAATATATATTAAAGAATCAAATAGTCTAAAATATAATTGAATGACAATAATAGAGGCTCTAATTAGAACCACTAAATTGAGAAAAAGAGTGACAATTATAATTTGAATTTATGTTATCATACAAGAAATCCTGTAAATGACCAATTATTATTATAGATGGGTAAAATATATGATAAATTTAAAAGCATTTTGGTAGCCTACTTTACTAAAATAGTAATTTACTATTTAAATAAAAATAACTTAGTAGATAGAAAAAAAACAATAATTAAGGAATCTATGAGTTATTATAAAAGAATTTAAGCAAATTCTATGTAATGAACCTATAATTATTCATATTATTATATCCTTTTAACAATTAAAAAGCTTATCTAATAATGAATAATTAAAAATGAGATGATATTAAATGTACCCTTAAATACATTTTGGCTAATGTCATTCTTTTATTTTATATCATTATTACTAAATTAAAATATTTAGGTATATATTGATTTTCAAATTATTTTAATTTTAAGCAAGACCCTTCCTATTTATATTTCTTAAACTTCTTTTAGTAATTGTAGTTTATTTTAAATGATCCTCAGAGTTCCAAATTTGCTGCCTTGATCTTATATGTACCAGAACTTTTCATATGAGATGTTGGCATGATTTCTTGAGACTGAGATATCTTAACATCTGATTTCACTATTGTGTCCTCTGCCAATTGAAACAGAACATGTCCCAAAAGCATGCATAAAAGTCAGACTTTTTGATAGACTCTCCTGGCGTGTAATCTACTCAAGAATAATGTAAGGACCATCTAATTTTTCGACCTGTATCATTTGAAGGGGTTCTGGTTGATTTTCAATATAAACACGAGCCGGAAGGGGATCTTTGCAAACCTACCTGAATTTGAATAACTTACATCACATTCCAAGACTTTATTCCAATGATATTGAACAGTATTCTACGTTTATTTGCATGATATTCGATTTTGAAAATTAACCCATGACTTCAAACATTCAAAATGAACATAAGCCATTAATCCCTTACAACTACATAAATCTTGGAGAAATGGATTTTTTGGGTCTTCGGTTTCTTCTTAATCGTCCATCAAACAAAACCTGCACTGTCTTGGGTCTTTTTTCTTTTATATTTTAATATGTCTTTCTAAATTATAATGATCTTCGGCCATCATTACTTTATCGCCATTGTTCAACTCAGATACAAAATATTCCCTTGTATTTAGGGTAACTTTTACATTCTTCCAAATTTAAATAGATCACCGACTAATAACTATTGTTTTTATTTTGGGTCTAATTTCACATAAGCATCTTAAAATTCTGAATTACTTTAAAAATCTACAAATGCATTATCTATTTACATATAGCATTGCCTTCAAAACTTATTGAGCCAATACAATCCCCATAAAATTTATCAGATTAGACTATTGTGTCAGAATTATCTTCTGTTATAATATAAATTAGATGAATATACCATTTAAAATTAAGTTTGTTGTGTTTTTTACATTTAATTTAGAAGTCTTTAGTTCTTTTGATTCATAATCGAATAGTCCATGATTATTGTGAGTCCAAGTTGCAATTTCAATTGAAACCTGCATTAGAATATAAAAATTATTTTATTAAAAAAATATTCAATGAACGACCAATGGGAATATCGTAACAACTTGCAGTACACTAAAAATGAGATATTTCAAGTTCTTCTACTCAAGAATAACGTGTGGCTTAGTATAAGGGAAATTGAAGACATTCTGAAACAGAGACCAGATTTTGGCTCAATTCATATTAAAATTAGAGATGCCATAGAAGATTCGATGAACAACGATAAAAATAAAGACGAGTACCAAATTGTTAGTAACAAATTGTCCATTATGAATACTAATAATACTACTGGCAAATACAGACTGAAAACAGAAAACATCAATGACAAAAAATAGTTGGAAGACTATTTCCAAGATAAAAAATGCATCTTGTATGTCAATCACATTTGGTTTGAATCAGTAATTAATAATCAAAATTAATTAATAGTGTTATCCATAAATGAGATAAGACATTATTGCATTGGAATCGGAGGCTAAATTATTGGTTTCAAAAGGAAGAGACAACAAAAAAACTTATATTTACATTAATTCCAATTTTGCTAACTTTTAAGAAAAAGTGCAATTTAAAAAAGATAAAAGAATAATGTAGATGATTGAAGAAGCAAAGAGTAATAACTAAGAAGCTGTTGCTTCCTTTCAACATCAACGTTAAAATTAAATCAAAGCTTAAGAAACCTTTCGAAGAAACACTGCTATCTAAAATTATTGGATTGCAGAATTATAGTAGGAATTATAAAGAAAATGAAAATTAATTATATTTGAAACCAAAATTCATTTTTTATAGAGAAAATTTTCAAAAATGATTAGTAATTTATATAATCCAGTCACTTTATCGATTTTAATGAAACATTAGACTTTAGCCTTAACTCCTATGAAGTTTTACAATTTGGTTTAGGATATTTGGCAATGTGATACAGGTTTGAAGACTCTTTTGAAGGTGTAATACCCTTGACAACACTATTGTTAAAACTATTCACTGTTGGTTCTTTACGCAATTTTGAAAATTGATTTAATGATTTTGAAATGGCCAAAATGCCTCCATTTGAACTTCTTCTGCTAACATCATTCTTTTGAGGAGATTTGCTAAACTAGAATTAAGAGGCCTCAATCTATTTTTTCTATTCCTACAATTGAATCAACATATTGTTGAGTTGCAATATCTCTTATTCCAATAAGGCCTTATTAGGTTTGTCCTTTGATAGTAATTACTCTTGAGTGTTCTCAATAGCTAGTTTAGTTGCACTCAAACATCTCTATATTTCTGCCTCTTAACTATTAAAATAATCAATTTTTCTCTTAAACTCCTACTCCAAATATTTAATGTCCAATTCTATTTTATTTTAACGATCTATGTAAGGTCTTTCGCTTCCACTTAATTTATCTAATTCTTTTTTTGCATTAATTATTGATTATCCAATATTCTTTAATTATGGGAGTATCTCCTAATCAACCATTTAAATGTTTATTTTAATTGCTTAATCAAAGAGATAATACTATTAAAGTACTTTATAAGTATTATTAAATTGTTCCTAAATAAATAGAATTCAATTTTACTTCTTCTTAATCCTGCATTAATTGCTGCATCTATTTGAAGGTCTGATCAAGAATAGACCTGTATTCTGTATTCCCAAATTCATTTAGGATGTGAGTAAGTTCCTGTTCATTCTAATCCTAATACTATTGAAATGCTTCCTCACTTTATTAACTAACTCTTTCTTAAAATTAATCATATAATCTATTTTTAAAATAGATATTTACATTTCTCTTCTATATAGTGCCTAAGACTTTTCCTCTTCAAATTCTTTAATCTATTATTTTTTCACTTCGACTTAATAATCGATAGTGCAAACTTCATTTGATAAGAGTTACTCATCACCATATTGCTTTAAACTATGTTTTAAATCCTACTTAAATAATTATTTATTACAGACAATTAGTTTTAGCTTTGTCTTTGAGATAAAGAAGCAAAAATGAATTATTCCAATTGAAATACAAATTCCTTCATGCTTCCCCAATTGTTTCCCTAATTTCCTTATTTAAATAGGGTATTTCTAAATTACTATATAAAACTAGTTAGTTTAGTCTGAAATTCAATTGACTCCAGATGAATAGGCTAATTTCCATAATAAACTATAAATTCATTTAGAATAGAATCTGGATGCTAAAGATTCAAACTTTTTTAGATTGGTACAATTTTATTCTTTAATTATTTGACCTTCTGGGTTTATTAATGAACTTAAACTTCAAGTAAAGTAGTTTAGTTATATGAGGCTAACTATTTTTTTTTCTCGTCCTATTGAAAATAGAGCAATTAAATTTGATTTGTTGCATTATGAATATTTTTAACAATATCTTAAGTCTTTTGATCGCATTAATAAATGGATTCAACGATTTCGGTGAGTTAAGGATGATCATTTTTAATTTGCTCTACAAATTCTTCTAATTCCTCTTTCTAACCAACTAATTCTGCTCTCTACAATAGTTTTGCATTCAAATCCTCCTTTAACATCGCTTTGGTTTCTAAGATTGAATTATAAGTTTGATGAACTTCACCTCTCTCTTTGATGAATTATTGATGTTCTTGAGTGACCAACTCATATTGTGATTTGAGCTTATTGAATTCAGTTTCATAATAATCATAAAGTGTAGATTATTATTTATCAATATCACTTTGCATTTACTGATAGCTAAATTATACATTCAAAGTACTTTTATTCTTCCATGCGCAAATCTTGAAGTTTGGTTTGAAATAATTGTTAATCAATTGAGCAAGTTGATTCACCAAGTAAAGTTGTGATCTTCTACTTGATATTGCATTAATATTAAATTATTTTGTGATCAATCTACTCCAATTAATCTTGCAGATAATCAGATCCACTGTTTAATACCTCATTGATAAGCTTATGTGAAATGTTGCTTTTTCTGATGATTGGACAATGTTTTGGAGAGTTCTCCTTATTTGAATGTTTATAAGATGGACTATCTGTTAGCATTCAATTTTAACGATAATTAATATAATTTTGCTCCTTTTTTATCTAAACAAATATTCAATAAAACATTTTCAAACTGAATTACTCCAATAAAAAATCAATATTAATCTATTACAATCCTTACATTTTGGCAATTTGAATCAAACAGTGCAAGAAAAATGATCAATTTTAAATAAAATAGGTTAAAATATTTATTAAATCGTATAAGCAGAAAAGAAAGTGAATAAAAATGAGCCCACTCTTGTTTTGTTAACTTTAATTAAATCATAACTTTAATGTCTTCATTAAAGGATATAAATTCAATCCTTGTTCCCTCGTTTCCTCAACCTACTATTTGGCCCAATTCATGAATGTATCTCTATCTTATTAAGCTCTCAATTCCATTTATTTGGATTATTTGAGTTCGTTCAAATATTAATCCCTTCTCGCTTATTTTTTTTGTTCCTTAATTTAATAATCACAATACTATTTAAATTTTCTAATAATCCAGTAATTCTTTATTGCGTTTTCTCAGAATTTCTTTTTATTATTCATCTATCTCAGTCAATTGTTGCAATGCATTTATTTTGGTCACCTACTCTTTTTTCGCATCAACCTCTTCTTTCTCTTTGGCAGTTTCTCTTAACTTCAACTATCTTTATCTAAAAGTTTCTCCTTCCTTTATCATTTAAATCTTCTCCAACTCCTTTTGTCTGGCAACTTCTTCCTCATGTCTTTACAACTCCTCAGCATGCTTCTAAACTATTTGTATATAATTGTCTTCTTATTCTTTCAATTGCAATACTCTCATATCATATATCCTTTATTTAAGTTGCATTTAACGATCTAATTTTTAAGCTTCCTAATAAATTAGATTAGATGTACTCTTTATTTTCTCATCTCTAGAACTCTTTCCTTTTTACTATCAAAATGATCTCTATCCTTTGCTTCCTTTTCTAACATTCTATATTCCTCTTCCTGTATAGATTATCTAACTTCCATAAATTTCTATCTTTCTGCTAATAGTTTTTGCTTCTTCTACTTCTCCTCCTCCTTCTTCTTTCTAACAATATATTCATAGATACTCTTTTTCCTATTCTTCCTCTTCTGCTTGTCTTTTTATCAATTATCCTTCCTATTGCAATTTTGTATATTCCTTAAAATACTTCTCCTTCATCTCATTATGTTATTTTGCTAAGACAGCATAATTCTCTCTCTTTAAGTCATCTTTTTATTGAGTCTTCTCTAACTCTGCTTATTCCTCCATTTACCTTTTCTCTTCAAGATCCTTTAACCTTTCAGCTTCAAGGGTCATTTGCATTTCTTGTCTTTCCTTATTAAACCGAACAAGAGCATCATTAATTTTCTCATTCTCACTCATTAGCATTTTTGACTTCATATTGCGTACACTAAAAATCGTTTTTTGAATTACTCTCCCCTTTGGCTAGATATCTTGTTATTTGCATCAACAACTTAATCCTACTTTAATTTCTCCTGATACTCAGTTTCAACCTTATCCATCTTCCTTTTCTCTTCCTCCTCAATCTAAAATTTCTCGAACTTCTCCTTCTCCTTCTATGACCTTTACTTCTCAATCCTCTATGCCCAAACCCTTTGGTTATTGTCAATACTCTAAATTAAAAGGATTAAGTTATACTTTCTTAGATTTTTGTTCAATTAGACTAATATGTGATCTAATTTATTCAAGTTCAGAAGCTCCTAAAACAGTATGGCTTTGCTTAATTGAAGGCAACTAAACTGACTTTAATTTTGATTCACTTTCTTCAGATTTATACCTTAACATTATATAATAATAAATATCGATTTATGAATTCTCATATTTTTGTAATTATTCTAACTAGCTAATCAAGGCTTTATTAAATAATGGAACTTTTACAATATTTTTATTTAATTTTAAAGTTATTCATATAACATCTATAATATATAATGGAGTAATTTTTAACAAGTGAAGTGAACAAAAATTAATTTTCTTTTTGAAAAGGAAAAATATTAATCTGATAATCAATTTTAGTTTGATATTAATAGATCAGGTGTTTAAAATTGTAGGTTAGCTAGACATTAATCAATAGAAATGCCAAAAATTCAACAATTAACCTTTTAATTGATCGTAAAGCAACTTTAGCCAAATTGCAGTTAAAGGAAAGCGAATTGAAAACTAATTCCTTATGTAAAATATAAAAAGGATATAGAACAATCATTCCATTAAACCAATAAGAGGGGACATCAGAGGATAGTCATAGAAAAGGAGATGGAAATCTTTGATTAATGATATTAATTTATTAACATTATATATATTGATTGAATGCAATTTAATATCTTAATTAAATATAATGAGTAAAAAGATTACCCTTTTCGTATTATTGGCATGTGTAGTTTGCATAGCTACATTGATGTTTTCCTTCTCAACCCAAGGTATTAATAATAAATATAAGTAGATGGAGAATTAAAAATGAAGAAAAGTCATTCTTTTTCTGCATCAAAGAATCATGAATGGTTGGATGGATATTGGTCATCAGATACAGATTGCTAAGCTAAATGCAAAACTGCTGGAGGAATGAGTTGTGGTAATTACTAACAAAATTGCTGTGTTGGAGCTAAGTGCAGAACAGAAGAGAATTTCTTCTCTTCATCTTTGATTTGTGATCAAAGAATAACAGTAGAAGGATGTACAACTCCCAAATGATATACCAATTAAATTTCATATTAAAATTCCATCAGTTCAAAAAGTTACTCAAAAAGATTCCCTTCTATTTGTTCGATTCTTTAAAGAATGAAAAGGCTTTAAAATATCAGATTTACAATTGTCGTTTATCATAATTATATATATATTTTATCTTCTTATCAACTAATTCACTGTCTTTGCACATGAAAATCCTATATACTTAAACATTGGAATGCATGTTCTGTAGGGATTAACATTATGTATTTACAGAGAAGATGAAATTTTATGAAACTATTATTAATTATATGAAATAAATAAGTTTCCATTAGCATGTTGTACTTTTCTATAGAAATATCGAGACCAAATTCAGAATGAATTTAATTATCAAAGTTCATAATTTAAAGTAACTTGACATATTAACGTAAAACAACGATATTGTATATTAAAAATATTATTTTAAAAATTAATATGTATTCCTAGCTTTAAATTTAACAAATTTGTTTCTTTACATTTAAATAAAGGTTAATTCTCAATTTCTTATTGGTAACTTTTCAATCATCTTCGAATAGATTGGATTTACATAACTAAGGAGCTTTAAATTAGGTCCTTAAATTTCAAAACTAACACTACGATAAATTTAGTTAATCATCAATTATCCCATTTCTCAGGTAGACAACGTTCTATTACTTATTCCAATAAGTTATCTCATTTGATCATATGTAAGCTATTATTTGAAAAATCAAAATTCGCTTTTATCGACATTTTACGATTAAGGATTTACGTTTTTTATAGTTTATTTATAGAGTTTTTAAAATTTTTCATAGTAAAAAAGAATAAGGAGTCACTTAAAAAAATAATATTGATTCATTAGAGGATATTTAATAATAAATATAATTAATTAAATTATGAATCCTTGGTGAGGATACCTGTTGGTTTGCCATCAATACAATTCTTTCAATTTGTAATAAACCTACGGTTGCAATTAACTATCGAGGAATTTATTGATGTAGGATCCAATTTTGATCTTTTTGACATATCCAGCACTGGATGATGATTCAATTGAAGCAGAAGTAGATGTTTCATTTGGTTCCCATACTTACCGAATAAAATCAAACTCATTCTTGTTTCCAGAGTCAATAATTTCTTAAATAATCTCATCATTAGTTTTCTTGGCTGCCTTTCTCAAATTATTTGCCTCTGAATTCATTATAATAATAAATAAAATAAAAATCAGAGTTTTTTTTGATTTCATAGCACGCATTCATCGGATAAATTTTACAATAAATAAACGTAGATTGAAAATCTTTAACACAAAAATTAGATATTAATCACCTGAGCCTTTTTAATAATCTCCTTGTATCATATATAATGATTAGTAAAGCTAATCAAAAATATATTTAATTTGGAACTCATACAGATCAAGCATTTACGCATTAAAATAAATGCTAGGATTTTGTCTAAATATATATAACATTGGAATATCAAAATATTGCTTATTGATAATATAGAAATTCATTTTACCAATTAGATTAACAAATGTTCCAATTTTTAAATGAAAATTAAACAATCATTCAAATAAGAAATTGTTTAATTACAATCAATAGTATCTTCATATCCATTTTGGTTTTGATATGCTACCATTCATCAAAATTGTACTCAAAGAAGGCCAAATTTATCAATTTTTGAAAAAGACAGAAATAATATTCATATATAAACATTCAATTTACTCCTAAATTTTATGTATATTATTATATTAAATTTATGATTTTTATTCCTTTTTTTCGAAACTGTCTATGTTTTACAATTCCTATAGATTTATATAATATTTTGGCAGCTTATAAGTAAGACTTAATTTCTTTCTTTATTAATAGCTACTTTTATTCATGATATATATAATATGCTTATCAAAATGGTTATTATGTTTAGAATTAGATGAAATTCTATTTATTTTAATTGTGACTATGCAACACAAAAAGTAGTCCCTAATAAAAATTATGATTTTAAAATAATTTAAAAAAGTATTTTATTTTTCTTTTATGCTGCAACAACTTAATAAAGAAGTAATATAAGATGCGATGAATAGGTGTTATTGAAAAGAAGAGAGGCTTTGGAATAAGTAATAAAAAGGAGATTTATTTATTAACCTGCTTTTTCACTTTATGGAGGAGTGGCAGGATTATATGATTATGGACCTGTAGGATGTGCAATTAAAACAAATATTGAGCAATATTGGAGAGAGCACTTTATAATAGAGGAGGACTTATTTGAAATAGCTGCAACCATATTAACTCCAGAACCAGTATTGAAAGCATCAGGACACGTGGATAGATTTACAGATCTCTTGGTTTGTGATAGTAAGACAGGGACAGGATATAGAGCTGATAAGATAGTGACTGAGGTATTGATATTTGAATTAATCAATTAGACATTGGAAAATAGAATAGCCAAAGAAGGAGATAAGTTGGCTGCTGATGTCAAAGCTAGATATTTGGCTGTTATTAAGGATGTGGACACCTTTAAGGAAGATAAGATGAAAGAAATCATTGCTGAATTATAGATAAAGGCACTTGAAACCGGAAATGATGTAAATAAGTTGTGAATAATTTTAGTTAACAGATCCAACTCCATTCAACTTAATGTTACCCACTATTGTTGGACCATCAACTAAGCTTCCTGCTTTTTTGAGACCTGAAACTGCTTAAGGAATGTTTCTTAATTTTGCCAGATTATTGGAATAGAATGGAGGAAGAGTACCATTTGGAGCAGCTCAAATTGGATTGGGATTCAGAAATGAAATAGCTCCAAGAGGAGGACTGTTGAGATGTAGAGAATTTTAGATGGCTGAGATTGAATACTTTGTTGATCCTACTGAGAAATCCACATTTAAGAAATTTAATAAATATATCAATTTAGAAATACCTTTATTATCAAGATAATTATAAGCTGAAGCAAAATAACATCAACCTTTTAAGATGGGAGATGCAGTAAAAGATGGAATTATCAATAATGAGACACTTGCTTATTTCATGTGCAGAACTTATCTTTATTTAGTTGAAATTGGAATCAATCCAGTTAACATTAGATTCAGGTAACATTAAGCAGATGAAATGGCTCATTATTCATCTGATTGTTGGGATGCAGAAATTGAAATGTCAAGTGGATGGGTTGAATGTGTTGGATTAGCTGATAGATCTGCTTATGATCTCAATGCTCATTCAACTGCCACAGGATAAAAGTTATAAGCAGCTCGTAAATTCAAAGTACCATAACCAAGACAAGTCCTATAAGTCATATTGGATAAATAGAAAATTGGAAAAGAATTGAAAAAGGACGGAATGGCATTGATTAAATATGTTGAGGCATTGCCTGATGATGAAAAATAGGAATTATCTGAATATTTCTAAACTCATGAAGATAAAGTCTTCAATATTGATGGAAAAGACTTAACTCTCAACAGATAGTTGGTTAAATTTGAATAGAAGACCATGAATGTTATGGAAGAGAAGTTTATTCCTCATGTAATTGAACCAGCATTTGGAATTGGAAGAATATTATAAGCTATTATTGAACATTCATTCAACCAGAGAGATGATCCTCAAAAGACCTTTTTCAAATTCTCCCCAAGAGTTGCTCCCGTCAAATGTTCAATCCTTTCTGTTGTCCAAAGTGAAGAATTTGATGTTGTCATTTAAGAATTAAGTAATCATTTATTTATATACTTTAGCTTCATCTCTTAAGAAACTGGGAATCTCTTGTAAAACAGATAATGCTGGAGTTGCATTAGGAAAGAAATATGCCAGAACTGATGAAATCGGAATTCCTTTTGCTATCACAGTAGATAAAGAAACACTCACTGCTTAATCAGTGACATTAAGAGAAATTGAAACAACTAAATAAGTCAGAGTTCCTATTGTTGAAGTACCAAGACTTATTCTTGAATTGAGTGCTGGATTAATTCTTTGGACTGATGTTTTAACTAAATATCCTCTTTTTGCTGCTAAAGAAGAAGATGCTTGAGTATTATTAAAAAATAAATCATTTAAGTTCTTGAAATTCCATTATTAAATTTATATTGATCAAAATTAAATTTAGGAGAATAAGTAAATACTAAAATGATCCCAAATCAATTAGATTTTTATAAAATAAAAGTCTTAAGGCATCTATTATGATATTAACTTAATGATAGGGTAGTTACATTGAGATGATTTTGAAATCCTGATTGTATCTTTAAATTTACAAAGAAATAAACAGAAATGTGAGTTATGTTATGTTAAATATTGTTATATTGAAATAAATTTATCATATTAATTATAATGAATAATAAAAAAGATCAACATCTAACTGCTTAAGGTACATAGATAAAAGGAACAACCAAATAGCCAGCTCACCAAGTGCAATAATAGAAACCTGCTCAAGGTCATGCCCCTTAAAATTAGGCAGCCAACAAATAATAATAATAATAAAAACAAACAACTTAGCATCCTACAAATACTAAGGCTCAACCTAAATAATAATAAGCTTAAGTGGCTTAACCTCACTAATAATAACAACAGTAATAATAATAGGTTCATTAAATTGCTCCAAAAAAGTTAGAACCAAAGAGAACTATAAAGCTTTAGGCCATGTTAGGTGCTATGGATTAAGATAAAGAAGAGGGAAGGATTAGTTTGTTGCTTGATAAAACAGGTATATAATATCAATATGTTATGTTAGGAAATGCCTACACTTTTTTTAAATATAAAGGAACCATCATAGATATATCTTAATTCTTGATCGCTGAATAGAATTAAGGAAAAAATCATGAAGATCATGTCGAAAAAGCCAGAAAAGCTGTCGTATATGGTTTAGAGGTTGGTGATAATTTGGTATTCTCAACTGATCTTTAAACTATAAATTTGAATGATTTTTTTAAGTAAATGTCAAATAAAATTTAGGTCTGATTGGTACAAACCAGAAGCAATCTTCAATTACCAAGAAATCACAAACCCAAATTATTTTAGAGCCCATCTTTTAAAACCTGAAGAGGATAAGGATGGATTTGGAAATAAGGGATAATTTTGGCCTAAAAAAGAGTTGCACATTGTCTTACTATAAACCTAAAAAGAGGGTGAATTAGATTTTGAATAATTTTTGAATAATTTGGGATTAGATAAGTTGAAAAATCAATTTGCTATAACAATTATTGAAGATTGATTTATTAAATGATGCATTAAAAAATATACAAAATTATTTAATTATTCAACTAAATAAACTTCTAAGGTAGGATCAAAGCTTAAAAGTCTATTTAAGCATTTAAATTAATTTTAGGTTAACAATTTAAAACTTTAATTAGTTTTGATGTTATCCTTATTTTGCATATGTAACTAGTGGTTGCTCTGAATATGATGTTGGTATTTAAAGGTTATGATGTGAGTTAAGTGTAGGTTTATTTATTTTAATAATTTAGAATTGATTTTTACATGAACTTGTTCAGCCACGATGAAATTAATTTATTGGAGGTATCCAAATAGAGGATTGCTAGGCAGCATAAGATGGAAAGTTAGAATTCATAAAAAATCAGTTAACGTCTTTGACATCTCGACAATTATAAGACGCTTGTAAGAAAACAGATTATTATGGCAGAAATGCATTGCATTATGTACTTGAACCACTAAATTAGGCGGCATACCGAGGACATTACAACGTAGTTGAGTATTTTCTTGATTTGTAATGCATAAATATTAACTCATCAGATAATAAGGGTAAGGTTTCATACACTATTATTGAGGTAACACAGCATTGATGCTTGCATGTGTTCGTGGGTATAATTCAGATATCAACACTTTAAAGGATGGTTAGAAATTTGCTATATGTTCCTTACTGATAGAAAGAGGAGCATCAGTTGAAAAATATAAGAAAAAAGGGATAAATAATCCATTGCATTGGTCTTGCTTCTTTGGAGATCTAAAAACAACGAAATTATTGATGTATATAGAGCCTAGTTTAAGTAATCCTATTAATGAGTTTATAGTGTTGTTTACAAATGACAGAGATTAGTTTCCGATTGATTTATCACTTATGACAGGGAAAGAACTGGATGACAGGGAAGAGGATGAAAGAGTTTTGGAATACATGATAATGAAGTTTTTGGCTCAATATCTTGATAATGAAGAGCATAAGAAAAAATTGGATGCTCCAGATGAAGAATATGAATCATTTAGAAAATTGAATAAGCACTCCCTTAATCTTAAATCCACTAAGTAATTAGCTTAGGTTGGCCTTAGATATCTATTTTGGGCAAGTACATAGGGTAGATTGGATCTGGTAAGACCTTTACTGAAATGTAAATATTCACCTTTTGAACCATCTTATAAGGGAAGAAATGCACTTCATGCTGCTATCTATCACAATAGATTAGAACTAGTAGTGTTTTACCTGGAATCAGATGAATCACTGCTGTTTCGAAAAGAGAATGTTATCAATCTTGTGACAAAAGATAAACCATAGACAGCATTACATATTGCAGTTGAGAGAGGTCACATAGAGATTGCAAAATTACTTATAAAAAAAGGAGCAGACCCAAATTACTATAACTTTCGGAATCATAGAGCTTTAGACTAATCTAGGTTGAATGAAATAAAATAACTTAAGAGAGAGCTCTTCCATAATGATGAAAAGAATTATTTAAGATCTGGATACAATCACATATTGGTTGGTTGGGAAAAGAGTAAGAATTAGTTATTGGAGTAATAATTTAATAACATATAAATCAAAAAGAATATTGAAAAAGGATAATTTAAATATATATTTTATGAATCTATTGATAAGCAATAAACTTATTATTGTTTAAAGGTGGATGAAAGACTTAAAAATTTAGTTGCTGATGAGAACAAGATGATGATTTATAATTCAAGAGAAGGATATTTGTCTCCTTTTAATTTGAATATCTAAGAGTAGTTTGAGAACTTTCATCATATTCACAACCAATAGATTCTTCTGACATTATTATATGATGAATTTGATATTGAATAATTTATAAGCGATGGATTACTTTTAGAATAATTCCCATTGCATGATGAAGAAGAAAAAGAGTTAATCATTAAATTCTGGAAAAATGAGAGGGTAAATATTTTATTTGAGCCATTTCAATTAAAATAATCAACGACTCGTACCTTTAGTGCATTATCGACTTATTATGGACCAGAAATTGGATTTTTTTTTGTTTTTCTATGTTTTTTTTCAACTTGGCTATTTTTACCTGCATTTCCAGGATTAGTCTTAGGAATATACTCATTTATTGATGAAGAAACCATCTTAGCAATTTCTCCAATCTATACCATATGCATGGCTGTTTGGGCTACAATCTTTTTCGAATTTTGGAAGAGAAAATAAAGTGAAACTATGTACAATTTCGATATGCATGTGACAAAAGAACAAAGAAGAAATATCCCATAATATAAAGGGTCATTTATAATAGAGGATGTGACACATACCATTGAAATAATGGATACAAGAAATGTACAATGGAAATACTTTAAATCAAATACTCCTTTAGTAATTTTGGCAATTGTTTTAATTGGCGGTTAGCAGACTGGGTATTTTTTTCTGAAACAAGTTTATGAGGATGATGAGTTTTATCAAACTTTATGGGCCATTCTTTTAGCTTTCACAATATTAATTACCAATGAAATTTTTAATTACTTTGCTAAACACACATTAACTTATGAGAATCATCAATTCCAAGATGAAAGAGAAAATGTGTATATCTTAAAGGTGTTTGCCTTCACTTTCCTAAACTCTTTTGGTCGTCTTTTTTACAGAAGTATAATAAAACCTGATTAAGATGAGCTGCATCTTTTCAGCATCTCCTTTACCATAATCTGGTCTCTTGTTCATCTTATCAGGTACACTATTTTGCCATGGATATCTTTTACTTTCATTAAATTCAAATTCAATAGGGACTTCAATAGATATAAATAATAAAACAATAAATCAATCAACACACTCTAAAAGATAGGAGATACAGAAACTAGCGGAATCAATAAATCATTTGATAAGGGAGTATCTTCTCTGTATTTCCTTTAGCAAATTGAGTTGAATAGAAGGATGATAGATCCACCAGATCATGTTGAATAATTCACTTATTTTGTAATTATGATATCAATAACTAGATGACTTAGTTTTGTATGGTTACTATGTTTAGTGCAGGTTCCTAAATAATACCAATCATTACGCTGTTTTTTAATTTGCTCAACATCGAAGGATTATTGTATGGCTACAGAAGGTTTGTCAAAAGACCTTTAGCAGAACCAAAAAAGAATATAGGCGTATGGAATGACATCTTATAATTAATCGGCTATATAGGTATTGTTTCAAATTGCTTAACAATATACCAAGCCAATTAATCGTAGTTAAATTACTTGGTTGGAGCAAATGAAAGTTCTAATCAAGATTAAACAAATGTAAGTTTATCATTAAAAATAGCTCGGATTAAGAAACTTTCTATTATTAATAGTTGCTGAACATATAGTAATTGGAATCAAGTTTGTAATAGAAGGAGTAATTCCAGATGAGCCGGAATGGGTTGAATTAGTCTTGAAAAAAGAAGAATATTTATCGGAAAAGAATAAGTCGAATAGCAAAAGGAATGAATCATCAATTAAACCCCTAGAAAATAAAATAAAAAATGATTGATCCTTATCATTTATATTGTGTCAAATTTTTAATCCATAACTTATTCATTCTTCATGATGTAGATAAAAATAATTTTGAATTTGCCTTAATAATTCAAATCAGCTACTTATCTTGGCTAAAATCAATGAAAAAAAATGATAAAGTAAAAGAGAATTTTATAATATATTTAATTATTTTTATTTGAATCATAGATTAGCTGATAGCATCAATTTATAGCTAAGATTTTTACTATTTTGACAGAAACATTTTCTTAAATTATTAACTTAAATTCCCTTCTTAAAACAGAACTTAATTTTTTAGAGTTTTACTATAAGAGCAGAGAAATCTAATTTGAAAGACTTACTGTAAGTTAATTATAAAAGTTTATTCATATAAGCCTTAAAATAGATAAATACTTTGAGCAGAAGAAAAAAATTTTAATTTAAAAAAAGAAGGTAAAATTTAATAAATATTTAAAGTATTTAGATGAAGTAAATAAGACAAGGATAATTTATATAGCTTTTCCGTTCAATCTAATAATTTTGCATTGATATATTTTTAAGAAAAGCTTGGATTAATTATATTGATAAATTTGAAAAAAAATAACTTATTCTTCTAAATAATGTTATTCTCGTTCAAGAATTATAAATACCTTATTAAGTGTTCGGAACTTACTCAAATATTTATTTATTAGTTTTGACATTACGGCAAAATGTAAAATTCAATAGCTTGAATAATTCTTGAAATCAAGTATCCCTTTACCTCTGGACAATTCGAAAAATTAGAAAATTTTCGTGTAAGATTAATTCTTTCAAATTGACATAAATCTAATATTATTTACAATTAGTATGAAGCTGATTAATATCTCATATTTACTTTCATATCTTAACTTATAATAAAGATGATAAGTTTTAATTATGAAAATAAATATTTAATTAATTATTTTAAAATTAAGAATACATTTATGAATTAGATAATAAAATAAGAATATTTTTATAATAATTTAAAATATATTGTAATCTAAGATAATTTTATATATGAATAAGTCTCAAGACTTCATTTATTTATGCTATTCAGCAAGAATCTTTAAAATTTATGAGTTTAAACTATAATTTAGCATTAATGGAATTTAATTAATATTAGAACATTTTTCTCGAATTTGATTTCTTGCAAATTAGATTTATTGTTTTTCTAAACAATTTAGTGAAGAAATGGGATTTATGAAACCAAACTAATTGGTGATATTTTTCTGTTGCATTAATGTGTTTATATCATTTGTAAACCGTTGTACAGCTTACTAGTTACTTAACAAGCTTAGAATTAGAGATTGCTTTTCTTACATTAACTCTTTTATCATTTATTCTTTTAATTCTTATGCTGAACTATCATTATCATTACGAACTTTAAATTCGTAAGTTTAGTATCCTAAATTAATAAGTTGTCCATTCCTTTAAGTATTAGTATAATATTATACATATCATCAACAACAAATAATTAGACTTAGGCAACTGAGTTTAAAATTTTATCCCTCCTTTCTTTTTTTAAGATTCTCCCTTCCTTTTTATAAACTTAATAAATGGCTTTTATTGTTGAGATATTGTGCCCTGTTATCAAAGAAACCTGAAAATAAAAAAATGTTATACATTAGAGGGCGAGTACTTGTACTCTTCAATATACTAAATAATAAGTGCTCTTTCACAAGAATTTATGCTTTTATATTTAGATCTTTAGTGTTTGTATTTTTTAATTTTCATTATAAAATAAATCTAAAAATGGAATCCCTTTTTAACATTGTATATTAACTTGGAATAAATTAAATATATATATTTAATCATTGTAAAAAACGGATAAATAGTATATTAAAAAGATATAGTAAAGTTTTCATCTTAAGTATAATAAAAGCTTGCATAATTGTTTTTAATTAAACTTTCTAGCAACTAGTAATTTAAATAATTTGTAAGCTTTCTAAATAAGAATAAATGATATTTATTGTAATGAATTTTCGATAATTAATTATGTGTCTTACTTAATTTTATAGGCTTTTAAGTTAAAAATTATGTTCTCTACAATAACAAATATTTTACATGAAAATTTGTAAGCACAATTATTTGTGATTTTCAAGAATAAATGATGGCAGATTTATCATAGTTCCGAGAAAATATAGATACCCTTCTCAATTTACTGATATATATTTATTTTTGTCATTATTTAGCCATCTACATAGACTTGAATGATAGTAGGACTATTCATTTTTAAATTTTGATTAAAAGAGTAAATTATCAATTTTTTTCTAATTTACTAATCTAGTTATAAATGTGCATTAAACAATTTGCTTAAATTTATTAATAATTGCTCAATACACTCTAAAGAGTATATAAAATGCTCACAAATAAATTTGGATAGCGATTTCAAGTGCAACCTATAGGTTTAATATTATTAACATTTTAATAATTGAAATTGAAATTAAAATTAAAAACAAAAATTTATAATTTATTTTGTTTCAAATTGACCTTAAGGGATTATATATTTCTTAATTTTTGTCACCTCGAATTTTTAAGGGTAGTCTTATAATAATAATTATACTCCAAAATTACTTTAGAGCAATTAAAAGGAAAAAATGGAAGTAATTAAAGTTCCTTATGACAATAATATATTATGATGTAATTATTTAATTATTCATTCCATTCCGAAAACTCCTTCGAGATCATTAAGAACAATAGATCTCAAAAATTTTCGCATAAGTTCTTAGCTAGTGTATTTTGGAAGTTCGAGCCTATTGAAGCATGTGTGAGCTATCGGAAATGAATTGGAATTTTTATAATCAATAGGAACTATCTAAAATTTTGAATACATTCCTCTATTTGACTCAAGTTTACTAAAACCACTATATAAAATGCAATAATGAATTAAATACTTAACTGGTATTCTATAAGAACCAGTGCAATAATGCAAGAACTTTTTTAATTAATCTTGATCGAATTCTGATAATATCTTCCAAAACCACTGTATTTATTGAGAATTTTCAGCATATGGTGTTTTATATATTGTATGCTATTTCCACTCAGCTAAATCTACAATAGGTACACCATAAAGTATCATTTCAAATTCTTCAGCCGTGAAAATATTTAAAAAATCCTATGGAATATATTTATATAAGGAGCTTTAGATTTAAGCAAGCTATTGTGTTATTAATTTTTCACTATAGAATTAGATGCTTCATAATAATAATAGTAACAATTCATACCTTAAATCAACAAATTCTTGTTTGTTTTAGTTTGTTACCAAAACATCAGCCCCATTTTATTTTAATTCAATTATTTCATCGTCTTTACATATGATAAAATATTATTATAATTGATTTTCATCAAATTAATTTTCAAGTAGATATTTCCAACTCAAAAATAAACCTTTGTCATAGTGTTGCATGTCTTAAAATGAGATTTCTTAACCAAGCAATTTCTTAACTAAAGGTCGATCAAATTCAACGCAAATAGTCATTCTTTCAAAAAGAGCCTTTGCTATTGCTAAACCAGCTAAATCAAAATATTGACTCTTTTTAGCAATTTTATAGGTAACATCATTGGTCTCGGTCAATGTAAAGATGTCCTTACACATTTCTTTAAAAATCAGAGTCAACCATTCTCTTAATAAGCCTCCTGCATCTTAGACTTTATCGTTCTAAAATACTACTTTGACTTCTTTATAAAAATTAACACTTCTTGCTGAAACCAGAGAAGTTTATAATAGATCATTAAGATTGACATTCAATTTGTCGGATCCTAATTGCCAAGGAATACGAAATTTTTCAAGTTAAAGATTGAACCACATTTATTTTTCAGGAAAAGATCGATTCTTAATTTCTTGAGCACTTAAATTCTAATAAAATTGATAAAGTGTTCTTACGTATATCTAGCCGCCATTCACTTATGATTGGATTCTTTTCCATTGATTGTTTTACTTCACCCAAATATAATTATCTCCTAATTAATCTTAAGTTTAAGGCATTTGAAATTCAACATTATGTATTGGTTATTAATGAAGTAGACAATGATCTATATGGCTATTAAGAACAAAGTAGGTAGTAGAGGGACCAAACTTACGATCACAATTTGGACATTTGGCTTCCTAACCAATTTTTGAATGCTAATTATTTGAACTTCTGTTCCCCATTTTAGAACTTATAATAATCAATTCAAGAGAAAATACTCATAAAAAAATAAAATATATATAATACTATAGGTATTTATGTTCTTAATACTCAAACAACAGTTTAAGTGATTTATGAATCGCATAAATCAGCTTCTTCCACAGTTTAATTCAAATTTGTAATTGGTCTTGGAGGAAAACCTGAAATTAACTAAATTTATTTTTGAGGAGGTAAGTTCATCATTCTAGACACTTAAATATATTAAAATACTTTAAAAGATTCTATTGAATGGCTGTCACTCTTGTAGTGGTATTAACTGTTAATGTTATTGTGTTTCCAGTAGATAGTCTAACCTAGATATTAGTTGTTGGTTGATTTGGGTTGATTGGTATTTGCCCTTATTTACTCAAATCAACCTTAACTTGTTGTTATTATTAAACAAATTATTATTAACCCAAACTAACACCTGCTCCTCCAAATTCCACATATTTTGGTGGAGGAGGTGGAACATATTTTTCTTATGTTCTATCTTCCAATTTAACACTCAATCCTTTTTTCGCATATTATGATCGTAGCATTGTTGGAATTTAACTTTTTTCATTATTAATATCTCTTACTTTTATTTTAATTCTGCAATGAATTTCTTATTTTCTGGTTCATTGATGTCTTTGAATTCTCCATCATTTATTTAAAATCCATTATTCCATAATGTAATTTTGCACCACTCTTTTGGATCCTCACTTTCATCAGGACGAGTCCCTCCTTGCTTTCTATATACTTTTAATAGAATAATACGCTTTATTGATCAATTCATCAAAATCTGGAGGATTTTCTACTGAGAGTCCACTTAAAAATCTAATTGAAAACCATACCTCTTTTCACCTCCAGCATAAGAATTACTAGTTTTCTTTTGCTTTTCATCTTTCTCATTTTTCTTCAAATCATCCAAAGTTCTAAACATACCCAAAGAATATTAATATTTAATAAAAATAATAACATATTTCAATCATAACATGTAAGTAATTATTTTGCTATACTTGATAGATCTTCATTCTAGGACATAAACAAGAACTCTACCTTATAATAACATAAATACGGGTACCTTATTTTTATATTTAAATAATATATTGTAATACACATCATCTCTCATTGTATCTCCAAATTCTAATATTCTCTTAACATATTTTAGAATAGCAATTGAATTATTTGGATCATCTGCATTCAAATTAAGTAATTAAGAACAATAATAATTTTCATCTATAAGTTAAGGGTAGTCATGTAAGAATTCATCATCTTTCATTAGACATTCTAAAACATTTAAGCCTTTTTCTAAGTATTCAGTATTCAATGAAATTTCTATTATCAAATTTAACACTTCCTTTTAGCAAACATAATATTATATCTCCTCCAATTCTACTACATTATAAAATAAAGTTAATAATGCTTTAATGCAATGTGGATTTTTTGTTGTCAAAAATAACTTACAAATAAAATTATTAATTTCTTTTTGTTAAAATATCTAATATAGTAAATAGGAGTCTGTAATTTCTTGTAAAATTCTCAAAATTATAGAAGTGATATTATCATCATTTTTTAGCAAATATCGAATGGCATGAAGAACCAAATGATGATTGCTAAATTCCATTCTAGATGTTAGAATGTAAGCACATTGAAATGCTATATATTAAGGCATTAATTAACACAATGTTTCAACTAAATAATTACTCAATATAGACTTAAATTAAACAATTTTAACACAAATATGGACTAATAATTTTTTATATTCCTCTTCTGAGATAATATTAGCATTTTTATTAAGGACTATTAGTAATTCGTCATCTTTCATTAAATATTCGAAAACGTCAATATCATAATCTGCTAATAAATTTTAAATGATTTCAATAACAAATTCATTGTATATTGGATTTCGAATATCGGTGTAAAGTATTTTTAAAAAGTCGAAATTTGTATCAAATAAAAATCTAGATCCAACTTAATCTCCTAAAGTAAGATTGCAAAGAATCCAATAAATAGTTATTCTATAATTTTGTTGAAAGTTCAATTCAAATTAGAGAAGTAATTCATTCATGAGATCTTGGTCAACCAAATAATTATAATATTTGATCATTGCTTTTTGAAAATCAGTTTCGATATTTTCTTGAATGGCAATCATTTGTTTTTTAATAATCCTGAGTTTATCATTAAGATCATGATCTTCCTATTCTGGTATAATGATTCTCTTTTTTTTGAATTATTATTCAATGAACTCTTTTCTAATTGCAGTTCTGAACTTCTCCCTCTTGACATTCAAAATTGATGAAGATTAATCCATTATATATATAATTGTGTTTTTTTTGGTATTATTATATCAAATTTAGATGGCTTATTTTTGGAATACATTTTAAGCCTTGTTGACATCGCCAACAGTGAATAAGTTTTAAAGGTTGCCAATATCAACAGACTAGAATGATATTAGAAAGATTATCATACTTATTGTTATTCACTAAGAACTGAATCGTCTACTACAAGACTATAATTGTCATAATACTTCAGAATCTATTAGACTTTGTTTACTTTCTCTCCTCCAGTCAAAACTGTGTTGTAACCTCTTTCCAATCCTCCAACGACTATGATATTAGATCACCTTAGACTTACCGATGCTGAAGTTGGTTACAGTTTAAGGATCTCCTGATACTATTACATGTTTAGATCCCTGCACTTTCTCACTCAATTTTGCTAAGTCCTAGTAAGTGTAGGTTTAGAGTTATCCATTTCTGAATTAAGCTGTGACTGGTCCTGTGACAGTTGGGAGAGAAAGGCGATTGAAGTTCTTGGAAGCGTAAACCAAAGATTCCTAATGGCTTCAATAGTTTAATACTCTGAATTTATAGGTGCCTGGATATGAATAGAATCCAGTATGAATTAACCATTTCAAATTAGTAAATTTACTACTCTTCAGACTTTCTCCTGAGTGAGCTTGGGACAGATTAATTTATAATAGATACTCTATGTGGTTTCTGGGACGAGGTTTTTAAGGATTTCAATGAACTTGGTTTCTCCGACTAGTTGATTTGGTGAAAACACAATTCCTTTGGGATTGACAATACTAATAGTCTTTTCAATTTCATTTGGATCATTGGATCTGAAAGGTACTGTAATTACTCCTGCTTTGGCTGCTCCAGCAAATGTAGTGGCAGCTTCACTTGTGTTGGATCTACCAAGCAAGAGCAAAAGTTTGTCCCCTTGTTTCCAACCTTGTTCAATCAATCCATATGCGAATGCACTTGAATGTGTCTCTCAATAACAATTATTGAATACATCAAATTCGCCGAAAGTCCAGGTGAGATTTTAATTCTCAAATCTGAATCCATTCTTGAGTGGATTTTATTTTGCTAAGGTTGAGAATCCTTGATAAATGAATCGTAGCATATTTTAATAAATAATTTAAATATATATAAATATAAATGTTTCTTCTTAATTGGTTTGGAGGTAATAGCAATTAGAGTGGTAAGAACAAGAAAAAGAAGAAGAAGTAAAATGTGGTGTAGAATCTCAACAAGACTTTGATAAATCCCATGAAGGAAATCAAATTATTTGGACATTCTAAGATGGGGTATGGTCCTAAAAAGACTGAATGTCAAGATTCTTATTGTACTATGGAAAGATTTACTGAAGATTGTTATTTTTTTGCAGGTTTAACTTCATTTTTATAATAAGTATATGATGGTCACGGTTCCTCAGGCAAAGAAGCATCTTAGGCAGCCAATGATTATATTTAAACTTTCCTTGAGAAAAACCCAAAGAGAATCAAGGCATTATAGAATGACAAACAAAGAGAGAGTTTCTTGAAGAGTGCTTTTAAAAATGCTGAAGCAAAACTCAGATCATCTGGTATAGATTACAGTAATTCTGGAACATGTGCAATATCAATATTTGTAGTTAAGAATATGTGTTATATTGCCAATCTGGGTGATTCTAGGGCAGTATTATTTAGATAAACTGCAAAAGAGAAACTGGCCATTGAATTATCATATGATCATAAACCAACAAGACCAGATGAGAAGGAGAGAATCATAAGATGTGGAGGCAAAATCGAAAGACTGATACATGATGGTTAGCCAGTTGGTCCGTATCGTATTTGGGCAGATGATGAGGGGCCAGGAATTGCCATGACTAGAACGTATTGAAATTCAAATTATATATATACAGATTGGGAGATTTGCAAGCTAAGAAGATAGGTTTGATTTCAGAACCAGAAGTTCAGCATATCGAATTAACAAAATAAGACAAATTCATGGTGATAGGATCAGATGGTGTTTGGGATGTGATGAGTAGTGCAGAAGTCTGTGGATTTGTTTTAAAACATGAGCCAAAAGAGAGTGTGGCTGAAGCTATTGTAAATATTGATATTTATATAGGTTACTGAATGCAGATCCAGATGGGATGAAATGAACAAGTAAAAGAAGACAAATTCTAAGATTGGGGATTTACCATACCTGAAATTCGGTTGTGATGATATTACTGCTGTAATTGCTTATTTCACATTTATTGATGAATTGGAAGACAACTATTTCCAATAACAGAGATATTGAATCATAAATATAAGAAAATAATATTTTATGATTTATGTTTTGATAAAATTGATTTCATTTCAAAGCCAATCTGACTTATGGTATTCCCTTGATAATCTCTTAACTCTCCTAATTCAATGTGAAATTGATAGTCAAATCAACATATTTCTAATAAAATTAAGGGTACATTATACTTGTATTTCTAAAACTTTAATAATTGGTTGGTCCAAGAAGTGCTTTTTCTCTTCTGGCTTTTTAGCATACATGATCTCCATGTACACAGGTTAAGCCTTCAAGAAAACATCTCTTGGATGCAAATCATATTATTAATTCAGAATTTCAAACAATTATCCGAAAGTAGTTGACTTTGTAATTTCATGTGCCCATATATCCCATAATGTTACAGTGACTTTTTCATTGATTTTCTTCTTAGGTACTAGTCCTGGCTCAGTCAATTTCACAAAAGGAATAGCTAAATTAACAAAGGCGTTCTTCATGTCTGAAATCTAGACATTCTTCAAGGTCTTAATCAACTCAATTGTCTATAAGCCAGCCACAACAGCAGTAGTAGTAGCCAAAGCAGGTACAATACGTCCAGCTTTGATCTTCACAGTTAGCCAATCCATAGGTTCCAATTTATAATTTGCAGCTCTTAGATTGCCGAATGAATGAATGAAATCGATGTGTCCATTTTAATCATTATCTTTTTCAAATTCATCAGATGCTAATGAGATTGGTAATAAGGATTTAAATTATTTAAATAACAGTTATGTTTCTTCTTAAGTGCTTTGGGCTTGATTAGATTCATTCTCTTCAGCCTCCTCTTTCTATCCTTGCTCTTTAACCTTATCAGAAATAGACTAAAATTATTATCAAATTAATTAATACCTTCTTCTTTTCTTCACTTGGTTGCCATTCAGGGAAAGTGATAAGATTAGCTTACTTAGCTACTTATAGTCGATAAGCTTTAGTTCTCCAATCTTTATCAGTTTCGAGACCAAACATTTTGGCTCTGAGGAAAGCAAAGGTAGATACAAATTATTGATGAATTTCATTTTCAGGATCAAATTAAATGGGCTTGGGAGGTCGTTTAGGCATAGTCCAAAATAGATTGCCATCCTTAGTCTTAGCATCTTCTGGATATGTATACATCAATTATTTAATGTCATTAACGAAATATTTCTAGAATTTCCCTCTTGCCCACTTAAGACAGTCTTCTAAAGAATTTGGTTTGTTCTTTAATAATTTGATGCCTTCTCTCAAAGGTTTATTGTCCTCTAGACTGGGCAAGTAATCTTCTGCCATCATTTTTATTAATTGTTTTGGTCTTGCAGAAAAATGTTTACCAAATTTATCCTTTGCAAACTCGACGCAATGGAAAGTCTCTTCTGGGAACATCTTTAATGTGCAATATGGAATCTCACCTTCTTCTACAGGATCATTAGAGCTACCATAGGATTCAGTTTAAAATGGAATGATGCATTGTACATGACCTTTTGGTCCAAGAGTACCTGATTCTAAAAGTGGCTTGCGAGCATTTACACATCGTTTGTCTACATATCTTCTAGCAGCTACATTATCTAGAGCATTGGCAATGATATCTTAATCTTCAAAGAATTAATCTGTGTATATGTGTTCTGTTGAATCATGAACCTTATCAAGTCTTGCTATTATATGATCTCTCAAATATGGATTCATTTAAATAACAGCAGCAGCAGCTGTCTAAGACTTTGGCTTTCTTAAATGTTTTTCCCTGAATAAGAATTATCTATTTAGATTACTGACTTCGATGTGATCAGGATCAGTTATTGTAATTGATCCCTTCACTCCTAAGTTAAGCATGGCAAAATTCTTGAGTAATTCACAACCTATTGCACCGCATCCAACCATGAATATTTTAGATTTCTCTAATTTTTCAGCTATTTCAGTACCCAAGAATCTACTTAAGGACCTTTCACTTATTTTAGCATCTTTGGATATCTCTTTTTGTAACACTTCAGTGCAATCCACATAAAATAGTTGTTAAACTGGAGTAAACTTATTTGTTATTCCCTTAATAGCTTCTTATGAGACGAACCCTCCAAGATAGGCAGACAAAGGAGAGAATTCTCCTTAAGCTGAGTAATGTTTGAATAAGGACTCGAAATTTTAATCTTTTGCTTATTTATTGTTATAAAGATTGTGCAGATGTTCAGTATTTTGCAATTTGATAAAATCGTATTCTGACATATTTGGATCATAAATTGGTTTATCAATGAATTCTTAGTTGTAGGGTTAGAATGATAATTCAACAGGTACTTTAACCAATTTAATAGTTCCATTTCGAATGTATTTTGAATATCCACTTAATTGTATCTCCAAGATTGATTTACTAATTACTTTCACCTTTTAAATGGTTTTGTTAATTGAATTTCCATTTGAGTCTATCATTCCTTCAATATTATCAATCATTACAATATCATTATCCTAAAATTCATGTTTACCTGTGATTTCAAAGTGCAATTTATTCTCCCCTTTATCAGTAACAGATTTAACAATATAATCAACAGTTTGCTCTCCATTCTTATCTTCAACAATGAAAGATTACCCGAAATCATTGAATACTCTTCCGAAGACTCCATCCACTGAACTAATAATTAATTTCACCTTATGTTAACGACATAATGCAGATAATTTGAATAACACATCATTTGGATATGTAGCACAGACTACTACAATGTTGTATTTAGTGAGATCGATATTAAGGAGTTCTGAGGTTTCATAATTCACCCTGACATATGAATTTAGCTATTGCAATTTATCCCAACTTACTTCAGCCCTGTTTTTGCCAATATCTTTTTCTTCAATGAAAAATTAACCATTAAGATCATATTAAGTGCATTTTTATTGATCATGAATGGTTAACATTTTGACTCCTGATAATACAATGTTTTTAGCTACTTCAATACCCAAAGCTCCAATACCAGATACCAAAACACAACTATTTGCCTATTTCTTGACTGCATCCATACCCATAGCACCAATGTATCTACTCCATCTATCTAAGACATTTTCATCATTTGCTTCGAATTCCTTCTATTGAATCTTTGTGTATGTAACATCTACTTCATCCAGATTGGCCATTCCTTCTTTTACATTTTTTACTTTAGGTTATTTCTTGACGTGAGTTCTTAGTACTCTTGATCCTTCTAAATCAGCAGCTGAAGGTGGTTATATCTTATTCAATTCTTCCTCTAATTCTTTAACTGCTTCTGACAACTTCTTATGGTAGGCTTTCTTGCTCTTTTTGAATTCACTGCACCAACTGGAATTATGATCATTAAGTAATCCAGTATATACAGCTTCTTTGGTATCTGCAAGTTCAACCCACTTATTGCATTCCTCCAAGATCTCCTATTTTTTAAGATAGAAATGTCTCCTAATAATAGTTTCAAATCCTTTAGGTGGATCTCTAATTTAGTCTATCATAGCATATTTGATGTTGCAATATCTTACAATATTAGAATATCCTTCATTTTTCTTTTCACCTTCCTCTGTGTTTGCTTCCTATTCAAAGCCTGGTTCATTGAAATACACCTCTTCACTCATAATAATAGCTTGAGTGGATACTAAAACTTAAAGGAGAGTAGATATTTTAGGATCCCAATTTTCAGATGCATTTCCTCTCCATGTACCTAAGAGTGACAAGCATACTTTTCCACAACTATACAAATTAGGATTGAATCTGACTTTTCCATTTCCTGTGGTAGATAAATTCATTTTAGGGGGAGCATTCGGATATGAATCATCAGCATAAATATCAAATAGAAAGGCACCATGTGCATAAGGAGTTCCTTTTGCACCCATAACAAGTGCCTTCATTACATCTACACGTTCTTTGTCAGCTCTAACGAATATGGCATTAGTGTGTTCAATTGGTAAGGACGTTGACATGTCTGCAAATTCTTAGGCTAATCTTACAATTTTATCTTGATTTATTTAAGTTGAAATGTTTCCTGAATAATGATGTTTATATCTGCCACCAACTTTCATATCAATGTAACTGAATCTCAAATCTGACAACAAAGTTCTGTACGCTTCAGGTAATTTTTTGGATAGAATCTCTGCGATCAATACATTTGCTAGTTCTTTCTATTTCTTGAGTTATTCAGTCTCATCCTCTTCATTGCTACTACTACCACTATCATTCATCTTATTAATGCAATTTTCCATTCTTTTATGAGTATCTATAATCATTTTGGCAATCTCAAATGAGTGTTCTTCTTCTTCATTCTTCTTTCTATTATTTTAGATGCAATTCATAAAGATTCTGGATGTATCTGCCAATGCACTTAACAATTCAAATAATGATTATGTCTAAGGAGGATAATATTATTCTGGAATCTTTAAGAAAACACTGGCCAATACTTTATGATGTGACATGGATTGAACTATCTTCAGATACTTACAATACAAATCGAATTCTTTTGATATTTCCAAAAGTGAACCACTTCTGAATGCACTTTCTAACAAAGGCAATAATGCACTTTCAAATAATGTATTCTTTAATTTATGTAATAAATCCTCACTTGGATGCCAATGTTAGAAATCAAAGAATGACTCTACTATACCCAATAATCCAATTAATTATTATGATTTTTAGGTTTTCTTCTCAACATATTCTATTGTATTCCATTTCTAATTTTACCCAGTACTATCACTTGCATATCCTACTCCTCTCTTCTATTTTGTTGATTTCTGCAATAAATTATTTTTCTAAGGTGATTCTTAAACCACTTATTCCTCAACCTTATTTCTAAATTCCCTCTTAGTCTCTCTACTAACCAAAGCTATTCTATCTAGGATTTGTTTAATTAAATTCTATTCCAAAGCCTTTATTCTTACTTCTGGTCCACTGCTAGCACTGAATACATTCACTAGGGTAGTATAAATGAATTTAACAGCATTCTATTCCTCCTCTTCTAATTTCTTGTTATTACTTGAATCAGGAGGTCCAGCAATTAAATCAAACAATAAATTTACACATTATTGATTCTTCATGAACAAATTGAAAAAGTTAGGTAGTTGACAGAATGATTGCAATTCATTCAAAAATTATAGCCAAGAATTAGCTCGTTATTAATTCTTCCATTATCCTATTCCTTCTCTAATTACTGATAACATAGCATTTACACCATTTAATTCTTCAAATAAGGGGAATATTGTTAATTGCTATGGATAAGTGAATGATGATGTTTTAGGTTGGATATTATCAATGAACTCTCTTGCATTGATTACCAACTCTATAATATTTTATTAGTTTGTAGGTAACTCACTCAATTTCTGCTAGTTCTCAAATATATTGCATTCTTGTTTTAGTCCATATTTGTTGAAAACGATCAATTGTTTCAATTCACACAATTTTAATTAACTTGGTAATTAGTAAACTGGAACAACACTATAATATAGCAGAGATTGATTGGTTTCATAATTAGGGAAAAGTAAACTAGTAGTTTCTTATGGTATATTAATTTAAGGTAATGTCTTCTTCTATTTTTAGGGTCTGACTCCAGAAACATAGTATTCAATCTTTAAATTGTCAAGGCTTCCTTGGTCTTTTAGATTAAATGATGCCAAATTGATTCTGGATGGTTCTCCTGGGACATATTCAATTTCCAAAAATACCTTATCATTATTTTAGAATGTTAATGTTCCTTGTTCATCATATATTTCAATAAAGGCATTGATGTCAATTTCCTCATTGAAAAGCAAATTATTTTCATTGAAATAGAACACTTTCATTTTACCTTGATTCCAAGTGTATGTTAAGTCTAATTTATCTGATTTTGTGCATTTCACATTATGATACAAGATAAAAGTTTTATCCACATTACTGATTCTATAATTGATGACCATCATCTAAGGAGTGGAATTAAAGAATTTATCTTCCAAATGTGGCAAAATATCTGAATCTCCATCATTTTTCTAAAAAGCAACCTTATTCCAATAGGTCTCACTTAAATGAGTAAATAATTAATCTCTTTATTTAATTGTTAGTAATTATGATTCGAATACTAATTCATCTTGTTATTGAGTATTGTCTATTTATTTTTAAGCAATAAACTTTGGATCCAGGATGAATTTGGCTTAATCTTCAAATTGAATCTTCAAGAACACGTAATCCTCACTGTTCAAAATGGGAACCAACAAGGATCTCACGAATTTCATATCTTTATTTCCTTCTAATCTGCCAATATCCCGTATCAAAGCTTCGATTATGAATTTTGCATGGTACTTCTACACCATGTAGCTGATGAATTTGGCTGCCAATTCTATTGTTTTATCATCCAATTATTTCAAGATGGTTTTGCATGAGGGTTCTTCTATTAATGAATTGTAGAGAGGGAGAAGGTATTTGAGTAGATGATCAGCAATCTTCTTATTCGTTGATAGAGTATAAAAGAATTAGATGACGTAGTTCAATTCAAATTTACCAAAAATCGAATCCAACTGATTTATAATCCAATCTATGCTTACTCTACTTCCCAGGGCTAATGGTCCAAGAACCTCAAAGAAATACGGTTAGGTTCTACTCTTATCCAAAGTAAACTACAATATCTATTCAACTTCTTCAATCTATTCATAAGGATGTGGGAGATAGGTTATTGTTACTATTAGTTTGATTAACAAATGTCTGGCATGTTTGTTATGCAACAATTAAAACAATTCAATCAGATGTATGATATCATTTTTGCTAATATTCAGTGAAAGTTCCCTTTATTTCAATTTGCTATTTTGCAATAAGAGAACATTGCAATAAGATTCAATGAAATGCTAAGCCAATTTTTCATACCATAATAGATCTTGTTGTTGATGATTGTTGATCTGCAGAGCCAGCAATTTCTGAAATAGATGGTTGTGCAATTTCAAGAATCTTTCATGAACATGTTCTCCTTCCAATATTATTTAACTCAGCAATTTACTATGTGATTATTCAGGGTATTCCATCAATTTGACTACTAACCAATCTCCTACTTCATGATTATATTTAGCAATCGCCAATATCAAAGGACTCAATTGAAATGAATAAGAATTGAGAGCATTCATGAACTTGTTGATATTGTTTTAGAGTTGTTCCAATACGATGGAATCATTGGCCAATTGTTGCAAAGTCTTTTGGTAATTGGGTTTACAAAATTTGGATAGAATATCGATAGCAGTCTTCTCTTATAATGTGTAGATGAAATCAACTTTTTGTCTATTAGAAGCATAACCCATAACTGAAATAAAACTGATGCCTAAACACCGTTTTTTAATAGATTTGGATACATCCAATTATTCTACATATTGTTATCTCATTCTGAAACTGATGAATTTAATAGATTAACCAGGAGGCAATTGCTACTTATTCATGAGTTGAGAATTGTAACAAAATACTTTGACTTGGTATTGTGAATAATATTCGTCATTAATTAATTGCATCTCAGCAATTGGATATAATTCCTCCAATGATTTTCCTACTTCCAATAGGACACTGCTTGGAGTGCCTAATTACTTGTCAGCAAAATCAGCAGTGAAGGTTTGAATACCCAATCTGATATTTTTGATTTCAATTTCATTATCCAATTAGAATACCATTTAGTATTCACTCCTCATTCCCTTGGGAAGAGTGATAAGAGCTAATCTACTCTTTGCTCCTTTCTTGTGCAAAGGCCAATCCTAATTGGATACATTTTGTCCTGGTAAATTGAAAACTTTCATCTTATTACCGAACTCTTCCTCCAAAAACTAGACCTATGTAATTTGTTTCTCCTTGATGATCTTATTGATTAAGTAATGATAAATGTCTGATTAGAATTGTTATGCGACATCATCTGAAACTAAATATTTATCAAATTGTTATTGAATCACTTCCAAAATCTGGGATGTGTATGTGAAAGCAGTGTATGAAGTGATCTAATTATTTTCATATTGATTAACTATCACATCATCTATGTAATATTGCTATTGGAATAGTTGCTGTAACATGTATTATTTGCATGGCAATAATTCAAATAATTAATCCAAAGAATCACTCACCTATTTGAGTAATTATCCAGCATAACATTGCAACTTGTTCCCAGAATAAGAATTCAAACAGTACCATTCAAACAAACGATTTAAGTCTGGACTCTCTTTTAGTTAAGCAAGTGTTTATTCACTTTGCAATAGCAAATAGATCATTGATTAACAGAGTTCCAACTACTCAATCATTTGACTATCAGCATTGATGATTCCATCCTTTCCTCCTAAATAAGGTAGATACATTCCTATGTATTTGAGTAAAATGTTGACATTATTCAAATAGATCTGTTATACCTCTTAGGAGAATACTATGAAGATATGCTTGATGTCATTCTAGCTTAAATGAGGCAACAAGGCTTCGGTTATTTAAGAGCATGTCTGATTTTATTGCACTTGTTGTTATGCCAAATTCAATGTGAATTACAGCAATTCATTCATCAGTAGTGTCTATTTGCATCCCAAGTAAGATTGAATTACTCTGTGATAGATCTGCAATTCATTCTACAATTAAGGAGTTATCATCAATATCACCTTGAGTACTTTATTCCAAGTAATATATTTCTCTGATTTCTCTAATAGGATAATTAATCTATTTATTGTATCTGGATAACAGATTTGGATATGTTATCTCTACAAGAAATCCTCAAAGTCAGCTAATTGTTTGTTATTGCCTCTGGTCTTTAATTTATTTACCTTCTTTACACTCCTTGTCAGAAAGTCGAATAATAAGAGCAAATTATCAATAGTTAATTTTTCTACGTTGTTTTTTATGTAGATTTAACAGAAGTATATGAGGTATTTTGAAATATAAATCAAGCTATCCTTCTCAATCTATAAAATGTTATTAATTTGATCACTCAATAAGAGTGTAGCTGCCCAATCAGTATACCTACTTTCCAATTATTTGGGTTAGAACAAAAGGTCTAACATAGTTTTGAATTTCTCTGGGTACTACATTCCTCTTGAGAATAATTCTGTTAGGACTTTTTCATTAAGTGAATTCTTGATTTGAAGGGTAGTACATTTTTGTAATGCATTTTACAATAAGTTCAATCTAAACTTAGTATCACTGATTAGGAAGTCAAGAATATATCCTAACATCTTTTCATGTTCAGGATTTCCGTCTTCAGTTTATTTTATTTAAGGCAATCTTTGAAGTTGAGTTACTAGTGCATCATACAGAATGTCATCATTTAATTCAATTAGTTTCTACAATGATTCCAATATGGGTATTGGCAACTAATGCAGCAACTTTTTCTTTAGACTGTTTTGACTTGTAAACTATTCGATTATCAATTGGTTCCATTGTTCCTCGGGTATTTAACTTTTAACCTTCTTTTGAATAAATTACAAAGCTATATCGGTTATTCCTTTCAAATCTCCTAAAGATATGATGAGGTGAATGAATTCTAATGCATCTGGAACTGTGCCAGATATAACAATAAGCATTCTCATCAAAAGAGATGAGAAGACTGTCAAGAAGTTGGAATTGTTTTCATAGTTTCTTGGGGGGGCCACTTTCAAAAATTCAAGTTGAGTTTACTAGATTAGACTCTGAAGATGACTAGTTTCTAATTTGCATTTCTCCTTTAATTGCATTTCAGATTACAACTTGTATATTGCTTGTTCTAAATAATCAGCATTTCTCCTTAATGACTTAGTTGACATCACTATGTAATGATCAGTCAAATCAGTCTTTTTAATAACATTGTACGAGTCCATGAGTATAGATTGATCTGATTAATACACATAGTAGAGAGTTTCTCCTATTGATAAGGTAGTCTTGTATCTAAAATCTTCTGTGATATCTAATGGACTCAATTCAGCATTTAAAAGAGAACCGTAGAATTCTGGAATGACAGTCAAGTAATTCTATGGGATCTACAGTTAAGCTGCTTATTTGGAATAATAATTATCGCTTCCCAAAGTTAATTGCACTAATAATTTACGAGCTCTAACTCCATTAAGTCCAATATGAAAACAATTGTAATTATGATAGTTGGCACATTTATGAACATAATCTGTGAATTGTACAAAGGTCCATTCATCGTAAACTTGATCCAATACCAAATTATCTACCCAAACTTGCACTCTAAATTTGACTGAGTTTGATGTCTATTAAAATCTTAAGGACAATTTCTCAATTTCAAATTCTCCTAGAAGATTGACTTCAAATCTTCTAATTTATTATTTATTTGACAATTGCATAATAAGAATCTGAGACAGAGGATCTTTTTAGCATATTAAAGATTTCTGATTGCCATTTTATTCAACTGAGATTTCATCAATTTCTTGGATTTGCACTTATCCTTAAGGTCCTCCATATTTAGTTGAAAATAAGAACATATCCTTATGTTGCATTGTTTTCAGCTTTTGTAATGCAAACAATAGAGATTTCATAGCAATATCAATAATTTCTTGTGGTTTAAATTTGGCTGTATAAGTAATCAATCCCAAGAAATATTCCAAGCCACTTTCTGTCAAAACTACTTTTTCAATTTTGTTAAATATCTGTTGAGCCACTTGCAATAAAATATCATGAAATTCATCGTGTTGTTAGAGTTATCTGAAGAATTCTGTGACTTATTCGTTTACATCCTGGGATAATACATTTCCAAGGATGAATTTCGATAAGTTAATAACTTCTAACACTTTTTTGGATTCTTTCTTCATAAATAAATTAAGAACAGTCAATGCACCTGGTTTTTTTTGATATACTTATTCTATCAGACTATCTAATTGGTTGATTTATAAATTATTGTATTTTTTACCAGTCACAGTCACCTTTAATAATTTGTATTCCGAGTCATCATGTGGTTTAATAGTGAATTCCCCTGAATAAACGGTGTCAAATTCAATTATACCATTGCTTGGATATCCATTCATTCCTGTGTATTTACATTGAACAGCCAATTTATCAGGCAAATCAATTCTTTTCCTAAGTTAGCTCAACAATTAGCATTCTTAGATTGCTCCAACAGTTGAATGCTCACTTTAGGTCTTAGGTATTTCTTTCCCGAAAGCAGCAAAACCTTTGATTTCAATAGAGTTTGTCTAAAAATGAGCTGTATGATCATGAGGAGTTTTTCTAAAATTGGTTGGTTTAAGCATAATATATTTGCATGGTCGTATAACTTCCAATTGACAGAGGGCTTCTTTGGATTCAGCTTCAAATTCAAAGTATCCTACTGGTTCATTTGCATGTAGACTTTAATGAGTTGATTTCCACTTTTCATATTGTTGTTTATCGAAGTTATCAAATTCTGAAGTGTCATTCAACTCATGCTCTTCTTTTGAAATAAAGATCAATCCCATTCCAATTGGGAATCCTCTGAAAACATTGGTGACTTCACTTTTAACGATAACATGATCCACAAGCATTGCTTCATCAAATTGACTTCTGAATATGAATTAAGTCTTTGGATAGTTACTAGAGAAGGGTTTATTGGTATCGAATAGCATTGAAGTAACAAATGTTTAATCATTAAAGGAGGCTCCTTTAAAGGAATGGACAGTTAAAGGTAGTTTTTATGGATCACTAACAGTCAATGGACTATTCATCAATAGGATTTATTTTGGTTCCTCGATGGGTCCTTCAAATACAGCCTTAATGTGGATGTGAGTGAAATTATCTTCTATATTGAATTTCTATGTATGGATATCATCGGTAACTGTTTAGAAGATCTGCACTTCTTCACTTTGAATGATATTATTCTTGAGGATTTCAGAATTGTCTTCAATTTACTTGTGTTGAGTGTTGTTTTGATACCAGATGATATTATCTTTGATGTAAGCATGTGAAATGGGTTCTTAAATTTCAGAGACATTCAATTGAGAGTCAATGATGAAATTTTTTGATTGACTATAGATGAGACACTTAGTTTTGGATATGAGTAAGTTGTAATTGAATCCAATGAAGATCTACTTCTAGAATTCAATTTTGGAATTTTGAGTGATTTCATAAATGCTTATAGCTTGATCACCAATCAAGAAGACATAGAGTCGATTGTTCCAAATAGCACTTTCAATGGCTTTGATATCAAATTCTGTTTAAATTGCCTTATGATCAGCCTTAGTCATCTCTAATTTCTTGCAATGTTTACTGTACAGAGGAGCGAGAGTTTCAACTATTTATCTACTTGTTTCTGATTGCAACAATAATGAGTAATCCTTATTTTTACTCCAGCAATTTGTTAATACACAATAATAGCCATCGTCATTAATAAAGAATTGATCCAAATACTTTTATGAATATGATATGAATTTAATGGAGAGTACATTTTTATTGTGTATACTAGCAACTAGAACTGGGAATATGGTGTTATTGCTATTCCAATGGATAACAGTCACAAAATCAATAGAACCTTCAGTAATTTTATCTTTTAAATCTTAAGTGATCTCTTCATTCTCGTCGACTTCAACCAAATCTTATTGAATTTACAATTATTGTTTGATAACAAATTACTCGATCTGTTCATCTGGTTTTTGAGCATTACAAGCCTCACAAATTTGATTGGTCTCCTTATTTACCAAAGTGCAGATACTACATTGCCATTCTCCACTGGTACTCACAATGTCAAGTGCTTTATCGAAGTTGTTATTAGTTTGAATAAGAGCCTCTTTGCATGCTGATTCCTCGAAATCCATTGCAACCAATTTCTCGAGCATTCCTTAATCATACAAAGGTAGTTGTTCAGTTTCGCCAGTAATATAGTTTTCCAATATTTTGTATATGTGACTGGGTGTTTCTTCTGATTGAACATCAATTTTCTTCTTGTTTTTCTGATAGGGTCCCAATTGTCTCAAGTCTACATCAATGACTTTAAAGAGTTCTGCTTCTCCATTGTAAATAGATATTTAATCTTGATTTCTCAAAGAGAAGTAGCGATCACTTGCGCATGGGATTCTTTGACCTTAAGCCTGTATTTCACTTCGCAATATTAATTTGGAATGTTTGGTTCCATTGTTGTTGATTTCATCATCGCAATATGCATATTTAACTCCTGAACCTGGTTGTAAGTATTTTCCATATTCAACAACATTGAATGGGTTTTCTGTGGCAGGATGATCTGCGAATGTTAACAATCTCATCTTTGCAGACTCTATGCTCCTAACATCTTCAAATTATTCTATTAATTGAACAATTATTCTCTCCGCTATTCTGCATTGTTCTATAGAATATCTGTATTAAAATTCATCCTTTTTTTCTTCCTGAACAATCTCCTCATTAATTGGCAACATCTACGTTATTTCCTGCAATAATTAATCATTCTCCTTCTCTTAGGGTTTGCTCTCGAATTTCTCCTTCAATTTCCTCACATGATGTTTTAAATACTGTCTTAACCTTTTAAGTTTCTTGGATGCTTCCTCGTCCAAAATTAAATATACTATCTCATTGTCCTCCTGATATTTGCACATCACCAACTTCATCTTTATTAGTACCTCTAACTCTGCCTTAGGAATTTGTTAGCCTACCAATGGACAATTTCGAACCGACACTAATCGATCTTGCAATTGGTGAATTTCATTTCTATCTATATCATATTATCGATACTTATTCATCGTGAAGGAGACATTCGATGGTTACATTTACGAACTCTAAAGCTAGACTTGTTCTACTTGCTCTACTACACTTCGATCCTCATACTTCATTGTCAAATGCACCGAATTCCCAAATTGCGATAGTCTAACACAAGGGTACCAAGGACCTGAAATCAGAGTGCCCTTTGGAATGCCTTTGTTAGTGCTCAGATTGCCATTCAAGTAGAATTACAGTGATTGCTCGTTGAAATTAAGAAGCACACCCACCACTCTCTGCGTTGTCGTTTTAAATTCGAATAGGTGTCCCTCAAAATTTTCGCTGGGAGATTACTATTTGGATATGCCAATCTGCAATTAGGACTACGCCTTACTTTCACTCCTTCTGTATTAAAAGGGCATACGATTTCCCAATAATGAACGCCCTCGCTGAAGCATATATTCGCTATTGCTAGACCACTGGAGTCCTTTGCTGGATTGAGCTGCTAAATTGTTGTGCCTTAAAGCGATGCCACTGTATGTGGTGTTAAATGTGAAAAGAACATAAATTAAATAATTCCCCTGATACTTTCTGAACAGGTATTTAGACTAATGTACGAGAATGAAATACACTTATTTATCTATATCATTTATTATATACGAACTCGACATCCCGCTCCGAGACTCTCCCTTCTTTTGTACCATACTAAACAAAGACTTTAAATTTAATTATTCTTTCTGAATACGGGGAATTCTATTTATTAAATTATGGCCTTATGTATATTATAATAAAATGCTTCTATTTGAGTATTGTGAACTAACCATCATTCATTAAATTAAATAATTTTTAAAATATGTCATCGGATTCAGGATCACATAAAAAAGAGGAGGCCAATCGGATTTATGTGACAGGATACTCTGCTAAAGAATCTGAAATGGAAATCAAGAACGCATTTGCTAGACACGGCGAAATTCAGGAGTTTTCTTGGAAAGGGCGATTTTGTTTCATCGTAAGACATGGACCGTTTGGCATTTAGGGTACAGGCTTATGCCAAGCCTGAGGACGCATCTGATGCAGTTAGATTAATGAATATGCAAGACTTCAACGGAAGAAATCTAATCGTCGAGTTGGCAAGAGCAAAGAAAAAAGATGGTGCATGCTATTAATGTGGGAAATAGGGGCATTTGTATTTATTCCTATCATTCCTCTTAGTGCCCGCAATTGTCGTTTGAATCGACGCTCCCATTCTGACTCCAGGTATAAGAACATGTGACATTAGGCGCCATTCAAAAAAGAAAAAAAAACATCCAAAGCATCGATCTTCTAGCTCTTCCTCCAGTAGTGAAAAGAAAAAGTCAAAGAAAAAAAGGAGAAAGAGTTCCTCGAGTTCTCATTCCCGATCAAGTGATTGATAATCAAATATTCAGATATATTAATAGTAAATTTATAATATAAATCTCACTCCTAAAACCTTTGATTTGTTATGTGGGATAAAATTGTAGTCATCGTTCTATCCTCGTTCCCTCCCCTTAACTCCTTCTTGAATGTGGGCATCTTAGATAGATTTCTTTTAATATTCTGCTGACTCACTTCATTGTCTCTGATGAACATCCTCTTATCCACTTTAATAATTTACATGAAATCTTACAATCAATTACTCCAAAGCACTTCTCATTATGCATCAATAAATTGCTTTAAATCATGAATGTCTCCAATACCTTGTGTCCAAAAGTAACAAATATTCTAACCGATTCCTCTGCACAATAATTGTTGATCTTTTAAGCTATAACATCGCTCTCCTATCTCACAAATGTCTTAATTTCTGTTTACATAACTCTAGTTTTTAAGAACATCTCATTCAAATTAACAGTCTTAAAACAAGATGCCTTTGCTGCACTACTTACTCCATTTTCTTTGCATTATGGAGATAATGGTTCTTAGCAAAGTAGAGTACGCTTTGGCTTTTGATTATTAATGAAGAACTAAAAACAATTATCAGGCAAGAATGGATCTAGTGATTAAACATGAACAGAAAAGTTCCATAACATTGTCTACTAATTAATTCTATTTATCTCCAATTTTGACTTCATCACATTATGCTATCTGTTTTTGGAATCTATTTTGGTGCCATCTTTAATAATAGAATTAATTAAATACCTGGACAAACAAGTGCAAAGTCTAATTAAAAGTTATTTTTATTGGGAACATATATCAATATATGATATTGATTAATGAGACTATAATAGTCTGGAATCATAGGAATATTCAGTAACTACCCTGTAGAATTAGCAAGCACATCAAAATCATATGATACTTACAAGAACCCTTTTCTTTATGCATGCACTCTCACTTATTTAAACATCAATCCTGGACAACTAAATTACCCTTATTCATTAGTCATCCCAATAAGTGGTTCTTGGTCTGTTTAATCAGATTAAAATATTTCTAGTCTGCAATTCTCAATATCTTTGTGTTGTCCACTTCTTAAGAGAATATTATATGCTCTAAATTACAAGGTGGTTTCAACACAACTAACCAAGTCAAATTCTATTTTCACATCAGTATTCCCCTGTAAAAATACTGTTCTCTTTTAAGAAAAGCAATCCTTTTTACTTACATCAATGACATATTCTTATTTGTCTCTTCCATAGAATACAAAAGCTTATTCATTCATATCATAAGTCAATGTCTCAGTAATATTCTTAGTCACATTAACAGTAGCATCTTCAGGAGCTTTAACAATGCATTTGATAACATCATTTCTTTCGACTCTAGTTGAAACAAAGACAGTATCTGTATTATCATCAAGAAGTTCATCAACATTTAGCTGAGTTTTCATAGTTTGAATGCAATTTCCAGTAATTTCTATTTCATATGCATTGACTTATTAAACTAAATCAATAAATTTGGCTTCATCAAAACAACTAAGTGGAACTGTTTAACTGAACAATTTTACTGTAAACTTTTTCTCTGGTGATTAGGCTCTCTATTTTTATCCTGACAAATCAATTTAAGAGATGTTGGTTTGAGTCATCCATGCTTGAGATTTAGTAGGTGAAAAATAAACTCTTACTGATTTCTCCATATCTCTTATGTTTTCTGTACTCTTATAAATATCTAATTTAGAAGCACTTTTTTAAGCACTGCCTTATTAACAAAATGAAGTTCTTATGACAATTTATTTCGTAGGAGTTTATGCTGATTATAATGTCGGAGCCTCTCTCTAACGGACAGTCACTTAAAGTCCCTCTAAAATATTTCTTTATTATCCTTCTTCACTAACAGGAACCACATTCTTGATTGGACAATCAACATTGACTGTTAAATTAAATTTTCTAAGATGGAGCCATACCAAATCAGCTATCAATTTAGGTGAGATTTGCTCTTTTGAAAATTATCTAGAATACAACACAACTGAATGCACTTCAGGTTGATAGAGTTGGATTTATAAATAGTGGTCAGGATGACTTATTTGTTATCGAAATACTTTTATGAAGGGATATCTATAAAATATACATTAAAATTTTACTTTCTATTGATTGTTTGCTTTATCTCATCGAGTAGGTCTTAAAATGCTTCCTTGGTTTCGTCTACACCTGTACTCTTAAATTTTGGATTATAACAACTCTAAATGGAAACTCCTATTTGTTATGACTTAAGTTAATCAAACTCAAGAAAATTCACAAATGAGGTCTTCTCTTGAATACTAGAGATCATATTTCTTAAAAATTCCTTGTATTACAAAGTAATTTTAGTGGTCATTGCTGGCATCATATTGTCATTAAAAAAACTAAATCTCTACTAATAAGGTACCTCACTTTGGATTTGAACTTAAATCTATTTGGAGACTGCTAAGAATTAATGCTGCTAGTTGTTTAGAACATAAATTTATATTTGATCGTTAAAAAATTAAAAGGAGAATTTCATTAGTCATCATTGAGATTAACTAAACTCCATAATAAATAAATATATATATCATTTTTCAATTTATAATTAGATGTCTAAATAACAAAAGATTCTCTCATAAATGATTTAATAATTTTGTCATATAAACTAATTGCATTTTATTTAACATTTTGTTAATTTAAAAAATCTTAAAACATCTAAAAATATTACATAATAAATTTTGATACTCATTTCATACTTATTACTAATTTATTATTGGCGACCCTTGTTGTCGTTTTTCACTCTCTATTTAATAACTCTGAACTTCCATGCTCCAAACAGAATCTTTATCCACTGAGTTTTTGTTATCGGAACTGTCAATTTCGTTAGGAACATTATGCATAGCTTATTGTTATTAAATGCTCTCATATTAACTCTAAACCAAACGAAACAAACTCGAATTTTATTTGGCAAAGCTTAGCAATTTTTAATTCAATATAAAATTTTGGTTTTAATTCTCATTGATTCTTTAAAATGTTCGAACCAACCCTTCGGCATTTGAAGCCCCTAATTAAGCTTTGAAAAATCGAGCCACCTTTGCTAAACGAACATTTATTGGTACTAATAATTGTGTATAATATGGGTTACTCTCAGAACTAGCAACAAATGTTAAATCTAATCTTTTATCTTTTTCTGTTTATTAAGAATTAGATAACAATTTTTATTGCTATTATTGGTTTGTTAAGATATCAAACAAATCTTTTTAATTGATCATTTAATCTTGAAACACAGGAGAACAAAATGTGTTGAATAAGACTAATTGATCATCATCAAAAAAGAATAACTTCAAGCAGTCTATTTCATAAAGCTTTTTAAGGATATTAGTGAGATCTAAATCATATTATATCTTTGATTTTGCTATCTAAGAGATAATAATTTCTTTTTCAGTCTTAAAAGATTTTTCACCTTAAATTGACCTAAACAATTTGTAAACCAAATATTTTATATATTAAATAAAAGAATAGGCTATTTCAAAATTCAAAATCTAAATTATATTATCTAATTGTCATACTTGCTATAATTATCCTGTTTGACTTATATTGGTTGGTCTTTATTATTAGAATATTGTTTTTGTTTAATCATGATAATGTATCGAGGATTATCTCTTTTTCTGAACACTTTCTAAGTCAAATTTAAACACTGAGTTCATAAGAACAGCGAAGGTTTTGTGTTAATTATAGCTACGATAAAAAATCTTTAAGAAACTCATTATGGCTACTGCTAAGGCTGTGGCTTAAGATAATGAGGCACTAAATATAGAAAAGAGGTCCGATTTAGAAATGAAGTAGTATTATCTATTGGGTGATGATCTTATGTAAAAAGAGCACAAATTTGATCCCTCTGTAAATTCTGTAGGTTCCAATCTTCTCTCTTATTTATCAAAGGTAGTAGTTTAAAATAATAGTTCTTCCAATTTAAGACTCAAAAAGTCATAAAATATTGAGTTACTTTCTTATCATTGATATATACGTTACTTAAGACCATTGAGAATGGCATAATAAAAATATCTTCGTTATTTGACATTCCAATTACGAATTTCCAAAAGATATTAATTGGGTAGGTTTCTAAGGGAGAAGAAAGATTAAATTATTGTTGAAGTCTTGATCCTCTTATAAATAAATCAACATTAAGTCTAAATTAAATAATCTATTAAGTACCCGCTTTTTATGAATGATTAGATTTCTTCTAAGGGTTTGCAATTGATATTAGTCATATTTTTGCATACCTTAATTTAAATCTTTAAGTAAGAAAAGAAGGCATCAAAATATTATCCTTTGATATAATATTCACCATCTGCACAATAAAGATTTTGTTTTTAGTAATTAGAAATTGAAATTACATCAAAGTTAAATTAGTTAACAGTGGTAGTTTGGCATTTTTTCAATAATAAATTAGTTGAGTTTTTTTCGAATCCAACTTTTTAAGCATCCCTCTTTTATTCAACATACTAAAGACTTATTGAGATATATCTATTATTAATTTTATATACTATTAAATTTCTGATATGTTTTCAAAAATATTTCCATTTTAATCAGAAATCTCAAATGCAAATATTGTGTTGTTGCTATTTATATATGTTTAATTTAGAATTGTATTTTTTGTACCAACATAGACAGTTTCTTGATCTGAAATTGCTTTATAAATGACTCCGATTATGTAAAATATACTAAATATTCCAACTAATATTGTTAGCACTCCACCTTGAATAACAAAATCCATATACCAATTACTGTTAACGACTTTTGTCTCTAATTGACGTTGAATTCATAAGGAGTTACAAGCAGATCAGCCTTCTTTAATAAATTTCTCATATTATAATTATTATTCTTGAAATTAAGCGATCTGGCTCTTTGTGAATTGGTGTTTGCGAATAAGTTCTCATCAATTCTTTAAGAATAATGAATAATGTATGTTAAATTCAAAATGTAATTATAATTGAAAGGGAAAATAGTTAGCTTCATTACCAGCACAAAAGGATAAATCAAAATTTAGAGCAATGCATTACTTAAATGAATATGTATATTTAATTTTAATATTTATTATTCATAGTAAAATCAATTTAGATGATCACATACTTGTAATACAGATGTAATAAGATGGACAAGATATTCCATTTTCGAAAATAAAAATTGTCTAATTGAATTTATAAATATTTGTACTAATATCAATTTACTAAATTCAGTACACCCAATTTACCATCTGAAGTTCCATAACTTAGTTTATTGTAACTTGTATTATGATCGATTGTCATTACCCCACTTAATGAACAGCAATACGTATCAACACACCTATATTAGGAATCAAACTGTCTTATTTCAGAAAATACACTTAAATGATACTATTTAATACCTTCCAGCATTTGCAGCATAAATATAATTGGTTCTCTTATCAAACTTACAAGCATACAATTTACTCACATTATGTTTAGGTAGTAATCCTTAAACATTATTTCCATATTCAGCCCATTCAATAGTCTATAATTTATTTAAAGTTCTGGTGTCCCAAATTTCTAATTGTTTTTCGTCTCTATAGGATGCAGTGATCAATTAAAATCCTTTTGAATCCATAGAGTCTCCAAAGACACAAGGGCCAAATATATAACCAGTTGATTTCTTTTGTCTCAAATCCCACTAAATCACCATTTTATCCCATCCTCCTGTATAGAGTTAATTATGATCGCCCTAATTAAATTTCATACCAAATATTCGATTCTAATGAACTGCTGATTGTCCTTCTACAAAAGTAGTAGGAGCCTTACTCAATTTTCCACAATCATATAGTTTAACATGACAATCAGAACCACCTATTACAAACTTATCTCCATCCAATGAAAACTCACAACAATTGATTTGATTATCCTTATCTTCTAAATTAAACAATGATTATTTAGATGTCGCATGCCAATATATAATACTTCCATTAGCATATGTTGACAATAATGTGTGCTTTAATTGCTCTACGACTTAACCAGGTCTCCATTTAACGCATGTAGCTGGACCTGGTTTCTATTTGGGATCTAATAATGGAACTATGGTGTAATCTTTCCCCAAATAAGCAATATTTACGAGACCATCAGAATTAGCTGAAGCTAAAAATTAAGTTGTATTATCGAATGCACACGAAAGCACTTTTGTAGGCTTACAATATAATTACAGTTTATACTTCTCCTGTTACAATATCATTCTAGAATTAGTAATTTTTTAGTTATGAAAATGATGATTGGGTAAAAGTATCCTTATAGGCTGCTCTTATTCTTTCTAATAACATAGTATCCTCAACTCCTCCATTTTCGTTTGTATCTGTTGATTGTGAAACTTGTGTAGAAAAATTTCTTTGTCCCTCTTTAGAACTTTGCATTAAATTATGATTGAATTGAATTTAAATAAATGTCATCTTTCTAATGAGAATATGAAGAGATCAATTTTGCATCGATCACATTGTGTTATAATTAAATATCTATTCATATAAGAATTCCTAAATATATATATCTATCCCTTTGAAAACTAAACTTTTATTCCAACCTTTCACTTGTTAACTCTCTCGATTATTTACTTATGATTAATAAAATATTTAAAGAATGCACTTCTGTATGAGGTTATTACTGAATGATACATGCAAATTGAATATGAGATTAAATAATCAAAATTAATAGCAAACTTAATAAATTCTTGAATTTATAAAATTATGCTCCTGTTTTGAATCTTTCTAATAAAATTTTATTGAATGAGAACAAAGGATAATAATTTATAAGTTAATATAAATTAAAATTGAATATACTAAAAATAATTCATAATAAATATCAAGAATTGATTCATCTATAATTCAAAAATCTGGTCTAGAAAAATCAATATTTAAAAATGGATTAGTTTAAGATGTCCAAAATGATTTTCCTAAACATTTGATATTCTAAGGATACAAAATTGAAGGTTCAATTTATTTTGACATCAACTTTATTTTGCAGTATCATACCAATTAAAGTCCCTTATTCTATTAAATTTGATTATGAATTTCTCTCTCCTAATTTAATTTTAAAAAATAATTAGAATTCATAAAATTCAAGGAGTTAGTTTCAAAATATTTTCATACAATAGAAATAAAAAATATAATTGAATAATTAAGAAAGATCAATTGTTATACCAAAATTTTTTGAATATTCATATATAATATCATATATATTTTCCATATTTAATTTGAATGTTTTTCATTAAAGTGGATTCAATTTCTTTGAGAGTTGATGAGTAACTTTTCTTGGGAATGTACATTACTTTCATGTCTTCTTCTGCCACATAAGAAAAGGATTCAACTGTGCCAGCTACAATACTTTAATCTCCAAAATAATCACCAAATTTAACCAATTCAAACAATTTTTCTATGATAAACTGAGAGCCTTACAATTATTTTTATTCACACTCACTCTTCCTTATTCTAATATAAATATTTCAGTGCTTTTTTATCCTTATTGTAGAATGACGTCTCCTTTTTTGAATTATTTTTCAAATAATGCGTCACTCATTTTCAATTTATCATAAGGATCCTTAATTTCTTTTAGCAAATCCCAATTTTCAAGAAAGCTAGACTTATGAATATTGTGAGTACGTTTCGAATTATTATCTCTTTTTGATAGATGCTTCTTTTACAATAAGATTAAATGTTTCTCTATCTAATTGCCAAAGAATAGCTTGATCACTTTTTACGATGATAGATGCAGCCTAAAGAATTCAATAGAATAAGATACTCTAGGAGATTAAAATAACAATGCGAGTTCTCCAAAGCTTTCTCCTGGATAGTATGTTTTAAGGAAGACATCTCCCTTGCCATAATTCTTAAAGCAATCTAATTCTCCAGTATCAACAACATAGAGTACATTTCCTTCCTCTCCCTACTTGATTACATATTCTGATTTGTGGAATATCTTTTCTTCCATAGCTCCAACCACAATTTCAATTTCCTTTTCATTTAATGCACTAAACATGAATCCTGCTTGCATTCTTTATTTAATTCGTTCAGATTATTCTTTACTTTTAGGAATAAATTTGGCTTTGAAATTTTCCTTTTTATTAAATTGACCATAAGCTTCAGCCGAGACTGAAAACCTCTAATTCAATTAGGAATATATGATTACTTATTTTTGTACATCTTTTTTGACGGCAACAATTTCTTCAACTTCATCATCAGAGGAATCAGAGTTTGAACTCAAAGCACAATCTACATGTTTTTTCTTGTTGACTTATTGCATAAAATTGGGACCATTTCTGACTTTTTAAGGATTCATAAATTAAATAAATAAATAATTTACATGAAAGAATAACTCCTTGGTAAAATAGCAAGATATAGAATATTTCTGTAACAAGGGTTGTAGATTCCTGATGAAAATGGTGATGATTTGAGATGCATAGATTTTAATTTTGATAAATACATTGAATAACAATTATAGATTGAACACGAATAAAAAGTTGAATAAGAAGATTAAAAAATAGAATAAACCGATAAAAATATACCAGAATTAGAGTTAAAATTAAATGATTAAGATTTGGAAGGCTTATTAAAAGATTTAGAAAATGTACAATTTGATGGCGAAATTGATTTCACTAAATAAAATATTGGTGATCAAGTATTATATTCACCTAATCATATCTATTAGACTCTGATTAGACTATCAGTATTGATCTAAAAACTTCCAATTTCATCTCTCATTCTAGCAGATACCAAAATTTCATACATTGGAGGTCTAGAATTAGGCAAAGCTATTCCTAGTAGCAAATTAAAGAAGTTGATATTAACCAATTGTAATCTAGGTCATAGTTCCAAGTAAGTATATGACTATTTCTATCAGTATTTTAATGGAACAATCGCAATACTTAGAAGAAGTAGATTTTGGAGTCCTTGGAAATAAAGCACTTCGCTATTTATCTTAATAAAAACATGAATTATCGCATTTAGGATTTTAAGAAGATCCAAAGGAAGTTTGGGATGTTTAAACCAAAGAACTATTCTTGAGATCAATACCTAAATCATTATTAAGTATTCAATTTTAAATAGATAATGCTGATCACAAGAAGTATAATTGTTATATAATAAAGATTTGTAGGAATTGCAGAAATTAAATGTTAAGAAAATAGAGATGCGTATTTAAGAAAATAGGCTAATGAATATAAGAGTAAAGATCTAGATCCCGATCATCCAGATTATTATGACTGGTAAAAAATGATAAATAAATTAAGCGATGATTTTAAAGTCAATGCATTTAAATTTAGTGTCAAATCCTATTTATCCAATGTTTTTGAATCATTACTAGATGAGTCTTTGTATTATTTGGAAAAAGAAAGGCAAAATGTGCTCAGAGATGATGCCATCTATCATGTAACAAATGAGTTGTTACCACAATCCATAATGGAAGATATTTGCCAAGCAGATGGCTCTTTGATTGTGTTAGCTAAATATCTTTTGACCAAAATTAAAAAATGATATAAAAATATAAATTCATCTTATAAATATCAATTGCAAATCAACTTTATTACAGTCTATTTTATAAACAATCTGGAGATTGATGAATCTCTAGATCCTTTAAACTTTACACTGATTCCTTACTACCCATAGCTTCAGAAATCTTTCTATCATCTAGTTCATTAGGCACATCTAATCTTATTTGATCTTCTAAGACTCTTTGCTCATCTTCATTTTATTATTGTAAGATTGTTGTATAATTTTATTAAACTAGGTTAAACAAACTTTTATTCTACATTGCAAATTGCAATAATTGATTGTTCAATTGCCAATTTTTATTCTTGTTTTCATTGATCTTCTAAAAATTGTCAACTAAATCTTAAGCATTTTCTGCTCCAAGTTAAGCTTTAAAAAATCTTGTAAGTTTAGCTAATCTAACATTGATTGGTACTAAAATTCATTAATACAATAATACTTGTAGAAGTAGCTGCATATTTTATGATATTTTAATTAGTATCAATATGACTTTAATTATTTGATTGTTATTGTAGTTAATTTATAGATTTGATCTATTTATTACTTGCAGTTAATATATCAAATAATTCCTTTTAGTCAGTCATTTAATCTTAGAAGACAGGTGAACAAAATGTATTGAAAAGCATAAGCTGATCATCATCAAATAAAAACAACTTTAAACAATCGATCTCATATAACTTCTTTAAAATGTTGGTTAAATCTAAATCGAATTCAATCTTTGATTTAGCTATTTATGATATCACTAATTCCTTTTCATCTTCAATATTTTTTTTACAGCTTTTAAAGTACTTTCTAATAATGTAGAGCACATATTAATAAAATGAGTAATTAATTGTATAATCAAAGATCTGAATAAAGATGCAATATTACTTATTGTAATAATTTCTTTGAATTCTTTGCTGAAGCCTACATTTTCCCTGGTGTTTATGATTAGTTAACGTATGACAATTTCCTTTTTTGTACACTCTTTAGATCAAATTTAAAAACAGAATTCATCAATACTTCAAAAGTCTTGTGTTGATTATATACTTTATAGAAGATTTTGATGATCTGCATAACAGCTAAACATAAAGCTGTAGCTTCTGATACTGCTGATAATATAACTGAGGGTAAATCTTATTGTATAACAAAATAAAATGAAGTGTCAGATGAAGCTCTAATTTATTATTTGCTGATACCTGAGATAAAATGTACACAATCCAACTCCTGATGAAATTGAAATAGGCTCTTATCTCCTCTCTTATCTTTACACAACTGATCCATTATACAATCTTTCAGTATTCTCAATATTAAACATATCGCTAAAAAATTGAATCTTCTCTGAAAAATATTTACATGTACTTACTTAAATCCATCTATATTGGTTACATATAAATATCTTCATTGTCACCAATACCAGTTGTTAATCTCCAAAATATATTAGTCGAAAACACTTCTGCAGGACTTGAGTAATTCAATGCTTGTTTAATTTTTGATCCTTTTATAAACATATCCACATTAACTCTTTAGTTATTAAATAATAATACCCTTTATTGATGAAATCTTCAATCTCCTTCGAAGTTTTGCATGTATTGCTAGTGGAATTATTGCATACGCTTAGAGTTAATTTGATATAAGCAAAATATGGTTCATAAAATTGTCCTTATAATGTGAAATCTCCATTAAAGCAAATTAGATTGTCTTTTTACTCCTCAGTCATTGATGCAGAGTTAAAATTAAATTAGTCAATTTTTTCCGTAGAGCATTTCGATTAGTTTAATGAACTGAAATTTCTAGTGAATCCCATTTTTCCTTCAACTCTTTGTTATTGAATATACTAGGCATTTAATGTAAAATAGCTAAATTGAACATCGCATACTTTACTCTTTGACATTTGTATTATTGCTCAAGATTTTTCCATCTAAAGTGGATAATTCCATAGAAAATATTGTATTTTCATTACTCAACACAAATTCATTGCTTTTGTCGCTTTCTGTTCCTGCATAAATAGTGTTCTAATTTTGAATACTTCTTTGGAAGACTCCAACAATGTAAAAGGAAGTGAAAACTAAGAGGAGAATACTAATAAATCCCCCTAATATACTCAAATAAATATAGAACCTATCGGAGTTAACGATTTCTCTTTTTGTGATATATTAAATTCATAAGGATCGACAAGAAGATCAGCTTTTTTTATAAAATTTCGAATCATTAAATAATTTAAAATATTGATTTACTTTTGATGAATAAATTGATTCTACTCTAATATGATGTATCTTGACATCATGTAATTTTGATAGAAAGAATAATGATTATGCTTAACAATAAAAATAATTCATGTACTAGATTGATCTTTTCTTTGTCTCATCTATAAATGTTAATCACATCAATACTTCATTAATAACTGACTTCACAAAATTAGGATATACTTTCCACAATAATAAACAGTAATCTAAAATTCTTTCATTATATTTATATTCGCCATTGTCATCAATTGTTAGACCAATCTCTGATAATTTCTAATGGTTAGTCTTCAGATGATTTTTCAATTGATTGGGTTTCTTGTACACCTTCTGACACTTATGATAAGGACATTTGAAGATATTTTTCTCTGCATTATAGGGTTATGATTTAAAATGCCTAATCCTAACTTCCTCAAATAAGCGTTTAATCTTCTCCTCAGTTGTCTAGTTTTCTAATTTAGATTTAATACATATCTACTTTTTTCTAATGCCTCTCTTTACCTTTATACAAACTCCTCTGTCACATGAGGGAACAGATTTTAGAGATCTTTTTCTGATTTCTACTCATGCTCTTCTTCTGGTTTTTCAATTTCTTCTGGTTTTTCAATTATTTCTGGTTTTTTTTCAGGACCTGGAATTGCGTCTTGTACGGATTATAATTGATCAAATGCTAAAAATTTAATTTTAGGTATTGATAAGGATTTTAAGAAATCTTGCAGAACCTTCTTAGCATTAAATTAATTATTTCCTGTTTTGGTATACCATTCTCTTACAAATTTAAAATGAATTTAAATCATTTATGCTTCATTTTTGCCTAAATTATTGAAAAGTATGAATTACTTTAAATTTCTTGATGTAAATTTTGTACAGGTTTCTTATATTACTCAATTTTGTTGTATTTTATGGTAGATTTAGTAGAAATCGTTAAAATGTTTTCATTTCCATTAACTTCAATCTCATCTGCATCTTCAAGTTTAAAATCGATCTTCTATTTTTATTATTATTATAATTATTATTATTGTTATTATTATTATTATTACTACTATTATTATTACGAATATTGGTATGTCTATTTAGTTTGCATCACTTACAATATAAGGATTTTAATTCTGCTCCTCTTCCTTCTACTCTCTCGTAATCCTCTCTAAGGTAACAATTTATAAATTTCTGTTGCCAATTTGAAATTTCAAGATTATGTCTTATTGATCATTTGTCAAAGTGGAACTAATAATGATTTCACTAAGATTGTTACTTGATAGATGGGTTGGTTAATAATGTAAATGTTACTTTTTCCTATAAAATGTCTTCAAATTAAAGTATTTTTACTTAATGTTTGCGTACCATTTGGAGGTGGCCTTATGCTCCCTTAAGGCATATATGTAATATAACGACTCCTTTGCAATACAGTTGGATTCTTCTAAGATTAATTAAAGGATTCTATTAAAGTTTAAAGATTCTTATCTTAAGCGAAAGAGTTGTAAAATTTAGGAAGCATTATTATATTTAATTATTTAATTTAATACAAATCTATTCTAAGTACATGAAAATCATAAATATTCTAATTAAATAATAGAGTATAAAATATAATATATTAAGATTAGTAATTGATTCTTAGATACATTCTTAATTTTAGATGAATAGATTTGGATTCACTATTTTCTAGAGAAGTGTATTGAGATACTAAATGCAAGAAGTCTATTCTTCTCTATTATTAATATAGTATTTGATGTATGTAGATGGTTATAATTTTATATTTTTGGATTATCTCTTCTAAGTTTGGATACACTAAAAATTTATATATTTAATTTTATACACAATTATCTCTACTCTTTTACAGTTCTTGAACTAACTCAGAGATTATTCTTTTTTATCCTCCAATTCACATCTTTCCTTTTCCTTCTAACATATAAAATTTATAATTATTCAATCGAGCGCTTAATTCCACTAATTCAAATAATTGTGTTCCATTAAATTTTGTTTGATTTTATTCAGCTTTCTTTGAGAAGAATTAGCAATTCCTCATTATCTAATGCTGTCAATAATGATAATACATTAAGAGTTAGAAAATAAATCGCGCACTTCTAGCCTTTTTGTTTCTTATTTAAATAATACAATTATTACTAAATTATATATACAGAATCAATCACTCATGTAATCATCCTATTATTTTTATTATTATTATGAGATGATTCTATTCTTAGGATTTTATGGACAGTTAGCTTAGGTGTGGTGAGTGCTACTGCAAATATAGCATCCACCACCATATGCATAAAGTCCTTTTGGATTCTTGGGACAATCTCTACTAATGTGGCCAGCCTCTTTGCAAACAAAGCATGTAGCAAATTTCAATGAACCAGATTTAGGTTTTTAGCAATCTTTGAGGGTGTGTTTTTAAGAACCACAATTATAACAAATAACATCAGTGGTAGGTTGAACATTCTAGAATGTGATGGAAATTGATACCTCTCTACAATGTTAAGCAGTATGTCCAATCTTCTTGCATACAAGACATACTTTATCTTTCTCCTTCATTTTTAATTTCTTCTTTTCCTTCTATACTTCTTCAACTGTTTATTGCTTTTTAGATAACTTCTTTTAAATTCTTCTTTCTAAATCTTTTTATTTTTTTTCTTCGATGACATTTGGATCTGGATTAGAATAACAACTTATACCGATTAACTTAACATTTTTTTTTAATTATGCTAGCTCGTGATACAATCTTTTGCGCTTAGTTTTATTATCCGGACCTTAGAGTTCAGCAATCCTCTATTCCAGATTTTCAATTTTCTCCTAATATTATTCTTCTGTCATATGCAAAATTCGAAGATTCGCCTCTGGTTTAGGTTCTTTTACAATCTTTTTGTTTACACCAGATTGTTTAGACTGCTTGGGAGAATTTTTGGTGATTTATTTTCTCATATAAAAATTAATAACCACATATTATTATCATTTATTTGGTACACGATATTCCTCACCCAAATGTTCTGGTGGTTATAAAGGTATGTTCAAACTATAAAATAGAGAAAGCATTCATACACATTAGATTGATCCAATTTCTACCCCTTTTCCAAGAAATACTCTCTAGTATATTTATACACAGCTGGTTCTGTTTTGCATTAATAACTCTTAGAATAATCAGCATAAAATTCTGGTTAACCATACTTTTTTAAGACTCTTTCCTCAAAGGAAGGTAATTTAGAGCAGCGTTCAATCTAATATAGATGAGAGGAGATAATTACTTCTTATTAAATCCATTCTTTAAACTTTCTGAAATCTCCATATCGAGTACAATTAACTCTGAATGGTGCTTTCTCCTCTTGAGTCCAGAATTCTTCAAATGTGGGCCATCTCTACTTTCTGTAGATGGGCTTCAAATACTACTATTTGTTATAAAATTATTCTGATCTATTGGGTCCCCAATACTTTGTGGTTTATTTTGCATCATACCTTGATATATAAATGAGGTATCAATACAAGCAAAACTTATCTAGATTGGAATCTTCAAAATCAAATTCTTTGGTGGCTAATTTGTTTCTCCATGGGTCCATTCCCATACCAAATGCATGAATCAATCCTTTTGGTGATAGATATATTTTGCACACCACAATTTCTGAATATTCATCTGGTTTATAATATGGATCATGAAATGTAGTCCAAACATAATAATCAGTCAATGATAAATCAAATCTATATTTAATTAGCATTCTTTTTACTTGGGACGATCATAAATAGCTACACGCTTTTACTTTGGTTAGATCACTTAGACTTCTTTGTCTTTTTCAGCCTTAACTAATTTTGTGTATTTTAGATAAGTTTCAAAATTGTAATTGGTAGTATGAGTGAATCTTTCCTATTTAAGATTTTCATCTAGTAATCCACTTTATTCAAGTTGTTATTATTTTTCTTTGATTGCTAATTGGAGTGCTCTCTTCTTCTGATTCACATTCTTGGGAGGCACAGGTTTCACAAATCTGCTGAAGATTTGACTCATACAAAATCGAGGCAGATATAATTACATATTTTAATATTTTAATTTTTTAATTCTTATCACACTTCAAATGCATCAAAACTCTAATTTATCAACTATATCACTCTAATAAGGAATTGTAACATTTAATAGTGGTTCCATTTCCATTTATCTCTTTATATTGAATTAAGCATTCTGGTTACCACACCAAGATCGTCTGGCAACCCCATTATTGACATCCCATTACAACATCATCTTTGCCCTTCTTGATGCATCATCTAAAACATTCAATACATTAAATTACCTGAACCATCTAATACTAATCCAAATCCACCATTGATGACTTCTCCCCAACCTACTCCACCACCATTATGTAATGCTACCCAAGTTGCTCCTCTAAATGAATCACCAATCACATTCTGTACTGCCATATCTGCTGTAAATTAAGATCCATCATAAATGTCAGCAGTTTCTCTAAATGGACTGTCTGTTCCAGAAACATCATGGTGATCTCTTGATAAAACAATTGGTCCCAATATTTCTCCCTTTTTTACAGCTTCATTGAATCTTAGTGCAATTTCAGTTCTTGCCTAAGTATCAGCATATAATATTCTCGCCTATGATCCAATAACTAATTTATTTTCTTCAGCCTTTCTAATCCAATCCAAATTATCAGTTAATTGATCAGCTACAATCTTTGGAGATTTAGTGATCAAATCCATTAGTACTTGTTCAGCAATCTTATCTGTCAATTTCAAATCTTCAGGTAAACCACTTGTGCATATCCATCTGAAAGGACCAAAACCAAGACTGAATATATCTCCCATAATATCCTAGAAATAACTGGGATAGCGAAATAGTTATTCATCATGCTCTGAATTGACATTAGCACCAGCTCTTCTACTCTCTAATAGAAAACGATTTCCATAATCCCAGAAATGCATACCTTTTTATGTCAATTTATTAATTGCATCTACTTATCTGATAAGTGATTCATACACCAATTTCTTAAATTATTCTGGATCCTTGACCATCATTTAATTTGCCTATTCAAATGATAACTGAACAGGGTAATATCCCCCATTAAATGGATTGTGCAAAGATGTTTGATCAGATCCCAAATCAACTAAATTGATTTCCTCTTAAGCCAATCTTTCCCATAATAAAACGATGTTGCCTAGATATCCGATAGATTCTGCTCTTTTCTCTTGTTTAGCTTATTTAATTTCTGCAACAACTTGTTCAACATCAGTAATCTTCTTCTTTACCCAACCTTACTTCAATCTCTTGTCCAAGGCCTTTTCTGAAACTTCTGCAATGACTGAAATACATCCCAAGATATCACCAGCCTTAGGTTATGCTCCACTCATTCCACCCAATCCAGATGAAACAAAGACTACACCATTTAATGAATCAGTCTTTAGATACTTCCTTGCTGCATTCAATAATGTCAAAGTGGTTCCATGCACAATACCTTAACTTCCTATATAACAATAACTTCCAGCAGTCATTTAACCATACATCGTATTTCCCAAAGCATAATGTTTCTCATAATGTGATTGGGTAGAATAATTAGGAATCATCATACCATTACTCAAAACAATTCTTGGAGCATCAGGATGACTTGGAAACAGTCCTTGTGGATGACCACTATTCATTACTAAAGTTTGATGATCAGTCATTTCACTTAGGTATTTCATTGTTAAGTGATACTATGCCCAATTTTAAAACACGCTACCATTACCACCATAAGTGATTAATTCATGTGGAAACTATGCTACTTCATGATTGAGATTATTCATTATCATATGCATGATAACTTAAGCCTATTTGCACTTGCAGGGATATCTAAGAATTACCTAGATTCATACTTATCATATGGATAGGCTTTCATCTCGTAATCGGGAATCAATCTATACATGTATATATGTCCATATGTTTATAATTCATACAAAAACTCAGGTGCTAATTTCTCATGAAGATTTGGTTCAAAGTATCTCAATGCATTTTTCAATGCCAATTTTTATTCCTACTCTCTCATATATCATTTACCTATTTATTTAAGCAGAGATTCTTGCAAGGAGCATGAGGGATTGATTGATCTCTCACATAGCGATTCTTCTCAAAATCAACTTAAAGCCCTTTCTTTAAACTTTCCAAAAATGCGTAATCGATTTACATATTTTAATAATATTTATGATTTATTCCTATTTATATTCACTATTTTAACATCTCATGAAATATCCAACGACTTCCATATCAAATATACTTATGCAGAATCTGAAAATTCCTATTTTATAACACCTCAATGAAGTAAGTATACAATAATCAGGATTCGATTACCAATATTATTTTTTCTATACATTAGCGTCCTTCATAATGTTTATGTTCTTAGAGTCTACGTTTAGTTTCTTCTCTTAATTTAATTAAGTAAACCACTTTCTACCATTCATATAATCTAACCTAATCTAATCTCTGGCTTTCACTATTTCAATGAGATATTGTTGATTCACAAGAACCAGCACCATTTGATCCACTATTACACATTCATATAGAGTTATTCCATTTGCCTTTCACTATTATTTTAAGTTATTCATTTTAGAACCTAGAATTGATTAACCTACTTTTTCATAAAAAGAATATTTGCATCAATTTCCTTCATAAAATTTTATCAATCAATAGTGAAGTAATTTAACTATTAATGAATTGCAAATTTAAAATTTCTAATTTATAAAATCAAGATTCAAATTTACTTCTATTTTAATCATCTTTTCAACTACATGTTTAACAACTAATTGGTACATTTTGTATTTCTACTTGTTGATAATCTTAATGAAGGATTTAATTATTTTATATTTCTCCCTGAAATTTCAATGTAAGACTGAGGTTTTAAGCCTTAATTATGGAATATTTGCAGCTATTAACACAAATTTAATTGTAATTTCCATCTATATTTTGAAAAAACTAAAATGAATTTTTTTGTAAAATTAGTGTATAATTCATAATTATTGTTATAGAGGTTATTGCAAATTCAATTACTCTCCATTATTAAAAAATGTTATTGTGAATTAATACTAAACTTATTAAAGTAGCTAATAGAGAGGATATAAAATGAAATTTAATCAAAAGATACTTGCTTTTAAATAACATTGAAAATAAAAAAATATATTGAGAATAAATAAATTAAATGAAATATAAGATTTCAACTTTAATTTTAAGTTACCCTCATCATCATGGATTTGAACTCTTCAAATGTTAACTATATTTAATAGAAAAAGAATACTTTCCCATCAGAATTCTAATCTACCTCTTAAATCATCTATTTCCATACTTCCTCACTAATTCCAGAGTTTTGACCAAATGCCTACTTAATTTCATCTTTTGTAATAGCCCCACTCTTATCCTTGTCTATTATTTTAAATGCTTAGAGTAATCTCTCTGTAGCCAGTAGTTTTTCTCTATTAATAGTAGCGTAAACAAACTCTATAAATTAAACATTATTTTATACCTGAGTAATCTATTGAACCACTTCCATCTGCATCTATCTTTTTCATAATTTCATCTACCTAAGCTTCTGCATCTATGTCACTCATAACCTTTTTGTATCCATTGACTAATTCTTCTCTACTTAATCTCCCATCATTATTTGTATCCAGGGCCTAGAATTGTTTTAATAAGTCTCTTTTCTCCTCTTTAGTGGCTATAAAATTGACCATAAACATTAGTGCAGCTTCCTATAATTTTTTTTCAACCTTGATATCTCAAATGTATATGTACTCTAAATGCTTTAATTCTCTACAATGCTTCAGTAAGAGATGGTAGATCATCTTCACTCTTTGAACAATAGGTTTGAATCCATATGTGATTCATAGCATCCTTAGCTGAAATTCTCTTTTTTGTGTCTTTCTCAATCATCTTCATAACAAGATCTTTAGCTTCATTTGATATTTTCTTCCATTCTTACTCTTTGAATTTGAACACTCCTTTTCTTACAGCTTCCATAATTTAATAGTCATCATCACCATTAAAGGGAGGAGCTTTGATAAATATAGTTGTATTACCTCCACACAACATAATATAGAGAATAACACCACATGACCAAATATCACATTTTTCATTATACTTTCTATCAAGCACCTCAGGAGCTATATAATATGGTGTTCCCACTCTTTGATCCATCTTTTTATCTGGGTTAAACTTTTAGCTGGTTCCAAAGTCAGCTATTTTAATAAGCGAATCAGCATTGTTGGTTTCATAAAGTATGTTTTCAGGTTTCAAATCTCTGTGAACTATGTTTTTTTCATGACAATATGTCACAGCACCTAACACCTATTTCATGACTTCCGCTGCTTTTTTTTCTGAAAAGTTCTTTTCTTAAACAATTCGATCAAATAATTCGCCTCCTTAACACAATTCTGTTACAATATAAAAATATTCAGAGTCTTGATAAAACTCATAAATTGAAATTATATTCAAATGATCCTAATCTTATTAATTTTATATACCAATTGTTTTAAAATATCAACTTCTCTTGTCAACATTAAGCAATCTTCTTCTGTCATCAATTTCTTCCTAATCAATTTAATTGCTCTAACTTAATTTGTAACCTTGTGAACTCCTCTATAAACTTCTCCAAAGGCCCCTTGAATTTAAGTGTTTATTCTTAATACCTTTTCCAAGGCATGGTTAAATTAAATTGTAGTCAGCAGTGATTTTCCCTTTCTTCTCAGTAACGAATCCTTAATAAGCAAATTTAGTGTCTTCTATCTTAGTAACTTGATTAATGATGATCATGGATAATACCTTTGTTTGATGGTTCTTAAATTCCATTAGATGTGCCACAACCCATTAGTAGATGAAATAAGTTATCTAAATTAAATATTAAATAAAAGAGATATAATACTCTTTTTTATAATCTAATAAGTAGTTCTAATCCTGATTAATCATTCTAATCAAAAAACTAGCATAATTTCTAAATTAGTAGTTCATTTAAACCTAAGTTTATTCGTTATAATTATTATATTTTAGTTTGAATTATTGAATTTTTAGAATTAACTTTTTTATGAAAGTACCCCATTTTTTTTTTGTACATGTATTAAAAGTTCAAATATATTGTTTTTTTTAATAAAAATCCATTTGATTTTGTGAATTATTTTCTTAATTCTTGATTTAAGTTAAAGTAACAAGGTTAATAGAATTTCATTAAAGTTTTCATAACATAATCTTACGTTTGTAATAATAGGAACTGTAAGCCTGTGTTTTGAGGTTTTGAATTAATCTATATATTAATCTACTTAATGTTGTAATGCAAAGAAATGTTGGCTAAATTGGTTTGTAATCAAGACATATTTATCATTTTAATTATTCTTTGATCTTATCTAATTTTATATTTGTAAACAGGAGATTTAATAATATAGGATGTTCAACACATATGCCGTTATATAGAAAAATATTCAAAGTAAGATAGAAAGCAATTTGGATTTGTTACTTAATATGAATTTACTCAGATGATTTTATATAGACAAAAACGAAAATTAGAAAGTTTTTTTTTTATATGTTTTGGAAGTAGCAAGGGTATTCAAATTGAATTTTTATTTTGCATATAATTAGAATATAATTAAATACATGAATTAAACTCAAAAGTCTTTTGATGTTTCCAAAGGAGGTGAAAAACTATCAGATATTGAGTCTCTAAAACGAAGAACATATAAGAAAATCTTAATGTATTACGTATGAATGAAATTAGGATGTCTTCGATGAACAAAAACATAATGAAATATATCTAGAAAGCTTTTCAATTGGGTCCTAAATATTTGACTATTGAATGTCTTATTGAAGATGTTAAGACTACTCCTCTCACTGAATTGGAAAGATATGGAGCCACAATTTTAGATAAAGATAGACTAAAGGAGCTTTAAGAATTGTTAGGAAAAATAAAATAGATGATAGATTAAGATGTAAAATAACTGAGCAGTGATCAATTAGTGGTATTATAGTTGTTAAAGATAGTAATTAATCAAATATTTTGTTTTATCTCCAGTCGAGAAAACATATATTCAAAAAATAGAAGCTGAATTAGCAGAAACTGTAAAGATTAGAAATAATATTTATATAGAAAAACTTAGATGAATAAATCAAAGCAGCTTAATCTAGATAAAAAGAACAATAAGATTAAAAAATTGAAGAATATAGACAAGAAAAAAATGGATAATAAATAATTAAATAAAACTTATAATCACAACAACATCAGATATCGGTACATGAAAATAAGTTAGAAAAAGCTAATCAAAAGTTAAATGAGATAGTTGCACATAATAAATAATTGAGAGAAAAAATCAATTAACTGAGAAAAGAAAAAAATATGGTTGAAGAGTAAATGTATAAGATAATTTTAGAATATCCAAAAATTTAGAAAAAGAATTAGAGGATAAGAAGAAAAATGTGGAAGAAACTATTAAATCTGCAGGATAAGCATATTATTATAGAAATAAAGCAGAAGAAGAATTAACTAAATTATAAAAGAAAGCAGAGGCATAAAAAAAGGAGTTTGAATAAGAATGTGAGTCTTTAAATGAGAAAATATAACATGATAAGAAATTTAAAGCATTTATTCAAAGCAAAAAGAAGGAACAAGAATATTTAGATAAACTAGAAAAATAAATTGCAGAAAATTAGGAAATTATTAGATAAAAATCAGCATCTAATGCTTAAATTGATAAAGAATATATGTTGAGTGCTTCAAAAGAATAAGAGATTAAGGATGCATTTGAAAGAATTAAATAAGAAACAGGAATTCATGATAAAAAAAAGGAAAGAGAAAGTAAATAGTTATTGACTGTTTTCATTGAATTGTATTAAAACAATCAAATTATGTCATAATTTGTTAAAGAATTATAAGAAACTGTTGAAGAGCTAGAAAGATAAATTGAAGAAAAAAAAGAAGAAATATAGATGTATTCAACAAAAGGAGCTACTAATGATAATTAAAGAAGAGAGTAAAAAATGGCATTATCAAATAAAATTTAACAAGAAGAGAAAAAAAAAGTTATACTTAAAGCTCAATATGAAAAGTCCATTGAAACAATAAATTTAATTAAAAAATATTTAGAAGAAGTATTTTAAGCAATTGATGTAGATGATGAAACAATTAAGAAATTAAGTAAGATATCTTCATTAATTTTAGAATCTGCTGCCATTACTGAAGAAAATATGGTGCATTTCTTAGGAATATTGGAGTAAAAAGGATTAGATGCAATATAAGAATATGCTAGATTGATTGCAGAACAGTTGAAATTAGAAAAAGGTGAAGTTCATGGATTATCTTCCTAAGTTGACGATCTAAATAATATCATTGCTTATGAAAATGCTAACATTATGAATTATTACTCATAAGCCTCATAATTTAGATAAGAGTGTCCAGATGATGTACTTTCATTTAATGAAGAAGAAAATGATATCAAGCAAAGGTGGTTTCAAGAAGAAGAATTCAAAAAGTAAGCAATGGAAGTATAAATTTTGATATAATCAAGTCAATCTCCAAAAGATCTGGACCGAAAAAGCCCATTAAACCAAAGTTCAAAGAAAGAGAATAAAAACAATGAGATATATTATACTCATCTATATTCAATACCTTTTTTGTACATTAGAACAAAAACTTTATATCATAAACTTCTTCTTTTGACTTAGATGAGATTTTATAAATTCTAATTGAGATTATTATTAAAGCATTATAATTATATATATAAATAATGGCTTCCAAAACCATAAGACTAATTGTTGATGGATGCGAATAACAAATAATTTTTGAGCAATCTACGACCGTAAAAGAACTTTTGGAATTTGTTAAATATATTAAGGAGTATAAATAATATTTAAAGTTAAAAGTTTATCATCAAGGAATGAGAATTGGACTTGTTTTTCAAGTGTATAAAATAGATTTATGAGTAGAGATGAGTAGATTAATCAATAATAAAATGAAATTCTGATAATCGAAACAAACTCCTAATCTGCTAAAATCGATAATAATTAAGAAGAATCAAATTACATTTTTTTAAATATCATGGTTAGAAATGGCAATAACACAGAAGAATTTTAAGCAAATTATGATATATAAACTTCGCTTGATGAAATCGCATAATCTATTTTAACTCATTGCTAACTATCACAAAATAAGTAAAGATCAGATCATAATATAGAAATCCACCTTTTGTTTCCCTATAGATATAACATTAGACATACAATGATGTAATAAAGAGAAGCAAATCATTAGCATAATTACAAATAAAAAATTATACCAACATAGAAGCGATAATAACTAATCTAGATTGATGAATGAACAATTATTTTGACTATATATATAAATGAGATACTCATATATTTAAATTTTCTTTTATGTCATTAAAGAATTCAGGTATATTACGGTGACAATGCAATTAAATGAAATAATCAGCTTATAATATTATATAGGGATTTTTTGTCTATATGATATATTTATTGCAAATTTAAAAATATAAGAAAATGAATAGGACTCTATATCTCTCATCAATAAGATTATATGAAAACTGAAATGAATAAATTGTAAATTATATATATTAATTATAGATTCTTAGAAAGGAAACAAGTAAGTCTTTTTGAATTTTCTCTAATAGCTTTGGTAATATACTTTTTGTGAGATAAAAGTTTAGAAGATTTAAGAAATTTGTAATAGAATAATAAACATAGGAAATAAAATATCATATAAAAATAAAATGTCAATTAATACAATTATATAAACCGATAACCAAAAGATGTTTAATATAAAGATAAAAAATGTAAAATCTAATAGTATTTAGAAATTTAACAAAAGTGTTCTTGATCGATACATACAATTCAACTTCTTAAAAACTTTGTAAAAACCTTGCTAAGTGAGATATCTAGGATATTTAGTAAGGCTTAGTATGATGATTTGGGGTTACAATTCTTTCGAATTTGGTCATTTATAGAAAAAATTATAGAATTAAGAAATTAATTTTTATTAAACTTTTAAATAATTAAGAATATTATGACAATGTTCATTAAATGCCAATCTTATTTAACTATTTTCGATTAAAAAATGATGATATTTCATGAATATTCAACAAGAGAATTTTTCAGAATGGCTAATTTTTGAATATATTAATATTGGTAAACATAGTTGTATGATTATATATATTAATTAACAAAAGCATTAGTTTGTCAATTAGAAATCTTTTCGTAGTAATTATAATTGTGAAATTAATACTAGACATTTTTTAAAATAATGAAATGGCGCATTTTTTAGTATTTAAATAGAGAATTTGTTTGCGGGAAATGATAAAATAATAATCATGTTCATAAATCTTAGATCTACAGACAACACAATTAGACAATAAGCTGAGTAGGAATTGTATGCTTAGGTTGCAGCAAATCCAATAGCAATCCTTGAATAATTTTTAATAGCAATGTAAAACAAAGATGACACAGAATTTGTATCCATATTGCTATCTAAAACTATATTTGAAAATGAGGAGAACATTAGTAAGTTAGAATGGACTCATGTTGAAGCTGTGCTTAAATTCTGTGTTAGTGAATTGAAATAAGAAAATAAGGTGTCTCATCTTAAGAGAATGTGTGATTTGGCGGTAAAAGGATTATTAAAGTTCACAAAATATGATGAAATGATTATGTTACTATTTGAGATAGGCAGAAGTGCTCAGACTTTAAATTAAAAGTTGGCAACAATGTACTACATAGAGATAATGTGTGAATTTGCATTATGTGATGAATAATTGATTAAACACAGTTAATAGTTGAATGAAATATTTTCAGCATTTTTGAATGATCAATCCCCTTAAGTTAGAGCAGCAACTTGTTAAGGAATCAGTAGTTTCTTAGTGTCAATTGAAGAGGAATCCTTATTGAATAGATTTAGTAATAATGCAGTGGTGTTGTTATAATAGTTTGCATAAGTGATGTAAGTTGATCAAGAAGCATCAGTTCAAGCCTTACAATCAATAAATGAATTATTAGAAAACCACCCTAAATTTATGAAAAATGTGTATGGAGATTTATTAAACATCTATACTTAATTATTAGGATCATAGTCAACTGTGTCATTGAAAAAGTCAGCACTTCATGGTCTATAAACCTTATGTTAAATTGCCCCAGCCTTTATCAGAAAGAGCGATCAATTTAAGACCTAATCTAATTTAATGATTATGAAGATGTTAACAGAAGTAGACAGAAAGGACTGGGAAAATACATTTGATGATAATTGTTTATAATTGAATGATTTATCAAGTGTTGCTGAAGATTGTCTCGGTAAAATGGTTAGAGATTTGGGAGTTAAATATTTGTTACCAATATTTGTTCCACTCATAATGTAAGCATTAAGATCACCAGTTATCAATGAATAACATGCTGGTTTGATTGCTATGGCAACATTATCAGATAAGGCAGCAGAACATTTCTAGAATGAATTACCTAGCATAATGGATTTGATATTGCCATTATCTCAATCATAAAACAAATTGATTGTTTATGATCTATTGACGTGTTTAGCATCTCTCTGTTAAGAATTCACACCAAAAATCTAAATTAATTATGGATCATAGATTTTGTAATTGATAGTGACATGCATGTAATAAAAGATTTCATAGAAAATCCAATATATTTCTATAGCCTGTTTAGTTGATTTTACAAGAGAATTAGTAGAAGATAAGGAGGCCGCAAAAAATGTATTGACTCCAGTATCAACCTTTTTGATTGAATAATTATATTCAGTCATTTAAACTAATTTAACAGGTTCAATAGATTAATAATAATAATAAATATTAGAACAAGCACTTTCTGCATTCAGTGCTTTGGCTACAAGTTTATAAGAACATTTCACTTAATATTATGATTAGATGATGCCATACATGATGTAAATGATGTAGACAGTCACAGTAAATGAAGTTAAATCATTATTGTTAGAATGCATTGGTTGTTTCTTAGTTTCAATTAGTACCACAAGAAAGGAATAATGCAAGACTGATTCTAATTAATTGGTCACACATTTTATCTAATTATAGAACAAAATGGAATCAGATGATCCTGCTCATTCATCCATCTTCTTCTTTTATACTTAAGTGGCTACAGCCTTGAGATGTGAATTTGGCTAATACTTAGAAGCTATCTTCCCATTGGTTGAAAGAGCAATGAGATTGGATGTTGGATTCTCAGTCAATTCATAGGCTGAAGGCAAGAACATTACTAAAGTCAAGTTGGATCTTAAATTCTTGGGAGTTAAAAGCTTATCCCTTAATACTAGTGCTCTAGAATAAAAAGTAGAAGGAGCTCATACTCTTGTTAACTTAGCTGAGTAATGTGGTAAATCCTTCTATCCATACATCACTAAAACAATAGTATTAATGAAAGAATTCATTAATTATAAACATAGCTCATAAATCTAAAAGTCTATGGCTAAATGTGCTGAATATTTATTAGCTGCATGCACACTTGAAACAGATATGGCATAAGTACTTATTTAAGTTACTCCTATGCTCATTACTGAATTCACCGTATTCCTTAACAGCAAAACTTATGATAGAGCTGCAGAAATCGCAGAAGTATTGGCTAATTGTTTGAATTAAGTTAAAGCACCTATTTTGGATGCCACTACTATTGATTCTATGTATTAAACATCTAACAAGGCTCTTGCAGCAATAGTAAAGACTAAAGAGTCAATTACTTATGAAGATGAGGAGTAATTTGAAGCTGATTGCGAAGAAATTGATTCATTACTTGATCACATTACTAATATTGTAACTGAATTGATCTCTAATCATAAATGCGAATCTGTATAAACTATGATGCCAACCTATTACTCATTTTTAAATACTAAATCTACCAAATCATAGACAATTAACTCTATTGCATTTTTCAATATTGTTCTACCTCTTTGCAATGAATCAGTATTCTAATAAGCATAAAATGAAATATTAAAATGCTATTCCTCTTTTGCCAAAACAGCTGATCTAGAAATGAAACAAAATCTATTATTTGGTTATGGTAATATTGCAAAAAGACTTCCCACTCTTGATACAACTTAAGTTATCGAATTAGCTTCAACAATCATTGAATAACCTGATTGCAAACATGTTGATAAAGTAGCATCATATGAAACGGCCTTGACCACCCTAGGTAAAGTAGCCATGTATTGCAATGTTGCTTAAAAAGAATAACTCCTAAATAAATTCTTAGATTCACTTCCACATGAATACCAAGATAGTCAAGAAACTCATTTAATGTTTATTAAAGAAGTATATTTATGCACTAATATAAATAGGTTTAAAATAACAACCCAACATTGATGTAATTCAAAGACTTAGTAATCCAAGCTCTGAATAGAATTAAAACTTAAGATTGCAACAATCCTGAAAATGAATTGTTGTGTGATGAAGGAAGAAAATTGATTTCATAAATATTATGTTGAATTTTATAAGTTATAGATTTATATTTATTGTTATTTTATTGATTTTGCTATATTTAACCCAATAGAAATCTTGAACCCTGAGTATAGAGGATGTATATTATATGTAGAATTAATTTCAATATATTCAGATCAAAAATGAATAATAATAGATAACAGTGATATAACTTTATTGAAAGAGATAGTAAACTAAATTAAGACTGTTAATCAACATTTTCAATATAATATAATTAAGAACATCATTTTTATGCATAATCTTTGAATATAGAAGAATAAATTATAATTATTCAAAAAGGATTTTGTTTTCCTCTCAGCTTTTAAACAGTTATGAAAATTCTTCATATCTATCTGATTTAATAGTCAATAATAATCGATTAGTAACAATTACATCATCATTTTTCCTAAATCACAAGGTCAAATTAATTCTATTTTTGTTTTTTAGGGAATACCATTCCAAATTAATTCAACTAAAACTTGTAATATTTTTTAAGATACTTTAATAATTCAATTCCAGTAGTTTCTCTTTCAATTTGAAAGTATAATATCGAATCTTCCACCTCCAACATATCTTGATTTCCTATTTTATTTATTTCAAACTTCCACTTATAAGAAAGATCCTGCAATTATGAAACGTTCTTATATATCTAGAAATTAACGAAATTTTTTTTCGTGATAAATTCTTATAATTGATAAGAATTTCTTTGTGTTTCTTGTGAAAATGCCAGTTAGAATATTTCTTGATAATCTTTCAACAATAAGTCTATCATTTCTTTTTCTTACTAATTTAGTTGTTCTAACATTGAATCATTAATTGAATTGAATCTATAATCAATTTACTTCTTTATTTATTAAATCTCTACTTTATTAATATTTCCTCTATGTCTCTTTGATCCACTTTAATATTAGTTGATTCTGAATTAAAATAGGATTCTTGGAATATGATTTCACAATTTTAAAGATCTTATTAAAAATCCAATATTAAAATGTCATTAGGATAGTATCCAACCATTTCATCAAACGATATTAAGCAATTTCTTTATTTTGAATAGCAAATCCGTTCATGAATTTCCTTGTTGATATTACCTTTGCTATCAATTAATTTCAAAAGCTAAATCATAGCATCACTCTTAATTGTAACATCGAATTCTATCAGAAAAAATTACTTTTGAGTAAAACACTCTACCTAAATTTCTAGAGTTTTATTATCTTAGTTTATGAATTTTTAATATTCTTAAATATCAAAGTATCATTATCACATTTTCCAATACTTTAATTTGGTTACAAATGATATTCCCTTTATTTTAAATAACAGCTCCATCCTTTTTATCCAAAACTTTTTAATAGAAAAATCATTACTTTTTTCTAAATTTTCAACCAAAAAATTCTTAATTTGTTCGACTGTTTCCTCAGTACTTAACTCCAAATTCAAAGAGATATCATTAACAATAAATGTTACCTTAATCATTGAGTTTAATAGAAATAAAATATTAATAAAATATAATATGTAAATTTATTCTATTTAATGCGATAATTTTATATATACATATCAATTAAAGTATTTAACGTACTGATTCAAAACTATCATCATATTAATCTATGGAAATAGCATTTTTTAATTCGTTTTATTACATAATTCACCATTCAAATATCAATATTTTAAGAATATTCAAAAAATATATTAGCTCACTTACATATAAAGCATCCTATAATGAATAGTATCTTGATTGAATATAAGAATTAATGTAATTTATTAAAATAGATATAAAGATATAAGTCATTAAATCTATGATTGTTATTGACTATGTTATTCATCCTCCAAAATTTAATGTCCATAAATACTAAGAAATCTCTATTTCCATTCTTTAGCAATCACATTTTATAATTTCGGATCAACAACTCCAACCAAAACTTTATAAGGAACATCTGGAATTATGTTAAAAGTTGGAGTTAATTCATGTAAGATTTTATCAACAAAAACGTCAGCTCTCTTTTTAATATAAATGTCTTCCTTTATGTCATCCTCTGTTTTCTCGAGATCACTCATATCATATGACTAATATAATTATTTCAAGTTCTCTGGTATTTCAACTTTTCCACTTTTTGTGACTTCTTTCAATCCAATTTTCTAAGTATACAGTTAATCATAAAATGATGGATGTTCATCTGCTGGAATTATCTAAAATTACTATATTTCATACTTTACAGCTATTCTATTAACAATAATGAATTGCATATATATTCTCTAATCCTGCATAAAAGTCAAGCTCTTTCATCTTTTTCACTTCTTCTGGATTTGTTTTTAGATGGTAATCCACTTTCTTCATTNTTCATCAAACGATATTAAGCAATTTCTTTATTTTGAATAGCAAATCCGTTCATGAATTTCCTTGTTGATATTACCTTTGCTATCAATTAATTTCAAAAGCTAAATCATAGCATCACTCTTAATTGTAACATCGAATTCTATCAGAAAAAATTACTTTTGAGTAAAACACTCTACCTAAATTTCTAGAGTTTTATTATCTTAGTTTATGAATTTTTAATATTCTTAAATATCAAAGTATCATTATCACATTTTCCAATACTTTAATTTGGTTACAAATGATATTCCCTTTATTTTAAATAACAGCTCCATCCTTTTTATCCAAAACTTTTTAATAGAAAAATCATTACTTTTTTCTAAATTTTCAACCAAAAAATTCTTAATTTGTTCGACTGTTTCCTCAGTACTTAACTCCAAATTCAAAGAGATATCATTAACAATAAATGTTACCTTAATCATTGAGTTTAATAGAAATAAAATATTAATAAAATATAATATGTAAATTTATTCTATTTAATGCGATAATTTTATATATACATATCAATTAAAGTATTTAACGTACTGATTCAAAACTATCATCATATTAATCTATGGAAATAGCATTTTTTAATTCGTTTTATTACATAATTCACCATTCAAATATCAATATTTTAAGAATATTCAAAAAATATATTAGCTCACTTACATATAAAGCATCCTATAATGAATAGTATCTTGATTGAATATAAGAATTAATGTAATTTATTAAAATAGATATAAAGATATAAGTCATTAAATCTATGATTGTTATTGACTATGTTATTCATCCTCCAAAATTTAATGTCCATAAATACTAAGAAATCTCTATTTCCATTCTTTAGCAATCACATTTTATAATTTCGGATCAACAACTCCAACCAAAACTTTATAAGGAACATCTGGAATTATGTTAAAAGTTGGAGTTAATTCATGTAAGATTTTATCAACAAAAACGTCAGCTCTCTTTTTAATATAAATGTCTTCCTTTATGTCATCCTCTGTTTTCTCGAGATCACTCATATCATATGACTAATATAATTATTTCAAGTTCTCTGGTATTTCAACTTTTCCACTTTTTGTGACTTCTTTCAATCCAATTTTCTAAGTATACAGTTAATCATAAAATGATGGATGTTCATCTGCTGGAATTATCTAAAATTACTATATTTCATACTTTACAGCTATTCTATTAACAATAATGAATTGCATATATATTCTCTAATCCTGCATAAAAGTCAAGCTCTTTCATCTTTTTCACTTCTTCTGGATTTGTTTTTAGATGGTAATCCACTTTCTTCATTATTTCCTACAAGTGTGGATTCCTCAATATTGGTCTGTAGTCATCTTCTAATTGTTTTTCAGATATTTGTAATGCAACTAATTTAGGTTTAGCAACATCTAGCACTTCTTTTAATAATGCTAAGTCCTCTCCAGTCTTTCTATATCCCTGCAAATAGAAAAAAGTCATAGTACTATAAAGCACTCTAATATTATCCTTATTTAATATTTCGTTCCTTCTTTAAATCAAACTTTCACTATTAGATCGTTGAGTTATTCTTGGCTTCAAAATTGAATATACAGCCAAAAGAGCAGTGGATCCTAATCCGAAAATGAGGGCTGCCTTCTCTGCCTTTGTCATTTACAAAAATTAAAATTTAATTATGTCAATTATTTAATTTTCAACTTTCTTGTATATCTTAATATCTACATATAAATTCATAATAAAAATGGAAAAATCATTTATATTTATTGCAAGCTCCCTACATACTCTTAAACCAGTCTATAGGTCCACTAGCACTTGCTCTGTTTACTATCATTTTTGGAATATATCCTTTGATATCATTATTAGAACAAATCGAGATTTTCACATTATTTTATTCATGAACTTCAAAGATCATAGAGGATATTTCTGTATGTGCTCTAATTCTTTTGTTATTAATTGGATGTTGAGGATAATCAACAGAATAAAATAGTAAAGTGATTTACCCTTTTTAAGGGAAATCGTATCTCAATATTCTTCTCTAGACCCATTCTCTGGGAGTGACTAGACTAATGGGAGGTTGTACATAATAAGCCACAATATCTATATCTTCTGTTTCCGTATTGATAATCTAAAAATCTCGGAGTAATTTATCCCTATTGAATTAATAATTTATTTTACCATTCTCTCCTCAATTTGATATCATAAACTACTTTTAGTGCCAATTCTAGGGTAGTCTATTAAAATTAAATAAATAATTACATCTTTTATAATCCCAAATCCTTTGATAAATACACTGTCAGAGCCTTCCTTAAAGGTTTTATAAATCTGGGCATCTTTATTATTTATAGCCAAATCCCACTTATTGGTAGGTTCATGTATCAATTATAAAAATAAATTGAATTTATCAATTGTTTTTTGGCAATAGTGTTGAGGATAGAGAGGCTATTAATTTTCTCTTTCTAAATTGTGGATTATATCATCATAAGATTACAATGGAGTTGGATTTAAGTAGAATTTGGGATCAATTTTTGAGAATGATATTTTATTTGGATGAGAATGCAACTTAAATTTAATTTATTAAGGATTTTCCTTTATTTGATCTAGTTCCACTTGTGATTCATTATTTTATATGATCATATCGCATTATTATTCTTCTACTTTTATTTATTCTATATTTAATTTAATTTCATCTTCCTATTATACATTTTATATAGTATTTTATTTCTACATGAAACATTAAATATCTTGACCAACATTCTCTAAATTTCTGAAATTTTACTGTTAAACATATACTTTTAGACTAGTAGTGCTCACTTTTAGATTTAATTAAGCATTAAGCATTTTAATATAATAGATACTCATTTATGGATCTGGGAATTACTTAGACAATTGAACAATCTCATTTGAATAAATGAACTCTCTAGCCTTTTTAATAATCTAAGGTTATTTATGATCAGGCAACTAATTTGAAAATAATGTAACTACTGGTTTTACGACATTATCAATCCCTTTTAAAACAGAGATTTCCAGTTGATTTCTAAAATGAGACTATTCATCTACCAGATGAGTCTCTTCTTAATTGAGATACATATTTTAATCCTACAAACTAAAATACTTTAAAATCTTTAATTGTTCTTATAATAATAATAAACTTAATTCTATGGAACATAAATACAAATCTTATTTTAAAAAAATAAAAGCCTTTTTCTAGAGTTTCTGAAGTTGAGCCTAATTGATTATTGAGAAATATCTAGAATGAAGTGCTACCTTTATTTCAGTTAGAACTCTATCAATTACAAATCTTTATAGGTTTAAATTATAATTGTATTTCTTTTACTATTATTATGCCCATTTTAAGATAGTTCTCATTCTTATGTCATAAATATCTAGCTCTGTAATATCCTATTTATTTTATAAGGTTTTCTTAATTCTCTTTCCTACCTAATGACCTCCAAACACTCCCAAAACTCCTCCTCCTATCCCTCCCACTAAAGCAAATCCAAAAACAAAAAATCCTATGGCTCCCAATAAGATCATTCCAATAACCGTCCTATTATTTTATTTTTTTAAATATTACCCTAAATTCCTCTGATCAAATTCATCACACTTAGAAAGTGCATCATCAAATTCTTTTACTTGCATTGGAGTTAAGTAATTTTAAGATATATAGAAATGTTTTGATAATAATAGTTATACAAATTTAGTTGGAGTTGTAGCAAGTGCACTAAATTCAATTCCTAACAGAATATTTAAAGCGGGCTGCAATATTCCAAATTCATAAAACTGACTGCAATAGTTCCACAACTTCTGGAATGTTTTTTATTAGAGCATCTATTGAACTTGTTTTAAGTAATTTTGAAGATTTTTCATAATATATTTTGTTTTTAAATAAATATAGGATATGTCTTAATAATATTATGAATAAATAATATAAAATATTAATATCAAATAATATTGTCTAATTTTTGCTTTTTAATCATTATATTCAAAACCACTATTTGAAATACTTCTATAATTTATGAATTTAATTATGTGACGGTGTTAAAAAGATCAATATTTTATGTTTAATTACTGATGATCTTACATGCATAATTTTAATTAAAATTATGATAATACCAACATAAGACTTGCCTTTTAATTCTTTATAGTAGGTATAAGTTTCAAATAATTGTAAGGCAGTACAAAGAGATATCAACCAAGATGTTTTTGATTTAGTATACTGGGTTCAATAAGAAATATTAAGTCCTGAATTGTTGCCATATTTTGATGTTTCTAAAATACAAGATGCATTAAAAGGATAATTGGAATCAATACAAGATTTAAAGAAAGATTTGTCTAAACATAACAAATAACGAGATACTCAATATTTGACATTGCATGTAATTGAATTAGAGAGAATATAATATTTTTATCAACAATATTTGCGAACAAGAATGTTAAAGTTGATTTCGAATGCATTCTATTACTATAATAATATTGGAGAATATTAAATAAGTTTGAAAGAGAAAGAATTCTTGAAAGCTTTGGTTGAAAAGTAAACTGACTATTTATTGACAAATTGTTTATAATATTATCAGAAAACTTAGAGAAATTTTGGAGTGAGATTGGATAATCAAAATTAATCATAATAAAGTTAATAGGATGATAAAATCAGTAAAATCAAGTTCGATGTTATATAGATGTGTAAAAGCCAGATGTAAATTAATATGTAGTAATTCATGTAAATACATCAAGAACTATACATGTTGGGTCTATGTAATTGATTAATTATATTTAAAAGAGCATTGAGTGAAAATGACTGTGCCTTAGTTTCATATGACGACATAAAGTAGTTATCTTACGTATTCTTAGATTCATGGTACCAATTAAGAGTGTGACATTGATTTGAAATAATAATATTATTTTTTCATCAAATCTTTATGAATATTATCAACCAGTTATTGGCAGGAGCTAATTGTATGACAATTCATAACCAGTTTAGTGTTTAGACTCAATTTCCAGATGTGCAACAATAAGAATGCCATTCCCTAACCAAAAGAAAAGGAAGAATAACTTAATTTACTTTAAAATACTATTTTCTCTAATCTAGTACACATGATTCTTAATAAATTAGCTCATGGCATCCTAGATGAAAACTGCCCAGTAATCACTAAGCTAATCAGCCTAAGTAGTACAAAAGTCAAAAAAGATGTATCTATTTCTAAATATCGTTTTAGAAGCAAACGTAACAATAATTGTGGACATCCTGAAAAAGAACATTATGCTAAGGGTATGTGCAATAATTGTTATCATAAATATGGTAGGACAAAGAAACCTTGGATCTGTGGACACGATAAATTATATGCTTGTAATAATTATTTATTTAATAACAATTAGAAGGATTATGTTAGAATTGCTATATCAACAAATACAATCAAAAGAGAAGAGAATAAGGTGACAATGATCTTCTCAAACAAGAAGATCCAAATCCACAGTAATTAGAACAATAATAGTCATGAATATTTATTTCTAATTATATTATTATTATTTTCCTTTCCTCTTTATACACATATTCTTATAACAAAAACAAATGAATCATTTCTTATTCGCCTCTTGTACTAACTCATTTATAAGACTTCTCATCTTTTGTTGGACAATGTAGCCTTTCATATCAAGGTATTCGGCGCTGTCAATTTTACGCTCAACTAACTAGATTTATTAATTGATTATCTATTTACTAAGGCTTTGTTTGGCATACTATAAATTCTTAAAACAATGAATCTCTAATATAATTCTTGAGATGCTCCAAATCCAAAAGTCTTTTTGGTTTTTTTGTCCTGAAATTATTAAATATCATTACATCATAGAGTATAAAAATATCTCCTTCTTTAACTTTCTCAAACCATTAATAAATGTATGTAGATACGTAATAACTAATACACGTGTATAATCAAATTTACAATATGATGCATGCTATCAATATATAGTAGTCTTGAGGATAAGGAATGAAGTGATAATGCGAATAGATTACATTAGCAATCATAAACAACCCAAAAATTACTTTGTAATTTTGAAATTAAAAGTTTTCTTTCAATCCATCTTTGCCAATCAATTCATCTGATATAAATTTACAAAAAGCATCTTTTGTCATATAAGTATCAAATTTATTTTCAGTCCTGTATATTTCTATGTTTATTTGTTATTTTACTTGGTTTTTATTCCTTTACCATTTTAATAAATAATAATTTAAAAACTATCCTAATTATTGAAAGTAAATTAAAATGAAAATTCATCATTAATCTTCTATAATTCTCTCTTTTTTTTATTTGCATCTTTGCAATTGGTAATTAAAATAACCATTGAGGTACTTAACATCCTTAAACTTTAAACTCATTTGCCAATGATCTTAAAATAGATTTATTCTCATCTGTGAAAATAGTAATGGCCCTCCCTTATTTACCAGCACTCCCGTTCTGCCCGCTCTATGGGTAGTAGAATGAAATTCTCTGATATTAGAAATAAGTAATCATGGATTATTGGAAACCATAATTAATAACTAATTAAACATCATTAAAATCTATTCCTCTAGTCATCATTAAAGTACAAATAAGCATCTAAAAATGCGCCCTTATAAATTATTCCAGAATTTCTTATGTTGTCTTGCTCTCCATATCTCCTTGAATGCAATTCACTCTAATTACTTTCAATTATTCTAGTTCATACACCAAAGGCTTCAGCTCTTGTTTTAGATTATACAAATACAAAATATGTGGAATCATTGACCCTTCATTTTAAATTTCTTATTTTAAAATTTTTCCATATTTATTAGATCTATACTTTAGTTGTTAATCGATCCTAATTAGAATATGATTTCTTCCTCCGATCAAGAGATTCTCATTGGGTCGATTAATAAATCCGTAGAGATATCTTCAACAGGTTGAGGTAGAGTTACACTAAAGAAAATAAAATTGATTTTCAATGATTCCAATTATTTTAACAATTGTTTTACTTATTCTAACAATCTTAGCTCAAAGTATTTGTCAGCCTCATCATTCATTACATATTATTAATACTAAAGTCAACTACTTTATGTAATTTTAGAATCTTAAGTGGAGAATTAATTAGTATATCAAGGTGATTCCATGTTATTTAAAAACCTATTTTTCTCGATTCATTTCTTGGATCTACTTTATTTTTATTTCAAACTAATTTAATTCTCTGTTTAATAGATCAGCTAATTCTAATGCGGAAGCAAAAACTAAACATCTTAGTCCTCCTCTCTCTTTATGAGTTTCTAAATTAGAGAAAGCAGGCAACACAAAAGCACCCGACTTACCTGGCTGTAGGTGCGATTGCAATAAGAATCTTCTTTTTCAAAATGATGGGAATAGCAAAAATTTAATAGGATTTGGTTTTAATCAGTATTTCTATTTCAAATCTCTCTTAAGTTTTTCATTTATTCATTTCTTGTCACTTATACTTCTTCTTTTTAGATTATATTCAACAATTTTAGGTTTTTCTTCAGATTCAAATTCTGATCTTCATCTTTTTTCTTTAAAAAGTACTTATCCCATTCTTATACATAAAATACACTTGGCATGATTAAATTTATAAATGGATAAATAGAATACAAAATATATAATTTATCATTCATCCATAGAATTTAATATTCATAATTTAATCTATTTTGATTTATAGCAACAACCAAGGTAATTAAATAAAAATTAAATATGTTTTGTTTTTATTCATAAAAGTTTATGAATAGTGATTAAGATTAAGTTTTATATTATATTTATTAAGAATGTAAACAAAGTCCAATGATTTCCGAGTAAAGACATCAAGACAAATATCAAAACGTCCTTTCTAGTAGACATCCTAGTAAGGTATTCAAGCAGTTTCGTAACAAAGTAGTTTATTCTTTGAATATTAGCATTGAAAAAGAAACTTTCTCCAATAAGATTAAATAAATATAATGTATTTATGGATTGTTTAAATGACTTGACATAACAAAAGTTTGAGAAATGCCAATCAAGAATATTATTTTAGCAAATTGAAGAGAAGGTTAAGAAAAATCAATTGCTATGCATTTTATTCATCTAGAATGTTAGCGTGTATAATAAATATGATTTACCAAACAATAAAGTATATATATGACTAATTCAGATTCCACCAAAATTTTCATGGGAAGCTATATATCGAGGGAAGACATTGATTTTGACAACTCCACATTAATATACCAAAACCTGTCATGGAATAGTTGATTTTATGTTTAAATCGAATGCCAAATATCCATTAAAACTAAAATTATTGAAAGTAAAGAATTATGAAGAACAATACATTGGAGAGATAGATTTGTCAGTTTCAGATTTTGTTGATTTTGAAGTTGTATAAGAATATTAAGGAAAAATGATTAAAGAAACTTTTGTATAGAAAGAGATGTTTAAAGTATATAATGATTAATCAGCATCAATTGGATAGGTTAGTTTGAAAATCATACAATTTTGCTCTTCCAGCGTTCCTTCAAGTATTAAATTAATTAATTGAAGATAAATCATCTAATATTCCAGGATCACCAAAAACATTAGAATAAAGAAAGAAGCATTAACAAATAGAGGAAGGAAAAGCAAAAGGATTTGATTGGGGAAGTAGTAAGGATGAAGAAATAATTATCTAATTGATTTTAGAATGCCAAAAGGAAATGGCAGCAAAAGTCAACTAAAATCTTGAGGAAGTCGTAGAGAAAATCAGATGTAAATATTGGTCTAATGAATGCTAGAAATGGAGAATACGCTTTGTGGATTATTAAAAGAAAGTTGCTTTGCTCCAGACATTATGGGAAGAAGAAATGTTTTGACTAGAATAAAGAGAATAAGAGAAGTATTGGATAATCAGATCTCTGGTCTATTAAAACAATCAGATCCTGCTTATTTGGAAATGCTTGTTTAATTAAGATTAACTACAAAATAGGGAAGAATAAAAAAAACAGACATTGAATCTGCGCTTTTCCATTTTGGTTGTGAAGCAGCTAAACTATTAATATTGACAGTTGATGATTTTGGAATGTGTTTAGTAGATTATATGTTGGATTCTGACTCATTGCCAGAAATATTATATTTCTTTAATTAATTAGGTTTAAATGAAGATGTCCAATTGGAAATATTTGCGTAATCATTATTTCAAAATATTAAAGAAAGACTAAGAAAAAATCATTACTTGAAAGCTCTAGCATATTTTATTAATGCTTTGCAAATGTATCCAAATATTGGTTTGATCATTGCCTAATACGCTATAAATCCTGAAAATTCATAAATTATGTCTCCTTTTCTTTTGGAGTTCAATATTTAGGATTATTAGCATGTGATAGTGTTATCTAAATTAAGAAAATTATGCAAAAAATTCTTAAATCCAGAATTGCCATTTATGTAATCTATGGAAGAACAATATCGTAAAGCAAAATAAGAAACATATTTCAAAATTCCTATTCTGCCAAAGAAAGTAGAAACATAAGAGAAATTTGATTTGTTACAATTGCCAGAATTGTAATAGAATATATTCCATGAGATTGTAAGGAGAAAGAGATGGAATTTATTTGCAAGATCTTGGAAGCAATTCGAACAATTTGTTTATTAACAAGATCATTAAGGAATTTCTCCTATGATGATGTTTTTAGAAAATGCACCATTAGATTAGATACTGAATTTAGACTCTCTTCAAAATTAAACCTCATTAAGTGGTTAAACATCATTGCACTTTTTGATTATGAATCCTGATGTATCTGTTAATTCATTATAAGCCTGTATTAATAAGTTTAATATGTTGAATGATAAAGTTTGGCTTGGATTTACACCTCTTGCATTATTTTTGGATAGATTAGTATATAAATAGAAGAAACATAAGAGTAGAATTATAAAAGAATTGAAGGCTGCTCAAGAGACCAATACTAATAAAGGTGTTCAAGTATTGGAAATTTTAAGTCTATCCGCAATTAATCTTGTTAAGCATTTCAATTTTAGTAAGTATTTATTGTATTGTTAAAATGTCAGAAAAGATAATTTCTTTGAGGATTTCAAAAAAGAGAAGTTTAAAAAACCATTTTAATTGTAATAGTAGAAAAATAAGTAAATTATTGAATGGGATGTTTTTTATTATTAACACTCTGTTCCAGCCATGATTTTGTGTAAATTGGATGAATCAATTCAAGAATTAATATGGCAATAATTTGATTGGATAAATTGGCTATGTAGTAAATAGAATTATCCCTATGAAACATATTACAATTAAACATTAATGGTTTCAATAGCCAAAACTACTTAAACTCAATATATATATCAATATCTAACCAAAGATGTCTAAATTACATATAAAGATAACGATCACTTTAGTGGTGATAAAAATAACACATTTGATTTCTTACCAATCTTCTAATCTATTTATTAAATAGCTGAAATAACCACAAAACTAAAAGACGATATACAAAAGAAATATAAAGGAATTCAAGATATCAATAAAAAGAAGGATGATGAAGAGGAAACTCCAAAGAAAAAAATAAAATTGATGTATCAAAATCTTGGCTAATAAAAATATTAATAAGTATTGGATTAATTAATGCAAGAATAACAATCTACGGAAGGAATGTTATAAAATAACTTTAAATATTAAGGTGTTGTTAATGATTTAATGGTTGCCAAAGGTCTCAACTTTGGAAAACTCTTTAGAAAAGCATATGATTCAAAATTCCATGATATGTTAAATTTCGTAGACATATTATTAAAAGCATTATATCACAATAATATGTCAGCTGCTCATTTGGCCTTATTCTTTGCTTAATTAAGAATGAACAAGAGTTAAAGAGTAGCTTAATTGAAGGCCAATCAATAAATATATTTGCAATCATTAAATACACATTGGTGTATTGAATTAGATTTTGCATAATTCTAGGCTATGATTAATGATATCAAAGACATCTGTTAATAAAATGAAGTCAACTATGTGATTTTGATCTTAGCGATGAATGGAAGATTCAATAAACTTAAATTAATCCACGATAGAATGACCAATCAAAATTATATTATTTAAGCATTACCCATAGCAGCTCATCAAATCAACACTGTTAGAAATGCCCTTTATTACGAGAGTTTAAATAAACTATTATAAGAATGTGATGTTAAGAGACTCTACCCTGAAGACAATCTAGATTTCTTCAAACCTCCAAAAGAAAAGGAAAAGCCAAAGCCAGATCCCAAGAAGCCTTTTGATAAAGCAAAACCAGTATTTTAAAAGTGGATTATCGTTTAAGGAGTGCTAGTATATATTTTAATTATTAATAAAGACAACTTAATTATAATAGATATATAAATATGCCGCCAATAGTTACTAGAGAGTTAAGTCAGAATTTTCCATTTTAGCTAAACAATACTAATAATTATGGTACTAGGAATACTCATATAAATTAAGAAGATTATTCCCAAGATAAAATTTTAGATCTGTCTTTTATTCCTCAAAGTAGAAAGAATCCGATTTTGTCAAAACTATAGAGTTATTAATTGAAAAAGTACTCTAATTAAAATTGACACCTTCAGATGATTTCTTCAATTATGTCCATGTTCATGATAAGTTTTCTGAATTGTTATCCTAATCTCCTAATTAGAACATTTGCATTGTTTAAGCATTTAAATCTATGATCAATCTCTTCAAATATGAGTAGTCAAATGAAGTACTATCAAGATGTATCAATTTTTTAAAGAAATACTTAAATTCCAAAATATTTAAAGATTTGAATGAGCCAGACACATTTAATAGAGAAAGTCAATTAATAACAAATTACTTATCAAAAAGCGATCCATCATCAACTCAATGTAAATTCGCTTGTGAAGTCTTAATTCTAATGGACCAAAACTTTACAACATAAGAATTCGAGACACTCAATTTAATCTAATAACCTTAATAATTAGCTAGTTTATTGCTAAAGTACAAGACATTAGAAAAAAGAACCTTGGGTTTTATTTAAAAATATTTAAATTCTAGCAACAATTAAGCTAAGTAAGCCTTACCTTTTAATGAATCAAACATGAGATATATTGTAGATTTGGCAAAGTAAGGTATTAATTTGATAAATGAAAATGCTCTGGAATTCTTTATTACAAAAGGATTGTTCACTTATTTAAAGGATTACTTCTTAAGTTCATTGAAACCTAAGGGAATGCTAAATGACGATCAAAAGTAGTTTTATTTGGGATTCGCATTTTCAAGTGGATCTTAAGAGACAATTTAATTGTGTTTAGAAGATTTGTGTAGTCTAAAGAGTAGTGAATTAAAGCAATATATGTTGGAAGGCAATTTATTGGCTCGAGCAATTGCAAAAGGGTCTTAGGAGACATTATTATACATAACTAGGAAGATAATGAAATAGTTGACTTTCAATGGCAAAGAGATTTTAAAGTTATTGCTAATTTCAGATAATATTGCTGAGCCTTTTTAATTGGATAAATAAAAGAGATCTTTATTCACAACTATATTCTTGTTGAATTATGATATTTTTTATAAGGAGTTTTTTGTTGATTATCTCTAGAAGATTCTACCTTAAGATTATAAAAATATCATGATAAAGATATTAAATGCTACAGTGTGTAAATTAGATGAAAATAATAGTTGGACTATATTCTAATTAGCTATTAATTGTGGATTCTTTGATGTAATATAGACAGTGTTATAGTTGAATATAAATATTGATGCCTAACATTTGAAGGATATCTCAATAAGTAATTTACCATAAAGATGGTTATTTTAGACTCCTTAATAATTAGAAAATTTATTAAAATAAGAACATTACAAATAATTATATAAATAATCAGCTTTAAGGTTGTATAGGATTTGTAAATATCATTTATGCAGATAAGAGAAATTAAAAGAGTTGGAGATCTGCTTAAATTTAGCTCCTTTGTATAATAAGGTTGGTCTATTATTATAGAGTCATGACCCAATCATTAATATTATTATGAATCAACAGATAGATCCAGCAAAATAACCTTTGATTTATCTATTAAAATTGCATTTGGATTAGGTCGATAAAGCCAATTCATTCATATTGGTGGAAAGTTTTTGTGATAAACATCCTTAAATAACTCATGATAAGATATATACACAATTGATCAAAAATAGGGAGGCATATGAATTATTAAGAATTTATTACCCGGAATAAAATGAACCTGGAAATGCTAACTTTGATTTTGACCTCCCATATGGTGATAATATTGTGAAGGAATACTTGTTAATACAAGATCCTCATCAATTTCTAAGATTTATTACAACAAATTAATAATTAGTATTTTCACTCAGAGTTTTGTATGATAAAAATGATGATTTGGATAAATTCCACAATTCATTAGTCGAACCACAACATATTATTATTTGTGGTTTACTATTATTAATTTTGAACCCCAACAAACATTCAGAAGTTGTCCATAATAAATTTAAATAGGCATTTGAATTAAGAGATGATCCATCTGCCTCTTAGGTGACTAATATCTTCAGAGGTATATTGAGGTACTTTGAAACAATAGAACGAGCATTTGTATTCTTTTTCTCCTTAATCCAATCGTTATTGAATAATCAAATATATCATCAACTCATCTAAATTAAACCTATAGGAGATATGAATAATTAAATTAGTTCTGAAAAACAATTCTTGGAAGATATTAAAGATGCTCTCATCTATGATACTTTTACATTGCAGGATAATGTTTGGGGATAGATTTTGGGACAAAGTACAAAAGTATCACATGCACTCCAATCTGACAAATGGTTCCAAGGAGTATTATTTTTAATTCTATTTTTAGTTATGTTTAATCAAGTCATTATTACATGTATGTTATTAAGCAGAATCTATAATCCATGAAATTCAAACGCTTAGCAAAATAGATGATTATATTTCAAGTGACTTTTGGGGAGTTCAAACTGCCAATATAGAAATCAGAGCAGAATTGCATCCAGCAGAATAGATTGCTTAACATAAAGTTATTGTTTTTAAGCAATCTGAAAATAATACTTGGAAAATCAAGTATCCTTTAGGAATGGTCAAAGGTAATATTTAATTTTAAATATTAGATACTTCACTTATTTATCCTTCCATATTATCCTCACAAAAAGGAACTGAATATGCAAAAAATTAATTAATTTAACAGGTTTATGAACAAACTAAATATGATATATTGCCGAAAATTGAAAACTTCACTTTTGATGGCTATTCTCATGAGAATATTTAACAATTAATCAAGGAGACGCATGAAAATATTGGTATAGCAGCAAACTCTTACTCATTTTAAGGAGATGGAATTTAATATAATGGAAAATAATTGACATCAAATTATTAAACAAGGAGAAAAAATAAGAAAGAACTTATTATGATTCCAATCACTAATCAAATAATCATTTAAGTTGTTTCTAAAGATGAATTTATAAGAAGAGAAAAATATTCCTTTTTATTTAACCAGATTATTGAAGATACATAAACGAAATATTGGACATTTTTTATTGATAAAGAATATGTTTCATCAATTAAAGATGATTAAATTATTATGGAATTATATGAAATGACTAAAGATAGATTAGGATATCATGTTCAATTCTAATCATTTGTTGAATGTTACTACAGCAAATTAGCTAATGGACTTGAAAAGGCAACAAAAAAATGTATTCATAAAACCAATATTCTTAGCCATTTCGCCTAAATTATGCGTTGATATAGGTCTTTAATGGGACATGTTGACAAAAGTAATTAAACACATAGTTTCTTACTTAAAATTCACAGACAACATTTGCTTTGAAATGGCTGAAATCGATCAAAGAAAAGTAACAATTTCTCATCATCTTAGTCAATTAATATTAAATTAGAAGGTTTTGATTCTATATTTAGATTTGGTTAAGCTGAGCTTTCAGTGTCAAATAATGTTTTAGTTGTCAAATTAAATATTGCCATGATGTCAAATGGAAACTTTTAACAATTATTGTAAACACAAAATAGATCCAAACTAAACAACAGCGAAATCAAGGAATCTATCGATATTTAGGTATCATTATTATCATATATCTAAATTAGTAATATTTATTGTCTATTTTTAATGAATAATAATTGTCACAATTATGATTTAATATTATATATCTATATTAATATGATCATACAATCTTATAGTCACCCAATTAGAGATAATTTCTTCAGGATTGCTTTTATTCTCTTTTATTCATTCAAAATGTTGCTAGGGAAATATTTTTATATATTTCTAATTAAGAGATTAAACGTATTCTTTTTAAGAATTTTATCATCTCAATTAAAATTTTAAAGTAATTTTCTTTCTGTCATTCTTTAGTATGATGCTCTGCTTTTTCATTATTGAATCTTCTGAATAATCATTGTAATTTTCTATTTCTGAATTGATTATTAAATTAAAGTATTCCTCTTACATTCGTTTGAATTGTATTGGAATTAGAATCAAAATATAAAAATAATGTATATTTTTATTTTGAAGATTGGAATTCNGCAAACTCTTACTCATTTTAAGGAGATGGAATTTAATATAATGGAAAATAATTGACATCAAATTATTAAACAAGGAGAAAAAATAAGAAAGAACTTATTATGATTCCAATCACTAATCAAATAATCATTTAAGTTGTTTCTAAAGATGAATTTATAAGAAGAGAAAAATATTCCTTTTTATTTAACCAGATTATTGAAGATACATAAACGAAATATTGGACATTTTTTATTGATAAAGAATATGTTTCATCAATTAAAGATGATTAAATTATTATGGAATTATATGAAATGACTAAAGATAGATTAGGATATCATGTTCAATTCTAATCATTTGTTGAATGTTACTACAGCAAATTAGCTAATGGACTTGAAAAGGCAACAAAAAAATGTATTCATAAAACCAATATTCTTAGCCATTTCGCCTAAATTATGCGTTGATATAGGTCTTTAATGGGACATGTTGACAAAAGTAATTAAACACATAGTTTCTTACTTAAAATTCACAGACAACATTTGCTTTGAAATGGCTGAAATCGATCAAAGAAAAGTAACAATTTCTCATCATCTTAGTCAATTAATATTAAATTAGAAGGTTTTGATTCTATATTTAGATTTGGTTAAGCTGAGCTTTCAGTGTCAAATAATGTTTTAGTTGTCAAATTAAATATTGCCATGATGTCAAATGGAAACTTTTAACAATTATTGTAAACACAAAATAGATCCAAACTAAACAACAGCGAAATCAAGGAATCTATCGATATTTAGGTATCATTATTATCATATATCTAAATTAGTAATATTTATTGTCTATTTTTAATGAATAATAATTGTCACAATTATGATTTAATATTATATATCTATATTAATATGATCATACAATCTTATAGTCACCCAATTAGAGATAATTTCTTCAGGATTGCTTTTATTCTCTTTTATTCATTCAAAATGTTGCTAGGGAAATATTTTTATAGTATCTTGCTTTTTATAATCAAATCTTAATTGCGACACATATTATATTTCTAATTAAGAGATTAAACGTATTCTTTTTAAGAATTTTATCATCTCAATTAAAATTTTAAAGTAATTTTCTTTCTGTCATTCTTTAGTATGATGCTCTGCTTTTTCATTATTGAATCTTCTGAATAATCATTGTAATTTTCTATTTCTGAATTGATTATTAAATTAAAGTATTCCTCTTACATTCGTTTGAATTGTATTGGAATTAGAATCAAAATATAAAAATAATGTATATTTTTATTTTGAAGATTGGAATTCATTTATTTTTATCTTTTTTCTAATTCAACTTCATTTTCTTTGATAAATTGCTCATTAAATTGTTTCTCTTAATTTATTTCATCAAATATTTTACCATTTAATCTACTCATTTATTCTAATGATATCTCAAATAATACTTTATATAACATAAGAAATATTTTTTTATTTCGAAAAATTTTACATCTCATGAGTTTGAATCTGAAATAACTCATAATCATTTAATTATAATAGATTTTGGTATTTAGAAACTAACAATAGTTTAGGACAACTCAATAATAAATTAAATTGGTATTCAAATATATTTTTCAACTATTTAGTGGTTTCAACTATTTCCCAATCCTCGTTTACAACCAAACTAAGAAAATCAATTTTTAAATTGACATTTTTATAAAACAAAAGCAATATCAATATCATCATTAATGTATTTAACAATAATCCAAATAAAGAAAGGAAACCTATAAATACCACATTTTTATAGTCCTCCTTTAACATCGAATTCCAATCCATAACTTAATGATTAATTAGCAATACTTCAAGCTATACTTAAATAAAAGGCTAAAATAAACACCAGTAATATAGGTCAATACACAAACTAAAAAGTTAGATTAGCATTATATTAATCAATACTTTTATAGAAGTTGATTTGTTTTTCAAATTTCTTGTTTTTGCGATACTTATTCCTCTTAAGCAAAAAATAAAGAGTGGAAAGCATAACCCAATAATTAATATCGTTTTTAGGAATATTTAGCTTAGTTAACATAATTTTTCAGGGTCAAAATATCTTAGAATTAGCAAATATTCACTCAAACTCCCTTATCTTTTAAAATTATTGTCATATTCCCCTAAATTCCATTTCTCTTATAATAATCTCATATTTTACAAAAGTAAAAGACTACAGTAAATTTCAAGCAAACCTATGCCAACTAGGCAAAATGCTTTTATTCTTGAATTTTATTTGATAATTTAACTTCAAACAAATATAAGCAAAATTTTTTCATTAACAATTCGAATAGTCGGCACTCTACTTTATTAATATATTTTATATAAATAAATACATAAATAATTAGATTAGTTTGAAAATAGAATTATAAAACCAAATTTCTATACCAAATCTTTCGATTTAACTATATTCAATTCATAATATATCTCTAAATTTAAACATCAATAAATAAGAGTATTTTTTCAAATCTTTTAAAATCATTAATTAGCTAATTTGATTCCTTGTCACCTTTATATTTACAGCTGTATTAATAACATCCAACATTGATAACAATAAATATAGAGAATATTTCAAATAAATAAGAACGCAAACACAAGTTTCATAACCATATAATGAACAAGTAAAACTGTAAAAAGTTTGTCTTAGTGGTCAAATTAATAAACTGTAAATGTTAAAATTAATAAACTGTAAAGAATTTGAATACTTATAACCATTATTTTTATATCATCTACTTTTAAGTCGTAATTTCAGATATTTCAATACTATACAATCATTAAATTCTAAAATCTTATTATATTTATATCATGAAATTCTTAAAAATTACTCCTTATTATTTCTCTTTACTTAACTCTTAGCCAATAATAATGTTGATGGAATTAAGAGAATAGCTTTAAGGATAAATAGATTTTTATTCAATTTTAAACTAGTTCATCATTTATTATATCTAAATATATCAACAAATAGTGATAAATAATTAAATGTTCCCCAGAAATATTTGAAAATACTTAAATTCTATCATTTAAGGCAATTCAATGGAGAATTAAATTTCACATTTAAATGCTGAATCTATTGACCTTATTTACAAAAAAAAATTCAAACATTTTATAATTTTGCAACCTGAAATCTAATTAATAGAAAATTGTAATCTTTCTAGAACATGATATTTCAAGCATATAATAATAATTTGAGTTATTAAGGTAAGCCAGTTTTTCGTATTAAGAAAAATAGAACTACAAACAAATATTGTTAATTCACAAATTTTATTCTTACCATTTATTGGTGAATATATTTTCGGTAGAGAAATATTAATTCCTTCATTTTAAATTTAAATTTCAATATGATTAATACAAAATGAATTCTAGAAAAATATTGTTAAACAATTTCATTTTTAAATTCTTCTTCTTATTTATACATGTTTTTGGAGCTATTTTTTTGATTTAAATGTTAGAGTTCGTTTCTTATAATTCAAGAAAATTAGAAACATAGTTTTTCTATTGGCGAACAAAAATACAATGCTTTTCTTATTGCTATAGATAATAATTAAATTTTGGGATAGATTTGGAAAATCTAATAATTAACTTTGAATGATTATGTGTTTTTTTAAGTGATTAATTGATTGATGTAATTTAAATGCTTTCAAAATTTCTTTTATTTTATTTTATCATCTTTATTATGATTTCTGCCATTACTCCCTAAATACAAAGAATAATTTATAAATTCTAACAAATTCTTTGATTTATGAAAACATGAAAACTTTTTCAATGTGGTAAATAGAATGCCGAAGGAGGAGACTCCGTTGAAATATTTAGTTAATTAAGAAGGAAAAGTTTTCTTTTTTGAGAATATTTGTAAATTGAGAAATGCGGTAATCTACAGTAGCGACTTTTCAATAAGTTAATTACATAAAAACAATGTATTTAAGTTCATTTTGAAAAGTATGAATTAATGTGTGAATTTGAAAGTAGTATGAATTGTTTTATAGATGAGATATACTTTAATATAGAAAAATTGTTTCTAGGTTTATCAGAAAAGAAATAAGAATTATGCTTAAATATTATATTTAAATAGAAATAAAGTGAATAGTATTGGAAAAATGGCAATATTCATTCTGCGAAGAGTAGCGAACGTTTTTTCAAGAGAGTGCTCTTATTTGTATTAGATAATGAGATAATTTTTGAAAACTACAGAGATATTTAAAAATATTACTAATTTTTGTTTCAATTAAAGGTTGTACATTTCTTCTTTGAGAGTTGGATTTGTAAATGATTAGATGTTTAAATCATTTAAGTATTAACAGACTCTTTCCTCTAGATCATTAACTTCTTCAGCGGCATCATAGCTTGAAGTTCTACTTAGACTATCTTCAGTAGTCCAAGATTATCTTAAGCTATCTCCATCAGAATAATCGCCTTAAAATCCGCCTTTAAGCAAGTCCATTTTGACAACAAAAGATTTAATTAACTATATAAATAATACAAATTTCAGAGATTATTATTGCTTTTAATTAAGAATAATTAAGTTCGCATCTAATATCATCTAATCATGATAAATTCTCATTAAATATATATAGATCACATTTTGAACTAAAATGGTTTACTTAATGAAATAATTAAATTCTGGTAGTGAAAAATTAGTTAATAATTTATTTATGATATAAATAGTAATTGTAAGAAAAATTCAAGTATAAAATCCGTGCAATCCTATTTTCATTAAATCAATGCAATTAAATTTTAAGTAAAATAATCATGACTATAATTTTTTATTATATGTAGCTATTAATGCAAAATAATTAAAATTGTTATTAATATAAAATAAGGGTAAAATAATATCTAAACTTGAAACTAAATATAATGATATTCTGCAAATGCATATTATTATGAAATGATAAGCAGAATAATTTGTAGCCTAATTAAATAAATTAGTTCATCAGAAAATAACACAAATCGATATTAATAACGAGGGCTTTAAAAATACTGTGAAACCTTTAAAATTCATTAATCATACTAAAATACATAGGTATTGTAACACCTTAGACTCAAAAAGTAATAATAAACTGAGTAGCAATTAGAAAATTTTTGTTTCAATCTTGGCTAAAATATTGAACTAAAATGAAAATTTTGAAAACAGTTCAGAACTGAAAAAGTATGGAGCTAATTAATAGATATTGGTTAAATAGTGGGTTAGTAGAAAAAATAAGGGAAGAATTAAATCTTGAGAAAAAGGGACAGGATATACTTTTTTATGACTAAAATTTTTAGAATCAAATATAGAATCGAAATTAAAGCAAAATAGCCAATTCAACAACACCAAAAGAAGCTATTATTTAACCATAATAATTGTATTTGAAATTTTTTGAATACTTCTTAAATTTTTCCATTCATTGCGAATAATTTACGAAATTGTATAGTAGCTTAGCTTAGCATAATTGTTCTTAATTATGTAAACATAGAATGTTGAGTTGATTTCATAAACAAAAAAAATTAATATTACTGCAATGTGTATGGATTCAATTAAAATTGTGAATTTCCAGTTAATATAATAAATATGCATTAATTTCAGAAATTTCAACTATTTTATTTATTATTGTAAATTATTTATTGATGTAAAGATAAATTTTTTCACCATGAAAGGAAAATTTCTTTTCATATCACTAAAATTATAAAATAAAAACAATTATTTTGATTTGTCTCTCTAATTATAATTATGCAAAAATTCTGAGGATAAGCATAATTCATTTTTCATTCATTAAACTTAAAAATTCAAAATTTTAATTAAATTATATATATTGTATCAGCCATACAAAAGCTTTTGATTTAAATTAAAATTTGTTTTTTAGTACATAAATTTTGAAAAAAGAGTATTGTATTATTAATCTATCTATACACATTGTTACTTAAACATGTTTTAATTTAAAAAAAAAGGTTTTAAAAAGTTAAATACTTAAATAGTTTTTTAGCATAAAATATCATTCAGTTGGTGTTGGGTTAATGCAAGTATTCCCTACAATCAGGAATTTGAAACTCTAAAATATCCATTTAGGTAGAGGATATTCTAAAATGAGTGGGTTTTGATTCCAATTTCCTTTTTAAATTTATAAGGATTTGGCATTAAAAATGTATTACCAAAGATTTTAGTTTTATCATATTTTCCTAGAAGAATTATAAGAAAATCTAAAACATACCTTATGTTAGAAGGCAAAGATTCTTTATCATCATTCTGGAAGGATGAATATAATTGAAATAGTTCAAAAGTAGAATATTTATATTTATATGAGGAGGAAGTAGCTATTAATGGGTAAGAGAACTAGTTTTAAGAATTGATTTAACGATTAATCTATTAATTGTTTTTTGATAAAATTCTCCATTTTTGTGTGTAATTAACTATACAAAGAAACTAATTCAAATTCTAAGATGAATCTAATTTACTCTGTATTATTAAAGATTAAATATTGCTTTGTTCTAGCCACATCCTAAGATCTTTTTGATTGATAGTTTTGTAATTTTTTTATGACTCGTTTAAACATCTACATCAACATATGATAACTTTTGGTTTTCAAAAACAATGCAGTTTGATTTAATACTCTTGATGGGTGTCAATACAGGATCCAAGGGGTATCAAATATAAATATATTGCTCCCAGAAAGTCACTGTACTTAAGAAGCTCTATTTTGTTTAATCCCAAATAATATGACTACCTCAACAATTATTAAAGCTTTGTTCGAATGACACAATTTTGTTTCAGTTTTGTAAATTACTCTGTTCAGATTATCCAATAAGTGTTCCTGTCCAAATATGTAGATATCTTGACTTTGTTTTGATACCTCCCAAAAGGTTTTGGCTTCACAATAAACTTAGAAGAATTCTTTATATAGTTTCATTTTATCTAGAATTTTACAAATTAAATAGTTAAGTAATTTTTATTTTTAAATTCCTTTTAATTATAGCAGTTAATATCATCTATCTTATAATTAAAAATAAAATTTGTATTATGTATTGTGTCGCTGTCGTTTTCGTGTACTAGAATTTGTCTTGACATGATAAATTAAAACAATAGCTTTTATATATTTAAATTAACTTATTTTTAATAGTAAAAGTATTCATATGAGATGAATATTATTTCAATCCATTTCTGCTTGATCTTGTTCCAAATCTTCAATAGGAGGTATACAACTATTAAATGACTTTATGGATGGAAAAAGTGAATTATCGTTAGTTAATTCTGATTTTTTACTATTTTGTTCCTCCTATAAAGAATGAATCTAATATACTTACTGAATCAGAATCTGTATATGACATATAATCTTAAAGCTAGATGGATACCTTCCTTGCATGATCTATTCTCTTGAAATTTCATAATTACTTTACTCTATTTATGGAAATTCAACTTCCGAAACTAAAGATTTGATTCCAAGAATTTGAATGGATGGATTATCATAATTTACAATGACAATTTATTTTAAGGATTGTACATTCATCTCCCTATTAGGACAGCATTCCCATATACAATTTTAGTCATCAATAATTACCACTTTAAATTCTAACTTTGAATCTAGTCATAAATATATATTTTTAAATACATGCAGGTAGTTCTAAAGGATAGTCAGTAAACCAAAGTGGGTACATACTCTCATTAGTGAGAAGTTATAAACCATAAGTTGGATTCCAATTTCCCAATTAAGGTTTGTTTCCAACAACTTTGACACGCTAATAAAACTGAGTTTTGCAATAAATTCTAAAAAAAACTTATGTATTCATCTACTTATTTTTTATATAATTTTTTACATATATCTACACATATTAAATCACGTTCTTATTTGTGATTGTGCGTCATAGAATATTATAATAAATATTTAATTAATACAAAAAAAATCATTTTTTTGGCGAAACACATAATTGTTAATTTATAGTTGAATTTGAAATGTATTTGATAACTGTGCATCTCCTTATTTTATTGAAATATTAGCATAATTATTGATCCTATTATGGATAATAGTTTCTAGGAATTAAACTATGAATTTACAATTAATTTCTTCATAAAAAACTCAAAATTTAACCAAATAACACTTAATTCTAACCAATCATCTCATATTATCGACCCTCATTCAATATTATTTCTAGAATTTCTATTAATCCTCTCTAAATAAAATATTTGTAAAGCATTATTTAAATTATTATTAGATTACCTATTAATTGATGGTATGATTGATACAAATCATTTTATTTTCAAAATATCAAAAATGTATAAACTAATCAATTAAACTGCTCTTTTATAAAATATCATATTTTTATATTACAAATATTTCTAAGTTATATATTTTTAGATATTGGAATTTGATCAAAATCAAATAATATATAAGAAAAATTGATCGTATTTCATATTCAGAATTCAGGGGGCAAAAGGTCTTCTGACTATCTTGATTTAGGACCTGAATGAGGAGAACGTTGTACCTTGCCTGGAAATTCGTATTCTGAATTATCATCTGTAAATATAAATATTTGATACGATATAGATTCTTTCGAATATTTAATCCAAATAATTCTGCTAAATCCTTCTACCTAACCAAGGAAATAAGTTATTAAGTGAGCAATTAGTCATCCTTCTTTTGCTCGTATTGTTCAAGTTATTAAAAAATTTCCACCTACTCAATGATTACTTTTTCTATGAAAATAGAATTGGGTATTACCTTTCAATTGTTATTTTTCATGATCATCTATCAATTGTTACTTATACATCTCTTGGATGTACCAAAATAATTTAGAATGTGGCAACTCGAAATTTTACATTAGAATTTTATTTGTTAAATTATTGATTTAAATATTATCGATATTTATACTAAGAAAACAAATTATTTAGAATATTTTAATAATTAATAATGCAGCCATTTTTTGCGCAATTTAGTATGTTCCGACAATTTGTCTCTGAAGATCCTAATTTATTCAACACCAGCTCTAGCGACTTGTATTTATGTTATTTATTATTAGTTTCCAATCATTCGACAGCGATATATCAATTTAGTTTGCCAATTAATCGCCGCCAATTATTCATATTGAAAACTCAGGAATATAAATGATATCCATCATTAGAAACGAAGGAAGGAGCGGGTAATATTTACATTTGAAATTAGACAAAAAAAGTAGATCTAAGAAATGTACACAAGATTAAGAAAACATGAAATATAAAACAATGAATTGAATAAAAATGAACCTCATATCAAAATAACTGTTACAAAAAACCAAAATCTCTTAAACTCGTCTTCCTAAATTGAATATTTTATTAATTAATTTGGGTATTTAAGTTTTCAAATTCAAGTTTGATAGGTTCAATAAAAAATGCAGATTCAGAGGATGTTATCATTGGTAGGCAAGAGAAACTCGAAAACTATTAAGGTTAATTAATTTTTCCAAATGATATAAGTACATAAATAAATAATTTTTAGTTTTAAGAGAAACTGAGAGGTTGATATCAAGAATTCATTGCAAAATTATCTTTAGAAACTTTTTTAGAAAAGAAAATTAAATATTGCCATTGTATTAAAAAACCATAAGTCAATTAAAATTACATTATAATATCAAATAAAGAATTACTTAATTTTTAGAGTAAAATAATTATATATTTTAGGGAACCTAAGGATTGTTATATATAAGATATTGGTAGCGTTTTTGGAACACACATCAAAATTGATAGAAACTATGTGAAATTGAAAAAATATCAATAGTATTCTATAGGTAGTGAAACTACAATTTAGATTCTTGAAATTCATAATTTAGGATCAGAATATAAACAAAGGGATATAGAATTTGATAAATTGATATAAAAGTTAAGAAATATCAAATATAAATGCTCACTTTAGGGATTAGATCTAAAGTTATATGAAAGATCATTGCATGTAGATTAAAGTTTTGATTAAATACTAACAAATCTAAGATGTTATAATATTCCATTTATAATGATGAAGTTTGGAGGATCTGGAGTAACAGACATTAATCAAAATATCTTTTTCGCTAAAGACCCTAATGCTGTTTTTTCAATAGGAAGAGGAAATGATAATAATATAAGAATCAACTCAAATACAATATCTAGGAAATAAACAAGATTTAGATTTAATCGAAAGTATAAATTTTAAAATGATATAATTACAGAGAAAACAATTGGGAGATTGCAGATGGAAGTTAAGATAAAGATTCAGCAAATGGAACATGGATGTAACTTTAAACAATATAAGAAAGAGAGTAAAAACTTGGATCATAAGCCTATCCTTTGAAAAATCTTTCAGAAATAAAAATAAGTGATTATACTTTGAAAGTCGAATTCTTGAAGGGAAAGTATTATTAATTTATAAATTTAGCGAGAAAGAAAAAGCTAGATTTTAAGTCATGAAATCTTTGTTATGATAATTTTTTTTTGTATTGCTATTTTTTGTTGATAACTTAGCCATTATTTTCTTTATAATTTATTTGTTAAGTTAGATTAAGATAAGTTATTACTTATAGTTGTTGATTATTCATGAAAGTAAATTGTCTTTATGGTATTCTTAAATTTCAAACGATAATCAAGTTATTTCTAAATTTTTGGCTTTGCAACATTATGAATTTCAAGTACAGATTTTCTCCTTCAAACTTAAAAGAATTGTATTGAATATTATTAAATAAAATAATGTATGATTTTTTTGAAGAATCTCAAACTGAAAAATAGAATGTGCATTAGGATGGGCTTTAAGGGGAATAGGTAAAACTTAAGAGTATATTAGATTGCTACTTATGATGCTTTTTCAAACGAGACATCAACTCAACCAATTACACTAAATACATACGTGGTACAATTCAAGTTAATTATAGAGCCCAGAATAACAATAACGAAAAGATAAATTGAGAATTCTTGAAGATGAAAGAAAATCTCAAATTAGAGAGAAAGATTAATAAGAAAGAGTATTAAAATAATAAAAAAAATAAAAAGGCTAGGAATTTTTGTAAGAGTTTAAAAAGTAATTATACTTATTTATAAAAGATAATAAGAAATGGAAATTTTATAAAGAAGAGGTCAAAATTAGTAGAAATAAGAGATTTTGAATGAAAATCAGAAACATCATAATCAATATGTATTGTAGTTTTCCCAATATCAAGAAAAACTCTTGGGATTAAATAGCTTCAAATATTGCGTTAAAAGATGGGGAATATCCTGGAGTAAAAGATGTAACAAAGATGAGATAAGCAATCCTTAATAAAAGAATCAATCTGACTAAGTGATGTCCATTAATTATAATATCAGCAATCAATTCATAGTAATGTGTGCATCATAATCCTTAATTCAATCATTATCCAAATATTTCATATCTATATCAATTTCTCTAAAATATAAATTGTATTTAAATCATAAATTTGGATCTTTAAGAGTCAGCATTCTAATTTTTCCTTTCTAAAACATCGTCCAAAAATAAAACTTCTTCTGGCTAGGTGGATAAATTTAACAGCATACTTTATATATAATTAGAAATATTCAGTTTCTAATTGTCATATTCCTATAGTTTCAATTTTAAATTAAAGCAATCATTATAATAGAGACTAAAATTAATGTAAACGAAATTGATGAAACAAGGATTTTCTATTTATATTTTAAATAAAATTGATTTTAAATTTAAGACTTGTTCAGAAAAGTCTGTCATTGCCCTTGCCGATGCTGTTTATAAGAATTCTACAACAATTAAGCTTCTTCTGTTTCTAAAATATTAATACATTTTTGCTAATAATCTTTAGCAATTAATTCTTATGCGATTATTTTGGATATATATATCAATACAGCTTAAATTCTTAATAAAAAGGATCTTTCAAATGAATTGATACAAATTATATGAATTTATTAATTTACTTCATTAATAATTTGATACAAAACGTTAGTAGGTTTATCCAGAAAGTAATATACGAAATCTGAAAGAAAAAGCAAATTAGCTTGATTTATATTAATATACTCTTATTCACATTATTTGATTTATAAAGAAGGTTGATTCAGCTTATAAATTACTGCTGTAAAAGCAGAGTCCTTTCAATATGGAAAAAAATCTAATTGCTTAATTATTCTTTTTAACTATAAATTAATGCTACATTAAAACATAAATCAGAAGTAGTTTTATGCATAGTTGCAATTGGTTTTAATTTCTTAATAAGTTCTAATAGAATAAGAGTGTTAGATATAGTTTTAATTTTATCCGTTATTAATAGTTAATATTGATTATAAATTTATTATTAAAAACCCTATAAACATAGTACAGTTTGAATATCAAAAATTTTGTGGTTTCTGCTTTGGCTTTATTGCAAAATGATTTTTAATAACTCGGATTAATTTGTTTTTGTCAATTTGTTTGAAATTTCTAGTTCTGGTATGATTAGAAACTTAATCAATCAATCAATCAAGTAAGAACAAATTTTAAATAATAATTTTTAATTTAACAATTAAAATGTTACTGGAGTCATGATTTTGGGAAGTTCATTATTGGAGTAAACTCCATAAATGAATTACTAATAATCTAAAAATTTAAAGAAAACTGTGGCAGCACTAAAATTTTCATATTTATAAGTATAATCATAATCAATCATTTTATATAAATATATTACTTACTAATACCTATCCAATAATAAATCCTACAAAGTTTAGATTGAAAATTTATTAATTTCACTAATTACTTGTAAATATTGTTTTGCAAAATCAGTTTCATTTAGATACTATTCATTTTTTATTAAATTCTAATTCAATAGTTTAGTTTTGTCATAAATGATAAATCTCAATTTAAAGAAACTTAACATAGGTTGTAGGATGGCCTTTTTAATTGACAATTATCAATTTTTTTAATTTTTTTATATATGAAAAGTTTGTAACAACAAGGATACTACTATTCCTAATAAGGATGAAACCACTAACAAGATGATAGCAAATATGTTTTTAGTTCTTTTATAAAAACATTTTATCAATATATTCTTTCAATTTGTCTTAAAAAGTTGAATCATAAACCTCTTTTTTTTCTGTTGGAGTCAGACCAACTTGAACTGATAGTTTTATGATTTAATATCTGAATAAAATTAAGGCAAGCTTAATTATTTTGAGAAGTTATTCTTAATTATAGAAATGTAGTCATTTATTTAATTAAATTTGATGATAATGAAATTCTATCTGCCCTTTTAATAATCAAAAGTAATATCAAATATGACAATTAATTATTGTGGTATTTTTTTTGATTAAATTTCAATTTAAGATTCAAATCTGTCCAAAAGATTTATATTTGTAAATCTTTCAGTCATTTTAGTCTTTGTTAAATCAAAGATATGGCATTATTGAATAAAATAGAACTCAATTAAAGAAACTGATCTATTCTCTTCTACAAAAATCTAAAATTGAGGTATTATAATTTGAATATTAACCCATATATCATGTCTTATGGTTAAAGGTAATCAATTTGTAATTTTGAAAGATTTAATAAATCCAAGAGAATTTATTTTTACTAATAATTTGGAATTAGTTATTTAGAATCATCTAGACCTTTATATCATAAAGTTCTAGAATATATTAATAACCTTAGTTCAGTTAAACTATTGTAAGAGTCTAGATAAGATTCTGCCATCTAAATATAGTTCTTTTAAAGGATGAACAAGCGAGAATTCTCTTTAAATCTATATGATTAATCAGTTTAAAAGGAACATTCACATTCTATCCATGATAATCTTGAATACTTAAAGGAATTAGGGAAGCAATATAAAAATGTAATACTGTTTGAAAAATGATTTTGCATTACTTGACGCTCTTCAATTTTACTTTGTACACTTTAAGATAATAGAAATTTACCGTGTATAATGAAATAATTTGTTCCGACTTAATATTAATGATTCTTACTGCAAGAATCATCTCCGAATTTCGTAATCAAAAAAGCTACTTTATTTTATTTAGCTAATAGTTCTATACTGGTTTATTTACATTAGGATTATAATTCATACTAATTTTTGTATATTTGGAAATGTAAAATTATCAAAAATTTTACAAAAACTATTCTATTTTTTAATTATTTAAATAAGTTGACAACTAAAAGTAAAGCTATAATTTTAAATATTCCAAAATTATAATTAGTGATAGTAGTGATACTGAAAAGAACATTTAAGTATTCTGTTATTGATAAAATAATTGCCATACTTTACGCTGTAATTATTACAATATAAGCATTAGAATCTAAGTAATGAAAATTTGTAAAAGACTTATCAACATTAATATAGATATTAGAAATGCGATTGTTGTCTCATAGATCTTGCCTAGTATAAAACTATACAATAAAATTTAAATCCTATTGCATGAGATCAAAAAATGTTATATAAAATGTGGATTATATTGTGATTTATAAGACAATATATTTTCATTAATCAGTAATTTTGTGATGTTAAATAACGTAAATTATATCAGTTTTATTGTTATAAGGATGTTATTAATATTAGATTAGTCTTTGATCTTATTCAAAGTGATTTCAAAAGGTAAGTTAATGATTATAACATAAAACTAATAAATAAATGCTGAATTCATATAAATTAATTTAATTCATTTGTATTTTTTCTAAATAACATTTTTCAAAGTAATCTTTTATTAAAATAAATCTTATTTATTATTGAGATAATTTCTAAGTTATTATGTCATTGTAAATAATATCAGTATAAGAAGTTTGTTTGTAAAGGGATATGGATTATTTAGTATGAGAAAAATTTTCATAAGGTCAGAAATCCAAGTTACAAAAAGTGAATTTATTTCATAGATATATCTATACTTTATATTAATAAAAGAAATCATTAAATCATGATGATAATACAAGAAAAGTGATATATATTAATAAAAAGCCCACAAAAAAATTAAATATAACATTATATTATTAATAATCCAATCCTTAATTAGAAATTATAATACCCCTTAACCATATTTTATAACAATTATTTATTTAAAATAATAGAAAATCACTTTGAATTGCAATTTAATTTTTGCTACTAATTTAAAATATTATGCCAAGTTTAAATAGTAAGTATCTCAATTTGACTTTAAATTGAATTTACAGATTTTTCTTAGTGTCATATACTAGGCTAAGCATCTTCCATTAATAACTATTTTCGATATAGGATTTATAAGGAACGAATTTGTATTACTCAAAAATAAAAATAATGTATGTAGAATTGAACAACTTGATTCTTCCTCACTCTATCAAGTTTAAAAAGTCAGAGTATATCTAATTAGAATTTTATTCTTTATGAAATCGAAATATATTTTAAATTGATCAACTTACTAATATACCGTAAATAAATTAAATATTTTTTCTAATGAACCACTCTCTGCAAAAGAAAGAAAAAGGGTTTATAGGCAATTTAAAATAGCTCTTAAATGTATTTTTTGAATAAATATTAGAGTTCTGAGTACTCCAATATCATTAATGTCTTAGAATCTAATAATGGTTTCATCATTCTTAATTTAAATGAATTTTAAAGTCAAATATTAAAGAACCATTTTAAACATTCTAATATGGCTAGTTTTAAAAGGTTAGTAATCGATGTATTAACTAGATAATTAAATATGTATGGATTTGAGTTTTCTAGGACATAAGAAGGTTTAATGAAATTTTATCACAATCAATTTGATAGTAGGAATAATGAAAGGCTCTAAATGAAATAAAATACAGCCAAAAACACATTAACACCAGATCAAGAATTATATTTGTTAAAATTACAAGTGCAAGATATTTAAAGAAATCAACAAATTATGTAAAGTTAAATCAGAGAAATCATAGACAAACAGTAGGAGATCCAAAAAAATATTAAAAAGGCTATGCTTGTATTAGCCTTGTATTATTTTAGGACTACGTAAGAATAAGAGTTAACGGATAAACGAAAGGAAAAAAAGTGGGAAAATTTGTTTGGAAATTCCATCGAAATATCACAAATAAGAAATATAGTATAAATTTTATCTTAGAAATAGAAAGATTCCTGTATCAGAAATGGAAGGAAGCTAACTCTTATTAAGAATGTCTTTGCATGGGATACCAACCATAATAAACCTTTAAATAATAATTTTATACGTTCCCTTTATTGAATAACTCGATTTTTGATATTAAGATTCCAAATTTGAATAATAGAGGTCCAGAAATGTTAGAACTCTGCGATACATAAGATCAAAATGACAGTAGTGATTTAGATTTAATGGAAGTTGAAAGTGTTAGCAATATCAGTAACTATTTTGATTTATGATTCTTAAAATGTACTATGAAGCAATATTAAGAAATATTTTATCAAAGATAATACCATATACTTTCTTATAAAATTTTTAAAAAGTTTAGGAATTATTTCTTTTCTAATTAATACAAACTATAAATTAATAACATATTGCTTTCATAAGCAAATGGTTAAACAAAGGAACTCGAAAAACGGTTTTATGTTTAAGCTTAAATCGATTCTCCTTGTAAAATTTATAAAAATACACTAGAATAATAAATATAGTGAAATTTTACAAATCAACCTTGATAAAAATGGCTTCATTATTAATGATCTGGATAAATTCAAGAATCAAGTCTTAAAAGAAAACTATCGACACACTAATTTTAATAGTTTCAGAAGGTATTAAAATATTTTAGTTTAAGATCCTTAAATTTGTATGGGTTTTCTTCAAAAAAATGCAAAAAAAGGAAAATATTGTATATAAACCCTAATTTCAATATAAATTCAGAGGAACTCCCAAGAATTCAAATAAGACCAGTTGAAATATAGGATTTCAAAAGTGAACTGATTAGGGACTACAATATTTTATTAGTTATTCGGGAGAGTTAAAAAAAAATCATGCAACAAGTTTAATAACTAGTTGAGGCTTAAAATATATTACACTTAAAAATTCAGAGATAATATTTAGCTTATTTAAAGGAGAGAATATTTTAAAGAATTCGATTTAGGAAATTAGAACGATTTTGTTTTTGCTTCTATTTTAATATACAAGATTAAAAATACAGTAACAAATTAAAATGTATTGAATAGAAAAAATCATAGAAAGAAGTCTGGTGATAGTAGCAAAAACACTTTCACAGTCATCTGAAAGTTAAATGATATTAGATGCTTACAATTTGAAATAATAACATGAATCATATTAATAGCAGTTTAGTATGTTTTTGGATAGACATCTTCTATCTAATGGAAACAGTAAAGCATTATCAAACAGTCCAGGAGAGTTTGACTTGAATTAAAGTTTTAGTGCATTGAGTAACTACTTCGAGTTTTGAGAAATTAGATACTAAAATGATAGGATATTTATGAAATAAAATAATTATTAAATATTAATCAAATAGCTCCATCGACTCTGGTCATGACTGCGCAAGAGTTACCTGGTTTCAACCAAATATGTCCTTGTTCTCCCCATCCTTCACCCCATGAATTTCTAATCTTCCAATTTCCTGCATAATCAAAACCAACGGCCACAACAGCGTGATTATGGAAATCATCTCTGCATGCTCCATCATATACTCCTTGATTATAGAATTTCCAATAAGTGGCATCAACACTCACAGATAATGGATAATTTTAGATTCCCTTTTTGATAGCATCTTCATTTGGACCATAGTTTTCTCTTCCTGAAATTCTAACCTTTCCTTATTTTACCTTGCATACACCATCTTTTGCAGTCTATAGATATTTTGATAAAAATTACATATTCATAGTCTCTTTCATAAACAGAACCAACTTCAGCGATATAATCCAATGCCAAATCTGAATTACCTCCATTACATCCTTCTCCTGCATCGACTGCACAATCTACCAATTGTTATTCTGACAATACTCCTTTAAAGCCTTTTCTGATAATCAGGAAACCTTCAACTGCTCCTACTGCAGAGAAAGTCCAGCATGAACCACAATTACCTTGATTCTTAATAGGATTCATTCTGCTTGCCCAATCAGCGTCTCCTAGGTTATTTCCTTTGCTCAATTCAATATTATCAGTCTTAACATAGGTGGGTTTTCCTAGATACATAGATTGGAATTCCTCATCAGTAAGATCAGCAAATTAATTGATTGCCATGCTATAGCTTTTGTTGGGGTTTGAATTATGTTTGTTAATTAATTCAACATTTTAATTAAAGATGATCTATCTATATATTTCTTCATTTTAAGTATAGAACTTGTTAAATTTCTTTTACCAAGTTTTAAAAGAGTGTGCCTCTTCGTTTTAATTGTAGAAGGCTAAACCACTTATTAACAAAGCGGTAGCAAGCAAAGATAAAATTTTCTACATTGAATTAAATAATAATAAGGATTTTATATACAATATATACGTTGAGTGATGACATCATTGAATAACAAATAATTAATTCAATTATTGAACTAAGTATATATTATCATTTAATATATTTAGTTACATGAATAATTAAGAAACACTAATAATGTTATAAATTAGTTGATCATAATATGAAATCTAATGAATTTACTTTTATTTTAAAAATTAACAGGAAAAATATTATATTTAATTTGTGATGTAAATTTGGAAATTATTAAATTAGAAAATCTTATTTTAGTATGCTCGACAAATTAAACCTCGTATTCCAATATAAATTGATGAATTAAATAAACAATTTGAATTACAAAAATTAGCTATTAAAGAACAAGCAGAAAAATAGATTAGACATGCTCATTCAATTGCAGACTTAATTAATTTGAACAATGACGTAAGTTAATATGTTGATGTTACAGAACCTATACTCAAACGACTATCCAAACTCAAAATTACCTCCGAAGAATTTTCTTTAAATTAAGAATTCATTTAGAAATTAGTAAATAACAATACAAGTTAACTGATGTTTAACTTACTCTAATTTTATGAAAATGATCGTATTGAGAGGGTGATATTCGATGCATATAAAAATAAAAAATTGTCAATTACATAAGAAAACAATCTTCGACTTTTATAGATTATTGTTAAACATGGGTAATAAAAAGATTTGGAAGAATGGTCTTAAAATTGGGAATTTCAATTAAATGGCAAGAACATCTCTAAATTTTATAGTATTTTAGATTCTCTTGAAGGGAAATTACCCGATAGAGAAATCATAGTCAATAAAATAGAATAATCAATTTTTAAATATATACATTAATATGAATATGAAACAATCTTCAAAATCTTATAATATAGATCCTTCAATGAAAAAGTAATAAATGAAGATTTACTTATTGCAATTTTAAGAAGGCTTTATCAATTAGAATTAAATTTAGAATAACTAACTAATATCAACCAATTTCTGACTGTTGAGTTATAATATTTAGATGCCTAATGGCTCAATTAAATAAATAAATCAGTTATGCAATAGTTATATCCCAATTAATAATTATTTGACCAAATAGATAATAATCTAAATGATTAAGAGGAAGAAATCATTTAGAAAAACCCAGAAAAAAATACAAAAAAGGAAACTGAAATAAATTCTGAAGTCATGGGCGAATTGGATGAAGATTAGCTGCTAAAATTAGTTAAAGATTTGGAGTTAAGAACAGAGCCATTCAAAGTTACAGATATCGAAAAATTGTTCTTAAAGTTAATGGATTAATTTTCAAAAGTAGTCATTGTAAATGATCTGAATTTGATTGCTTTATCATTTTTCAAAGAATTAGATGCTTATATGATGTAATTCCTAAATCATTTAATACCTGACGAATAATTAATTTGCTTTAAATTTCATGCTAAATATATTGAAACAATTTACAATGAGTAATAGTAAGACCCAAAACAGTATAAGAAGTCTTGTCACAAAAAACTGGAATAAATGAATAATTCCTATTATGAAATTACTTTGCAATGTCTAAAAGAGTTAAATTTCGAATAGACGTTAACATTTTTAGAAGCTGTTTCAGTTTTGGGAGTCAGTAAAAGAAAAGTTTGTTAAAGAATTATGAGCGTTGGATTTGAAGGATTGTAAAAATTAGATTAATGCAAACTTTAGAATCATAAAAAGAATTATGCTCTGTTTGTTTATTATAAACTATTGCAATTATTCATTACTTAAGAATCCGATATTTTGTATAAATTAATAAATATAAACCATTAGGTAAATTGAAAAATAATTTTAAGAAATAAAAATCAATACTTTAGATCTTTAGACTGAATATTCTCACCTTGGCATTAAAAGACAAAAAATTTAAGATTTGGAAAACAAAAATAAGAATGATGATGAATTATAAATTTGATCAGATTTACTGTGTATAAAATTCATTCAAACAACCCTTTCTTCTATAGAATCTTCTTCAATTAAACTTATATTTGAATGAGAGATGAGATAATTTAAGTTTATTCCAATTATAACAATTTATGAAATTAAATCGAAGTATTTTATTTAAATCATTGTAAAACTTCAACATTCAAAGTAGAAGGTAAGATTATTATTGTAAAATTTAGATTATAAATAATTAAAAGACCTTAAATTTAATTAACAACAATATATTTATATTTATCATCATTAAGATAGTATTTTCTCCAGTTCTTCTAGATCATCGAACTCATGTTTAATTGGAAGTTTGTCTAACCATCCATCCTAATATTTAGAGGATTATGTTTCAAGTTTATTGTTATTATTATTTAAATTATTTAACTCGAAAATGGAATGATTATCATTATCATCAAAAAGAATCATTGACTCCTCATAGAATTTTTATTTTTTTGGTTGATCCAATTAATCCAAAAATTGCTCTAATTCATCGATGAAATCTTAATCATTTACAATAGTCTTTTTAATTGGAGGTCCTGGATTATATTTATTCATCAAGTCTAATAGATTTATGTAATTGATGCTCTCATTAATTCTACTTTGATTAACCAAAGAATGCAATAGCATATTGTTCTGGGTTTCATCTTAATCTCCCATTATATAATATTAAAATAATTATATAAGTAAAGATGGAAATCTATTCTAAACATTCTCACTTTAATAATTAATATGCAATCAATAATCTCTTATTGGATCATATATGTGGTCTAATTTAAATATTTATATACATGTTTAAGAAGAAAATTTCAATGCTAAAATCTTGTTTAAATATTTCAAAATTAACATTCCGAAGTCTTTTTTATTTTTCAATGGATCAACCATAAGTTCCACCAACTGGAGAGCAAGCCATAAGCAAATCCCAAATGAAATATCTTAAAAAGTAAGAGGAGAAGGAAAAGAAGAAAGCTGAGAAGGGAGCCGAAAAAGGTTAATAACAAGAGATTGCTGCAGATAAGGAAAAAAAACCAAGTATTGACAATTGTTATGATTATAAGAAAAACCTGAATAAGAAGCAGAAGAAGAAGTAGATCCTCGTCTCTTCCATGAGAATAGATCCAAATAAGTGCTAGCACTTAAACAAACTAAAGACCCGTATTTAATTTTATTTAAAATAGAAACCCATACCCTCATAAATTCCAAGTGGATTTAACCATAGCCCAATTTAGAGATAAATATGGTCCACTTTGTACAGAAAAAGGCAAAATTCATGAGGATTTTGTCTCAGTGGCAGGAAGAGTGGTCACCATTAGATCAATGGGAGCAAAACTAATGTTTTATGATTTATAAGGAGAGGGAACTAAAATTTAAGTGATGGCTAATTAAGCCAATCACAAAGACTAAGAGTTGAGCTTTGAAAAAATTCATTCCTTGATTAAAAGAGGTGACATTATTGGAGTAAAGGGAAATCCTTGTTTAACCAAGGCAGGAGAATTAAGTATTGCACCAGGTGTCATTCAATTGTTATCACCAACATTACATATGTTACCCACAGCTCATTTTGGATTCAAAGATCATGAGTAAAGATATAGAATGAGATATTTGGATTTAATTATGAACAAGAAAGTCAGAGACATATTCCTTACAAGATCATCAGTGATCAAACAATTAAGAGAATATTTTGATGGTAAAGGATTTATTGAGGTTGAAACTCCCTCTTTAAATGTTATACAAGGAGGAGCCACTGCTAAACCATTTAAGACATTCCATAATTCTTTACATAGAGATTTATTCATGAGGGTTGCTCCAGAGTTATATCTTAAGATGTTAATAGTAGGCGGATTAGACAGAGTCTATGAAATTGGTAAAAACTTTAGAAATGAGGGAATTGATTAAACTCATAATCCTGAATTCACTGCTATGGAATTCTATTGGGCTTATTGTGATTATAATGATCTCATGACTGTCACTGAAGAAGTCTTGTCATAAATTGTGTTAAAGTTGAAAGGAAGTTATAAATTCAAAATTCATAAGGGTGACAATCCTACTATCACACTGACTGAACATGACATCAAATCTGGTCATTTTAAAGAAAATGAAGAAGATTTCATTGAACTTGACTTCACACCACCTTGGCCAAGAGTTTCAATGATGTCAGAATTGGAAAAGAAATTAGGAGAAAAATTACCCGAAGTTTTGGAAAGTGAAGAAGCTAATGCCTTTTTTAATGAATAAGCTAAGAAACATAAGGTTGAATGCTCTAATCCAAGAACTACTGCTAGATTAATTGATAAATTAGTCGGTCATTTCTTAGAAGTCAATTTCAAGAATCCCACATTCTTAATTGATCATCCTTAGTTAATGAGTCCATTGAGTAAGGTTCATAGACAATATCCAGGCTTAACTGAAAGGTATTACTTAAAACAAATATAGATTTGAACTCTTTGTTAATTATCATGAATTGTGCAATGCTTATACAGAATTGAATGACCCATTTGTATAAAAAGCATTATTCCAAAAGTAAGTAGAAGATGCTGCCAAAGGTGATGATGAAGCAATGGGATATGATGAAGGGTTCATTAAATCTTTAGAACACGCTTTACCACCGTAATGATTATCAAATATTTAATTTTAGAACTGCAGGATGGGGTCTTGGTATCGATAGATTTGTGATGTTGTTAACTGATACACAAAATATCTAAGAAGTTCTTCTGTTCCCAGCAATGAAACCTGAAATGACTATAGAGGAGATGTAGAAAATCTAAAAAGAGAAGGAGGAATAAAAATAAAAATAATAACAACAATAATAATAACAATAATAGTAACAACAATGAGGCATATTAAATAAATAAAAAAAAACATATAAAGAGTTCAATATTTTATTATTTACATTAAACCANATTACATATGTTACCCACAGCTCATTTTGGATTCAAAGATCATGAGTAAAGATATAGAATGAGATATTTGGATTTAATTATGAACAAGAAAGTCAGAGACATATTCCTTACAAGATCATCAGTGATCAAACAATTAAGAGAATATTTTGATGGTAAAGGATTTATTGAGGTTGAAACTCCCTCTTTAAATGTTATACAAGGAGGAGCCACTGCTAAACCATTTAAGACATTCCATAATTCTTTACATAGAGATTTATTCATGAGGGTTGCTCCAGAGTTATATCTTAAGATGTTAATAGTAGGCGGATTAGACAGAGTCTATGAAATTGGTAAAAACTTTAGAAATGAGGGAATTGATTAAACTCATAATCCTGAATTCACTGCTATGGAATTCTATTGGGCTTATTGTGATTATAATGATCTCATGACTGTCACTGAAGAAGTCTTGTCATAAATTGTGTTAAAGTTGAAAGGAAGTTATAAATTCAAAATTCATAAGGGTGACAATCCTACTATCACACTGACTGAACATGACATCAAATCTGGTCATTTTAAAGAAAATGAAGAAGATTTCATTGAACTTGACTTCACACCACCTTGGCCAAGAGTTTCAATGATGTCAGAATTGGAAAAGAAATTAGGAGAAAAATTACCCGAAGTTTTGGAAAGTGAAGAAGCTAATGCCTTTTTTAATGAATAAGCTAAGAAACATAAGGTTGAATGCTCTAATCCAAGAACTACTGCTAGATTAATTGATAAATTAGTCGGTCATTTCTTAGAAGTCAATTTCAAGAATCCCACATTCTTAATTGATCATCCTTAGTTAATGAGTCCATTGAGTAAGGTTCATAGACAATATCCAGGCTTAACTGAAAGGTATTACTTAAAACAAATATAGATTTGAACTCTTTGTTAATTATCATGAATTGTGCAATGCTTATACAGAATTGAATGACCCATTTGTATAAAAAGCATTATTCCAAAAGTAAGTAGAAGATGCTGCCAAAGGTGATGATGAAGCAATGGGATATGATGAAGGGTTCATTAAATCTTTAGAACACGCTTTACCACCGTAATGATTATCAAATATTTAATTTTAGAACTGCAGGATGGGGTCTTGGTATCGATAGATTTGTGATGTTGTTAACTGATACACAAAATATCTAAGAAGTTCTTCTGTTCCCAGCAATGAAACCTGAAATGACTATAGAGGAGATGTAGAAAATCTAAAAAGAGAAGGAGGAATAAAAATAAAAATAATAACAACAATAATAATAACAATAATAGTAACAACAATGAGGCATATTAAATAAATAAAAAAAAACATATAAAGAGTTCAATATTTTATTATTTACATTAAACCAATATTCGTTTTATATTCAGAGAATTTGATATACTTAATAATTAGAAAATAAATTAATCCATATTTAATTGAAAAATGCTTCCTAAACTAGCCTTTCTGACTTGAACCTGATCATTTTTAGTATTCTATTTTGTATTACTATAAAGAATATTATTACTGTAAATTTTGATTTATTATTTATATAATAATACATTAGAATATAAATTATTATTCAATTTTGATTCTCTTAAACTTGAAGAGTCTACTCCACCCTCATTTATGAGATGCATAACTTTGCACATTTATACATCTAGGACTCGATTTCAGAATCTTTAACCATAAATTTTCTAGCCATCTATTTGTGTGCTTTAAGCCAAGAGAATACCTTTTATCACCTTTAAAGACCAATTTCTTACATACTTTAATATGAATATACGGTATTGTTGAATTGCTTGAACTTAATTTTTCATAGAGTTTGTAAATTTTCTTTCGAATCTCAAAACGATTGGAAAACTTCTCTCAATTCATAAATTTTGAATAGATATCTTGAAAATTAATTAATCAGAAAAGGTTTAAATAACTCAAAGATCTCAAAATTTAATGGAATGAAATAAAATTAGAATAGCAAGAAACATAATTATTATTTGCCAGAGAATCATCTGGAAAGAGTTTGGGAAATATTCAGTAAAAATGGATTGATTGAACGAGGACAGATAAATAGATGAAATAATAGCATGAGACTTAAAGGAATATTCCAAATACTGTTTTTCTGGAAACCTTTTATGATGAACTAAAAAGAAATCATATTAGTAAGCTAAAAGCAAATATTCTAAGAATGATTTATACACTTAAGGATAATAACTGAAATAAACAGCACATATGACTTATTATTTTTGCTCCTATGATATATCAAATTCATGCTTGATTTGGATACTCTTTCTAAACAACAGCTTTGAATTCATCCCAACTTAATGAGCCATCCTTATCTTTATCTGAATATTCAACCATTTCTCTTAATTCTTAATCTGTGTATCTCTCTGATACCAAATCATTTATTCTTTTGAAATCCTCGTATGTTACTTTACTTTATCCAGAGGAATCAAATTCTTGATATAATTTCTCAAGCACTTATTCATCATCAATTGTGCTAAAATGCATGTATTAATTATCAATACCCTGAAAATCCAAAAATTTTTAAAAATTCTTCAAAATCAATCAAACTAGATCCATCTTAATCAAGATCTTATATCATATTAACAATCTCTTCAGCTGATTATTCCATTCCTAAAGCAATGATGGCATTCTTCATTTCATTTGGTCTTTTATAATCATTTTCGCTTACGAAATTGAGCCACTCTTATCATCATCAAAGATGTCAAAGCATTCCTTAATTTTTAAGACTTCTTCTTTGCTTAGTCCTGATTTCACATACTTCGAAGTATCAAAACCATTTGCAACTGGTTATTAAGATACTACTGGAGCAGGATCTTTTCCTTTTGTTGCTGCTGAAGCTTATTATACCTAACTTTTATTAGCTTATTATGTTGGTTGAGGTGTTGGCTATTATTTTTATTGATTTTTACTCATTTATTTAAAATAATATTAATGATACAAAATTTCATTTCTAAATAATATTGCAATGTTCTTATTTTCCTTATTTCTTAATTCTAGCCTTTTTACTTCTTTCTTTGACTCACCTTAATCATCAAGTTCTCCTTCATTATTCCTCTATTCTTTTGACATGCATAATTAAAATCCAATAAAATTAATAGATGTCTAATATCAAAAGAAAAGGTTCCCCATAGTATTTGTTTCCACCAATCTCTTATTATAATTAAACAAGATTTTATTTTCAAATTCTTGAAGTATTTAAATTCGATAGATCAATTAAATTATATTTATTTTCTTCCTCTAATGGTAATTTAGTATTATTTGTTTGAATCCTAATTTGGTTCAATTCTTTTAGGTAATATTTTGATTCTTTTTAACAATAGTTTCCCAGAATAATTGGTTTGAAGTATTCATCATATGAATTGTATACAATCTTATCCATAAATTTCTGTAAAAATAAATTAATTGACTAATATTGTACAAAATAGTAATTTAGGGTAATTTATACTCTCAGCATCATTATAATATTTACAAAGTTATTAAAACTGCTTATTGTACTATGATCGTTTTAATCTAATATCAATAATAAATTCAAGCATTTCTGTACTGATAGCAATTTCATTAATTTAAAGGATAGCAATTTCATTAATTTAAAGGACAAAATTATTGCATAAAATTATTTTAATTAAAAATGTTAAAAGATAAATACTTTTATGATTCTTGAAATCATACATTAGGACGCATTTATGAATGTAACATTTATATATAAGTTTCTTAAACTTAAATAAAAATAATTTGATTGATATACCCTGATATATCACTTCATTTAAATTTATTAGAATAAGGACTAATTTTATTCATAGTGAAATAATCATTTGCATAATTGGTTTCTTTACACAATTTTCTTGGATATGTAAATTTGGATGGAGAAAGGCTATGAGAGTTCTTATAAAGTAAATAGATTAATATATACATTAGAATGCCATCCAAGTTCTTAATTAGTTGTTTAAGGAAATTAGTATTTCTATCGAGGAGTTCTATTCATAGTATTCAATTTATCAATGATTTCCTCTTAAATATTGAGATTTCATTACTTTCTAAAGGTGGAGAATCATCAGTGATTTAATTAACATCAAATGCTGGTTTAGTAATGGCTCCTGTCTTTTCAAGATGTTTTTACAACATGATACTATTGTTCGGTTTCTCCTGGATTATGTATACTAAATTTAGGATTAACAGTTGCAAATACATTTATGTGGATTGATAGTAAAATGTTCATAAACTTTTAAGTGCTAATTTTCCTTTCTTACTGCTTCTTACCAGATTTTCATTTCCTTAATTATTAAATTTCATACAGCCACTGGACTTCGATCTCTTTTATTATTTTTTGCATCTTACTTTGCCATTTTATATTTTAATTATAAAATTTTTATTAAGAGAATTTTATATATTATAAACATAGTTATGAGTCTTAATAAAAGGCTTTATTCAATTTAATCTACCAATACAATTCTTAGCTCCACAGCTACACTATATCTTTTATGATTCTGCTTCTATTTCAAATTAATAATCATAAGTCAACTCTTCTCCTACTAAGATGTCCTTTCTAGCATAAATCAAGATCTTTTCATCTAATAATAAAGAATCACAATTTGGCTATAATTAGGCTATTAGTTACTTGACAACTATGATTTAGAAATCTAGCCTCTGACCCTTTAAAAGTTGCATCAATTACTTTAGTTTTGGATGCTCTAAACATATAGCAATCTCCAAAACCTTGTTCATTGTATGTCAACTCTCTATAATCCGCTAGTGCATTTCTAATAACTTCACCTGTGTATTCGATTACAAAATCTCCTTTTTTAAAACTAAAAATATTGTTTAAATTACTCCTATTTAGTGAAAAGTCCATATTTATGTATATGTGAAGGTGCAACATAAAGTTTATTTTTTTGTTTCTGATTTTTGGATTCTTATTTTAATTTTTTTTCTAATTCTTCTTATTTGTCAATTTACTTCAATTCTTCTGTTAATAGGTTAGTTTCCTCTAAAATATCATTAGGATTAATAGTAACTATTTTTTATTAAGGATCTTTTCTAGATAATTTACTATTTTGATGTTTAATAGTTGGAAGGTTGTCATATAGCATGGGATGATTGTCATACAATGTATTTAGATTGACTTAAGTCTCAGTTATAACTCTACTGATTTATTATAAAATTTGCATTCTTTCATCCAAAGGAAGATCTTCGACAAAAGATTATTAATAAAACCATTCTTTAAATTGACTGAATTGGCAAACTGAATTGCACATTTTTTATATATTTTTTGTATCTAATAATTATTATCTGACTTATTATGTGTATAACAAAAAGAATTCTCCTAAATTCTCTGCAAACTCTATACCTTTAATATTATTGTCTTTAGAAGAGTCCACCAGTTCCTATAAGTTTTGCACTTTGTATTCTTTATAGGGATATTTATCCAACACCAATTTTGTAACTGAAAATTGGAGTTGTCTATTTTTATCACTTTTTTCACATTCTCTTAGAAATTGCTACTTACTTACTTCGGCATATCTGATTTTGAATTCTTTCATGTTCAATGAAATATAGAGAATTTTATCCCTCAATGTTAATAAGTTCAATTCTTCAAATTACCCTCTTTATTCTGATGGCTTCAATGCAATCAGAATTGTATTAGAATATCTATGAAGAACTGTCTAAGATTTTTTATCCTATTTTTATTATACTACTATTTTTCTCCAAATCATAAAGCTGGTAACACATTATTCCTAATTATCAAAACAAGATTAGCAATATACTTTTTTGCTATGAGTAAATGCCCATTACTCTTTGTAACCACAATAAAAATGACATCTTTTTCTACACTTTCCACAAATGATTGAAGATCCCACTTATTGACAATATTCACATTTAAAATTATTATTTTTAAGTAATGCTTTAACTGTCAATTCACATTCTTTGCTATCTTCATTCCAAAGTACACAATTAGTATGAACCCAACGTACATCGTCAACATACAATAATCTACCACTTACACTTCTGTTCCCAAATTTTTTACACAATTAACATTGCATTTTATCTAATGGACTTTCTATTAACTGATCCTCATTTTATTATGGAAATCTTTAGATATACTCATTTTATATAACACATTACTCCCTTGGCTATTATTTCATCTCTTATTCTTATTTAATTAAAATCTATTCTGCCTCTTAAATTTTATTATCGTGTAATTATTTCATTTCTTAAATACATTATTTTATTAATTGGTTATTTTATTAATATGATTTCAATTTCTCTGTTATTTAAGTTTCAGAATATTTATCATTCAATTATTTGATATTTTATTTTAAATAATTTGTTGCTATCTTTAACCACCCTTTTTAAACTAAAATGTGATCTTTTGCTTATTGCTTTTTTAATTCTACCATTTGAGAAGTATATTACTTTTTAATTGATCTTACAATAGAATTTGGAATTGGAAGGAATAGAAGTTATTACTTTTAATTCTATAAGAATTTCATTCTAAATAATTTCGAATTTTAGTACTAATCCAAAATATTTAAGTAATTTGTATAATATTGGTTATCCAAATATTAAAAGGAATTCTCATACTTTAAATGTTAAACAAAACAACACTATAAATCAGTAATAAGATTAATTGTATCTAATGCAAATCTATTTACTTTACTGAATTCGAATAAAGTGTTGCTTTAACCAATTATAGTTTATAAGGAAAAAATTACAAATTGTTTTTTTTATTTAAAGAAATGGATTAGGAGCTACCTTTCATGAAAATCATTTTCAAGTTAAAAATGAACAAATTCTTATCGTTTTTATTGTGTAACAGTAAACAATTACTTTGGAGCTTCAAACCAATTATATCTTGCACACCAATATTGTGTCAATTTACCAATGTATTCATCACTGATATCTTTGTTATTTGTTAAATCCTCTTTTAAATTCTCGATGTTTTGTTAATATTAAAAAAAGTTAGATACAAGAGACTCCAATTACTCTAAATTTTCCATAATAAAAGTTTGCTAAACCTAATTTAATTAAGGTGCCCATTCCAAAAAATTAGAAACAACAGGAACCACTTTCTTTAATGATTTGGCCTTTATTGTTTATCTTATACTTTATTCTTTAAGCTTTTCAATTTTGAATAATAATTGGGAAATGTCTTAAGAACAATCAGAACATATTCCTTCATTATTAATAGTTTTTTTGTTCTTCAACAAACAAGTAACATGATAGAATTGTTTACATTTTACACATTGTTTGTATTATTTGATTGCCTTAGTTTCCTTATTTAAATATATTTTATCAACATTGCTTTCTAAAATTATAATTATAATGTACATTTTACATCTTGGAAATATAACCTATACAATGATCCAAGTTTCGAATTTTCTATTTCGATGCAGTCATTAGATTATTAATCATTATTGATTTATATGTACTCTTCACAAAATTAACAAAATCTAAACCCAGCTACATCTAGACCGCAACTCAAACAATATTGAAAATTTTAGAAGTATTCAATACTTATATGCACCTATGATAATATTATGAAATACAGTATTTGATGTTGTTGTTGGTTTGATTCTTGATAATAATTCTGGACCAAATAATTTAGTAGTTTGACATTTGGCGCATTTGAAACAATTCTTGCATTTCCAATAATCTAGCCCATCCGAAGGAGCAATGAAATTATTGAAGACACATTAGAAGTGATAAAATTCATTACAATTGCAACAAAATAAATCATTTTTTTATCCATATTTATCACATTCCTTACATCTAACACAATTATTACATGTCCAATTTTATAAGGATTTAATAACTCTCTATTAGTGATATTGAGAATTATTAATTTGACAGTAGAAGTGATATGTTTTATGGCAGTTTTCACACATCAATAAATTATCTAGAAATTCATATCCTCCACAAGAACAACAAATATATTCAAAAATTAATTCAGGACATCCTACTTTCATTGTGAATGGTTGAACTAAGTTGACAGTACTTAAATCTTTAATTAAAAGGTCTTTAACTATATATTGCAACTACGGAGAATCAATCGAATCATCAGTTAATTAAGGAGGTTCTAGCTTAAATAAATAATCCAAATATGGGTGTCTCTATGTAATTTTATTAATATCTATCTTGATTTTAATTTCTCTTTGAACTTACTACTTTAAGAAATCAATCATATTTAATTTGATTAATGGTTCATCTTCATTTTCAAAATCTAAATTTAAATTAATAGTCTTTTCCCATTAAATTAAACTACTTTTAGCATTTCTAGGAGATACTGGTTAAGTTATACTCAATAATTATGGTTCCCATAATGGGATATAATTATTTATCCCTTCTAAGTTTACTAAATCTTTTCCGCCAAACCCATAATTCAAAAATTATCTAAATGCCAATTGGACATTTTCAGAAGTGAATAAATGAATATTATTTTTATATGTTAATAGATCTTCGTCTGTCAATTTTAAGTAACCTCTGAATTATTGAAACAGAATATCATATAAAATTTTTAGTATACTCCCTTTACGATGTGCTTTTGGATTTGATAAATTGAATTCCAAAAAATTAGAGCACATTAATTTAATATCTGCATAAAGTTTAAGTTCAGGATTATCTAAATACTCACCCTTTTTGTTCTTTTTATGAATAGTGTCAAAATCAATAGGATTTTTGATGACTTCTCTATATTTAACTGAGCTTGGATCATATTGCCATAATAACTTTTCATCATCAAAATATGTTAAATATCTGATGAGCTCAGAGAAGATTATTTTCCTTAATTCTATCCGACATTTGGGACATCTATATGAGTCGAAATTAGGTTTACGATCTTTAAATAGTGGTTCACACTTCTTATGAACATATAAACCGCAATCTCGACACTCACATATGTTCTCTGCTTTATCCCTTTCAACCATGGACTTTTTGCATAAAATACAATACTTATTTTTCTCGTATTTAATTAGGCATTCATTGCATAAAGTATTCTCAACAACTTAACTAGCGCATGATTAACATGAGTTTGGTAATTTTTTTTGTTGAGATTTCTTTTATTTTTAAGTCTTTTTCTATTATTCATTATGACTAGATTACTATATCATACCACTCTAATGATGAGAGCTACTTAATCCTTATTCTCCAGAACTTTACTCATTAAATGACTAACTAATATTTTGATTATCGGTGTAAGTTTATTATTTCTATACTGCTCCTCTTGTTATTTTTACTCCTTTTTCAAGCAATTTAAAATATTCCCCATTACTTATATTTAACTATTCACTCATAATTAATTACAAAATATTTATTTATCAAACTAAAGTATATTCATATTTAATTTATTTTAAAGCAAATTAACAATATATATATCTATTTCATATATTGGTGTATATTGAATATTCAAAATTTCATATTATTATCCCTATTTTGTTATGTATTTCATAAAGAATGATATCTTATTTAAATGCAAATATTAATTTGAATGAATTATGGATAGAATTGAATAAGTCAATAGACTATTTAATCTATTTCCTTATTTTATTCTATCTTTAATTCTTAATTATTAGATAATCTTATGAATAAACTTTAGGAATACTTAGGATAAATATGAAAAGTTAGAAGTATTATACTTAAATTAAAAAATAAAATAATAATGACTATAATTTATTTTAATAGAATATATCATTTTATTATTCATTATTTATGTTTATTTCTTTTTGGAATGTGTTCTGATGATGAACTATTTTCAACAGAACTTTCACTTTCTGATTCATTTTATTAATATTTGATATGTTTTTTTGGCTAAAAATTTGAAGGATTTTTAATACCTATTATGACTTTTATTCTTCGTCATCAATGATTAAGAAATGCTAACTAATCAATTCTTTAAGAGCACTCTTTGTTATTCTAACTTTTTCATCTTTTTTCTTTTAAGGCTTATTTTCTACCTGAACTACCGAACTATCTGATTCTTATTGATACACTGTTTTCTTTTTTTAAGTTTATATTGTCTTTTGTTTGATAGGCTTTTTCTAAACAGTAGTTTTCAATAGATTAGAAGTAACACACGCCAAGACACCATCAGTTGACATTACTCTCTTCCTTTTACCATCAATAATATTATCTTAAGAAATCTTTTACATTTAATTAAATTAAATAATAATATCTATACATTGTTGTCTTAGATATTAGTTATACAGATAACTGCTAAATTTGAATGATATTTTGTATATCAATTTTGATAAATAATTATAATATATGATTGAAGACACTCATTATCATTCACAATAAGCCAATAAAAATTAAAACTAATTCGATAGAAGAAGAAGTAGCGTATAATTTTAAGATGTTTCAACAATGATTAACCCAAGCAGTACTCATCTCTCTAGAAATGCATCTTACTCTATGCCACATGAAAGCCAAATTAATCCTCAAAGTAAGTTAAGTGACTTATTATCATAATAGTACTTGCTAAAATAGCAGCTATGGTGCCCTATAATTCAGATAATAAAAAGAAATTTTTTAGAGTGGATCATGTTCTCAAACCAAAAAAGAAACCAGATCCTCTCGAAGAAGAACAAGAAAATGAAATAAGAAAGAATTTGTAATTGTCACCAGAAATAGTCAAGGAAGATCTATTAAACAAGCCTTTAGTAGGACCTTAAGCAGTCTAGTTATATTATCAACATTATAAAAAAGTGAATAAGGTTCGTTAATAAAATGACTTCTTCAAAATTTCAGGTAAGACTTAAATGTATAAATAGACAGTGTGTAAACTGCAATGCTTCGTTAAGCAGAATAAATTGATGTATTACCTTGTAAGATAGGAGTTGTAAAAACTAAAGGGAGTGAGTAATCTCTTCAGATAAGTCATTAGAAGTATGGAGATAGATATGCATCCATGTTAAGCGAGGGTTTGAAAGTCAATCCAAATATAAAGGACTTCTATATGGCAAATAATAGAATTCAAAGTTCAGGAGCAACATAACTATTGAATTAGATTGGAAAAGTGGCCAAGGTCCTCGATCTTTAATAAAATAATATTGGAAAAATAGGAACAGATTCGATTTGCTAGTAAATCTAATCAAGAGAAAACAAGTAAGAAAAGAGAATTACAATTTTAGATTAGAAGTGTTAAATTTAGAAGACAATAAATTAGGTGACAGAAATGTAACTCGTATTTTGAAGGCATTGTTGAATAGCAATAATAAGTTGAAATCATTAAATGTTAGCAAAAATTATTTGACAAATGAAATTGCAGAAATATTGAAGGAAAGCATAATTCAATTAGATAATATGGAATAATTGTATATACATTGGAATTAGATAAAAGGGTGGGGAGGATAGAAGATATTTGAAGCTTTAATAGAGAACAAGACTTTATTGGTGTTTGATGCTGGTTGGAATAGCTTTGGAATCTAAGAGAGAAAAGATGTACAATGTATATAGAAGATTTGTGATTTTTTGATTACCAATAAGACTGTGTTGCATTTTGATTTATCATCCAATCAATTTAGTCTAAATGATTGTAAATTAATAGCAAATGCATTAAAACAGAACAGATCAATATATGGATTTCATTTTGTGAATAATTGGGGAGTTGTTGATGCAAGGGGATTCTTATAGATACAGGAGAATGAATTGTAGAGAGTCTTAGGAGAAACACCTAGAATCAAGGGATTATAGTAGACTACAACAATCAGATAGGAGAATGTGTGTTGGATATGTGAAGGTTGGCAAGAGTAGAAGTTTACTTGGACTCCTGAAATATCAGGAGAAGGGGAAGCAGATCCTTTATTTATTCATTTGGATTTTGAAGCTTATAAATAGGTTTATATTCCAAAGACTCAGGATCAAATATCTTTAACCTTAATGATTCCTACAAATACTACATAATATATTTACACAATGAATGATACATAAGTGATTGCAAATGATTAACAAAATGTTCCTTATGGACACTAATTGAAAATTAATTATAATAATAATTATATCAGTGTATTGATGGATAATGTTAATTAGGTAAAGAAGGATAAACATTTTTTAATTTTTGATTAAGTTGAATTCAAACCATTAATTAGTGTATTACCAAGAACACCAGATCCAATTTATATTCCTCCTAAGTTGAAAAAGTAAAAGAGAATTTGGACATTCCCCATTTCTATTTGGGCTAAGGATTTTAAATTTGAGAACGAGGACTTGTTGAAAAAATGCTTTGAAAAAGATTTCTCTTGTAGCAAAATATCCAAAATAGTAAAGAATCCTGATGAATTGTTAGAAATTAAGAATGTGTTATGGGCACATTATAAATTGATTAAGGAAACCTATAAGTAATATAGTTCTAACAGTCCAACAGGGGATGTGTGGTCAATATCTTCTAATGTTATCACAGAATTCGCTTAATAAACTGAATTGATAGACGGGAAGACATTAAAATTGTCAGATTTAGATTTGAAATTCATAGCAACATGTGCAGCTTCAATTGAATACAAGGGAAATTTTAGGAATCCTGAGAGAGCACTTTGTAGATTCTAATTTATGGAGTTTCTGGTTAGGGTTTCTGAGGATAAGTATTTGAAAACGAAAGTTGCTAATAATATGTTGGAGGCAACGAAAATGATCTTAGAATAATGTAAAACATATATGTCTACATTCGATGCTTAGAAGTGGAGGGATGAGAGATATTTCAATGAATAATGTGATGATTGCTTGAAATTCTTTAGACCATTACTCAATCACATATATAATAAATATAGTGTTAAGAAGGTGAAACCAGGTTAGAAGAAATTTATGTGCTTGGATGAGATACACGAAATATGTTCTTAAGCCAGTCTTTATGATGAGAGGTTCGTTGAGAGAGATGCTGATAATGTAAAACCTTTAATATAATGTAGGCTTTCAATTTATCTATGATGCTCCAAGTTGATGAATTAGAAAGTGATAGGATCTTTTAGATGACCTTAATTGAATTCTTAGAAGCAATTGCAAGAATTGCAGATAAAGTCTCTATGCCAGGGATTGATGCAGTCGATTTGACTTGGGATCAAAGGGCTGCATAACCACTCCATTTGAAATTAGAGAAAATGATAATACATTTAGCTAATACTTGTTCATCTGAAGAATTTAAGTTACAGTATGGAAATATTAACAAATCAATGTTTGCAATAGTTGAGGAAGATGATTGATAATCAATTAATTTTATCTTTTTTATATTGTAATATTTTATAATATCAAAATCTCTAATCCAATTATCATATTGGATGACCAATCTTTTCCAAATATCTGAAGTAATATACAAAAATCATGATTGGTTGTCCAATAAAACAAAAGGTCATCCAAAACATTAGATTACCCAATTAAGAGTCTTATAATTTAAGTAACTTATAAGTAATCATTAATATTTACTTTCTCCAATTTCTTTTATAATAACATAAATGGTGCCTATGCAAACATTCCTACAAATGCCCAAGCTTCCACTACACCTATTGATGCACTAACGATGTATTCATGACCTAGAGCTGATACTAAGAACACTATCATATTTGAAACTGTTCTGCTCATACCTGATTTAAGACATGGAAAATAGACATGCCCTATTTTAATCATAATTATTTACTAACTAGCCAATGATGGACAGGCAAATTCCATAATCTCCAATATTCTTCAAGATTCTTGCAGTTCCACCAATCCTTGTAAAACTCTCTATCTGCGAATCTCAAGAGTTCTGCTGTGATATTCAAAAAACACTAGAATTATCCATAAAACAGTGCCATCCACATATAAGTATTGGGTATTGCTAATTTTAATAATCTATCCATTAGCACCATTAACGTCGGAGCCTTTGAAAGCATTTTGTATGTATTCTCAACAAGTGGTTCTGTGTATTGGAACCAAATGATAACCAAAAAAAGAATAACAAAGATGTATTCTATTATTCTCTTGATCAACCAAACCTTTCTGATAGATTATGTTCTCAAATATGACAATTAGAAACACAAAGTAGGAGCAGCTAAGAAATATAAGAAATGTTTAAAGTCCAATATTTTGGATTAATCTTGTGCGTATTTCTCTAAGATCTTTAGGTTTTCAGCGTTGACCTCATATTCAGCAAAGAAATTATCAAGAGCTACTTTCTTATTTTTCACTTACTTAATTCTTTAGATATAGAAGTAAGTATTTCTCATAAAGTGAGCATAACTTATCAATTTCATGAAGGCAATGAATTAAACACCCAGTAGAATCAAATTTAATCCTGGATGTGATCCTTAAATTAAATAACAAGGGATTATTATGGTTAATACAATATTGGTAATATTGAAAGTTCTAATTATGCCGGTATTTAGTTCTCTTTTGAATTGTAAATATTGAATTCCAAATCCAATAAATAAATTAATCATTAACATTAACAAAGCTTACATAATAGGATTGCCATTGATATTCATCATCTCAAACTTCCAGAACACATTTGTTATTAGCAGACCATATTTTTGAAAATTCTCAAATATTAATCTAATATGATTAGCTATTAATATCAAAATTCCCAAATTTAATATTCCTCGAAAATTCTATTCTGGTGATTCTGTGCTTAATAATGATGTCCTCTCTTTTCTCACTGGTTGATATGCCAAAGGGCCCATATATTATGTATAGGTTTTCCTTGAATTAATCTACATATGATGAGATTGAATTACATTATGTTGTAAATAGGACATTGTTTTCTTGTCTGCAAATTTAATTGCTATAATTTTAGATTAATCCTTCTAACTCACAAATGTAATCGTTCTTATTTATAATCATTTTTACAATTAGGCTTCATCGATTATTGTTTAACATTTGTCAAAAAGAAGAGAGAAAAGAATTAGGTTCTCATTTTCTAAGACACATAGTTTGTGTTATTCACACCTGAGAATGAATGGCTTAAAGTCATCTCTGACTAACTAAGTTAATTTGTCGGATGCATCAGAAATAAGCAACTCAGGATTATAGACCTTTATCATTATTATATTATTGATTCAATTAATTTCTCTCTCAATTATTGGAATATCTCCAAGGTTAATTCACTTGAATGGTTGTAATTCAAAAACACCTGTAGACTCAATTTCTTAGCCAATGAGCGAGCAAGAGTGTGCACCATCTCAGTTTAATTATCAATGATATCTATCACAGTGGGAAGTTGATCATAGGGTGTGGCTATTGCGAGCACCAGAGACTCTACTCCTAGCATATCTTGATCAAATAGATTGATGAGCACTTGATCAGGCATTCTTGTAGTTTGAGTGAACCATTTAATCTCATTGATTTGGAAAGCACTTTATTTTACAATCATTTTATTTTATATAAGGTTCACACATATATTTATTAATTAATTTACTACTTGATTTAAGATTAATTACTTATATGATAATTATTTCTTATTCCCTATATCATTAATATACTTTAATTCAATTAAATTTGAGAATCCTAATACCTAAAAAAAGATATAGTTTATTGAATGACAAGATTAACAGATTTTGATAAATAATTTTGATATTAAAAATAGATTTAAACAAATACTTTAAAAACAATATGTCAATGTCAAAAAGAAGTGAAAAACTAAGTTAAAAACAAGTTGAGAATAAATGGATTGATAAAGTAGTCTGTAAAAACTATAAAATCATAAGTCCATTAAATTCAGGTTTAAATTCTTATTCATTTAGTAGGCTCTTTCGGTCATATCTACTTGGCAATCCATCAGGTCAAGTAAGAATATTATGCAGTCAAGATTTTATCTACAGGGAAAAATCCAATTCTTGCTCAATCAGTCAAGAATGAAGTAGACGTGCTTTATAAATTAAATGGGCGTATTGGATTTCCTCGCTTATATTATTTTATATAGAATGGAACTGAAAACTTCATAGTGTAAACTTCACTAGGGTAGAACTTGTACTAATTGCTAATGCAAACTCCAAAAAAAGTGTTCTCCTTAAAAACTGTTCTGATGTTCCTAGATTAGGCAATAGAAAGATTGCAATATTTACATATGAATGATTACATACATCGAGATATCAAACCAGAAAATTTCATGACGGGTTTAAAGGAAGATGAGATTTACCTTATCGATTTTGGATTTACATCGAAATATCGAGAATAAGGTTAGCACATAGAAAGATAGAAGAACGAAAATATCGTTGGAACTCCTAGGTATTTGAATGATTAACTTTGATAAGCCTAGATTTTGCCCAATTTGTTCTCATTTGAGTTTGTCTTAAAACAGAGCTAGCGATTTAGAAAGTTTAGGATATTTAGCCATTTACTTTTTGAAAGGATCATTACCATGGATGCACATACATGCAGAAACCCCAGAAGAGAAAATAAAATTGATTGGACAGAAAAAGATGAATACATCAATTGAAGAATTATGGTATTTAACAATATAATACAAATAGTTTTGGATTGCCAAAAACATTTGAAGATTATTTTAAATATATCTAAAACATCTCATTTGATGGAGATCCTAATTATGATTACATTTAATAATCTTTTAAAAAATTGTATTAAACATTAGGATATCCATTCGATCAAAAGTTTGATTGGACCAAAGAGGAAATCAGAAATTCTCAAGATAACGAAAAAAATACAAAATAACTATAGTTTTTGGAAGTTGGTAGGAAATCTTTTACAGCAGATGTTAATATTGAAGAAATACCATCACAAATCTAAAAAAAGTAATATCTTCTTTTTATCATTAGAAAAATAGAGAGAATCCATCATCTCAAAATTTATGAAGATTTATTCTTGACTACTGACTTACAACAGGATGAAATCTAAGAATTTGAACCAGGACTTACATTGTTCGAGAGAATGCAATAGATAAATAAATAAAATTTAAAGAAATAAAAATGAATAAAAATAATATATTCTGTTATGAGATAAAATATTTCCTTTCAACCATAAACAGATGACAAAAATGTTTTTCAATCTAACTCTTCCAATATATATGGCACAGGCAGATTTGGAGATATAAGACCAAAAAACATTACATTTTAAGGCAATGACAGTTAACATAACATGGTTTTTGATCCCAACAAAGTTTAATCATCTCAACATATGACATTCTATAAATAAAATGATAGCAATAGATAATCAGGGGCTAAAATTGGATCATAAATAGATTCACAACAAAAGGGATTTGCATTTTCCTAAAGTCCAAATCCATTTTTATAACAATCAGAACCCTAAGAAAAATAATAATTTAGTAGTTAAGGATCTGATAAAAAGAAGGGAGCATCAGATAAATATTTTAAAAATGGAAATCATTAATATTAGTTTTATAATAAAAATGCTTAGCAACCCAATTCTGAAGAGAGAACTTGTGAATAACATGGAAATACAGCCAAGTTTATTTGTACAACTGTAGGTTGTTTGGTTGGAGGCTTATGTGAGGAATGTTAGCATTAATGTCCTAATATAACTGATATTGAAGATTACTTTAGAGTGTTAGAATTGAAATTAGTCAATCAATAATTAGATGTGATATAAAATGAGAAATTTAAATCTCTCTCTTCAATTAGAGATTACTTTAATTAAATTAGACAGGATATAATAAATCAAATAGATGAATTAGAAATCAAATTTATAGCAAAAGTCATTAATGAGACTAGTTTTAATATTGAATTGCCACATCAATTTGTTTAAGAGTTGTTTGAAACTAATTTAATAGATCTTACTCGATAGACTTCATAGCTATCAAAGCTCATATACAATGATTTTTTAAAAGTATCAGAATTCAGCAAAGTCTTTGTATCTGATTAAAGTAGGTTCTAAAAAAAGCTATAAAAGAATATCTAATTACTAAATTAGCTATTTAGTAATTTTATTTATTGTTGTGAATAATAGGTTTATAATTTTATTGTTATTTTAGCTTTTAAATTGTGTAGTAGATCATTCAGAACTAAATCTATAATTAATTGATTAGTAATCATAGTTTCACTAAAGTAAAACTTTCGAAAATCAAATGAAGAACTTAAAATCATACAAAACAATCTAAAATAAATCTAAAAACATTTCCGACATTTGCTTAATATCAAATTCAATGTTAGCCTCAGCAGAAGAAAACGGAGAAATAACCCTGTGGAAATTACCTTATTTTGTTTAAATACATAAATTTCAGCATGGTGTCGAGTGTATATCATTGGCTGCAATCAAGGATAATCAAAATACATAGTTCCTTCTGAGCGCGTATAAATTCAATTTTAAATTAGAGGCAAAGATAGAGATGAATACTAAATTTATTTATGGAATGTAGATCTAAGATCTAGAGTAGGTGATGTGATTGGCCATTCTAAACAATTAAGAAAAATCGTTCCATTGGCTTATTCACAAATTGCATGGTGTTAGGATGATTCAAAAATAAGAGTCTGGAAATTAAATGAAAAAGAACTAGCACATGAACTCAATGTCCATTCAGCATGGATCAATGATTTATGTAAAGTATCAAGAACTTAAATTGCCTCTTGCAGTAGAGATTATACTGTAGCAGTCATTGATTATCTAACTGGAAAGACTAAATTTATTATAAAAGATGTCACCTATGTGAATTGTGTTACATCTATCAATAGTGAATTGTTTGCTTTCGCTAATTATAATGGATAAGTAAAAATTTATTAAGTTGAACAACCATAACTTATACAATAAATATAAGTATCGATGAATTGGATTGAAACTAATAGCATTTGGTACTTATGTAGAATTAGCAACGATATTCTAGCAGTATAATAGGCTAATGGAGAAACAAGCATAATTGCCCTAGATTAGAGGAAAGAAAAGATTATTAAAACTATTTAATCAACAAAGAACACAAAATAGAATGCCCAAACTATGATGTTTGTACACAACTTCAAATTCCTTATAATACCTCAACAAGGAGAAATGTAAGTTTTCCAATGATTATGTATATTTCATTTTAAAATCTGAATCAATTCTTCAATGTCTGTTGGACTCAATATTATTGGGATATCTAAACATTCTACATCATCAGTTATGGTGATGACCTGATTTTCAAAATGGCTCTCTCCAAAGAATGAAACTTCTATACCATCATCCATTTCTATTGATTTAATTTTAAAATTCTAAAGCTTATCTGTTATCTCAGCATGACTACCACATAATTCAATACTATCTCCGCTGAAATAACATTCAGAATACAAGTTCACGCACTTCGAATTTTTATCATCGTTATCATCCTGTAAATTCTAATTATTATTATTATTTTAATCGGCATCACTATTACTACCATCATCATCTTTTTGATTATTCTATGATCCATCATCATTTCCATTATCATTACCGGATCCTTATTCCTATGAATTATCTGACCCATCATCAGAACCATCTCCTGTATTTGAATTTGTTCCATCTCCATCTCCATCTCCATCTCCATCTCCATCTCCATCTCCACCTGTACCATCTCCTTTTCCACTTGCGTCATCTCCCTCTCCGCCTGTTCCATCTCCTTTTCCATCTTTATCATCTCCTTCTCCATCTACGCCATCTATTTCCCCTTCTGAACCATCTTCTTTCCCATTTGAGCCATCTCCTTTTCCGTCTGAACCATCTCCATCAGTACCATCTTTATTTCCTGGATTTGATCCATCTCCATTTTTATTTCCATTTCCGTTTCCATTATCTAATCCATTATCCCCTTTATCATTATCAGAACCATCTCCTTTACCATCGTTTGCTCCATCTGCTTTTCCATTTCCACCATCAGATGTTCCTTAACTATTGCCATCACCATTATCATCATTCAGTCCTTCTCCAGACTTATTAACATTTTATCCATCTGCTCCTATTCCATCATTATCTACACCTGTTCCTGATGCATTATCTCCCTTTCCTTTACCGTTTTCCTAATCTCTTAATTAGTCATTATTATTTGATTATGATTCATTCTATTATAATCCAGAATCATCTAGATCTTCAATTTTCTTATTAAAGTCATCTCCTTATTATTATTAATGATCCTTCAATGAAGATTATTTTAATTTCTCATTATTATCTTTATCCTTTAAATTTCCTCTTGATTATCCAGCTTTGCCACTTTACTAAGGTTTTTTTTGAGCTTATTTTGAACCTGACTTTGTTGATTTTTTTTTGTTTCCACTTTTAGGTTTGCATTACTTATATTTAGGAGGTTATTTTGATTCTATCAATTCAATGAATTCAGTGATGAAATTGAATAAACTCTAAGCATCTCTAAGATCTGTTTCTGTTCCATATAATATATAAATAAGAAATTACTCTTCTTCTATGTTTGAAAATTCGATTATTTGATTGTTCTCCTATTACTTTTATGATACTACTTCATTTACTCTTGGGTATATTACTAATCTATTTTAACTATTCGTTTTAATATTCATTCCTCTATAATTCTCTTATTCAAACATTACAACTTAAGGATTAGTTTATTCTTTATCAATCACAAATTTTATATTTTCTCTAACATCCACTGCCAAAAGAGCCAATTTGGATGTAATTATTGTAAAGTATTGTTTAGTATAACTACTATCAAAAGTTTCTTAACTTAACCATCCGTTTGTTAAAGAAATAAATTATTTTCCATTTAATTCAACTTATTATAGCTAAAAAGCATCAATCGGATTTTTTGAATCTTCTACAAATCCATCTAATAAGTCTTAATTTTCTTAAACCCAATTATGAAAGTCTTATAAAAATGTCTGTCCAGAACTAATAACAAATAATATTAATAAGAATATTTTCATATTAAAAATTAATTCGTTTTGATAATTTATAATTAATTCAATTAAGGCTGTTGTGAATATTTTAATAATACATTTATTGTCATAAATCTATTTATATTTGTTATTTAATTAGTTAAAACTAGCTATCAGTTTTTGTAATTATGAAAATCGATCTAGCAATTAATGGAATCTAATTTTTTTATTTAAGAATAGAAGAACCAAACTTATCCGTGACATTACCAAATGTTAAAATACCTGGAGAGATAGTTCTAAGTTTCATATATAAAAGTAACTAAGATTTCAGTTGCATTTATATTTCCAATCTATTCTTATTCTAAATTCTACTTAAAGCATTCTTAAATTTTATTGAGTATTTTGACATTTTCAATAAATTAAACATTTTCCTTTAAGATCGTTTAAAAGTTAATTCAAAAATGTAAGTAATTGAAAAAGGTAGTAACTATTAGTAACAAAAATAATTCAAGTTCAAAACACATTATATCCAATTATGAGTATATTTAATTCTTTATTTATTCAGATATTATTTGAATGATAGCTTAAATATTAATTCAAATTGTAAAGGTTAATTACAGGATTTATTTAGATGATTATAAAATTTTTTTCATATTATATAATAAATATTTGGAATGCAAAGTAATTAAATTATTAAGATGGATAGATTATAAACTAATAACTAAGAAGGGGGAAGGCACATTTTCAGAAGTTATAAAGGCTTAGTCAATAAAAACAAGCCAATTAGTTGCTATAAAATGCATGAAACAAGTTTTTTAAAATATTGACCAAGTATTTAATTATTTCTAATTTTGGTTAACAAATTGAAGGAAATTCAAGCTCTAAGAAAGTTGTAAAATCATGATCATATAATAAAATTAATAGAAGTGCTCTAGTATGATTCAATAATAATATATTTAGTGATGAACCAACAGGGAGATTAGCTCTAGTATTTGAATTGATGGAGCAAAACCTTTATGAACATATAAAGGGTATCAATCATGTTTGATTAAATAGGTCGAAAAGTATCATTAAAATAAGACAAAATTAGAAGTTATACGTATTAGTTGCTCAAAGCAATAGATTTCATGCATACTAACAACATATTTCACAGAGATATCAAGCCGTAATTCTATTTTCAATATTTAGTGAAAATATTCTGCTTTTAGGTGATCATCTAAAATTAGCTGACCTTGGATCCTGCAAAGGCATCTATTCTAAGCATCCATACACAGAATATATATCCACAAGATGGTATAGATCACCTGAATGCTTAATGACAGACGGTTATTATGACAGCAAAATGGATATATGGGGAGCAGGATGTGTGCTATTTGAAATTACTGCATTATTCCCTTTGTTTCCAGGAAGCAATGAGTTAGATTAAGTTCATCGGATTCATAACATTCTAGGCACTCCCAATCCTAAGGTGCTTGATCGATTCAGAAAACATGCATCTCATATGGAAATCAATTTCCCTTCTAAAGCAGGAACTGGGTTAGAGAATCTAATTCCACACGCTCCCAAAGACTTAGTAGATTTAATTAAGCAAATGCTCATTTATGATCCAGAAGAGAGAATCAATGCGAAATAGGCACTCAGACATCCATACTTTAAAGAATTAAGGGATTAGGAATAATAGAAACTATTGGAAACCAGTCTATAATCAATCAAATTGCTTAAGAAACAGTATTTATTCAATTTATTCAAAAAAGTGATGACTCCCTTATTGAAGAAGAATAAAATACTTCCCACATTTTACATAAAAAGACTCTATTTAATCAAACCAATAAAATATTGTAGAACTCTTTCAAAACTAGAAATTAATAACTCTTAGACTCAGTCAAATTGCCAACACTTACAAAAAAATAAGCAGACTTGAAAAAAGCATATGGACCTGCTCATTTTTAAAGTATTATATGAATTCTATTTGTTAGATAAAGAACTAAAAAAAAAGTCTGTATAATATGAATATGTTTTATATGGTAAAAAAGCAAATCTAGGTAATTTTTTAAATACTATCAGACAAAAGTGAATAATATATTGATCTTATATTATTTTTTAAATTATTTAACATTCAATGAGAAAAGTAACAGCTAAGGTATTGGTGGTTGGTAGCTCTGCAGTTGGTAAATCTGCCCTGATCTAATTGTATACTACTGGAGAAGTCAATTTTTTGAAAGATTATCAATTAGTATGATTCCAATTAAATATTCTTAGACTCAAATAGCTGAAATATCTACTAAATTGATTCCATTTGAATAGGAGGAAAAAGATGTCGAATTGTACTTATTTGATATAGCTGGATCTGAAATCTACGAATAAGCAATTTTAAAATCCAACATAGTCAATTTTAAATAATATTATTCAAGTTGAAAGACGCTAACTTTGTTTTCTTATGTTATGACATGACCAAAGAGACTACATATGAGGCAGCTAAAGAATGGTTTGAGAGAGTAACAAAGGCTAACGGAAAGAAGTTGCCGGGAGTTTTAGTTGCCATGAAATCTGATTTGCAGGCAATTAGAAAGATAGAAAACAAATAAGGAATGCAATTAGCTAGTTAATTGGGATTATCATTCTTTTCATTATCAACAGTAAATTGTTAAATTAATAAAAATAGGCACGTAATCAAGACATTGATCATCCTTTTTAACATATAGCGTAATAGTTAATTAAATGATATTAATTATTTTAATAAATGGCTAACATATTTGACATATTTAAAATATCAATCAAATAAAAAACACAAGAGCAGGAAGGAAAATTAATTGAGTTTGATATAGATAATGTTAAGATCGGGAAATTAGACAGATAGACAGCTGAACTTCTTGAATCTCAAAGCCATCTAGAGTCTTTAAGTCTTGTGGACTGCTCCTTAAAGACACTTGAGGGTTTTCCTAAATTACCTAATTTATAGAATTTGGTGTTGGAAATTAATTAATTGGATGGAGAGGCAATTAAATTCATTGCCAATACTTATCCAAAATTATTGTGTTTAAGTTTAGCAGAAAACTAAATCAAGACATTTGCTGTATCTTATTAAGTTTATCATTAGGATTTGGAGCCGATCAAGCAATTGAAAAAATTACAATAATTAGATTTATCTGACAATCCTATAGCCGAGTTGTAAGGATACTTCTAAAAAGTGTTTGATTTAATTCCTGGATTATAGGTTTTAGATAACAAGGATAAAAGCGGAAACGACATTTAATATAGTGAGGACGAAGATGGTGTTGGAAGAGAAGATTCAGAAGACTCAGATAATGAAATAGATGATGACGATGGTGAGTTAGATGATGATGACGATGATGAAGAATCAAGTCCAAAACCAACTAAAAAAACAAGATTATGATAAATTTATAAGATTTTTTGGTCCAATAAATTTTTATTTCATTTTATTTAATGTATTACTCAATCATCTTTTCGCTCTTTATAAAATATTTTTTAAATTATTTATTTTATTATCCAGATCTGTCACATTTCCAGATTTCCTTTCATATTGATGCACCTGCTTCATTGGCTACTTATAATTATTAGCAGATTGATTAGTCCTTTGTTTCACTTATTATTATTGCTGAATCTTATGTTGTTAATAGTTTTATCTAGGAGGAGACGGTTATCTAAAGATATTGTTTCTCCCGGGAGAAGGTTTCTATTAAGCAATTGGAGATGCCCTATTAGGAGTAGGTCTCATCTATTATTATGGTCTTGCTGGAGAAGGTTTCTTTTAAATTGGCTGTTTATTCATTGGAGAAGTGTTATAGAACTTCGGTTTCTGATATGCAGCCTAAATTTGAATAGGATTTTACTGAATTTTAGGTGGAAGTACGCGAATTCTTGCTTAAAGCTGGAGAAGCCTGTCTTACATTAGGGGAAGCATTCCCAGATGAATTATTCGAATTTAATCTATTGGGAACAGAATAATTAGACTTTCTACTTCCATTCGAATGATTGCTGTAGGGTGAATAAAGCCTATCAGTAACTCCCTTGTAACTAAACTTTTTCATAGATTAAGATAGTTCAGTCTCCAATTGATTTATTCTTCTTTTTTGGACTGCGTCTTATTTCTTTAACGAATCTATTTATCTATGATTTTATCAATTACATACTAATTAAGGCCTTCCACTTCTTTTTCGTACTTTTGTATTATTTTTTAGGCTTTCACTAATTTGCTCTCTTCCTCCTCATTCATTAATCTGATATGATCTTTGATTCTACTGTCCATTTCTACCTTGCCAATTAATTGTGTCAACTCCTTCTTAAATGCATTTATCTATTCTTTATTAACTTTATATGTACTTCAGCCATTTACATAACGATTTCTGTGCTTTTTTAATTGAGTTGTTGTTCTAATTTTTAGATTTTGTCCTCATATAATAATTTTGATGTATTCAACATATTTTACAAGTCTTCATTATCTCGAACTAATTAATCTACTTCAACTGCTCCCTTTTTTTAAGTCAAAGCTTCTTCCAATCTCTTTACCTTTGCTTTCAATAACTCATTTTGATTCACCAAGGAATCAGGAGTTTAAATATCCCTTTTACTTTTGGAAAATGAATTTGAAGCCTAGAAATCAGCATCATTTGATTTTTAGAGTTTGTAATCAAAGAGTTCTGTTTTCATATTCTGTATTTTGGTCATCAATCTAGAGTTTTCAATTTATTCTTCGTAATTTAAGGCTAAAGGGTAATGAATTTTTTCAAAATCAGTTTAATATGACAAAATTAGATATCTTTTATTGACTTTCTAATTATTGGATGATGTTCTAGAAAGATTGCTTTGATCTTGCTATTTCTATTATTTCAGATTCTCGAGATCTTGATAAGTCAAAATTTCAAATAAAACCTAATTAGATTATATAATACATTCTCGTTAGTTTTTTGTAATGCAGTTTATAACATGGATAGAAATATGTTAAATTTTTTTGGGTTTCCTGTTTTGCGAGTAAGTTCTTCAATATAATCAATGGTGTAAGTATTTTTCCAGATCTGAGGTTCATATTTGGATTCTAATTCTATATAACTAAGGGTATAAATTATGCATACAGCAAATGATCACTAGCTTGCATGCTAATGACGTATTCCATTCCTTGAAGAATGATGTCTGTTTCTAATTATATTTTTGGATTATCTAGCATTATAGTTGAAAAAAAATAATAATACAAACAAAATTTCAAAATTAGAGTTCTTGATATTTTTTAATTGTGAAAGAAGGAAATAGAGTTTACTATTTTGATTATTTTTTTTGTAATAATTATGTAAATTATAAGCCTTAATTTTCACCTTTCAAAAAGTCAATTAATTTTTACTTTCTTGACTTTTGCTAATCCTATTTATTAGAGGTTTTGTATTTTTTTGGGCTATTTTTATTAGATTAAAGTAATAATAATTCTTCATTGGTTGAATTTAAATTATCATTGGAATTCTGAGCAATACTAAGATTCTTTAATTATCTAAAATGTTTCTTAATTTGTTTAGTATTATTTTTCATGTTTTACTCCAAATGTAGATGATCAATTAGAATAGTAGGAGTTTGATTAGGTTCAATGATGAGAGACTTTCGATTAGTGATGCTGGGTAACACATATTATTGATTTATGATGATATTCTTACGAACAGAATTACTGATATTATGATATGATGCAAATCTTGAACTTTCAATTGAATTCTTTATTCTATTTGTATTATCTTTGCCAAACTCAGGTGTAACAATAGTATTCAAAAATTGTTTCAATCTAAATACTGGTTTTATGTTTGGATTAGATCTTGAATTTGTTTGCATTAATTTATTTATTATTATTATATTTGTAATATAATGTTAAACATCAACGGGCTGAAATGACAAGATCATCAATCTTTAGAATCATTCTCACACATTCTGTGGCCAAACTCAAAGCACTTCTTGTTACTAAAATAGGTTAGACTACTTATTCAGTTGTAATATCATCTACTATGTTATTCTAAATGATTATAATAAATAATAATTACTTTCTTCATTCCTATTCCTGCGAACTTTTGTGATTTAAGATGTCTATTTCTCAGCTCAGTAACTACATTGATTGGATTCAATCCTAAAGCTAGAGTATCAATTACCTGCATTTTCTGCAAGAGTATAAGGAATCACTTCAAGGGCTTCAGCGAAAGCTCGAACACACATAGATCTGGCACCTGTTAATGTATTAGCCTTTTATGTTAATTTTAAGGATAAGTGGATTTCAGGTGCTCCTCCTCCTGGAATCAAACCTTTGCTTTTAACTAGACTTCTAACAACACATAAGGCATCATGAATGCTTCTGTCAGCCTCATCTAAAACTAATTGGTTTGACCCTCTAACTAAGATTGTTAAAGCTTTAGACTAGGCAGGCACTCCTGTAATTCTCAAAACTTTGCTTTCATCATTCAAGAAAACAGTCTCAACAAGTCCAGCAGTTCCTAATTTTTCAGGAGTCAATTAATCTATATGTGCAACTGGTACCAAACATAAGGTCTATTGTAAGAATAAATAAGGATACCTTGGATATAAATTCAACATCTTCTCTTTCAATGTCTTTCACAACCATAATTCCCTTCTTTGCTAAGAAGTGTAATGAGAGATCATTGACAGCATCTCTTAAAATGCTTTTTTGAATCAATAATACATTTGCACCTGATGCCACTATCTTTTTTACTAGATCAATAATGTATTTTCTTTCTTCCTTTAATATTTTGTCCATTTCTGTATAATCTTTGATAGCAATTGAGTTCTCAACATCTGTTTTTGGTGCAGATAAACAAAATTACAACAGTGCTACTTTAGCATTTTCAATTTTTTAAGGTCCTCCTGCAGTTTAACTTGCTTTTTAGTTAGAGAATACAATCCCTTCAACTAATTTAGTGTCATCAATGGTGCCTCCCAACTTTTTAACGATTTTGATATCTTTAAGATCAACATTATTGGGTTTCAGAGGGTCAACTATTCTCAAGACTGCATCCACAGCAAGTGGAGCCAATTATGCACTATTGGATGAAACCACTTTTGATGAAAGTGCAGTTTATACACATTCAATCAACTATTATTTATTGTCTAGATCAACTGGTTTTTTCAATTCATCCAAAGCTTCTAATGCATTTTCTAAGGCAAATTGAAATCCCTCTGAAATAGTGGTTGGATGTATTCCCTTCTCTAAGAGTACTTCACATGACTTCAATAAGGCTCCTGCGAAAACTACTACTGAAGTGGTGCCATCTCCAGCCTCAACATCTTGAGCATGAGAAATTTCAACTAACTTTTGTAATAATGAATGGATTACCATTTTTGCAGTGGGATGTACCAAATCCATTTATTTGAGTATGGTGGCTCCATCATTTGTAATGAGCACTTGACCTTTGGCATCTTAGATCATTTTATCCATTCCTCTTGGTCCCAAACTGGTTCTTACTGCATCCGATACAGCTTGACATAGAGGTTAAGATATTACCTTTGGCAGCTTGGATATTCGTCAATCTGATGTCTTTGGTTTTTTCTGATTTGTTGAAGGTGTTGGCTTTTTGCTATTATTACTATGATGCCTAAGGTGGTTGACTCATATTTAAAAAATAAATTTGGTTTATTTAATTTCTGGAAATAAATGTACATATTAATATATTGGATCAAGCCCTGTTTGGATAAAGGAATACTCTCAAAGTAGATCCGATGGCTCTTGGTGGAAGATTTCTATTGAAACGAGCAATCACAACTCCGTTTGATCCATGTGATCTGCTGATTCTACCCCAGATTGTCTATAATAATAGTAGTGATAATGAAGTACTCTGAATTTAGTGTTGTTCTTGAGAGAGTGAGCCTTGTAGATATAAGCCACTCTTTTGCCCCAATAGAATCTGCTTGATGAAACATCATCGACATGTTAAATCTTTAACAATGCCTAATTCTCGTTTTATTAAACTTTAGATCTTCTGAAACCAGTGAAAGCAGCCTTTACCCATAATCTTTTTCAAATATTCAATGTACCTAACTGGTGCTTTCTTATTAACTTTCACTTTCTTGACTGTTTTGGTTGCCCCCTTTTATTATTGTTCGGCCTTCATTGATTAAAATCTTTGTTATTTTAATTTAAATAATTAAAATACTCTAACTAATGAAACCAAATCAGAATGCTTCACATAAAGTATCTGTTCACAATCACAATCAACCATCCAATCCTAAAATTGGTAAATATCACTACGCCATGTTTTTAAGCAGTTATGGCTCACCCATCTATCTAACTCAATATAAAGTTGAATACATTTCTCTGATTTGCTATTGGATTTATGTTGCATTCACAGTGGCTTTTGATACATTCCCTGCTTAGAATATAGTCACTGACAAAATCATATTTGATCATAGAGTTCCTTATGTGATATATTGGGGACCCACTTACATCTACCTAGCATTGAGTGTTTATGCCATAAGCACTTTCCTAGGCAGCTATAGAAACTGGATTTAAATCTTTGGAATCTTGGTTTATTTGTGGCATCTTGCTTATTTCGTTGTATTTTGGGCTGCTCCAAGTGTCATGCTTCCCAAGGTTAGAAATTATTATAAATGAAGTCTGTGGACAATTTCTAAGCCAGTTGTGGGTACTATTGGACAGAACTCATGTTAAATTTAATCATGATCATAATCTAATGTGGTAACACTCAAGCAACGATGAACTATCCAGCATATCTTCAGAACTATGTCACTAAAGTTAATAATGATATTGTTGAGTATTTGGCTGTTGAAGATGTAGAAGAATTAAATCATGAGACAACCCCAATCAAAGCTTAAACGCCAAACCAAAAGTCCCAAATCTAATCCCAAAAACAAATACAAGGATGAATCATTATTTTTATTATCTTATAAAAAATTTTATGGGAAATACAAATATCTGTTGTGTAGAACAAAATGATGAACCTTTTGACAAACGCAAGTTTCTATTCCACAAAAAACTAAATAGCCTGAATAATCAACTGATGACAACAATCTAATATCAGGATATCATCATTTTTCACAAGGTTTGATCATTATGTATATAGAATGTAGTGGCATAATTAATCTTCAATTGCAATGCTCCAAGATTGTTATCAATCACTGAAAAAGATCCAGAAACAAAATTAGAGTTCTACGCTAGAATTAAATAAGAAATAGAACTTAATCAATCAAATTTCTTTAATTTACTAATCGCCAATTACTTTTTACATTTCAGTGAAATTTATGCTGATGAAGAAGTGATTGACATCATCTAACAATTTGACACTATATCCTAAATGCTCCGACTTGTTCTCCTCCAAGGATTCCAGCAAGATCTAAAACTCTATTTTGGTAATGATCTAGACAAACTTCCTGAACAGGAATTACTTATCTAGAGAGTGCTCCAACATTATTTATTGGGGAAAACCTCCCCTATAAAGAATAAATTTAATAAGATGCTCAATCTATATTATTAATAGATCCAGTATGATGAACTAAATCAATCAAATGTACCTGAAAAAGGGACAGTTTTGGAGTAAAATGATTTTGAAATTGATCAAGCTTTGTTACCCATCCAAGGAGGAGAGATTGTCAATATCTCTAATGACAGGTACTACTAAAAGTTATTCTTTAGTTTTTTGGAGTCATCAGGAGGATCTGTAAAGCCAGCATAACAGCAGACAATTATTCAAATTGATAATATCATTGAAAATGCAGAAAAGCAATTTAAGCATCTTCCTTATGCCACAACCTTTGAAATCCTCAGTCAAATGATAAAAACCACTAAACCTTGGAAGAAATTTCTTCTTATAGAAAAATTTGACAATTTAATTATTAAGACACTTTTAACTAATAGGGATTAGAGTTAATTGTAAAGTATGCAAGACATCCTCTTTGCTGAAGATTCCAGATCAGATATCTACTTATATATCTTGTAAAATTATTAAATTTAATGATATAGTCATTCATATGGATAATAATTCAAAGTAGATTTCAAAGAGCATCTATTGAATGCTTTAAAATTGATGTGGGAATTTGATGGATTACTCGGAAGTGATATCAAATATATCTATTGTCCTTGTTTCCTTAGATTTACAAATGTGCTGGAAATGTATTTGAAAAGTGTTAGTGTATGATATTTCTATGTGACAGTAATTCACCCATTCATTATTAATTTCGATATTAGAATATTTATAATATTATTTATAACATTAAATCCATAACATATTGAATTCTATCTATCTTCATGATTCTGTTATATGCAATCAACTGATTAAACAGATTAATAATATATATACTATAGGTTTTGAAAATCTAATTATATCTTTGATTTATTGATATTGTAAATCACAATAACATTTTAAAAATCTCTTGATTTGGTTATAAAATTCTAAGTGTAATTTTTAATTCTTCCATTTTATTTTTAATTGCTTCAAAATCTTAAGGCTTCTTTACTTTGACTCCAACTAATGCAGGTCCCTTCTCTCTATTATTTTTTCTTGTGTATTCTAAATTGGTGATTTCATCTGTTGGTCCTATAAATTATTATTTTAATAAGAGTACCCAAACATTATATAATAAACTGCTTTAATGCTCCAGGCTTTTAAAAGAAATTCACAAACATGTAATATTATAATCCCTATTGAATTTCAGAAAGCATTCTAATATCAGTCATTCTACCTAAATCGTTATTACTTCCAGAAATCAAACAAACCACAGTTTTTCCTCTAATCTCATCCTTGAATCTATCCAAGGCAGATATTGCTAAAGCCCCAGCAGGTTCAACGAGAATTCCTTCCTCATTGAATAACTTCATCATAGTTGTACAGACATGTCCTTCTGGAATTAAGATAATATCTTTTAAGACTGAGTTCAAAATTTCAAATGGTTTCGCACCTGATTTTTTAATCGCTGCACCATCTACAAATGTATTGATTGTGTCTAATTCAACTACTTGTTATTATTTAATTGCCTCATACATTGAAGGTGAACTAAATAATCACTTTCATATTATACCCTTCTGGTTCAACACCTATCAAGATTGTATCAGGATTGACTTGTTTGAAATAAGATGAAATCCCGGCTCCACATCCTCCACCTCCAACAGGAAAGAACAAAAAGTCAATTTTACTCTCAGGAATATCCTCAAGTATCTCAACTGCTATGGTCCCTTGACCCTCTATAATCTTCTCATCATCAAAAGCATGCACATAAATTCCGTTTTCAGTATTACATCTTTCCTTGCTTGCTCTAAAACTCTCGTCAAATGTATCTCCAACCAACTCAATCTAGACATATTGTTTGCCCCATGTTCTTGATATGAATACTAGAGTACTTAACAGCATTAAACTTAATGCTCGGTGTATTTGTAGGCATGTAAATGATACAATTGATTTTCAATAGATTACAAACGTAGGCAACACCCTAAGCATGATTTCCGGCACTAGAACAAAATACTGTGCGGTGTCTCTCACTCTCTGGAATAGATATTATCTTATTGTAGGCTCCTCTTAACTTATAACTTCTAACAATTTGCAAATCTTCCTAAAAATATACATTTATTTACTCGTTTTATATATACATTTGCTCCAAAGTATTCCGATAACTTCATTGATTTTTGAGTTGGAGTTCTAGTTATTACATTCTTAACTCTTTTATATGCTCCAAAAATATTTGAAACAGGAATTAATTTTGAGGGATTAGGAGGATGGTTGTAAGTCAACACGTCTACTTCCATCGGCTATTTTATTGCACTCTCATCTTGTTTGTTCGATTTATTAACATGATGAGTTGTAGGTTTTTTGTCTGGAGTCTCTAATAAGTCATTTTTCGCAAGATTCAGAGATGAATGCGCTTTTTTAGAAATTTGCATCTGGATATATATTTAATTATGACGTATTTACAAAATTTAGCAATCATTATATAAAAATAATTTACTAAATTATATGATTGTTTGTATAACTAATCATTGACATTGAGTATAATAATCAGCTGCCACTTTATAAAGCTAAGTGAACTATTTTGATTTAGTTATAGATGGTTTTCTTGGTCTTGATTATGATTATCTTCGTTATTCCTAATTCTCCGCATCCCCATATAATTCTTTCTCTGAAATAGTGTTAAAACTGACATGTTCCCCTCCTTAATATGTTTATTGCATAAATTAAGTTGGAAATTGTGCAGTTTCTTAAAACGATGTATCTACATTTACTTAGAAGGACAAATTTTAATTTTTTGATTAGTTTTATTATTAGATTAAATTACTATCTGATTAATATGACTGGTTTTACTGATTCTGTTGTAGAGATTTATAATTTTAAGTAGTTTCTGATCTTTACATACTTTTACTTGGTCTCTTTTGGGATTATTTATTATTCTTATTTCGTGATGATTGATTTGAAATAATGTCATTACTTTTGTTTAATATTTGTGGCAAGATTTCAATAGTTTGTTATTATTTGAACTGAGGTATAGGTTTTATTGGCTTAGTACCAATTTAATTTGATTTTGGTTTTGTCTAATTTTATGTTTGGAGAATACTCTAAGATTTCTATTAATAATTGGATTATTTCTAAAACCCATTATTACTATTTTGTAATTATTGTGTAGAAGATGTTTAAAATTTTGGACCCTCTACTATGGAATTCAACAAATTCTCTAGAGTGCTGTCATTTTATAACTAATGCTCAATTATTTCTTATATGCTATTGTCATTTTCCATCGAATCAATTATTGTAATTAAATTTGAATTACCTTGTTATCGCTTCTATTTTATCTTTTAAATCAGCTTTTTTTAAATAATGTCCTAAATATTCTAACTGATTATTGTGGATTTGTCAGGTTAATCGCTCTGCTCTTCTTTTTAAATCATCAGATTATTAAATTTCTAAGATTCCAACATTAATTTTTCTTCAATCAATTTTATATCTTAATCTTTATTCATCAAATTCAATTCTTATCTTTTTAATTTTTCATCTTGATCAGCCATTATCTAGGCTTATTTTGATATAGTTTAATGTTTAACTACTAAGTCTTCCTCAAATTCTTTTCTTTATTTGACCAAACTCTGAATATTCTATTAATAGAAAATTATCTATTCGTCATAATCAAATTTCATATCTTCAAATTCCCTTTGAGCTTATGAGTAATCAATCTTTACTTAATCTAAATCTTTTTGAAGATCTTTAATTATTAACTATTATTTTTTAATTTTATCAGAGAAACCTTAGTTTTAGTTTGTTACCCAATTTAATTCTTAAGCAATTCTTGCATTATCTTTCTCAAGTTTTCTTATTTTACTCCCTTAATCATTTATCAATTTAGTTTATTCCTCCTTTTTTAGTATGTATTCCTAATACTATCTAACATAATACAAGATTTTTACTTTGTTTAATTCTCTAGTTCAAATTTCAATTATATTTCATTCTATTCTAATTTATAATAGGCGATTTCTTAGGTTTACAATTTTTACTTTTACTCTTCATTCTACACTTATAGTTATAAAACTTCCTTCTAATATTGTTCTTACATCACCTAATGTGATTACTTCAAGTCCTTATATAATAATTATAATTCATCATTTTAAATTGATTTCTATAGCAATAATTGATTGAGATTATCTATTTTTTATTAATTCTATCTTGAAGTCACTTCGACCTATTATGACAAGGCCTGTATGGTTTGCTAATATAATGAATTGATATTTTAATACAAATTAGGAATGGATTCTTTCATTTAAGATTTTCTCATTTTATTCCATCTTTTTAATACAATTTGTTAATCGTTCTACATATTGACTTAAAGTGGAATTGTTAACAATTTAGAAACTATTTGCATTCTCTAAGTTTTCAATCTTCTTAAAATTAATATCCAAATTCCCCTTAGTGATCTCTTGGGTTACTAATAAGGAGTTATATTTATGTTTAAGCTAAAAATTACTTAATTAAATACATTACTCAATTTTTGTTTCTTATTGAAGTACTTATCCTATAATTCTTGATTAGATTGCTTATACTTACTCAGACTGTCCTCAAGCAATCTAATCTAATTCAAAAGATCCTATGATTTTTATTGAATATAAATATCTATTTATTATTAATAAACCATTATTCTATTTCTAAGTTCTTGATTCTCCTATTTCAATTTTTCTTCCTCCAATTATTGCAATTCGTCATCTTTTTACCTTAATTACAAAAAAGGATTGGTAACAAAGGTTGTAGCCTAATGTTATTACTTTATAATTTGATTTTATAATTTAGTTATCAATTCATCTGAATTCCTCAACAATTCATTTTTTAATGATATAGTGGATGTATAATCAATAATCTTAATTTTTAATGAGTTGTTTTCCTCATTCAACTTTTCCAACTTTTTCAAGAAATTTTATCTCTCCTCCAACAAGTCATCGTTCTAATTCTTCTTTTATTATAATTATTTGTTCAGATATTACAATTCATCCAATAGTAACTATTATTTACATACCAATTCACTAAATTGTTATCTTATTTATCCTGTTTTGTTTTCAAGTCGAAATCTTTTCTCCAACTCCCTTTCAGCAGCATCATCTGCCAGTAAGTATCTGTTATTCAAAATATCTAGCTAATATTTCAAGTTTTATTCAATCTTATTATGATTTTAAATTTGTTCCTCCTGTTTCTCTTGTTCTTCTTACAACTTATTTTACAATTCCTAATTCTAAACCCCTATTGTCTCATTATCCTTTATCACCTACTTCACTTCTTTAAAATGCTATTCCATTAATTGCTGCATCATCATCTAATAATCAGAACTATTGTATCTCTCCAATAAAATTAGGAACACTTTCCAAATCAACCCTTTTACTATTAAAATGTCATCCCCAATGCATTAATTTAGAAGTTCATTGAATCCTTTAGAATAAACATACAACCCTTTATAGAGACGATCAATTGTGTCCTTTCTTAGTCCTCTACCCTAAAATGTTACACTTTTCTTTTACCATCAATTGATGTCTACTAATTCCAACTTCCTCCATAGTTTTAAATCTGATATCCATTGCTAAAGTATCAACTATCCATTGCTCAGCTGCTTTGTTAATATTCGTGGATTAAGCACGAGAAAAATTCTATTGTCTTTTAACCTCGGTTGACATATACAGTTAATTATATAAAGTAAATTTTATAATCTCAATAGATTAACTCAATTTCCGTAATGGACCTCTATTGCATTATATTTAATAAAGTATTGTATTAATACAAGCAAACTAAGCCTTATATTTTGATGGCAAATTCTGGTTAATAAGAATTATTTAAATGAAGTTATATCTCCAATAATTGTACCTTGAAATGAATAACTTATAATCTTCAATTCAATTTAGGTTAAATTAAGAAATCTATGTTCAAATTATCTCGGTTTTGGAATTATCAAATTATATATTCTAATTTACTATTTAACACAAGGTTTTACATAATAATACTCATATTTACATAGATTCTATTCAAATTCATTTAAATTTGAGAACATAGGGCAATCATTTTATGTTGAAATTTAATATCAAAGCTTATCTATATTTATTGATTCAAATGATAATTATAAAAATTCAGATAATTTAATCTATTAGAATTTCTCAAATTGAAATTAACGTTATAAAATACTTCATATATAAAATTATAAAAAGCAATTAATAATCTAAATAAATTATGTTTATAACAAATAATAATAGATTCATTCAATATGGAAAATCAAATATTTGATTATGAGCCATTTAATTTTTTCTTTATAAATTAATTATATGCAATAAAGTAAATTGAGAACGGTTTCCCCTATGCAATGCCAATATGTTTCAACTCCATCAAATTGTTCTGTCGGCGGGGCATTCAAAAGAAGGAAAACCTTAAAAACACAATCACCTTATTCTTCATAACACAAAGAGAGTCTTAACAATCTACTTTAAGGGGAGCCTGATAAAAACAAAAACAGATGCAAAGAAATTAGTATTGAAGTGGCAAAATTTTTATAATAAATCAATAAAAATGAGAGCACCTTTCCATCCATGTACTCCTCTATTATAGGAATTGAAACCAAAAATCAGGAGGAAACACAATTAACACAACAATAAATGTTATAGTAACAAAATCAAATATTGAAAAAGCAAAATTGCATAAAACAATAAGAGATTGATCAATGGAAATAAAAATACGAATAAGCAGTTAAGTAATTAAATCAATTGTAGAGTAAATATGATGAGGATATTAAAATATTAAATTAAGAAATTCAAGCAGTTAATGAGAGGATTACGTCATGTGAATAATAAAGAAACTATAGTTTTTTCGATTAGAAAGCAACAGGGGATAATTTAACTAATATGAGTATGCAGACATTCTAGAGATCAATAAATGAGAATGAAAATTTGATTGAATAAAACAAACTATTAGATGAAATCTCAGAAAAAAATGCAATCATTAAAAGTTTGACTTTTGCCTTAGAGAAAATCAAAATGGAGATCTCTGAACATTAGATAAGATCTAATGGAGAGATAGAGTAGCTAAAAAGTAAACTTAATTAGATTCAATAGTAGAAAATGAGAATGGAATACTGTTAAAGTTCTGAGATTTAGAATATGAAAGTTGTGTAAAGCAATTAGATAGATATATTAAAGGAAGAAATCAATCTATTGAAATGCTCGATAGAAACAAAACACTAAGAGATATAGACTATTAATAACTAAAATTAAAGATATAAGCATTAGATTGATTAAGAGAATAGGACACTCAAATAAGAAAATGAAGTCTTGAAGTCGTAATTAATTAAAAAATAATAACAATATTAAGAAGATATTAATCAAATGAAGTGTGATTGTTCATTATTACAATAAAATGAAATAAATTCAATTAAATAAAGTTCTCAACAACAAATCTCTGATTTAGACACTGAAATTAAAGATTTAAAGGAATTTCTATACACTACTAATAATACTGAATAATAATAATTAATAGTAGATAGATTAAGATAAAGAGATAATTATGAAATAGAAAATCAAAGATTGAACAGTATAATAGAAGAATAAAATAAACAGTTATTATCATAAAGAATGCAGACAGAAAACCTTAATACTGAATCGATTAGAAAAATTTAAGAACTTCAAATGCAATGCAAAATGTTACTTGAAGAGACAAATTAGAGATTTGAATAAATAAATAGAGAGAACACATTTTTGAAAAATTAGATTCTATAAAAAGATAATGAGATTAATAAATTTGAGGATATTTACCAAAAACTAAATAATTACAAAGAAAATCTCTTAAAACTATAAGAAGAAAACTCAATTATTTTAAGTCATTATGAATAATAAGAGAGATAAATATAAAAGGAGAAGGACTAATAAATATATTAATTGTAAAAAAACTTTGAAAGCCAATTAAAATAATATGATTTTTAATTACAAAATTTAATTAATGAGAAATTACAATATATGCAAATGTTAGAGATAAAGAATTAAGAGTGTGCAGACTTAAATTTAGAAGTTAAGAAATTATAAATTTAGTAATAGAATATAAAAATTGATAATGAATTATTGTACAGTAAATTAATATCGTTATGTAACTCTTAGGAGTCTAACAGAATCATAAACGATCCACTTAATAATACATTATAAATGAAAAGGATGACAGAACAAATATCACTCTTATAAAATGAGTTATTAATAAAGAACAAAGAAGTAACACAAATCATAGATAAATATTAATAATTGGAACAAATACTCTGTAAAAATTAGATAAAATAGACTGATTAGAATTTAAATGAGATAATGAAAAATTAGGCAAAAAATTATGGTCAAGTAATAATAAATGAATGACTAAATATTGTTAATTAAAGTTTTATTATAATTTTTTATTCTTCCTAAGGTTTATCCAGAAAGAGTACTTTGTATAAAATTATTTTAAATAAATAAATTTATTATAAAAATACCATTTTGTTATAATTTAAGAAATAAATAATATCAAATGAAGAAATATCTTTTATGAAATGGAGTTGGAATTTTTAAATTAAACTAATTATCCAAATTCTTACCCAAACCCTTAAACTTTGGAAGCCTAGATGATAAACAAAGTACGTTAATTAATAGCAATTGTTGTTTTTTTGAATTTCTTTAAAATTTTGAAATAAGCAGAGTAACGTTATCAGAATTAAGAGCAAGTAGTTCTCAACATAGGGCTGATCTCAATTCTATGTGTGTCATAGACAAGGCCTAGGTTTTCAGAATATAAAACTAAAGTTTGCTATCATTCACTTATCCATTTTTTATCGATTTTCTTTTGAACTAAGTTAATATCTAAGAAACTAGGAATGATTAAAATGTCTCTAATTTAGCATAGAAATCATATTCAATTAGTTTCCATATCATTTCCTTATTTATGAAAAATGAAAATAAATCAGATACAAAGTATTATGATCTTGCTTCTAGAAAATCTTAAATCCCAAGGTTATGACATCTGAAATATCACAGTGAAATTGATCATGGGATCAATCACTTTTTAGTAATAAAGTATTATAATTATAATTTCTATGCTTTGATATATTTTATATTTGGAAATAGATCATGCTCCCTTGAGTTATGATTTGACATAGTCTTGGAATCTTGGTTGGTTGAGCAACTCTAAAGCTTAATTGGCAGCATTAATTTCCTTGTTGTATTCAGCAACGGTGGCATTATAGACGTCAGTGGCAAAGGCATAGTCATCATTTTCAGCTTGTAATTATCCGTTAAGGGTGGCCAAATCTTCATCAAGTTCGTCAATTAAGTCAAGGGTTTATTCTTATTTGGCTATTTGTTGTTAGATTGGAATGAATACTTGTGTTGGCTTCGATTTCAGCATTCTTAACAACAACAGCTCTTTAGAATTCAGCATGTTCTTAGTTCAATTAAATGACTTAGGCGTTATATTCAGCAACTTAGTCAGCTTCATCAGCAGTGATTTAATTGAGGGAGTCAACTAATTCAACTCTCAAGTTATTGAAGGCAACAACAATCTAGAGGATATATCAATTAGACATTACATCTCTAAGAGCTCCTTAGTCAGCAAAGTTGGAATCTGATGTGATTTCCAATAAGACTTTAACAAAGATTTGGAATTAGTTGTGCTTTTTCAATGAGTTTTAGATTTTAGCCAAATTCTTTTAGACTTTCTTGACTTAAACAAGAGATGGGGCTTCCAATTGGCTCAACAATTATAAGCATTCATCAATAGCAGCGATAGCTTCATTGTGTTCAACAACTTCACTTTCAAATGTTTCGTGATCGTTTGCTCTTTTGACTGTAGCTTATTCAAGGGTTCTTCTGTTTGAAGCGATGTTTTCTTATAATTATTCAAGTTAGGCAGCAAATCTTTCTCCTTATGGGATGAGGACGTTGTCATAGAAATCGTGGGCATTGAACAATTCTAAGGAAATAGTAAAAGCGATTAAGTACCTCTTTCCTTATCTTAGATTTCTTATTCGAGTCTGGCGACTTCTCTGTTGTGGACATCTGTTCTTCTTTGGAATTCATGATGAACTCCGGCCAATTCCTCTTCCAATTCATCAACCTATAAACATATTAACTCTCAATAAGTACAAGCTTCTCAATCTCAGAGTTGAGCTCAGAAAGGATACCTCCTGTTGTTAAATGGAGTTCAGCATAGTTCAAGATGAACTTACCCCAACCAGATTAGTGAATCTAAGCGAAAGCTTTTTGGTCTTTGCTTGTCCAAATTGAGGATTAGACATTAATGGCTGTTGAGGCAAGTACTAACAATGCACACACGGCAACTTTGAACATTTATTGTAATTAATAATGAATTCCTTCTAAGGATTATTTTGCTAAAAAAAGGCAAAAACGAATTTTTCTTTTTAATATTAATTAATATACACACTTCTTATACTTTTTATATTGTCTTATATTCTAACTACTTACAATCCATAAATATACACAAAATTATGTTTAATCATTTCTAATCAATCAAAACAATCATAATTATCTTATTTTCTCGATCAATTTTTCAGAACCATTATTATTTATACATTAAATTCTCTGAATTCTATCCTTAATACTAATTTCTTCGAACTATAACCTCATAATCATTCAAACATACATATCCACTCAAACTCTTTCCATTTCCACTAACGTAAACCCCACTGCCATTTATTATCCCATTCCGAAATTCCCCTTCATAATAACTCGAATCATTCCAAACCAATATGCCCCTTCCACTTATTTTATTCCTACTAATCTCTCCTTCATACCTAAAGATATAATTTATACTTACTTGCATCCATCCTTATAAAAAATAATCCCTTTTCCATTTTTCTATCCATCCTTAAACTACCCAAAATACTTTTATCCATCGCTTCTTATTTCTTATCCCTCTCCATTTAGTACATTGTTTGTCCAAAATCCTAAATTGATATAATAATTTACCTTTTACAACTTTAACCTTACTCTAGAACGATCCAAATCCATTAGCCTTCCCAAATTTAAAATTACATTAGAAACTAAACCCATCAATTAACTTTTTACATATCTCCATTTGAGTAAATCATTCTACAAAATCCATTTAGCTCATTATTCACCCAAAATCTATTTTTTATAAATTATTATCTTTTACCCATCTAGTATATTTCCTACATCAGACCAAACCATAATCCCTGTTCCACTCTTCTATTCATTCTCCAAATGACCAAAATAACAACTACCATCTTCTAAATTTTGAGTCTCATACTATTCATCAATATCATAAATAGGACCTATGTCCAGATACAATTATCTTATTTATTTTTATTACATTTTGTTGAGTGTTTCTAATAATCTTATATCAGTTGAGCGTCTATTTGCGAATTATTATGAATTTTCATCATTCATTAAATAATGCTTATCAACATCTTAATTACTGTTTTTCGAGAAGATATTATTCACGTTTTCGACGCGAGTCAATTTTTGCTGATTTTACATTTGATTAGATTCAGCAATTTTAAAGAATTAAATATTGAAAAATTGATTCAATTAGAAAATATTGAAAATATAAGAATTTTCAGTTTTTATTAATTTAATATCGACAAGAAATGTCTCACATTTATACTTGTCACTCTTATTCCATTGATCAAACAATTTAACCGATTTAAATTTCTAAGAATAATTAATTAATAATTTTGAATAAATTAAATAATATCATTTCATTGTCATTTCCAAATATTTGCAAACCAATTGTTATTTTCCTTCACATCTTGTAGAAATTTGTTCAAACTGGTCATCTAGGTATTTATTTTGTCTATCTAAGCATTTATTTTGTCCATCTCACTCTTATTTTCATTTACAATTGTCCACAGCACGGCTTCCTTAGCTATTTATTACTTTAAGTTTTACTTTTAAATTTCTGATTGTTTAAATCTACAAATTATTTCAATTCATTGTATTTCGTTTCAAACACTTCATTACATTTCTTTTCTAATACTAGCAAATAAAACGAATTCATTACCTGATATTAGTTATTCATGCACTCTATTATAACCTATTTTACGTTGCCATCAAGTTAATTTTTTTTAAAATTCTCTTTGACTTCCTTCCTTGTTTTTATTATAAATATTGATTACTATTAATCCGACAATAAGTTGATCAATAATTCATGATTCTAAATTTTCTTATTTAGTTCCTCTTTCACAGATTTGATTTTAGCTTTAACACTTTTTATCGAATCTTCAAAAAAAAATTAATCATTGATATCATTAAAAGAACTATTCTTTGATAATACAGGTGTATATTTCATTGAGCTATCTTGACCTCCAAATAAGGTTTACTTTGACTTCAATTAATATAGTTCATTAGATATATGCAGAAGTTAATTTTGAAACTACAAATATACAACTAAAATTCACATCAAAAAAATATTTTTGTATTAAGTTGTCAACTATTAATTCAATTTGTTTTAATAAATTATCTAAAAGAGAAGACTTTTATAATTCTTTTATAGCAATTTCTTAAGTAATCTCACGATAATCTTCATTCTTTTAAAACAACTAATTTTATCGACTAGTTGTTTTATTCTTTTCATATACTAATTTCCTAATAATGATAGTTACGTTTTCTACTATTTTTTCGACATTACTTTGTAATTCCTATTCATTTATGCTCATTATAATAATAATAAATATAAAATAATATATTAAGTTATTATATAAACTTAATTTATAAAAAATTTCATAATTTTATCAGTTGGATGGCTCGCTATGCTAAAAAACCCATTAATAAGTATACTCAACCAACAGATGCCAACAGAAGAGTGTAAACAGAAGCAGCTGATGTAGATGATATCGATCTTTAATAAGCAATATTAAAATTCAAAAATCTATAAGAGAAACAAAAAACTCCATTGAAAAATTAAAGAACCAAAAGCAAATCCCCAGCTCCTCAACAAGGCAATTAACCCATGGATTACTCCTAATTTACATTTACTAGCCTAAAAGTAATTGGACAAGGATCCTTCGGTATAGTTTACAAAGCAAAAGTGAATGAAACAGGTGAAATAGTGGCAGTAAAGAAAGTTATACAGGATAAGAGATATAAAAATAGGGAAATTCAAATTCTCTAAGAATTGGATCATTCAAATATTGTTGAAACTAAACATGCATATTTTACTTATGGAGACTCTCCAGATGAGCAATACTTGAACGTAATCATGGACTACTAGCCTGAAACCCTTCATTCATTCAATGCATAATTCTTGAAATAGCAATAGTTGTTACCAGAAATACAAGCAAAGTTATATTCATATTAGTTGTTGCGTGGCATAGCCTTTGTACACACAAAAGGAATTTGTCATCGAGATATTAAACCCCATAATGTTTTGATTAATCCTGATACGAATGTTCTGAAAATCTGTGATTTTGGAAGTGCTAAAAAGTTATCTCCTTTAGAACCTAATATTGCTTATATTTGTTCAAGATGTTACAGGGCTCCTGAGTTATTGTTTGGTGCTACAAATTACACTACTTAGGTTGACATGTGGTCGGTTGGCTGTATCATAGGCGAAATGTTTAATGGGCTACCCTTGTTTTTAGGAGCATCAGCAGTAGATTAATTAGTTGAAATAATCAAAATACTGGGATCTCCAAGTAAGGAAGAGGTGTTGTCAATGAACGAATTATACGATATTAAATAATACAAAATAGTTTAAATAAGAAAAAAAGATTGGAGGAAAGTATTTCAAACTGTAGTTGATCCCTAAGCTATTGATTTAATTAGTAAGATACTCACTTATTGTCCAAGAACTAGATTGACTGCACTCCAAGCACTAACGCATTCGTATTTTGATGATTTAAGGGATGAAACAACTTTTAGGATGTACCAATCGAAAATTTAAATACCTGACTTATTTGATTTCACAAAGGAGGAACTTTCAAATAATTAATCTCTGGCCAATAAATTAATTCCAAAATGGTATTAAAAAAGAAACAAATGTTGATTCATTTTTAAAATTATATCAATTGAAAAACTTCATGAAAACTTATATTATTAAATAGAGACAAAATATCTTTTTTAATTGATTAATATCAAATTTGAGAAATATTTTTCATTCTTGGAAGTTGTATTTCTGATATCCCTCTTCTTTCTCTAGTTCTTTTAACGACTATTCCAACGGTTGATAAAATATCTCTATTATACATGAAGAAAGTTTTACTTTACTTTAGCTTTACTGCCTTTAAGTTTTGTTGTATTACTCTGAGTAGATGGGACTTCTTTACCCCAAGCTGTATTTTTATAGAGCGAAATATTGTATTGATCAGTAGGAGATTTCATCATTTGTAAATCTTTTGTAGTATTATTATTAGATTTAGTGATTGGGATTGGAAGTTATTCTTTATTTTCGAAAATAACTTAGGCCACCTACTCATATATTTGCATAGAGTTTATCCTATTGAATAGATGAATGAACTTTAATTTACTTAATATTTCCATCACTTGTAATGCTTGGTTGACTTAACCTGCGAATTCTATTCAGAATTTATTTTTTATCTTAGTCATTTGAAAATTCTTTAACTTAAGCTTCTTCTGCTTTAACTAATTATGCAGATGATTAATTATGGGATGCATTGATTTACTAAGTCAAAGACAAGTATTCATTTCTGACCATCCTTAAAGCAGGATCACTCATTTTATCAAGATTAATTGGTTGATCTCTTGGGCCTTCTCTAATTCTGCCTTCTTGTATGATGAGAACTCCAGATTATAAATGCATATTTTCATTGACAAGAGGTGCAATAGACTAAAATTTAATTTATTCCTTAGTATCCTTTTCCTTCTCATCATCCTATTTCCTTTTGATTTAGGAACCTTGACTCTAAAAAAAGGTTTTTCTCTTATTGAACATGTTAATCTTAGTTTGGCCATCTTCAAACTTGGATCTCTTAATTTTTAATTTAAATACCCTAATGTTGCAGCAGTAGGTGGAAATTTATGACCTTTCAAAGTAGTGACAGAAATCAATTTTCCATCATAATCATAAGTGTATGATTTAGATTTTTTATCTTTAGATATAAGTTCATATTTCAATTATTACTCCTCTAGCTCTTTTTGTTTTCTTCTTCTTTCTTGTTCTTTTAGATCTTACATAATTTTATAATCTCTCTCCTTCTATGCTCTCAGTAATTCTTCAGTTAGACTGATATCTAAGGGATCATTGAGATCAACTATTCCAGGTAATTTTTCTTTTTCTTTTACATTTTTTTAATTATTCATTTAAGCTTAATCCTAAAGTTTAAAAAGATGTTTCAATACTTATATTAAGACTCTTGATCTCTTAAAGGTTTGAGCAGTTAGGGATTATCGATTAGAATTAGTGCTTTATTATTCTACTTCCAATATCTTGGCAGGTATTGATAAAACCTTTTGAACCAACCATTATTCTTGTTGGAATCTAACCTATCAATTGAAAAGTTTAATTTACAGGTTCTTCATCTTCTTGTAATCCACCAGTCAAATAATCAAGTGTAGGATCTTCGTGTTGTCTAAAGTATTATTGAATCGGATGTGACATTCTATCAATGGATGATTAATAACCAATGAGTGGCAGCATTTTGATTTGTTCATTCTCAGTGATTTTTTTTGAGACTTTGGCAATTACTCTTTTAATAAAATCTCTAATGAATAGCTCTCCTTCCACTTAATTGGATTATGATTGAATAGGATCTGAGGGCTAGTAAAATGAATGAAAATTGAGTTTATCCATGTCAACTTCAACCAATTCACTGTCAGACTGAGTGTTCAATTTCTCTGTTGGATATNACTCTGAGTAGATGGGACTTCTTTACCCCAAGCTGTATTTTTATAGAGCGAAATATTGTATTGATCAGTAGGAGATTTCATCATTTGTAAATCTTTTGTAGTATTATTATTAGATTTAGTGATTGGGATTGGAAGTTATTCTTTATTTTCGAAAATAACTTAGGCCACCTACTCATATATTTGCATAGAGTTTATCCTATTGAATAGATGAATGAACTTTAATTTACTTAATATTTCCATCACTTGTAATGCTTGGTTGACTTAACCTGCGAATTCTATTCAGAATTTATTTTTTATCTTAGTCATTTGAAAATTCTTTAACTTAAGCTTCTTCTGCTTTAACTAATTATGCAGATGATTAATTATGGGATGCATTGATTTACTAAGTCAAAGACAAGTATTCATTTCTGACCATCCTTAAAGCAGGATCACTCATTTTATCAAGATTAATTGGTTGATCTCTTGGGCCTTCTCTAATTCTGCCTTCTTGTATGATGAGAACTCCAGATTATAAATGCATATTTTCATTGACAAGAGGTGCAATAGACTAAAATTTAATTTATTCCTTAGTATCCTTTTCCTTCTCATCATCCTATTTCCTTTTGATTTAGGAACCTTGACTCTAAAAAAAGGTTTTTCTCTTATTGAACATGTTAATCTTAGTTTGGCCATCTTCAAACTTGGATCTCTTAATTTTTAATTTAAATACCCTAATGTTGCAGCAGTAGGTGGAAATTTATGACCTTTCAAAGTAGTGACAGAAATCAATTTTCCATCATAATCATAAGTGTATGATTTAGATTTTTTATCTTTAGATATAAGTTCATATTTCAATTATTACTCCTCTAGCTCTTTTTGTTTTCTTCTTCTTTCTTGTTCTTTTAGATCTTACATAATTTTATAATCTCTCTCCTTCTATGCTCTCAGTAATTCTTCAGTTAGACTGATATCTAAGGGATCATTGAGATCAACTATTCCAGGTAATTTTTCTTTTTCTTTTACATTTTTTTAATTATTCATTTAAGCTTAATCCTAAAGTTTAAAAAGATGTTTCAATACTTATATTAAGACTCTTGATCTCTTAAAGGTTTGAGCAGTTAGGGATTATCGATTAGAATTAGTGCTTTATTATTCTACTTCCAATATCTTGGCAGGTATTGATAAAACCTTTTGAACCAACCATTATTCTTGTTGGAATCTAACCTATCAATTGAAAAGTTTAATTTACAGGTTCTTCATCTTCTTGTAATCCACCAGTCAAATAATCAAGTGTAGGATCTTCGTGTTGTCTAAAGTATTATTGAATCGGATGTGACATTCTATCAATGGATGATTAATAACCAATGAGTGGCAGCATTTTGATTTGTTCATTCTCAGTGATTTTTTTTGAGACTTTGGCAATTACTCTTTTAATAAAATCTCTAATGAATAGCTCTCCTTCCACTTAATTGGATTATGATTGAATAGGATCTGAGGGCTAGTAAAATGAATGAAAATTGAGTTTATCCATGTCAACTTCAACCAATTCACTGTCAGACTGAGTGTTCAATTTCTCTGTTGGATATGAACGAATGGATGATAATTCTCCATATGAACTTCTTTATAATTAACTTTTCATATAAATATTTTAACAGATTAATTGATTGAATACGTTTTTAGTTTGAGATGTAAGTGTAAAATTTATGTCTGTTTTGAATGATGAGTGTGCATAAATGTATGTTAATTAAATAATAATTAGTGATATTTGCAATTTTAAAACGAGGAATTTTGATTCCGTTTTTGGCATTAATAAATTAATTATGAGAACTCTTGTTGCCCTTTGCTTAGTGGCTGCCGTCTTCGCTATTGACACAAACAAATTTGCTGTGCTCCTCCAAACTGGTACTAGAGGAAATGATGCTGTTGAATCAGTTTACAACCTCTTGAGAGATTTGAAGACAGAAAATGTTAATGTCTAAGCTGCTGCCGACAAAAAGAATAACACTGATGAGGGTATAATATAAATTAAACAATAGAAATCTTTTCTTAGGTCATTGGTGACTTGACAAATGTTGCCTCCCTCAACAAATAACAATGGGAAGCATTAGGTGCTGTTCGTACTGATGTTGAAGCCCAAGTCAGAGTATGCTATTTCCCCTTAAAATTTAGGATGGATATTCATGGTTGGCATGGGCCGAAGCAAGACTTGCTGAAATCGAAAGAAGAAATGCTTAACTTTAAGACTAAAGATGTTGGGCCAATGGACTCTTTGTCAGATCATTGGCTGATCACGCTGATGCANAGAACTCCAGATTATAAATGCATATTTTCATTGACAAGAGGTGCAATAGACTAAAATTTAATTTATTCCTTAGTATCCTTTTCCTTCTCATCATCCTATTTCCTTTTGATTTAGGAACCTTGACTCTAAAAAAAGGTTTTTCTCTTATTGAACATGTTAATCTTAGTTTGGCCATCTTCAAACTTGGATCTCTTAATTTTTAATTTAAATACCCTAATGTTGCAGCAGTAGGTGGAAATTTATGACCTTTCAAAGTAGTGACAGAAATCAATTTTCCATCATAATCATAAGTGTATGATTTAGATTTTTTATCTTTAGATATAAGTTCATATTTCAATTATTACTCCTCTAGCTCTTTTTGTTTTCTTCTTCTTTCTTGTTCTTTTAGATCTTACATAATTTTATAATCTCTCTCCTTCTATGCTCTCAGTAATTCTTCAGTTAGACTGATATCTAAGGGATCATTGAGATCAACTATTCCAGGTAATTTTTCTTTTTCTTTTACATTTTTTTAATTATTCATTTAAGCTTAATCCTAAAGTTTAAAAAGATGTTTCAATACTTATATTAAGACTCTTGATCTCTTAAAGGTTTGAGCAGTTAGGGATTATCGATTAGAATTAGTGCTTTATTATTCTACTTCCAATATCTTGGCAGGTATTGATAAAACCTTTTGAACCAACCATTATTCTTGTTGGAATCTAACCTATCAATTGAAAAGTTTAATTTACAGGTTCTTCATCTTCTTGTAATCCACCAGTCAAATAATCAAGTGTAGGATCTTCGTGTTGTCTAAAGTATTATTGAATCGGATGTGACATTCTATCAATGGATGATTAATAACCAATGAGTGGCAGCATTTTGATTTGTTCATTCTCAGTGATTTTTTTTGAGACTTTGGCAATTACTCTTTTAATAAAATCTCTAATGAATAGCTCTCCTTCCACTTAATTGGATTATGATTGAATAGGATCTGAGGGCTAGTAAAATGAATGAAAATTGAGTTTATCCATGTCAACTTCAACCAATTCACTGTCAGACTGAGTGTTCAATTTCTCTGTTGGATATGAACGAATGGATGATAATTCTCCATATGAACTTCTTTATAATTAACTTTTCATATAAATATTTTAACAGATTAATTGATTGAATACGTTTTTAGTTTGAGATGTAAGTGTAAAATTTATGTCTGTTTTGAATGATGAGTGTGCATAAATGTATGTTAATTAAATAATAATTAGTGATATTTGCAATTTTAAAACGAGGAATTTTGATTCCGTTTTTGGCATTAATAAATTAATTATGAGAACTCTTGTTGCCCTTTGCTTAGTGGCTGCCGTCTTCGCTATTGACACAAACAAATTTGCTGTGCTCCTCCAAACTGGTACTAGAGGAAATGATGCTGTTGAATCAGTTTACAACCTCTTGAGAGATTTGAAGACAGAAAATGTTAATGTCTAAGCTGCTGCCGACAAAAAGAATAACACTGATGAGGGTATAATATAAATTAAACAATAGAAATCTTTTCTTAGGTCATTGGTGACTTGACAAATGTTGCCTCCCTCAACAAATAACAATGGGAAGCATTAGGTGCTGTTCGTACTGATGTTGAAGCCCAAGTCAGAGTATGCTATTTCCCCTTAAAATTTAGGATGGATATTCATGGTTGGCATGGGCCGAAGCAAGACTTGCTGAAATCGAAAGAAGAAATGCTTAACTTTAAGACTAAAGATGTTGGGCCAATGGACTCTTTGTCAGATCATTGGCTGATCACGCTGATGCAGTTGCAGTTGTCTAACTCTTACAACAAGATGTTGCTGGATGGCTCACAAACAATGCTGGTGTTCAATTAGTTGAAAAGGCTGAAACCATCGCCGACAAATTGTCAGCATACAGTCACCTCTTCTAATAAGATGCCCTCTAGAAATTCTAATCCCTTGCAGAAGTCAAGAGAGATGGCACAACCGGAGAACAAGTCCTTGCTATCTTAGCAGACTTACAAGCTGAATTAGAAGGAACCCTTGCTACACTCTAAGAATAAGAAATCCATGCTGCTTTCGCTCTTGCCAAATACGTTTCAGATACTAATGCCGAAGTTGCTTGGTTGAACTCAGAACACGAAAGAAGAACAAACCTTGTTGAAAAATTAGAAACTGTATGCATTCATCAAATAATTCGATTAGCAACTCCCAGCAGTTCTTGCTTAATAAGCCAAAGCACTCAAATTATGGAAAGACTCCTTGAATGCAGTTGCTGGTGCCACCGCCGATTTGGAAGAAAAAAGAGAATTCTATGCTTCAGAAACAGCAAGAAGATAAGGTATCTATCCTAACCTAATCTATTCTAGAGGAAAACGCCATCATCGATGTTGTCATCTAATTATTCAAGGATCAAGTTAGAGCCTTAGCCTCATAAACATCCCTTGGTAGAAAATGATTAGATTATAAAATATTCAATTTAAAAATATCCACCAAGTTAAAATTACATCATCATTAATTCTTAACAATAGATTTTGAAGTCTAAATCGAATGTCATTCTATTTTAAAAGACTAATTGGATTTAACGCTAAACACACTCTCATTTTTAAACTATTAATTGATTACATACAATTTGAAAAAAGATGTTTATAGAATATAAATTATATTTAATATAACACCAACAATAAATGAATATGTTTTAAATTTTAAATAGAGAACAATCAAGAATAAATTAGGGCACTATTTAAGAATATATATATAGGTTCTTTATTAAAAATTTATTAAGCAATAAATAAAAATTATGTTAAATTCAAGTATCTACAGTAATGAGAGCAATTCAGCAGTAAAGATAAAAGGCAATTCAACCCATTTACTTTCAACTGCAATAAGTAAATTAGGAGATTCAAGTTTCAAATCAAGAAACTAAGAATCTAAAAACATATCTCCAGTGAGATTAAGATTGTTTAGAGACTCTCCAAAAACTTACAAAGGACTAGAAGGTTGTGTTGTAGGGTAATATCAGTAAGAATATACATATATTGAAGTCCTCTTGCTCCAACTCATGTAGTATTTTCTAATGATAAAACTCCATCTCCTTATAGATCGTCGAAAACATTTAGAGATTCTCCAGAAAGAGCTAAGACCAAGTTGAATCAATTCAAAGATTGGAACTCTAAATTGGACATTCAATTACAAATATAAAATAATCAGATTGCAAAATTGAACAATCAACTCATCCAATAAAGTCATCAACCTTATCAGCATAAGAGTTCAAAATAAAACTTGTTTTCTGCAAGTAGTCCATCCAACTTCTAAAAGTTTGGTAAACAAAGTGATATTTCTTCACTTTCCTCAAGATTGAATCAGGTTCCAATTTCATAGATTACCACCTATCAAATAGGGTATTAGTAGTACGATTATATAATAGACATCAAAGCGAATTGAATGCATTATAGCAATCTTTGGACAGAATAATGAAGACAAGTAGAATATGATAATTAGTAAGAATATAAATAATTAAATTAAATTATTATTATTTCAATATATATTTATTAATTAAATGCAAATCATAAAAATTGCCATTCAGAAGGATGTGTACATTTGTTCCAGACCCTTGAATCGATTCGAAGATTTGAGACAAGAATACCAATCTATAAGTATACAGCATTAAAATAAGGAGGACTTAATATTCTAGTAATACATTGTTTAATAGGAATAGCTTTGTTGATGAAGAAGGAGATAAAGTAGTGATTACAAATGATTATGATTTGGAAGATTTCAAGAAATAACATCCGAAGTTTTTGAAGATCAGAGTTGAGTTTAGAGATAGAAACAATTTGAGTGAAAGAGTGTATAATAGAGAAATAACCAAAGATGCAATGAAACAAAAGATTATGCAGCTCTTACAATAATATTGACAGGTGTTGATGTTCTTTATGTTTTATAAATCATTTTCTGGCAGCCAAAGCAACTTAAGTGGCAATTCTGTTTAAGTCTTATTGTCCTTCCTTGGTAACAATTCTTGATCCCTTCTTTAAGAGAGACTTGTTGTCCTTCTTCAAGACTTTGATTGACTCTAATTATTAGAGTAAATATCTAATGACCTTTCCTGATCCAGATTCATGCTTGCCATTATCATTGACTGATCCAAACATATGAGTCAAATTTCCAACACCCTTAATTGTAATATAAATTGAATACCCAATGACCTCTCACATATATTTTACGAGCAAGTGCAGCAGCTCTAACGTACATCCAATCTTAATCAATTGGTGAAATTTCTTTTCCAAGTCCAGTTTTGACAATGGATCCCCATTCTGGGATTTTTATTTTATTGTTTTTCTTCAAATACTCAGCATATGCACGAATGAAATCTTAGGCAGGTACGTCCTTGATTTAATGAGTGACATTACTTTGACTGTGTAGAATGGAGCTGACATGCAATAAAAAAATTAAAAAAATATTTTTGAATATTTACAAAGATATTATTTATTATTAATGGTTCTTCATTGTCACATCATTTGTATTGAATTTGAATATATGATTTTTAGGTCTATTAATATATATATTATACTGAAATTCAGAATAGTAAAAGAATTGATTTCCGTGAATATTAGAGTGAATCACTTAGTTTTTAATTGAATTGGATGTAATAGAAATTGAAGTGGCTTAGTATTTGATTTAATTTTGATTTTATTAATTTAATGAATTGCAATACTTAAAAATGGATTAAAATTGATAAAAATTATTATTGAGTTAGAAAATGTTAGATTGAAGGGTTGATGAGAGAGAGCGTGGAGAATTGAATGTGAAAATTGGAGTTTGGATGAGGAGGAGTATGGTTAATAAAGTAGTGAATATATAATAGTAAGATAAGAAAGGAGGGAAGTAAAATTGGATTGGAAGGAAATGTGTTTATTTAATAAATATTGGATGAATGAGGAATGATGTGTGATAGATATTTATATATTTAGATCGTAATTAATAATAATTAAATGTACATTATAAGCATTTGATCGATCCGTTTTTAAAACATTAATTAAAATATATGCAAAAACTAGCCATCTTGACATTAGTTGTTGCTCTTGCAGCTTCCAAATTCGTTGATACACACACAACCTTGGCTCAAATTGATGCTAATCCATTTGGAAATGTTGTGTTGTCAGCAATCAAGGCTCACTTGTAAGCTCAAACACCAGCCAACGAAGTTAATATGTTATTGAACGGTGTTGCTGCTGGATTGTAATAAGATCAAAATGACCACGACCACGCTTTTGAACTTGACACAACAACCAACAACAGAGTAAGAATATGTATTAAGAATATCTTAGATTGTGGAAGATTTGGAAAAGGAAATCTTGTATCACTAAAATCAAATCTCATCTAACACTTAATTGAGAGATGACACAATTGAAGCTTTGGCTGTTTCTGAAGAAGACATCAGAGTCACAATTCAAGACATCGCAACAAATGAATAAACATATGCCAGAGAAGAAGCCACAAGAAACTAATAACACGAAACCTTTGTTGCTAAGATCGCCGCTATTGATGACGTTATTGATGCCATTGATGAAGCTGCCAAATTAATTCAACACTTGAGCTTAGGTGCTTCATTCGTCTAAGTCAAATCAAAATACGACACCATTCACAAGAGACTCACAGACAACACCTCCCACTCCCAACTCTTACAAGTATTCAGCTTCTCCTATATCTTTATTTTAGCCAGTCGTTGCTGCTCTTACAGAATTAGCCACTCACGGAGTCAACTAAAAGGCTTTAACCAAGATTGCTTAACTCTTGAGCGAAATCAGATAATAATTAGTCTCAGAAAAGGCTGCTAAAACTGTAATCATTCAATCCAATAATTAAGGACGTCGAAGAAAGATAAGCCGCTCACTGGGCTGAATTCAGCGCTCACTTGAGTAACGAACACACCAGATT